AATATTTCACAATAAAACAGTCCTAATATGAGGAAATAGAAACTGAAATAGGAGTGCCACATTTTGAAACTTTTCAGCCAGAAAACAGTCTAACTTTGACATTTAAAGCTATTGTGAGGAGTTTTTATCTGGTTATGAAACACACTGACACTGACATTGATCTCTCTTTATGACCTAAAAAAAACACACAACAAACTTACATTTTCTGTACTGCAATATCCAAAGCCTGTAACCTGTATGAGGGGGAAGGTGTCAGACCAGGTGCTGGACGGCATGTGAAAGAAAAACAACCTTATGCATGCCCCTCAGCAAATATTCAAAATAAGAAACTATGAAAAGTTTCAAATGTAAAATGTTTTTTTTCTCGAACTAACATGAGCTTTAAGGATCATGTTTAACAAACATGTCCTTACTATGAAAGAAAATACTTTCCAGAACTGTTCTGATTATTCAAGATGACTTTTCTGTGGTATGTCCTCACTGTCTTTGTTGAACTCACAGTGAGCAAACCTCAACTGGAACAAATACCTTACCTACTAGATGGGATCACAGAGTAAGAGTCTGCAGGTTAATGTCCAGATGCTTGAGCTTGTTAGTGCTGAACGCTGTGTTGAGTTAACAAGACACAGACTTCAAACAACACAATTTTTTTTTGTAAATCAAAACACTGTCAAATGTGCTATGAGATGCCATCTGTCACCAGTGCTTGTTTATATCTGGGTAGTAGAGCATTATAGCTTGATGACATCTGCCAGTAACTGGAGCTCCAGCCCCTGCTAAGTACAGGTGGCTTCATTACGGCTTTAATGCAATATAAGACAGGCAGTCTAGGCCAACAGCAATCAAAATATTAATGACTTGTTTCAGTGACAAGTAATTTTGATACCAACTAGTGAGGGCAATGACATTAAAGCATTTGAATGCAAACATCTTCCACATCAAGTACACCAATTAGGTGTTAGAGACTAGTCTGAATCAAATGGCTGATGTTCACAACAAGGTTTTTGCAACCATGTTAGAACATACAAAATGTATTAAAAAGAATGGCATGATTTGATGATTGAATCTTCTTCTATGCCTTCATGTCTGTCTGAACTTGAGCAGTGCGGTCTCTGCTTGTCTTTTTATTCACTAAAGTCTTTCATTTGCTAAGGCTAGCAAGCTAGTTTGATGATTTTAGTAATAAAAGGAAATACTGGACTTCTCTTTCCAGGACTATGATATTGACTGATTGGTTGTTTGGAGAATTGACAACTTTTCTTGGATTGATACCATAGGCTGTAGAATTGAAAGATGTAAATACATGAATTTCCAAGGGAGGTGTCAGGCCAATTGGTGGTGGTCACCATTTTAGAAATACTGACTCATCCCAGCTTTTAGTTAGACTAACAAGAGACAGAGGCAGATGTGTAGCAGACCTAAAGCCTTAAAGAGGCGTTCTCTAGTAATTTAGCTACATTTGATGGTATCAGCCTGGCAACCAGCCCCACTGTGCGAAATCTAGGAGTTGTATTTGATCAGGATTTATCGTTTAGCTCCCACATTCAACAAATTTCCAGAACAGCCTTTTTCCACCTGCGCAATATCTCAAAAATTAGACGTATATTGTCTCAGAGCGATGCAGAAAAACTAGTCCATGCCTTTGTTACCTCTAGGCTGGATTACTGTAATTCTCTCCTATCAGGCTGCTCTAGTAAATCATTAAGGACTCTTCAGCTGGTCCAAAATGCAGCAGCTCGGGTATTGACTAGAACTAGAAGGAGGGAGCACATCTCTCCTGTTTTAGCCTCTCTTCACTGGCTCCCTATTAAATATAGAATTGAGTTTAAAATCCTCCTTGTGACATATAAAGCGCTTAATGGCCAGGCGCCATCATATCTCAACGAGCTAGTTATACCTTACTTTCCATCTAGACCGTTACGCTCACAGTCTGCAGGTCTGCTCGTTGTACCAAATGTCTCTAAAAGTAGTATTGGAGGAAGAGCTTTCAGCTACCAGGCACCTCTTCTCTGGAATCATTTACCGCTCGAGGTTCGGGGGGCAGACACACTCTCAACTTTCAAGAGTAGACTTAAAACGTTCCTCTTTGATAAAGCCTATAGTCAGGGCTGATTTGAACCAGCTCTTAGTTATGCTGCTATAGGCCTAGACTGCCGGGGCTATCTGGCACACTGAGCTAGAGTCTGTCTCTATCTCCTCTTTAGATCTTTATGTCCCATATAAGTCACTGACCAGTTTTCTGTCTCTCTGAGTGTCTCTGAGTCTTTTAGCTGCCACTGGACTAATGCTGCAAACAGGTCTGCTGCGGAACTGCCTGACCCCAGCTGCATCCACCTGGGCCCATCTTTGGCTCTTTGGCTCCTCTGGACCATTGCCGAAAAGCGTCTTGAGATGACGACTGTTGTGAATTGGCGCTATATAAATAAAATTTGATTTGATTGATTGATTAAAGCCTCCTTGCATTCAGCTTAAATACACTGGCCCACATTTATCAAGCTTGCGCAGATCTGAGCACAGGATTCATCGTACGATAGGACACACATGAGATTTATGAAAGGGTTCGTACCTGACCAATCCCAGCGTACGTATATCCGGTCGTCATTAACATGTTTACGCCCTTAAATATTTGTGGTTCAGAAGCCTTGCCCACTGAGGTCAAACATGAAAGAGGAGAAATTTTACAAAGATGCGAAACTTTTCCAAGCTGAAAGTGGATATTCTCACATCTGTGGTGGAAACTAACAAGGATTTTCTCTTTGGAAGCATCAAAACTGGTATAAAAGCAGTCCAGAAAACTCCTGTCTGGAGCAGGATTGTGGAGGCGGTGAACAGCGCCGGAATAGCGGACATTGGCCGAAGTTTGAATCAATCATTAATCAATAAGTTGCTCATGATGATGAATTAATATCTCATACATGCCTCATATTTTTTATTGTCATGACATAGGGTACGTTGCTCCTATTATTGAAAGTATTTAGTTCTAATTTGTTGCGTCTTTGTTATGTAGAGCAGACTGAAGAGTCTGACAGAGGCTGAACAAAAATAACTATTAACGTCACCAAACGGTGACTTGCTGCCCCTGAGGCACATTTTTATGGATTTCTATTGGATTTTTATCACTGATTAAATAGCAAGAGCACTTTCTAAATTTATACTTTACATGTCAGAATCCATTGATAAGGTCCTGTCTCCTCTGTACAGCACCTTTGTGGAGTCTCTCCTCGTTATTGTTCTCCGGGCATCAGGTCCTCACGTTGCACCGGCACAGCCAACGGCACTCCATTTGCCAGTGTAACATTGTGCAAAACTGAACTGGCCTATATGATGTCCCACACCCTTTCAGGAGTGTACAACAACGTCCCCGCTGCTGGGCCAAGACAGAGACACCTGCCTTTTAGGAGTCAAACGCAGCGCTCCACAGTGGCGCGTGTGCGGACAATGTTAAAATGGCGCTCCTGCTCTGTGGCAGTGTTTCTGGGCAGTTATCAAATAGGCCTATTCCCTAAGGACATAAAAAATGTATTTTATTTTATTTTATTTACGTCTTAATCTTTAGTGAAATCTGGCTGATTGTGCTTAATGACAGGTTTGAGGTTTGTTTATCAATTATTTTGAGACAGACATTTGCTGCACCGCAGATCCACACTGACTCAAACTTGCGTACACGATGTCAGACCTGTCGTGAGATTTGGTCGTAGCGTACGCTCACGTGCAGATTGATAAATGCTGATCCTCACGTCAAAATCTTCGTACGCAAGGTGTACGCAAGTTTTCTTAGGGCCACTGGCCTTGTAATGCAGTCAGCCCCCCCCCCCGATAATGGAAAAAGTCTGCTTTGTCCACTGGGAGCACCAAGACTGACATAAACTAAAAGTTCCTCTCAGGAGCTTTAATGTGTATTTGGAGCTGACTTGCCCAATCAACAAATGTAAATCAGAATAAGACTCTCAAAAGTAAACACTGATGCAAAACTGGTTTTTAAGAAGGATCAAAAAGTGGAACGAGGTGGATTCAGTGGAATAATAACATCTCAAGGCTTCACAAAGAGAGTTATGGTGAATGGCATGAAATGTAAACAGACACAGTATTTTCTAAGGATAAAACTCCAAAGTGCACCTTTAAAATAAAAAAAAAAATGACACCATGTTTACAAATCCTCTTGTTTTAATTTGTACACTTGGTTCATAAAGACATTGTTTAAAAACTCTTGAATCAATATATACTCAAATCAGTTAAAAGGTCACGGGTAAGGTTTCATATGCTGATCAGATCCTATTTCATTTTACGCTAAAGGTAAAACAGGAGGGCACTCATTATTTGAGTCCTTATTATATATGTCACATATACATCCACAGCCCTGTGCCACACTGAGCCTTTATTTTTTGCCCTTCCTCCTCCTCCCCCTCCTCCTCTCGTCCCTTGAATGGCTCTCAGTGGTGGAGGGGAGCAGCGGTGGCAGTGAGGCAGCAGCACTGGGCCTGAAGGGCACTTTTCAGCCTGGCCAGACACACTCGGGCCTTGCTGCTTGGCTGCGCAACATGGGTCACCGCTTTACATTAGGAGGACCCTGCCAAAGTCAGCCAAGCGGAGCCCTGCAACATACCTGAAAATGAATGAACAAAGTCTATGTTTCACTGCCTACTGCAAGCACAAAAAACATGTTTGACTTCAGGATCATGTGAGAGTGAAATATTAATACCGAAAAGGTGCTTCCGTAAGGTGTCTCATCAGTGGATTGATTTTTCCGCTCATAAATCTTCAATCTCATAATCTGTCCAACAAATGAGAGAGCTGGCCAATAGTTTTGATTAGTGCACCTTCTATCTTGGCACAGAGTGAGGATGAAATGCTCTCCCACAGAGCCAGTGGGGGCTCATGCTGAGGTCAGAGGGGGAGACTAAAGCAGACCTCTTGTGTCAGCCTCTGTTATTTATTTGGAGTTGAGGCTCTATTCATCACCGTGTTGCCACTCTGTACCATCTCCTCGCTTGTAAGGCAGCAGCTTCTCCTCTGCATCCCACCTTTACAGTCCAATGATCGACGTTTCATGAGAAGCACCTCAAGGTGGGGCTAAATGGTCCTATATTCCCAATCATGTCGCGTAGGCGGAGTCTGACTCTCATGCTCCTTGCTGTGTTGCTGCTACTTGCCTGCCCAGCCTGTACTGTACATGACAAAAGCAAGGGGATGGAGTGAGTGAGATAAATCCACACCTCTTATTTCTCTCAGACACTTTTTTGTGGGAAGAGAGGTTTTGGATCACTGCGCCATATTACAAGAACACGGGTCCTAGTTCTTGTTAGTAGTAAAGGAACTGGCAGCCTATCTCTTTTTACGCACAACCTACTCCTGTGAAGGCAGCAGCAGCAGTTCAGATCAAATTTCACATTCAGCTCCAACCAGCTGAGAGAGAGACAGCCAGAGAGAGCAGGAGGGCTCGTATCTCCGCTTTCCACCACCGATCCCCACTTCAGTTCGCCTGAAAAAGCTCCTACGAGGGAAAAACGGGTGCGCGGCGCAAACATTAGAGCACCACCGGGATTTTCCCCCTCCTTTTTTCTTTTTTATGTATTTTTGCAGGATTTCAGCAGCGAGAGCGCCACACAGAATAAGATAGAGAGCAGCAGAGATGGACGAGCAGCCGAGGTTGATGCACTCTCACACGGGGGTAGGCATGGCAGGGCACCCCGGCCTGCCGCAGCACATGCAGGAAGGCACCGGAGGAACGGACGGTGACGGGAGAAAACAGGACATTGGAGACATTTTACAGCAAATTATGACCATTACGGATCAAAGTCTGGACGAAGCCCAAGCCAGGTAAAGACACCCCGAGCCTCACGGAGAGGAGGGGGCGGCGGCGGCGACTATAAGATAGAAAAATAGAAAAAGAAGGGGAGAGAATTTTTTCTCCCAAATGTGTATTTTTATTTTTATTTTTTTGGACAAAGCTGAGTTGTAAGAGGACATATAAGTGTAGAGGTCCTGCATAGACATGTGCAAAAGCCGATAAAACAGTGGAAAACAACGATGGCATGCCTGCAGAGCAGTAGTTTTCTCCACACAGAAATAACCGCGCTCCGTCAAGAGAAAATAAAAGTGTATACATGTGGGGTTTATTTCTGTGACATGCCAGCGTGTTGTCCATTTAGTATCTATTCAAGCTTTTTACACTTTACATTTAGGCACTTTCATTGGACCAAAAATTATCAATTGAGTTCAATTCTCCAAATTTGAAAGATAATAACAGAGACTCACCAAAGTGTGTTCTAAAAGTGGCTCCTAGCTTGTTTACAGCGCGGTGAGCGACTGTAAGACAACTTTTCTGTTTTATGTTTACTCCTGATACATTATTCAAGACTTCATCCATCTTGTGGTATCCACTTTAAATTCACCCAAGCTGCAAATCAGAGTCAAATGTCGCGCCTGTGATTTTATTTTTGTAAAGTTTGTGAATTATTTGAGTCATTGGATAAAGAATAAGACTGTGTAATCCTAGTAGGTCATCAAAGTAAAGCTATGCGTCCAGGGAACAATAAATCTGTTGCACATCACAGGTGTTAGCGGGGATTGTAATTCAGGGCTATTTGTAAACCTATTGCAGAATTGATAAAGAACAAATAAAGACAGAAATGTAGGCTCATAGTTAAAAAAATTAGACAGGGTTTAATATTTTTGAGGTACTTTTATTTTTGTTTTTAATTTCCCAATATGATCAGTGAAGTCCTACTTAATCTAATCTAATAAAATCTGATCTTTCTGTTGCAGGAAACACGCTCTGAACTGTCACAGAATGAAGCCAGCTCTCTTCAATGTCTTGTGTGAAATCAAAGAAAAAACAGGTATGTCCATTTTCATTCTGCACTCAATTGACTCAGCCCAAACACCACACAGTTTAAATCCTCATCAAGTCTGCGAGACACACACTCTTAACCAGGTTAAGTGAACACAGCACTGCACAGTGTATTTTTCACTTCTGCTTCTTGTTCCAAAAAAAAAAAAAAAAAATCCACACACACACAAAGAGCCTCTGTTTGGACTATTTTATCATCAAAGGCTAATTTGCTATTCACACGCTAAAGTCACATTGGAGAACCTGATGTTGGAGATTCAGTCACAACACAATTCAGCATATAAATTTCACTGACATGTAAGACATGTGTTTCCTCCTGGAGCGTTTTAACTCTTTCACAAAAGGAACTGTGGACAATTACCTTGAGCACTCCTTATCAATTATCGTGTCAAAATATGAATGAGCTTTTTTGATGCTATTGTGGAATAATAGAGAGTTTGGAGCTAAAATTGTCACAAGCATGTTGACGTCTCCCCTTGTGAGTTAACTGTCAAGCGTCGTGAATACGTCTCTTTCTATTCTGTATTGTGTCTCTCTATTAAAGCGGTTGTGAGAAAGCATGTCAGCAGAATAATTGCTAGGAGAGAAAATAACGTAACACAGGAGGCGTAAGTCATGTTTCCAAATCATTTTCCCTGTGACATCTCTGAAATTGGCACAGATAGAATTCAGTGCTCTTCAGACTGATAGCGTGCATCTCATCTTTTTTTTTTATCTCCCTGACTTTAGACTGATGTGCTTCTTCAGGACTCCTCCAAACATACACAGTAAAGATATTGAGTTGCCAAAGCAGCAGTGAGAGGCAGCGCTTCACACTCATTAATGCATGAATTTAAATGGAAGGATGGAGGACGAAGGAGATTTGGTTTTCATTGTCCTCAAAGTTGCACTTGCTCATACTTGACCTTTGTGGCAGTGTCGACTGGAGTGTGTTGATGTTGTTTCTCGTGTGTGATCCCACCCTCGCCCGCTGCTTTCATAGATGTTTTCATTGAAGTTCACCTTGCTGCCTTCCCAGCAGCCCCGGCAGTTTATCTTGAATCGGCCGCAGACTCAGGAGGGAGCAGGGGGCCTTTTGAAGCCTGCTGGCTCCCTCTGCTTTTTTTGTTGTCTTGGTAGGTTTTTTTGGAGGCGGGGGGTGGTGGTGGTGGTGGTGACACAGTTATGCATAGTGTTTTACTCCCTGGCGCTTCTCGGAGTTCATCCAAAGTTCGGCTCTGCTGAGAGTACAAAGTAACTTGGACCTCTTCCTGTCTGCACACCCATTCTTCTCTCTTTCAGCTGGCAACCTATAAATACAAGGTGCTGCTCAGCGAGGTTTACACAGGAGATCTGCTGCTTGTCTTGTTTGGAGAAGGTTTAGTTTCCCCGTTAAGCTGTGGTTGTCAGTAAAAACACCTCAATTTAGCACCGATCAAAATGTCGTCTAATTTCTTAAGAGGCAGTTTATTCAGACCAACAACACAGACATTTTAGAGTGCAGTTTGTGTATTTTCCACTTGTTGCCATGCTTGATAAAAAATCATCTTCAGTGTTCCTGCAGATCCTTAAAAGAGTTTTAAAAGTTTGTAAATAGTTTTTGAAAATGTGAGTGAATTAAAATCTCAAATTTATTATATTTGCCTGTGAGAGTTCAAAAATCTCGAAGGGGCTAAATAGTGTATAAAATCTACACTCACTTTACAATGTGGATGACATTTGAAAATCTTTCTGGTGGATTTGCTTGTTCTCCTGACTTGCTCTGCTGTCTGAAAACTGTATTAGTTTTTCCTCTTTTTGGATCCTAAAACTATCTTAAATAGTCTTAGATTAATTTTAAAAAGGGTGTAGCAACCCTGATTCTAGCTGAGGATAGAAATGCTCCCACCTCCATCTCAACACTTTCACAGCTCTGTCAGTTCAAGTGCAAATAAACATGAAGTGTCAGAAAGTTTTGAAAGAAGATTTTGTTTCAAAGACTGTCCAAAAACCTAATTTTACTCACTCAAAAACAAAATGTCAGAATTCAAATATTTACTCTTATTTCATAAAATCCACATATCAAACATTTAAAAATTGGCTTTTCAAGGAATTACTCATGTTTAAAAAAAAAATCTCTGCTGATGAAGTGTTTTGATATGTTCTGCCACTGTTGATACTCTCGTTGTATAACTCTCTCGGTATTGCTTGGCTTATTATACTTTCTGTACTGAATTAAAACCAGTAGAAAGAAAGCTACAATATCTAGAAATATGCTACATGATTGGTTCTTTCCTGCAGATTGTTTACTAGAAAATTTCACAATGCTCTGAAAATGGCAGAGTGGAAATATTGGTATATTTTCTTTTACTTTTTAAAGTGTGTTTTAGTTACTTGGTTATTTTTGGTTGCGTTCTTTTAAAAAATAGTTGACGTCAGTGCAAAGCTGAATAATTTGCTCTTTTAGATAGATAGAAATATATATACCTTATTGATCCCAAACTAGGAAATTCTCATGTTACAGCAGCAAAAAAATGCAAAATAAAATTAAACATAAGAAGAAGTATGTACAATGCAGACTAAAATTACTAACAAAAGTCGGTGTATCCAGTAGTTAGAAACTAACTGGTGAAGACACACATGTGTCAGGACAGAAATGAAAGAGAACAAGATAGAAAAAGTATAAAACATGGGAGCTGCTGTAACAGGCTGCCACCTCGCACGGCGCCACACTCAGAATCTTTGATTTTCAGTGTTGCATTGTATGTTGTTCTAACATCGGTGTTGTGTTAGCGACAAAGTCAGTGTTTTAAAATATATGCCCATGTTATAATAGAGCTTAGACCAAAGTTTGAACATTAAAGTAGAACTGATACGGCTTTATTTAAATAGTTTACAACTTATTACTGCTTTGAACATCCTGCTGGATACAAGCTTCAGTTTTTCTTGACATTTAGTTGAATTATTTCAGTATTTTAAAAATGGAACTGCTGTTCCTGCGCTCTCTTTTTGTAGTAGTCACCGTATGTTCCATTTCCACCTCTAAATATTTCAGACTGAGTGTAGGCAGAGTGTCCGACTCAAACAGCTTCAGCTCCTTGGAAAGCTGCAGTGGAGCTGCTGTAACTTTGTCCCCTCTGAATGCACAGTCAGTGTGTGTGTGTGTGTGTGTGTGTGTGTGTGTGTGTGTGTGTGTGTGTGTGTGTGTGTGTGTGTGTGTGTGCGTGCGTGAGTGCGTGCGTGCGTGCGTGCGTGCGTGCGTGTGCACTGAGCTGCTGTTTGCTTGTGTGTATATTTTCCATCCCCGGCTGTCCCCGCGGAGGCTGACAGCACCTGCAGGACACAATGCCACTGTTGATCTAGGGCCTGAACTCCTGACCCACTCTGTGTATTTTTACTGGGATGAAGTGAGGGATGGCCAACAGGAATAATGTGCAGTATAAACAATCACAACGGTGCAGCGACACCCGGGAGGAAAGGATGAGGAAGGAACATTCATTTTAAACTTTTTTTTTCCTCTTATTTTGAAAGACATGGGCTTCGTCTTTTCCCTGTTTCATTCCAAGCATATTTGGGTTGTCTTTTTTTTACTTCAAAGGAAATGCCGCTTTTTAGACCCTGTGCATGAGTCTGTCTGTGTGTGTTTGTGTGTATGTGTGTTACAGTTCATTCCTGAGGTGAGTTGAAGCATTAGATTTAGAAAGCATATTAATTATTTTATTATATGTGTCCAAAATGTGGAACAAAGCCAAAAACAGCCAGTTTTTGTCTGTTTAAGCGTTCGTCCTAGCAACGGCAGGGTGCTCAAAGGTTCTTGCAGAGACTTTCCAAAAATAAATCCAAACAATCTGACTCCTCTCTCATTGGCCCATGAAACTTTATCCTTGCACTAACTGAGTTAAAGGAGTGTAAAGATAGAGATAGTACAAATATGAAACAACTTCATCCAAGTTTTAGCCCTCTGTTTGCAATCTGTGCAAAACTCCCCATATTTTAAAGGTGGACTGTTTCTTCTCGGTCTTCGGCGTCAGGTTTTTTTTTTATGATTGATGAAAAGACCTCTTTAGATAAGCAAATGCTTGACAAACTGATTTAGAAAATGAGCTGCCTCGACCTCTGTAAACACTTCACCTACATCATAAATCTCCAGCAGTGTCAAACAAAACCACTCCTTGACTGAGCTGCTCACTAAATGTGCTGCTCTGACTTGCTGTTTAATTTTTTTCCTTTCAACCTCAACAAAAGGCCAGCTTTCTTGTGGCCCGTGTTTGTGTAGTGTTGGGTTTCAAGCCTTGGGGATCCTCCATTTATAAAAATGACTAGCCGAGTGATGTAATGTTATTTTTTGAAGGGTGAAAATAGGGTGTTTTACAGAGGGCAGCCGAGGAGTGTTTGACAGGATGAAATGAGCCAGAGGTCTGATTATGGAAGGTGCATGGAAGCAGCTCACACTACATTGACTTGTCAGCCCATTCAGAGTCTTGGCATCTGCCTATTTGTATTACAGAGGCTGAAGTCGGATCAGCTCTCATGTCAGTCTGAACACTTGAAGCAGCATTCATGGTGATCAGGAACAATTTCAAAAATACCACAAAACAATTACAAGTTTAATTCATGAATCTTTTTACAGAAAGAGATCTGCCAGTAAATTTAAAAAGCTGTGAATTGGAGTCATTCATCATTTGTTTTTAGACATTTGTAGAAGTAGGCTTGAAATTGAAACTCACTTTAACCTTCAAAGCTTCAGTGGAAACTCACTTTCTTTATACTGAAGCCTAATGTAGCTTCATAAATTAATTGATAAACTGTCCAAACTTTTTTATTGTCACCGTACTCTGATGTCAAATTAAGATCAGCTGCAAATACTTGCGTATTAGAAATACAGTGGTTATTTTCCTCTAAAAATGAATTTTCATAGAAAAAATATGACTTGCTATTTGAACTAAAAAGAAAAATCTGTGTCCTCCTGGCTGCTTGAAATTTTGAAGTTAAGTGAAGTTCAAATTTATTTTATATTCAGACAAACATCCCCTGTCAGATTGACTCACTTTGACTTAACTTGCACAATTGAGCTATTTTGTCAACACAGCATTTCCATTCGTTCATGGCCAAACTGGGATGTGAACCAGAAACCTTACAGTCATAAGGCGACAGCAGCATTCACCGTTTTTATTTACTCTGTATAAAAACGTCCCAAATTTATTATGAGATACATCCTTTCGATTTAAACTCTTAATTTAATACAGGGAAATTTGACATCAATTGAGATGGTTAAGCACCAAATATTTTGGCAACACTTCCGCCAACTTTAAGTTTTAGAATGTAAGTGACGATGATGAATTGATTTTACGGTAAAATCTTTTTTTTTAAACTCCTTATAAAACCTTACTGTAGATCACCAGCTTCATTTATAGGCTACTTGCTGTTGCAGTAAAACTTACAGATAACACCTGTGACTGTGGCAGCAGAGACGCTGTGTCGGAGGGAAATTTAATTCGGTCCCAGGACTGACAGGGGGCCTGGAAAATAAATAGATTTGTCGTGAAGAGATGGGATCCACCACTTGATGTTTTTTCATGGTGCCCAAAATTCCTGTAGGTGATTTTGAATGACGGTCAAAAATAATAAGCAAGTTATTTAATTTTTTTTTTATTTTTTTTTTGCGGGGATAGCTCACAAATGAAGGTATTTATACTCATGTTGGAAGAAATCTTTTTTACATCCACAATGAATAAAACACAGCATGCTTATGGAATTATGGCTCATTATCTGCCATTAAAAAGTAAGATTCAGCTACAGCCTGATAAACTGATCGAGTAATTACACATCAAGAATACTCACAATGGATTGTATCACATTTATCACTTTTGATTTTGGAGTATTTAATGATACATTTTGAATGGTTTTGTCTTTAGTTCTCAGATTTAGAGTCAAAAAGCCAAAGACGATTTTTTTAAATTTTCTGAAAGAATAGTAGTGTTCAGTAGCAGTCCTGATACGATGTTAACACCAATCAGATTTTCCGGTAAAATCCTCAGTAATGCTTTGTGTACATGTGAGGTGACGTTCAGGTCTACTGTATTGGCGAATGTCATGTGTCACTCTGCTGTTCCTCTCTTGCTGTCTCTGGTCGGCCTCAGAGAAGACTCTGATTTGTGCAGCAGCTTTTGTTTCCCTCCTATCCTTCGTCCTCCATGCTGATACAGCAGCATTCAGGGGGAGAGAGAAATGCCAAGCTCGCCACCACAGCTGTTTCCCCAATCTCTCTGCTTAATCATCCACTGGAGAGAGAGAGAGAGGGATGGAGAGAAAGAGAGAGAGGATAAATTCTGCTCTGAGACTCGAAACAACTGGGGGGAAAAATGGTGTTTTGATTAAGCGGCATCAGACGTGCCGAGTTTTTCCTGTGTTTGATGCAGAAACATGATTACAGAATCATCTGTGAGTGACGGCGTTGTAAATGGTCTGTTAATACCATTACAGTATAGAACAATGTGCTTACATTATACATTATGCAAATTGTCAGTGGCCTAATTGATACATGTTAATCATATTAAAGAGCTTAATTATAAGAATCTTACTGTGCTGCCATTTGTTAATTAACACTGACATCACACGAAGGAGGAAGTGATCTATTTTTATCAAGAAGTTTCTCTCCCATGGTAAAGTCTCATCCCTGCAAAAAAAGAAGCAGGATTATCTGTTTTTTGCGTTTCGAGCTGATGTGTTTTTTTCTGAATTTCTTGAACTGATGCATGCTTTTTTTCCTTCTCTCTGAAGCCCACTGGATGCATTTTGTAGTAAAATTACATTAAGCTCCGAGCAGCCCTGCAAGTGTGGAGATTACAGACTGAAGGCGAGATCCAAGCTGACTTGTTAAAGAGCGTAAGGCTCCATCTTCTACCTGAATGTCGACTCCTGCGCCCCACGCTCTGCCTAAATATCACTGTTCTGCCATTTACCTCCTTCACGGCTCTCTTTGCAATCTCACTCCCTGCAGGTTTGGTCTGCCTTTTTTTGCACCGGCCTCCTTAATATGTTACGAATTTAATCAAGTCTGCAAATTTGTTATGCACGTTAAATTGAACATGCAATGGCACAGTTGAATGTGGTTGCCATACCAACCCCCCAGGAGTTCATTTTCCATAATGTAGTGTTTGGAATCTCATTTCCTCCTCACTTTCCCCCGCTGCTACTTGCAGACGCCACCTCCAGGCTCAACTGTATGTTCACTATGAAAGAAGCTTGGCTGCCATGGCTTTCAAACACTGGAGGGAGGGAGAAAGAAAGGAGAGAGGGAGAGAGAGAGAGGCCTCTCTCCACGTAGTGGAAATGACACAAATTAATATACACTACTTAAACCAGACCAAGATTAATGGTTCCCTTTCGCTGCAGCTTAGTCCCACTGTCAGTTGCCGGGTGCTCGTTGGACAAAATCAACACTAATCAACATTTATTCCACTTTTGCCCTGGGCTCTCAGGAGTCTGGCAGGACTGCGTGCCCCCCCTCTCCCTTCCCTCCCAGCAATCCACCCCTCCCTTCGTCCGTCTCGCTACGCTTTTCACCTCTCATCCAGCTCCTCCATACATCACCCTCCTCACACCGCGCAGCTCCTCTGAGAAGAGTGCGCCCCCTCCTATCAGGCCACATTAGAGTCATGATAGATTTTCTCTTTTCATTTGCATCTGATATTTAACACAGCAAAGCAGTTGCTCTGTCACTTTACAGTACAAGTGTGAGTGTGTGAGAATGTGTGTGTGTATGTATACATTTGTGTCTGCAGGCTTTTGTTTGTGTATTTTCAGAGCAGTCCTTTTATTCAGTAGTCCTATCTGCACTCCGTCTCCCCTGCATTAGGAGAAACAGGATATGCATGTATGTCATGTTGTATATTCATGCAATGCTTCATTTTTTGAGAGCTTGCGTTTAAAAATACCTACAGCTGCTGTAGTCTGACCGCTGCTCTGAGACAAAGTTATCAGGAGTCTTCTTCTGCAGAGTGAAATTCTCAGTCACACCAATAACATGAATATTTCTGTGACCCACGATGCAGATATCCACAGATCCACTGACTCTTTCTGCCTCACAAAGCAACATTAAGTGTCCTGTGAAGGCTCATAATTGGCCAAGCTAATGCAGGTCCCAATTCCACTGCCGCTACTCATCTCATTGTCATTCCACCAGCTCAATAAAAACATGCTAAGAGGGACGCTTATTGAGAAATATGCCTGCAATTAAAGCCTGTGTATATCTGTAGCTTTTAATGCACAGTAAATGAAGATCACACAGTTGTGCAGAAAGTAAGGACTGCCTCACTGAGTCAAATCTGCTACCGTTACTGTTTAAAAAATACTGGGAGTGTCCGACCGATCATGAGCAGGAAATGAAGTCAATAACACCACACTTGAGTATTGCAGTATTACTTTTTGGTACTGTAGGGGTTTTAATCAGTGTAATGTAAAATTAAAAAAATGCTTTTCAGTGGTGCATGCATGTGAAGTTGCAATTGTGCTGTGCAGAATATTGGAGGGACATGAATACTTACAAATGCAGTATCCACTGTTCAGAATACCTCAGATAAGGTGAGCTAAAATCTCAGATATAATGCAAACAGTGAGTTTGTTGATACTGTGACAGTTTCCTTAAAATCATTTTAGAGAGAAATCACACAAAGTTGGCCATTGTAGTTTTGCAATACATGCACCTCTGAATCACAATATGTGTTGAATTGTTCGACGATATGTTATGGATATTTATGGTGTCTATCTTAACTTGGGCTGTCATGGAATCACATTTTTACATCATGACTCTTGTGGATGATTGTCGCCAAAAAAATGAAGGTGATGTTATAATCACTGTAAGGGGAACTTAAAAAGCCAGATGAAGTAGATGTAAGATAAGGCTGGAGCAACACAAGACGTTATAAAAACTGCACTTACAAATGCAACTAATGTACTTGTGTCATCATCTCTCTGTAATGATGCCCAAACTAATGTTTTGTCCCATTTCCAGTCCTGTGACAGAGACTTCCCATCAAATGAAAGCTCACCATCTCCTCCCAGTTTCATATTACCGACCAACAGTGTCTTTTTTTACAAACCTAAAAAACAAACAAAAAAGAAAAAAGAACTTTTGTCTGGGTGCAGATGAAGTATTTTATCTGTCAACTCCGACACTGCAGGAAAGGCTAGTGTAAGTAACCTAGTTCATGTTGACTCTGGGAAAAGATGTTACCCTTTTAAGCAGTTTTTATATAATAATGTTTATTATTTAGCTTTTTATAATGCTTATTTCAACTTTTTTTTTACTGTCTCGCATTTATGGTGCTTTATTCCCTGTAACTTCAAAACATGCTTTTATTTTGAAAAAAACTTCAATGATCCTTCTAACATCAGTTCTAAAGTGCCTGACCATCCTGGGAAGGGTTGCTACAGCTAGCTTGTTAGCTGGTTACACCGCTGCTGCTGCTGCTTCTTCTTTTTCATTTTCATCCTCCCCTTGTTTAAAGGCAGGTAGTGAAGACACACAACTATTAACTAATTAGTTAATTAGTTAATATGCTTGATATACCGTTTATTTTAAGAGCAGCCGTAGTTATTGTCAATACCAGCACATTGCATTAGCCCTGAATCAGATCCAGTTTCCTATTATATCCCCATCTCTTGTGAGGTAATAATACTTAGTAGACAACAATAACTGCCTTTGGCTCAAAAATGATAATTTTTCTTCATTTTCTTTCTTTCTTTGATTGAAACATGTTCCTTCCAATTTCATCCATCATCGTAATCTGTCACCAAAATTTTTATTTTTAGAAACAGTTTTCTTAAAAATTTTCTGATAATGATTCATCTGACAGGATGCTGTTCTGACAAGACTGTCACTGTGTTTTTTAAGTTTTGAGGACTGTTCAGATGAGGTGCAAATAATGAGTTTAAAATCCAAAACAAGTCATTTAAAGTCAGTATACAGAGTATTTAAATGCCAACGGTCAGGCCTTGTTACAATTCATATAATGATAATTATATAAAAGGAACAAGATTATTTAAAGCTGTAAAAGTATTTAATCAAATCTAAAACCAACCAGCCCACTGCTGTTCACTTTGCTAACATGCAGTTTAACTTTCACACCTAGCCAGTAGAGGTAAAAGGAGGAAGGTTATCATCTACTCCACACCACTCTGTCTTTGATATGCACCAGTTTACAGTTGCAGAAGTCCACTGAAATGATGCCATTAATTCAACAATCTCAATTCCACATGAATCCATTTGAATGTTTGTGTCCCTCATTTTCACAGTGAATTAACCGTTTACTTTTGCTAATCATCAGTTATAACTTGCATACTTCCAGATTTTCTTCATCTAGCTATTGTCTGACCCACTTGTTACTATTTTGGGAGCTAGATGTGCTGGATCAATTCCCAGCATGGATTGGGCAGAAGCCAGGGAAACACCCGAACTGGTGAGCAGTCTGTCACATCAGCTCAGATTTTATTCCTGTCCTGTAATCTGAGGTGGGATCCCTTCTTGGATATAGAGTTTGCATGTTTGCTTTGTTCCTCTCTGAAGATCAAAATGTGCAAACAACTGATGCCTCTTTCTCCTGCTTTGCCAAAATATTCAGCGCTATGTTGTCCATCTCGTAGCTTTGCATGGCCAGAGGCGTTGTCACAGCACCAACTGGCCTCGCTGAAGTGACACCCGGTGCTTTGTCAGCTTTGTGTCTCAGGTGCCAACCTGCGTGTCCCAAAATAAACTGTCATGCAATGTGGCAGCACAGAAAAATGTAGGAGCATGTTGTGGGGCCATGTGCCCCCCTCTGAAAGGAAACAAATGTTCCATAGCAGAAATGCATTGTGGTTTTGGATGCCTTCCCAGCTCCGACACCAGCATCATGGTGGGGAACTTAAAGCACAAAGTGTGATTGTCTGCAGTAGCGGCAGGGGTCACAGCAAGTGGGATCACCAAACTTAGAGTTTCTTTGCATTGGTGGAGCCTTTTATTCATTTTGTAGTGATTTTTATTCACTCTGGACCTGTGTGATTTTGACAGCTCTTTGTTATTTGCAGACATCCTCCTCCAGAAATAGCTTATGTTTACTGTAGTTAGCTCCTCTTCCTGTTTTATAAATGGTCTGTCATTTTCGCTCTGCGGTGCAACATTACACCAGCAGAGTAAACGGAGGATGTGCTCTTGGTTGAAGTCACTTTCAGGCTGATGTCAGGAAGTTGGAAAGGATGAGCATGTGGAAAGTCACACGCAGAGACTCCTTACCGACCTCCAAGCTGTAACCACTGGCCGTATATATATCTGCCCTGCTGGCTTTGGCACGGGGCGTGTGATTCCTGTTAGATCTCAGCATGGCCTATGTGCTCTATAGCTGCCATGACATTTTTATGACTAGTGGACTGAGGTAAAGGTGGGAGGCACAAAGGCTTGAAATGGAAGTTCAGTCCTCACCTCCAGAAGCTAATGAGGGACCAGGACCTAATCATGCAGACAAAGGGAAGGATTCTGTAGCCGGACAGCGATAGAGGTCATAAAGATGTTGCACTAAACGGGGACTGCTCATGACTGCGCTGGGATTTGACCTGTTACAACTGATTTAAATCAATTATTCGGGGAGAGGCTGCTTCATCCCAGCAGGAGTGTGACAATTTTAAGTTCAGTCCTCCTACTAACTAACAACATTGTCATTTCACTAAAAAAGGTTTTGACTGTCCAGGTGGTAAGATGATAAAAGTACTGGTAAAACTGATGTAGTTTACTTATATTTCACCAATAACTAGTGTCAGATTTGTCAGTAATATTTCATAAGTCAGTGCAAAATCCGCCATTTAATAGCTGGGAGTGAAAATCAAGATCTTAGATTAGGACTAATAGATTTGATTATTGATAATCAGAATGATTATCATCAGCTTTATTTCTCTAATCCAGCTGGCCGTCCCGCAGTGGTTACTGGCTGATAAATACGCCATGCTCCTGTGTCTCTTGTAAAGAGATGGTGTTGATAAGTTAATATTCTGACAACAGAGATGAGATAAAGAGGTTTTAGGAGTTTGGAGGATAGCGTAACCTTGATAAAGCGCTCGTCTCAGTGACATTGATTTTCACCATCCATCTTCATCTCATATGAAGTATGCAAATGGTGGCATCGGCAGGGAGTGGAGTACAGTGCTGTTAAATGGGCCATTTCAAATGTTCTTTGTACTATGCTGACTTCCAAAAAACTCCTTGTCAGCCAGCTCGGCACACGGAGCTGGAGCCGTTTTGGAGACACTTCTCCTCTTTTTATTCCCCATCTTCTTCCATCTCTCCCACTTCTAACCACCTTCTCCCCTCCCTTTTTTCTTGCCATCCTCTCTCCTTGCATGCCATACAAATTAGGTATACACTGACAGTGTCAGAACGGCTTCTCATGAAATATTAACAGCGTGTAGAGGATTTTACATCGCTACATTTCTCTTCATTTTTAACTATGTCAGCACAGGCTGTGGAACATTTATTGGTGTGAGTTCAGGAAGGCTATTACCCTGCCTTTTTTTCATGTTAAAGATGATATCCATCAAGCCTTTTTACACATGCACGTGGTCTGTCTCACCTCAAATATCCTTCCTTTGAAAATAAAAGCACAACAATTCACCCTGGATACAAGATCCTGGATGTAATGAGGTGTTTATTGCCCCATGAAGCTTCTAATTATCTCTTTATGAGTAAGATAAGACCAAATACTTTACATTAAACAACATATGGATGCTGTTAAAATCCCTGCATGGTAGGTAAAACCTGAGCTGACAGTGATAAACCATGAGTCCAATTAGAAAGTGTGGATCTGAGAAGCGCCATTTCTCCTCATTTCTCTCTGAAGGTGGTTTATTTTCCCTTTTCTTCTTTTTTTTTTAATCTCATTGATTCATCACTGGTCTCCAAACACATTTAGCCTGGGTGGGTGGGGATGGCCTCTCTCCCTCTCTGCCTTTTTGTTGGATAGCCCCTGTAAAGATGGAGCTGTCAATCATCTGCAGGCTCTCCTGGGTCCTGAGAGGCAGCATCAGCTCTCAGAGAGGGACAGGAACAATGAGTTTTGTTGTCACACATGTGCATTTCTATGGAGCAGTCTGTGGACAGTGTGTCGCCCTCTAATTAAATTCATGCATTTCTTGTGAAAGGAGCTAAGGGGATGCACGCAGATGGTTGTCCACACAATTGAATTGATTCAATTCTGATTGAATAAATAACATTTAGATCTTGTGATTTTTACTAAAATGACTTCATTCAAAGGAAAAATTAAAGTTATTAAATTTCAGACACATTTTACCCTTTTTTTTGTTATGATACCATCTTGCACCAAGTAAAGTAACCCCTGCAAACTGAAAATAATCTGAAAAGTCTGACAGTCACTTTGTCTGGTAATAAACTGGAATGATGTGTCACAATGGGGCAGATTCTGGGTGTTAGATACTATAAAATACTATTTTATAACATAGTATCGTGATACTGAGTCTGGTGATACATCTTATTGTCTCTTACACCAAGTATTGATTTTTTCAAATTAATCGCTGACATGAACTCTAGCCTATGGAAATGGAAAAATAAAATCAACTGTTTGTCTGATGAGGTTGTCAGAGGTGACATCATAGAGCAGAAGAAAGTTAGTACAACAGATATAGCAGCACCTGGGAAAAGACATTAGGAATGCAAGCAAGGCACACATGAGATGGACCTGACACATGAGGTTTGCAAGAAGTGCTACATGAATATAAACATTGCATCAAGAAGACAAACAAGGGAAAAACAAATGCTAAATCACCAAAGTAGTTAAAAAAATTGTATAAATTGCAATATACGGTATTGCAATACGAACTGTATTGCAAAATGTTTAAAATCGCAATAAAATCGAATCGTGGCCTAAGTATCATGTAGTATTGTATCGTGGGGACACTAGTGATTCCCACTCCTCTCTCTCTCTCTCTCTCTCTCTCTCTCTCTCTCTCTCTATGTATATATATATATATATATATATATATATATATATATATATATATATATATATATATACATATATATATATATAGATAGGTACAGTATACACATTGTTCTTATTTCACAAAATGATTACAGAATAGACATTTAACACCTGACTGGAACTTTAAAACTTGATTTTTCTGTTATTTAAGATGATGTTAATGTTGCTTTACAACAGCTACTCAGACAAGATAGCCTGCAGTCTCTTCAGACATTTGTACATTTTTTGAGCCCATTGAGCCCATCTATTGGCCAATGTGTAATATTTCAAAATGCCTTTAATGGCCATTTTATGTTAGGCAGCATATGTAAAAAAAAAAAAACCCTCTGCTTCAATTTGTGGTCTTACCCCGATTCTTATGGTACCCTTGTTACCTCACTGTGAAGCACAGGAAAATGGATCTGCTGAAATCTAATATTAGTCAGTCTAGCCTCATCACTGACAGTTGAGTGCATCAGTCCCGGGTTTGATTGGTTAATGAAGTGTTGGATTGAATCAAACTGGTGGTTGATTGGTAATTCCTGCCAAGAGGCTAGTTTTTTCACTGGCCTTATAACCCTGCATCTCTTTGCAAGCATTTTTGCACAAATATAAACTTTGAGCAGTGGCGGCCGGTATAGTTGTGCATTAGCGTTAGGGGCGCTACAGGCCAGCCAAGCTTTCTGCTGTCTCACACATGCTCAGATCAAAGTTCCACATTAAAAAGTTAGCTTATCCTAGCCACATAAAAAAAAATCTTTAAGGGGCACCAGGGACCAGTGCCCAAGAATCCCTTATTTGAATGACGTAAGCACGTTCATAACCAGATTGGTCACAAACGGACACATAGCTACAATGTGCGTCTGACATAGCTAGCTGCTCTACTCAGAGCCGGTCCGCCCCTCACTCTGCACTTGGCTGCTAATGACAGAGGACGTGGGAATGACTACCGCAAACCCCCTACCGAGTCTTTTACAGGAGAACACTGCGCTGTCCATCAAGTAGGTCCTGTTTGGGAGGAGAACTCTGCAGGACTAACTAAAGCTGGAAGAGCTCGGTCCGGATCGACCAGACGTCGCCGCTCAGCAAGTGACCACCGAGAAGAGCAGACAATATACGCGGACATTTTCAAGAGCATGGTATAGGCGCAAAAGCATGGCTAACTGTAAGTTTGAAGAGTAAGGCCCTTTTTTGTTTCCCGTGTAAATTGATGGTGACAAAAAGAAATCATAAAGCTGGCAAAATATAATTTCGGCTTCTGAGACAGTCAATCAGCAAAATCTGTATGTAGAAAAGTAGAGAATATAAAGATTAAAACCTAATATAAACCATGCATGTATTATAGTGAGACATAAAAGCCAGACTAAAAAGAAAGCTAACAGACAATGTTCATGCCACAATGTTGGAAATCAATAATTTTTAAGGCAGGATGAAAACATCCTGGAAAAGTCCTGGAAAATGATTTCTATAAAAGAGTGGGAACCCTGTATTTGTTCACCCAGTTTCAATTCAGTTCAACTGAAATATCAAATATAATAAAACTGTTATGTGTTTAAAGCAAATGTTTGTGTTGTTTTCCATGGCTGATCACTTTGATATGCAGCCTGATTTGTTATAAATGTGGGTCTGCTCTGCACTATTTTTCTGCTGTTGTCTCTGTGTGCTCCTTTGCTGTCGCCTAACCTGTTGAGATGCAGGTGGATGTACATGAGTAAGAGTATGCTGCTGTCAGTTTCTATATCATAGGATTACATTGAATGTAGATAGGCTGTGTGTTGGCTATAATGCCCTATTAATAAGTTGAAATACAGTATCCCCACCCCATCTGTCTTTGTAGGTCAACATCGTATGTTTCCTTAATTATTTTCTTAGAAAGCACCAGAATGCTTCATTTACCTTTTGAAAACGGGGGTATCCTCCTCCTCCGGGGAGGATACCCCCGGACCCCCATACAGGGCTCTGGTTTCAAAAACTTCAGGCCCACCTACTATTTTTCTCACCAGCCGCCACTGATTGATATATTGAATGTCTTGAGCAAACGGTTGCAATTTTGAGCCCCTAATACTCCAAAGTACAGAAAAGAGACCAGGAACATGGCAGGCTTTAAAAAGCATGAACTGAATAACCAATAGAATAAGTTTTATTGGGTTATAAATTACCAGACAAATTTGGATATTTTATTGTAATTCCATAAAAACTAAAACAAAAAAACTTCACAATGCCCTCAAGCGAACCTGCTTTTTGATTTTCATAATCACCCTTCAATTTAGGGGGCATATTATGTACTGCAGAGCCTCTGGCAGATGTCTAATGTAATTCAGACCAGCTCATGTCCATTGTGCAGAGCCATTTTTTTTTACTGAAGATCTTTGCAACTGTGAACTATTTTTCTTCCACTTCTTTGTTGCTGGCTGAATATGCTCTCTATCATTTACAATCACAGGCTGTTGTTCTACATGTTAGATTCCTAAAAAGCCATGCCATACTTAAAACACTGGGGATTAGGCTGATATCAGTCATCTTAAGTCTTCTGTAAAACAAAGTGAATCAACTTCCCTGTACTTGGGAGGATCCAGGTAAAATGATCCCCTCTGTGATTTCTTTGTTTCTGTAAAATATTAAATGGAGGAAAATGAGTTGATGAGGTGTATCCTCCTCTCTTATCACATGTAGCCGGGGCTTGCTCTCCTCTTGACTAATGATGATGTGTGGCACAGGTAGCTGTCACCATGGCATGATTAATTAAAAGGGAAACTGGGCCAATTTGTCATATTTTTCTAACTGTGGTCATAGAGCGAGGAGAGTTGCACTGATGATGCCTCCTCTCCCTCTGTGATACCTCCATATGCATACCACGGTGGGCTCTGATGCTGTTTGTAAGACGTCTCATCAGCTAGGGGGAGTTTTTATCTGAGACTGTCTCTACACAGACCTGATAACAATTAGAGTCTGCGTCTGCTTTGGTATGGGGTTCAGAAATATGAGTGTGCTGAGCGAGGCTGACATAATGAACAGAACAAGCTCAGGGGAGAGAGCTGAGTTTGAAGTCTTGGAAGCAGAGAGCCTTTTTACAACTAGCATCCAGAGAAATCTGCACTCGACTTTGCGTGTTTTGTAGATCCATCCATGCAACAGTGATTAGCATTGTTGGTAAGCCAGTGGCTCACAGCGTTGCTCTCGGTGCTCGATGGCTGAGGCTTCTCAGCTGCCAGCTGTGGGTCTCACTGGCGGCCCAGTGAACAGAGCAGAAGTCTTGTTTGTGTTGGACCGCAGTGTTGCTCCCAGCGTGCGGCCTGGCCCTTGTCAGCGGCCCTGTCATTTCTGTCTCAGGCTTGTCCCGACAGCCAACCCAGGCTCCCACGTCACAAAGGCGGGCTCGTCCTGGGAGAGACAGGTGTCAAAGTATGAGCCACCCCTCCTCCTCGTCATGCTTCGTCCAGGCAGATGCCGGCTGCAACCCAGCCACGTAGTTGAAGCTGAGCAACTTGGAAAGAAGGGTCATCTCTGCCACCCATTCACAGCCGCCATATCGCAGGAGACCGGAGCTCCATCGGTGTGTGAGAGCGCTCATGTCAGATATGGAGCATCCACCAGAGGAGACTGTCCCAGTCCAAGAGCATCACAGACTGGGGGCTGCATCCTGACTGACTGACTGACACACTGACTGACAGCTTTATTGTGTCCTTTGAGGAACTGGGATGAAAGGCTCTCATGAAGAGGCCGCACAAACACATACCATACTTGCATGTGCTTGGGAAGAATTACTTGTTCCTTTGTTTGCATTGTTGTTTCTTTGTATAGAGTCCACGTCTTTTAGCTGACAACACTCTTTCTCTAATTGTACAAAAGCTGGCATGGAGGAATCTGACATGTTATTTTCTGATGAAAAAGCTCCAGCTCTTAGGATTCAGGATTTTTACCAGGAATTCTCCTTTACTTGTTAACTTTTTCTTACTGAGAACTCTTTATATCATACAGCGTATATATATATATATAAATATATAAAAAAGGCAATTAGATGATTCAACTGTTGTTGTTGTTGTTGTTGTTGTTGTTGTTTTAATACAAATGTGTGGGGACAGACACGCTGACAAAAATGATCCAGTATCTCCAAATATGGCTGTATAGATAAACAATCAGTGAGTGACCAAATGCAGTGGTGCTGATTCAAAGCAACATCTAGATAATGTTTGCTAACATTACACTTCAAAGTAAGCTAGTTGTAAGACTCATATCTGAAGAAGAAGAAGAAGAAAAAGAAGAAGAAGAAGAAGAAGTGCAATTGAACAAGTTATTTGCCGTTTAAATGAGCAGGTGTAATGCTGTGGTAGAGAGCTCTGTTTAGGGCTGTCAAAATTACTCAATGATTCATGAATTTATGAAAAAGATTCATGAATTACTCCTTTTTTTTAGATTTGAATATATATTTGAATTTAGAATATTGGTTGACAGCCCTGGCTCGGTTGTCAAATACCGGCTCTTGCAGAGTTCTTCTTAACTGGATCAGTAGATGAGGGAACAGTAGTGTTAGTGAAAACTTAAACTCAAACAGAAGAGTCCTTGAACTTTGTGTAAATGCAAGTTTCTGCCTTAAACCAACATTAGACTTGAGTTTGGTTGTTCTGGGCTGGGTTGATCTGATCTTTGCCAGTTTATGTGTAGGTTTAATGATCCCTTGGTTAGCAAGAGCTCTAAAAGACATCATTCCAGCATCTTATGGCGGTATTTTGGCTTCACTTTTGTATCACTGGAGGGGATGAAGATGCAGCAGCCATAATTTTCCCCTGCTAGTGGAAGAAATACAAAGTGACAGAGAGAGAAAAAGCAGTGCAGTGACAGATGCAGCAGTTTCCTTAATTTCGAGGCAAATTTGCCACATTTCGCTGCTGTACTACCTGTCAGTGTATGACACTCTCATTCAAAGACATTATATTAAGTCGTGAAAGCCAAATGACTAATGTACCTTCTTCTTCCTCTTGTTCTTGTGTCTTCAGACTCTGTGGCTAGCGTCCTTATTTTCTCCCACTGTTATTTTAGTAGTCATCTAAATTGATCCATGCTGAAGCCAGACAGCGATTGCTGTATATTTAATGTCTTTCAGCAGCCACATTAAGAGCACAGCTTGTATTGGGAGGTAATGTGTATGTGTGTGTGTGTGTCAGAATGTGTGTGTGGGTGTTTGTTTGGAAGGGTGGGGGGGCTGTGACATTAATAATTTAATTGCAGCCGTGTATCTGAATGCTGCAGGAGTGATGGATATTTTTAATGATATGAAGAATGAAGCTCTGAAAGATCAATGCCGCTGCTGCCGCACACAACCGCACACACATTAACAAAGCCACACCAACACACACTGTCTGTCAACATGAATCTGAGGGCCGAGTCAGGATGATTGTGCCCCCTCACTAATATTGTTTTGGTCCATAACCCGTCTGGTCTGATCTTCTGGGCTGGAGGTCTCCGGCCTGAATGACTCTGTCCCCTTCGTTGGTGCTGTCAGAACTGACAGTCCTCATGTTTATTTCATTTTGCGTCTCTGCTGTTTCCCTATCCTCCAATGTCATTAACGCTCCGAGCCAGGACCCTGCAGTGGCGCGCCTAATGAATTCCTCTGCGGCTCCCCACCTAGTTACCCCAGCTCAAGGTGTCAAATTAAAACAGGCTGAGAAAAGAGTAAAGAAAGCGCTCGCATTTGTATGTGTGTACGTTTCCTTCATTGCACGTTATGTCTCCTTGTTGCATGGGTACATTTGTTTTAGGTTGTCAGGGTTGAGAAAGTGTTGCATTTACCCCTGACCATCAAAAACAAAGCAGGAAATGAACTTTTAACCCTCCCATTAAAAACAGAGTCAACAACAATTGACTGAAACAACTCTCTGCTGCAGAAATGAGTTTGATCCTGTAAAAAAACAAGCTCTTTGTGAAATCAGAGTGCTGCTTTAACCTTTTTTTTCATCTGCGATCGGTGTGATTATCCTGCGTTGTTTGATGAAGAATTGTTGTGTTTAACATTCGGGATCTCTAGGATAATTTGGGGAATGAAATTAACAGCAGTGAGGATGCCTGGGTGGCTGCTAATTGTGCTTATTTAGTTGTCATTGTGATAAGCGTAACGAGGCCAGACGTGTTATTGAGCTGTGAGGCTGCAGTGGGAAAGCAGATTTCTTACGTTTGGCACCCAGTAATGGAATCTTTTATGTTTGTGGGAGGTGTTAGGTGTGAACTGGATTATTATTGATCCAATCTATTTGCATTAAAGCCTGGATAGCAAGCATGCTTTTGAGGAAATAGCAGTCATTCAATTGCAGCAGTGTTTTTGCCTCTGCTATCATTAAACATGGTGCATATTGAGGTTAAGTGAGGCCATTCCTGTTATTCACTATATGTCCATTTCCCCAGTGGAGACCCTTTAGGAGTGACCACAGTGCTGCTGCTACTGCTGCTGCTGCCTGAGTGTCAGAGGAGCAGCAGGCCTCCCTGTGTGGCTCTCTCTCTTTCTCTGACAGCACAGGAAGATGGAAAATGGTGTCAATCAATTCATCAGAGCGACAAGGGTGGCTGTGCAGAGAGGAGAACTGGGGGCGTGGTAATGGCAGCATGCAGGAGGAGCGCAGCACATGATTATGGCTTCCTGCTGCAACTATTTCTCCTCGCCCCTGCCGCTAATGCTGCAGCGCCTTAATGGACTGACTGAGAGTACAGCCGTCACTCCACGGCAACAAAAGGTACCTGCAGAGCATCTTCAGTGGACACAGTGGCAATCTGTTGTTGTGTCTGAAGGGCCTCCTTCCCAGCACCTCATTGTGCTCCACAGTCTCTACCGTGTTTCGGACCACCTTGGCACTTTAAATCCACGGCTTGTTAGCCTTAAAAGAATGTGCCGTGTTAATTAAAGATGTGTAAATATGCTTGAACGGGCTGCATCTTCACATTAAGAGAGATTTGTGGAATCAGGGCTGTGATATATTTTAATTAAGGATTAATTAAAAAATAATGGGGATTTTATTTTGCCTGGCAGACTGGGTTTGGACCTGATTCTGGCGTCTGCTGTGAGCTCATCAGTGGAATATTGAGCACCTCTCCTGCTTCTCAGGAACTAAGGGAGACTCTCAAGGTCTCATGAAAACAAAAGCTCTACCATCTTCTCTTTGAATGAAAAAAAAAGAAAACAGACATTTACTGTGCAAGGGAGTGGCCAAAGCGTTGGCTTAATTAAATTTTTTTCCACCCCCCTCTCCTCATCTTCACCCTCACCCATCCTCTTCTCTCTTTTTCGGCTGGCAGAGCAGCAGAGTGGCTCTGAGACACGGAACACTAGTTGTGCTGGCAATTATGTTAATGGGATGCTATTAGGCCATGATTCCGTATGAGCGATCGGGGAGAAGAAGAGCCCCGGCGGCAGAAAATGATAACGGAGCGTGCGCCTCGTTGATACCGCTCCAGCAGGATAATTTGCATAATGAACCCTCCCCACTAACGAGGGGTGTGGCCTCGACACTGAGCTACTTAGAAGGCTCAGGAGTCGCAGCGTGAGGCGAGCCGACACTGAAAGCACAATGTGACAAAAAGATTCATGGACTTCACTAGTCGTTGCGAAAGCCATTTTGGCACGAGTGTAAGTGCAGCATGCAAATTCCTTAGCTGGTTCCTCAGCAAACAGAGTTGAACACAGGCTGTGCCCAGTGTTTCTGTCTACACACACACATGACAATGCAGTTCTTCTGTAGTGCACTCTCATCATCAAAATAATGAACAAACGAGTGAGGAAGTCTGCAGATTGTAGACTCTTTGGTCTAATTTGGTCATTTCCTTGGACTTGCTGGAATCAAAGGTGTTTGGTCTCTGTTGGCACATATAGCACATCATCATCATCATCATCCATAAATAGTCACAAATCAAATATTTATTACACTGCCATTTTCATCTTATTCATTTTTAACTCTCAGCCTTTCTCTTCAGAGACCAAATTTTGCATTCCATGTTCAGCACACACACAAACACACACACAGAGTGAAGTTTTTGGCTGTATGATTCACTAAGCATTAGGAAGGAAAGTACCTTGGGGCTCCAAAGCCCTGTGGATTCCCTCAGCAGCTAAAATAAAACAAGCTGAGCGGGGAATGCTCCACTTCATTCACACTGCTACATTAGCTAAAGATACACTTCATCTGTGGGGGTCATTTGTAGCCCTTTGATTCATCTGCGGTTATGTGTTGAAGCTATTGATCCCAATCCTAACATGTTAATGTTAGTTTGGCTGCACAGTGCAGCATCTTTATTTCGGCATTGCTCCTCTCTCTTGATGTCTTGATGTATTATTTGTGTGTCCATGCAGCGTGTGCGTATTTTTCCTGCAGCCTGGCCTGTCGTCTTTAGACACAGCCTCCGGATTTGATCAGAATGATCTGGAGGCCCAGGGGAAGACATTAAACACCCAGAATGCCCCTCAGGCTGCTCTCCCCTCCTCTCTTTCTCAACCTTTCATTCTCCCTTAATGAGAACTCCTCCTAATTATTTCAGTGGCTGGAGCATGGGGACACAGCCGGAGTTAGATCCCCTGCGCTCGGACGTGACTGCTATGCTGATGAAGGCGGGGGATCAATAATTTAGGCTTGAGCTTTAATGGCCGGGTGAGGAGAAAGCGATACATCTGAGTCAGAGATTGCATTTTAAAGGCGCAGAGTGAGCTCCAGCCTGGCTGGCGGACTTAACTAGAAGCTCCTGAATGTGTTTGCTGTAAACAGCTGACACATTTATGTTTACTGGAATTCTTATCGCTCTTCCTCTAAGGCTAAGTCTGCGTCTAAGTGCTTGTTTACCTGGCTTTGTATATCCTGCATTCAATTATTGCCGTCTGCAGAGTTACTCCGAAAAGGTTTCACTCTTCAATGATTTGCATTTGAAGTACATGGGGCTATAATTGATTTAGAGGCATGAATATTGATAGTATCTTATCAGCTCAGTGCCCATCCCTCAAACCGCTCTGTGGAGAATAATGGTCCTCTGAGCATTTTTCTGGTCATCTTGCTTTAGCGGATGCACACATAATCTTTAAGTGTACAGAGCCTCGGCTCCATGAAGCCCTTCCATCTCCCTCTTGGGAGGCATCCATGCATCTTTTAAGGACTCCACATCAAGCAGGCCTGAGCAGAGTACCCTGCAGTCTCTCCCTCAATTATTAAAGCTGCGATTTTGATGCTCTGTTTTAAGTTAGCATTGGAGGAGAAGAACCAGCCCCATGCAGAGGACAGTAGCCTCAGCCAAGGCTTACGTCTCTCCTCTGCAGGAAGAGAAAGATGGTGACAATTTTCTACGGAAATTTATTAGAAGACTCTTGTTTTTAATGGAAACTCTGAGGAGCTTTTGAAACATTCATATGGATTTCATATTGCAGATCTTCTTCTCTTCAAACAGAATGATTCACTGCGGCTTGCATTACAGCTTTTCCAGCCCTGCATAAGATGTCACTGCATGATAGAAAAAAGGGGCTGCTTCCAATTATAACAGGGAACACATTTGCTCACAATGTTTCCTTTGATTGATGTGTGAAGGCTGCGGTCGGGGCTCTAACCAAGTCCAAATGGCTCGAATTGAAACATTACTTATTGACTCAGCCTGACAAACAATAACATCAAGAACAGACATCAGTGTCCTCGCCGCTGGTTGCCATAGAAGTGGGAGAAATGAGGGATGAATCAAGCGGACACGAGACAGGATCTCACGTTTTTCTCATCAGCACTTGTAATGTTCGATGAAGTTATTGAGCGCACAATCCCACGTGGCCTCGGTTTGATGTCATTGCTTATTTTCTCATTTAAGTGCCGAAGAACTCATGCAAACTCCTTGAATTGTTTTGCTGATGGCGTCGGCGCTTCATATAAACTCCATCCATTGTCTCTGTGAATTGCAGCTGCCCTTAACTCTGATTAAATATTGATATGGATGTAAACACTGGTGCCATATTGAGTTCTTCATTCAGAGTCACAGTCTCCCTCTGCAGTGTGGAATGAGCTGCTTGAGAAATAGGCCCATTGTTTCAAGGCTCACTGTTGATTTATGGTGACAAAATAAAGTGCTCTGACACCAAGCTCAAATTAAAGCTCCACGAAGGTGCCGCCGAATTTGAATAAATCCTTCTGCCACTGCAAGCAAACATGCGTGTCCTTGTTTTGTGACACACATGATGCTGTGCGGCTGTGGCAGTAATTTAATGTTGTCTTCCTCAGACATAAATATTCTCTGGTTGAGAAAAGGCAGCGAATTAGTTCGCTAATTGATAATTGACAAGATTTATTCAGCGTCCACAATCAATCAACACAACGTTCTTTAAAGTGGTTTGTTACATGAAAGCCAGATGCGTCTTTGAGAATTTGATTTGCACCAGTGCGGGCCAAAGTGTCCTCTAAATGCATAGAGTTTTGAGGATATGTATATTCATTTCTACCCCTCTACTTAGGCTTTATTCAACATATGTGTTATGTTTGTCTCCTGCCTTAATACAAATACCAGTAATGGTATATCCAATGGTTAATTAAATGCAAAACAAAGGCATGAAAACCCAAGGTTTGTATATAAGACCATATTTCTAAATTTCATAGAAATAAATAAAAAAATATGTTATTTTGTTGCTTTCTACTAGGGGTTGGACTCACTAGTAACCCCATAATACAATATTATGAAGATATCTCTGCCACGGTATGATATTATTGCGATTTTTAACATTTTGTGATACAGTAAGTATTGCGGTACAATAAATTACAATTTATATATATTTTTTAAACAGTTAAGCTATTTTAGCATTTGTCTTTCCTTTATGTTTGTCCTATTTACACAGTATTTTTTATTCATGTGGCACATCTTGCAAACCTTATGTGTCATGTCCATCTCATTTGTGCCCTGCTTGCATTCCTAATGTTCCTCCCCAGGTGCTGCCATGTTTGTTGTACGAACTTTCTCCTGCTCTATGATGTCCCCTCTGCCAACCTCACTAGACAAACATTTTATTTTTCTATTATCATAGATTTGACTTTATATTAGCAATTAATTTGGAAAAAATGAATACTTGGTCAATGAGACGATACGATATATCACTGGACAAAATATCGCCATACTATGCTGTATCGATTTTTTCTCCCAACCATACTTTCTACCACCATTATTTCAACTTTAAGTGATGGTCTCTTATTCAGTATGTCCTGATAAGAAGAAGCATAGAGCATCCCTATAAAGAGTAGAAGTACTAAGAATAAGAACTTTATTGATCAAGGGAATTTCAATAAATTGCGCCAACATTTTAAATTGTGCATCACTAGTGCATTAACTAACTATTTATGAGTCTAGTACTTTCTGCCTGAAACGGCGCTCATGTGTTTTGCTTTTAGCTAGGGCTGCAGCTTCATTTGATGACTCCTGCCATTATATGACACAATAACTTCTCGACTACCTGGATGTAAACAAGCACTGATGACAGGTATGACCCAGTCAGCATCCAAAAGTGCAAGATCCCACCAATTCTTTGCTCTGTTCTCAATACGGGAGATTAGCCAGTTACCATTTCATTACATTCCAAGTGGAAAATAATGATGTGATTACTAGATGAGAAGATGCTGAAAAGTGCAGTTCCAGTTACTGCTGTGCTGCTATTTTTGGACAAATGTCAATGAAACTCAACACTTTATAATGAAGTCATTCCAGATCCCATTCCTGGAAGCATTAATGTGGAAAATCTGCAGGAAATGTTGAGTTACCCAACATCAGATCAGAACTGAGTAAAAAGCAAAAAGTCCATCATGCTGTAATAAAGAATCAGTGATTGATGAGTCTTAATAAAATTCATCATTTGAGCCATTTTAGGGGTTATTCCAACCCTGCTTTGGCTACTGGCCTTTATCTAAGATAGCCATAAATATATATCATTATTTCAGTCCTTGCATTCATTTAAGACTTTGCTGAACCAAACCATCACTCAATCTGTGAGACATTCTGGTGACACCATCTTCCTTGCATCTGCAGATTAGCTAGAGGCACGATGGAGCTCACTGCCACCTGCGTCTTTCATCCTGCTCTGCAATAGTTGCCACATACTGAGATAATACTACTGGAAGGGGAGACATTCTCCTTCCTTCTCTCTTTCTGTTTTTCTCTCTTTGTCTTTTCTCTGAATAATAGATCTCCAGCCAGAAGAGCTTCTTTCTTTTCCCTCCTCACTGTTTGCTTGATAGTGTATCTCAGGGTCAACTCAGCGACTATGTGAAACAGGAGCATTATAGACTCTTACTGTGAGGCTTTACAAGTGCATATGTGCATACAGTATACAGTGAGCCGTGTCTGAAATGCCATGCTCCTGGGAGAAGGAAGCTATCCACATATAAGAAATGAATGAGGTAATGCGCTGGGAGGTAATGGCTTTATGCAACATACTGGAACAGAGAAAGCTCATTAGGAGACTGAAGCTTTAACCCCAGAGCTGCTTGCCTATACTCCCTTTGTCATAGCAGACTGGTGGAAGCCAGGGAATTTAGTGCTGGAGGGGGGAATTCAATACTGGGAGTCTTTGCACAGAGGCACAGGTGAGTTATTTTATGTATGAAATGGCCTGTCTCCAGGCAGCAAACCAGCCATGTCCCCTCCTCTGGCACCAAAGCACAATCAATAGGAAAGCACTCAGTATTTATATGATATAAGTGACCTATCTTTCATGTTAAATGTGTGCCAGAGTCGATACGAGTAGTTATTCAAATCTCAGCCCTCAAAATAAGTGGCCACTGGCATAGTATTGAACCTTTGTACTGTTTTAGTGTAAACCAAGCTGTATTCAAAGCAACAGCTGCTCCTATGTCTCCATGGAGGGTCTACTTAATCCTGTATTTTTTAAGATCTTTAAACAAATGGGACAAAATTGTTTATAATTTCAGTTAGCTGATGTGCAAAAGTGGAATTATTCCTTCCTCACAATCACCAGCTCACTTAAAATGTTTCCAGCTGACAGTCATGCCAAATGGAGTATGTGCAGCCATTATAACTTTCCACCTTTTTGATATAACCATGCAAAGTTTTATTCATGTATTTGGTTGTAAATTTCTTATTGAAGCCAAGGCAAAAACATTCTGTCTGATCGATTGATGCAATAACAGTATTTTCAAGATGCATAAAACCAAAGTCCGAGGAGAAAATCAGATTTTCTCTTTGCTATTCTTACCCGTCTCTGTAAATTCTTGATTCTGGTCAAAACACCACCACAACAGTGATTATGTCTCGGTAAGGTAAGGTGAGGGCAAGAAAACCCTGATTACACCCTTCACATCAAAAACGCAGAAAAGAGTATTACACATTTCACCTCTGCCTGTTGACACTGTGGCAAAATATCAGCTACTGTTGGCATTTTGAATTCATGAAGACTGTGTAAATTTCATTGCCAGTCTGGTCTTAAGATTCAGGAAACAACAATAATGGATAGTGGGCACAGATATGAGAGCAGCAGAATGAGGAGCCACTTGATTAGTTGAAAAGTGGAGCAATGCAGGCCGTGGCAGCTGAGTTGAGAGCATCTTTGAGTTGCAGATCAATACAAAGTTACTGAAACCACGTGTGGTAAGATGAGACAGTAAATTGTAAATTAATTTGTATCACAGTATGAACACTTGCAATAAACATGTTGCAGAAATCTAAATTTATGATGGTAAATTAGGAAATCAATCAATCAATCAATGTTTTCTCACCCCAGCATGTACATTTTACCTACTAGATAGAGGGCTGAGTTTTATGGCCATGCTTTTACAACATTTTGATGCAGCCAAATGAAGCCTGAGCTAGCTGATGGCTAATTTAAGATTAATAATTGATAATTTAGCAATGAAAATGCAGATTTTTGGATGTATGGCGTCTTGGACTCAGGAGAGACATGGTCAAAATCCAAGTGGTAGGTTGAACCAAGTGTGATTAAAGCAAAGACATAAATAATGTTTAGTTTAATGGAAACAAACCTGAAGTCATGAATCTTTGATGTTTGTTAAATTTTAATTCTACATATGTCCGTAAAAGATGACACATTTTAATAGTTTAATTTCCTTAAATATTGCAAAACACGTCCCAGTGTCAGCCTTTTACAACATAATAAGACATAATAAGCAGTGTTTTGTTGTGTTGTACTTGATGAGGATTTTGTTGTACAGCGAGTATAGTGTTCTGTTGGTGGCTGCACACATCATGGACAGAAAATCCAGGGATGGGCTGTGTGCCATCTCCAGTGTTATCACACATCAGTGGACAGCACATCAGCTGACTGAAGTGTGCTGCAGTGTGTGCACACTCCAGTGATGGTGTCAGCAGTATAACTCAGCGGATAACATGCTTCGATCATGTTTGGTTTGTATGATTGAGACGTGGTCGGGGGTTCGTCTCTCTCCGCGGTGGCAGGGTTTGTTTGGCAGGCAGGCGGGCAGGCATCACCAGGTTTCTGGCGCGCGTGGAGGCTGAGTTTCCGGTCTATTTCCAGCGCTGCGTGTTCATTCTAGGTGACTGGGGGGACTGTGTGTCATTAAAGGCACGTCCTCTGCCTCTACCCAAGTGTGAAATGCTGCGCCTTGGAGATGCTGGTCTGCTATTGTTTGTTCGACCAGTTTGTCTCAGCTCAGATATATCTATGGGCAGAAGGTTAGAGCTTCTTTTAGAGGTCAAAACACCCTGGGCTGTTTACATTCACTTATTTTCATATAGTTTTGTACCTCCCTTATCTAGGCATGTGCTCACAGATACATGTAGTCTTTGTTTTTGATTGTTAATTTCAGCTTTTTTGTAAGGTGCTTACTAAGGAGGGGGAACAGACTCAGATGAAAACAGATACCTTTCAATTATCTCCTAGAGCAAATTAAACCACCACTAACAAGTTTAACCATCTATGCCTGTCGACTGTTTGTGGTTACCTATACTGTACAATATTCTGTGAAACTGTACAGTCTTGTGTGGAATATCCTACACTACAAACTTGTTTGGCATACACTCTTATGCTTGTCTTACTTCCTAAACACTTTGCACTTTGTAAATAGCTTTAAATATTCTGCACTTTTCATTAATCATTGAAAATTCCTCATTCATTCTTACTAATCCCTTTATCTGTTCTCCTTCTACTAATATTTGTATTTTTAAGAGCAAGGGTAATGCTTTAATAACTGAATTTTTGCTCCTGTGGATAAATAAAGTATCCTGATTCTGATAAACTAGCCTACATAACCCTTTGACTTCAGCAATGCATATCCAATCGGGAGGACTGATGGCTGGTGTTGCTAGCTCTGCTAATGGTAGTCATGCTTAACAAAGCCTGTATTGTTCATCCAGAGACTCTGTGACCCTGTGTTTGGCTGTGTTTTCTTACCTTAGACTCGGGTATAAGTCCAAATTGATATTTTTTTTTCCAAGGAAATTGTTGATTTCAGAATGTAGTCAGAGCAGCCTTTTAACGTTTTCCTCAGAATGGATTCACCATAAGTGATATATTTGACAGTTTTAAGAGTATTTTTTTCCCTGGCTGCTCTTTATGCATGTACAGGGTGAGATTAGTACCAGTGAAAAGAACCACTTTGTCCATGAGTCCCAATGATGGACACAAATTTGAAATTCCTGACAGTAGCTCTAAGTTCTCTCTTGTGACTCTAAATGTTCAGTGATTTGATTAATTCAGACTGCACAAACTAATTGAAAGACTGCATTGTATAGTGTACAGCTTTCTCATTCACTGTCAGAAAAGAGATATGAGCCTGTTGGGACGTATCACCATAACAATAAAGCCAGCTAATTATCCCCTTGTTGACAGTTTCCAAACCATTTCATAGTTGATTTAAAGATATAAAACTTTATTGGATAAAAAGATAAGAGACAGCAATGTATGGTTTTCTTGGCTCTGGTTTATACTATCTGCATTATAGGTCCTTCATGACATTTAAAACTTTATTGGACAGAGCTTCGAAATCTGGGGGCAGTATATAAAATGAGGAATTTATTAGACTTTGTGGCCTTTTTGTGTAGAGTGTGCATGAAATATCATACAGAGAGACAGATGAGCTCAGCCTGTGAGGTTTTAATGCTGCAGTAATGATGTGCCGTAAAGAGCAGGTAACAGATGCTGAAATAAAAGGGGCATGATATATCAATATTTAGCATAGCAGATGTGATGTGGCATTTTATAATGCCAATAATCCTCGGCTGACCCTGTAAGTCACAAACAGTGGGGTGCTTTGTAATAAAGTGATACAAAACTGGTGCTTTGATGGTTTTTAGATATAGAGGGTTTATTTTTCTTTCTCAGGGTCATCGTCCCATAATGCACTAACTTGAGTTGTATATTCCCTGCACAGAGAGTTTTATGTTATGGATGTAGTTCAGGAGAGGCCATAAACCCACCCCCCCTCCACCATCCATGTTAAGCTTGAGACGTTCTTTTCCTGAGGCAGGTGCGCATCCTCAGCCACGAGAGCAGAATTTAAAAGGAGACAGAGAAGTAGGCTCTGCAGGGAAACCAAAGTAGGAAGTCAATAAGGTCTGAATGTTTTATGAAGGCAGAGGTATTCAGATCACAGCTCTGCCAACAGAAAGAGCAGCCTGCTGCTCATACGAGGAGACGGAGAGTAGTAGAGGGTCTAAATCTCTCCCTGATTTACCTCAATCCTCATTAACACCGGAGCTACTCGTTACAGCTCGAGCTCTACAGAGGAAGAGGCAGCAATGTTAATGTACTGTGGAGATATCACACTGTAAATTTGCTGTTGTATATTCGTTAGTTTCAAGTCCAAAAAAGCAGGATTCAAAGCAGACTTTTGCTTTATCGAATTTTCATTCATCTTTCTAAAGTTCTATGGATTTTCTTAGAGCTTCTTTCTGTGTTTCTCTCAGAACCTTTTGGTCGCTTTATTGCAAAATCCGTTCCTGATATGGTTTATAAAATGTTAAAAAAAATTGTCAACAATATCTACAGTATAAGTCTCTTTTAACTTGACATGTCATTTCCATTTTTCTAGTTTTATTAGTCAAAACTTAAACGAAATAGCATTCAGGAAACACAGAAGAAAAACAACTTTTAACCGTGAATTTTTATTGTATTTCTGCTTAAAACTATATGTAAGGGATTAATCCATAACAAAAAGCAGTTTTAATTATTTTCAATATGCTAATTGATAAAACAATACACCTCTGGATCTTCAGAAATGAAAAGATTCACAAAAGCATCAGTCAGATGGAGTCAGACAATCAGTTTGGCAGGAATCAAGAGCTAATCCAAACAAGGTGACCTGGTTTACATGGTACTCTTTGTGACTTTGTTACCCACATAACTCCTCCCCAAGTTTGAGCCCTCCTAGGTATTATTGGATGCTCAGAGCATGTTCTACAGAAGTCCAGGTTATCAGATGCCTCTGTCACAAATGCGCTATACTCCTGAAAATTTTTCCAGCATTTGTGGGGCAGGCAGCTCTTAAGAGAGCAAATGCTAACTTTGAGCAGACTTTTTCCTTTTGGTTCCTTTGTGAGAAAAAAATAAAAAAGTCTATGCCTAGTTTGGGTGAGCTGAAGTGTGCACATAGCAGGTAATAGTCTTAACCCTCCATTGCGAGGGAGGAACACGGTGATGACGTCATTCCATGCTGAGCAGTTTTGCTTCTGTTCACCTCAAGTGTCTAATGATTTTAACCAGTGGGGTTTTTTATGCAGAAATGCTCATTTACTGTGTTTCTGTAGTGACATAAACTCCAAAGCTGTCAATTGTCAGTCCATCTGAACAACAATAACAGGGTCTAGAATGTTTCTGTTAGAGATAATGTCATTATAGCTGCCACACAGTATTCTTTAGTTTTGATAAATGCCTTTTTTTATTGTTATTCACAATAAATTGCATTTTAATGCATGTTAAAGATTCAGTCTTTTAAAGGCTGTATTAACAATGGAAAGTAGCAATTGCTGACCCGCGGACAACCTTTTCACCTGAGTATTTAACTATGTTGCCTGGCATTCAGTTGCCACACACTGAAATGCTGCAGTTAACTTCTGCACTTCAGTTTTATCCACTGGTTTCCCCCTAAAAGACAGTGCTCTACCAGCTAATGTGATGCAATTTCCCTCCGACATTAGCATGATTAGCTGTACCAGTGTGCTAAGATCATGGTAACTCTAAGTACTAAGGCTGCACGATATTGGAAAAAAATAATATTGCGATTTTTTCAACCCTGCGATATATATTGCGATATTAAAAATACAGTATTTTCACCAGATGACCTGAATAGCACTTAATGTTATGCTGCACTGCTGAAGTCTTGAGGACAGTTAATCTGCTCTGATCTTACCTCTTTTTGTGAATGTTAGTAGAATGGCTTCTGTCTGTCTCAGAGATATTTTTAGCTTTTATTGTGCTGGGACGTTATTGTGGCAACAGGTGAACACAGAAGACGTGTTTTGGTCGACATCATCCTTCTTTTAACCGAAATAATTCCAGATAACTGACTTTCCTTTTCTTTTTGGCAACAAATCTTCATTTTCGGTAGTTTTCGCTTGTTCGTTGTTCATTTTGCGATCGTTGTTGTTGTTGTTAGCGGTGTTGTGCCGAGAAACGCATGTCCTCCGAGAATTGCATGCACCTCGCAAAACGCGCACTGCTTATAGTAGAGTGGTCCACGGAAATGTACAATTTAAAACCCATACAGTTCTTATTTGTTGGGCTTAATAGTCATGAGTAAAGTTCCGAAAGTAATTCTCAGCGGACACACGTCTCCCTCCATGTGCAGAACATGTGCAGGGGTGGGTTTTCTCCTCCCTGATTTTGATTGACAGCTGGCAGGGTAGTCTGATTGGCAACTGAGAAGTGAGTCTGATTGGCAACTGAGTTAAGGACAAAGGCGATTGGTGGATCGCTGCACAGCACATGCAGAGTCACATGGAGTGTATCTCAGTCGGTTACCCTTTAAATTAAATGAGTTCATTCACCTCCAATATCGCAGGCTCTGCGATGTGACTATCGCACATACGTACATCGCGATGACGATAGTCAAACGATATATCGTTCAGGCCTACTAAGTACTTCAGTGATATTATAAATCAGTATGTCAGAAAGAGTTTTAAATAGTGAAATGTGGCATTTGAAAGTGCAGCAATGGTCTTATATTCCATCATGGTGGCTGCAGGAAGCAAGGAAAGTTAATTAGTGTGCTTATGCTAGCGCAATTATGCTAATGCCTAATCTACCTTGAACTTGCTTTAGTTCTCTTCAGCATCACACAAATAGTCAGTTACAGTAATACTTAAAATGGGCTTACATTAGCATTGACTAGCTAACTACTCTGTAACGAAGTGTGCTTATGCTAGTGTAAGTATGCTAGAGCTAACCACTTTGACCTAGAATGACCTAAAATGTGAGGGGGTTAACGTGTGAAAGGGTTAGTGGGAGGATGTAAAAATAATATGGATAATAATCCTTTGTTTGAAAAGCATTTTTATGAACAGTTTTGAATGGGGGTCAAACCACACTGTGCTGACAATACAGACAGTTGCAGGTCGACTACGTTTAGCTTAGCATCCCTTAGTCCTTGCCATGGCTTAACAAACTACATTAGGCCTACTGTTCAGAAAGGCTCTAAAGTGAAGCATTTAGCAGCTAAAGGGTTGGACAGTTGAGTTGCCTAAAACCAAAAGCAGGGCTGAAAGTAGATTAAATGTCTGACTAACATTCATCAGGTAGACTTAAACAGGACTAAAAAATGACACAGTGTTGCTCTTTGTTTAGAGAGAGTCCAAGCTCTCATGTCAGCTTGTTCCACTGCTGTCACGTGGCCTCAGCTGTAATCCTGAAACATAAATATTATGTTGATATTTATGTCAGTCTTTTGAACAAAGGCGCTACACAGTCCATGCTGAGCTGAAGCCTCAGTTGACCCTGAATCATCTCCGACCGCTGTCCTCACTTCACTTAAACTTTCCCTGAGTGAGTGTGTGTGTGTGTGTGTGTGTGTGTGTGTGTGTGTGTGTGTGTGTGTGTGTGTGTGTGTGTGTAGACAGACAGTGTCTGAGTGGCTCTTGTTTACTAAGGCCACGTCAGGGGAAGTTTGCTATTGATTAGGGCGACAGAGTGCATAAGAGGCCTGATGTTTTGTGAGGCATCGGCTGAAGAATAGCTGGTGGTTGTGTTGAAATCTGAAAATAGCCCATCAGCGCCTAATCAAATTAATGCATACTTACTGCTGCCAAGATCTAATTAAGCATGCCGGCAAAAATGCACAAAGACACCAAATGACATGGGATGAAAAGGGAAAATATTAATTTGAGTAGGAAACAAATATCTAACAGAGCTTTTAATGGATTCCTGGAAGTGCAACAGTGACGCTGCCCTGCTCATTCATGTTAAGCCTGAGCGCGCTGCAAGGAGCAGGTGCAGCACTGCAGAAAGGTCGAGGTTGCTCTTTGTGAATGTTGGCCAGCGACATTGAGGTCTGGGACATGTCCACAATAACAGACCTTTTTTATGTCCTTTTTCTCCCCCAGAGATGCTCTGCTGGCTCTCATTGCAATTAAAACCAAGTGTCCATCAGAGGCTATCTCTGCTCCGTGTGGCCCATATGTTTGGGTGCTGATAGAGCGTGGATTACTCTGTTTGGGACACAGATAACAGGCTGTTTATAACCTTGGCAGAGTCTGGGGCCTAATCTGGCAGGAGCATATTTCCCCTTGCTCCCCGATAAAGGCCTGTTAGCAGCTTTATCACACGGGCAGATAGAAGTCGAGCCAGAGCGAGACGAGCACAGCACTGAGCCCAATCTGGCACCGCACACACAGTTCTGCTGCTTTATTTTTAGAAGCCCTGTCACACTCCCATATACACACACACACACACACACGCACATCCTCACGCAGACGTCTACACATTCACACAGACACAAGCCTTGCTTCTTGTCAGAAAGAGCAATTAATTTCTACATCTGCCTTCTTGGGCAACACAAGGACCAACTAACAAATTAAAAGAACAATGTCCTCATTCATCATCATCATGATCGTCGTTATGTTATGCCTATGCAGAAGAAAAAAGACCAGAGAGATTGAGGCTGTTCTCTCTTATGTTGGGTGTAGTTTGTTATATATAATTTAGAAGCTAAAGCTAATTAGCCTAGGCTGGAAAAAAACACAATGCACCCAAGTTGTTATTGTGTTTGTGTGAGTTATCCAGTGCTCTACAGTAAGAATGGGCATCTCAATTATTCTTATCCCTGGCTGAATAAGAGGAAGGTTTTATAGCTGTTTTCCTGCTTACACCTCTAAGATGCTGTGGAATACGTGCGAGCCTGCTCTGCTATTTTCTGTATCCTCATCTTGATGGCTCTGCGTAGGCACAATTAGAGAGAGCGCTCCTTTCACAGCCGGAGAAAATTGTCGTCCTCTGTAAATTGCTTTTGCCGCAGCTTAAAGAAGATCTCTTGTTACCCTCTCATTCAGTCTTTTTTTTCGCCTCCTGCTCTCCCCCTCTTTCAGGAAAATTGCTTTCTCGCAATCAATAGATTGCTTGCTGCACTTAGGGGTAAATACAGGTAGACTAGAGCATTAGCATAACATTATTCAGACAAGTGTCAACCTCTAGGCAGTTAGCGCTGCATCTAAGCTCGGTGTGAGGTGAAATGAAGTGCTACAGAGTTTGAGGAGCCGCCGCTGCTGCTGCTGCTGCTGCTGCTGCTGAGAGGAGATGAAATTGGCTAAAAGTGCAGGAAAAGATGATGTACTTCAACATTTCTGCACTTGCATAAATGCAAAAAAAGCATAAAAATGTGACACTTTGCTTCAAGGTGACTTCACGTGTAGAGTTAACTCCCTTTCATTCAGGTGGAAGAGTTATGATTCGGTACTCTCTGGAGGTCTGCAGCATGTAGGTCAGACCGGCCTCTTCTTACAACTGCAAAACATGCAGGATAGGCTGGATGGGAAGCAGCTTTATTGGCGCGGTGGTGATGTATGGTCCAGTGACACGAGACTGAAAACAGAGCTTGATGTTGGATCTGCTACAGAAGATTCTTAATGCTTTTTCACTCGCGTCAGTTAGCTCAAATTAACCTCACAAGCATGAGTCTAATTAAGTTTCCTCATTGAAGCTTGGCACCCGCTCCCCTCCTCTGCGTATGATTTGATACCCTGTGTCCTCGGGGAGGGGCTGTGGAGAGCAGCAGGCGTGATCTTTCACCGGGGGAGACACACTCTTTCTCTCTATCCTCCACCCTTCTTCCCTTGTCTTTCTTGATTGACAACAGGGGTTCCTTCTGACCTACATTTGCATCTGCTCCCTGACCCAAATAGGACCCATGTAATGAGCCGCTTGGCCATTTTTTTTTAATATCCTGAGCAGGAACTAGTGTGGCTCTCATCCTCAAGGGGGGTTTAGCTGTGCTGTGCTGTGCACTGCTGTGGTAGCAGTGTCCCCAGGGCTTTGTGTCTGGAGCTGCAGGGCCTGCACAAAGACACTGTCCCATCCAGACGCCTTCCTGCACAGCCACCCAGGCCATTCTAGGTCATCTGATTAATCTCCACGGTGATTACTAATCGGCGACTTGTGCTAATGTGCTGTATCGCCAAGGCACAGAGGCAAAATCATCAGACAGATTTCTATCTTGTTTGCTGGGTCATCAGTTCTCCTGAAGTGTCTTCCCAAATACGGCAATAAAAGCCAGAATCCATTCAGAGTGGAAGCCGTGCAGAGCGCCGGGCTGTAATATCATCTGACTGTGCAATGAGGCTGTTATTGTTTCCCTCCAAAACACCAGGAAGAGTCAGCACTGGCAGCAGCTTGTACACAAATAGAGAGCCAGATATCCCTTGGGATCCCACTGTGGATTCCACAAGCGAGCGTGAAAGCCGTTTGGTGCTCTCAAGACATGAAGCTGTGCGTGTCGGTGCAGCAGCCATCAGAGCCAAAATCTGTCTGATAAACACAATCATCACTCTGCAAATATGAGCAGCAGCCTCTTGATAAAGACGCTTTGTCAAAAATAGAGAGGAGATAGTTCTGTTTGTCAGCACATTAAAGTGCATCCAGAGAACAAATCACCTTTTTGCTTGTGTTTCTTACAGCAGCTCTGTCTGTCAGGTCTTATATGTGAGCTCGAACAATGCTTCACAGTGTCGGACATGCTCCTGCTATTGTAATCTTCTTATTTAATACATGATCACACACATGCAGATATACTCTCACCAGACATAGACATTGTGCATGGAATTGAATTTCTTTGCAGCAGAAATATAAATTTAGACTCACAGGAACAACTCGGGAACTTGTTTCCTGGTTTCATTTCCTGTCTCCTCACAGTGGGATTTTCTCTTATCAGCAAGTGTGATATTATGTGAGTAATCTCATTTTCCTGCAGCTTTCATAATGACAATTCTGCACATTTCTGATTCAGATGAACATCCTCGCTGCCATAAGTGTTACATTGGTGCGAGATAAAACCCGTCCCTTTTGAGTGTGAAGGGAATGAGACGTATTCTTCGAGAAATTGCCTTCTTTTCATTCATTTCACTGCTGCTTTAGTCCACCTCATTTCAGATTATATTGCTCCCATCTGTGCTGAACAATCAGAAAGGAAACCTTTTCCAGCAGCTGCATTAGATGGCCTTTCATTTTCTTTGGGCCTGCGATCATAATGACATAATGTAGAGCACGAGCCTCTGCAGAGCTCCTCTCTCTATCTCTCATTGTGGCTACTCGAGTCGCCTCTCTCCCTGATATGTAAAATACCAAATCCCATTATTTCTCCAGCTAAATAACACTGCTCCCAAAGGCGTTGTGTGATGTTTTAATGAGAGCCCCCGATTCCTGATGCTCAACGCTGTCTTCTCTGCATTTCCTTAAACTGCCAAGTAAGAGCCCCATTAATAATTCAGCTCATTAAAGTGTGTAATTAATCTGGAGCTGTGTAACAGAGAGAGACTGGGGCGCAGGGAGAAAACTCTCCAGGGGGGCACAAGAGAAACATTGGGCTAAGAGAAGCAGCACACCCGCTGTGATGGAACCAGTTCCCCGGCACACAACCAGTCCTCCTGCATCATTTATCTGGCAGGAAAAAGCTACAGAAAGACACCGCCATCGCTGCCGCCACCGCTGCTGCTGCTACACATGAGACATCTTCAGCAGCTCAGCCAATCAACAATGCAGTGCGAGTACACACAAGGCTGTATGTGTGTGTGTGTGTGTGTGTGCATGTGTGGAATCAGCTTTGGTGTATGTTTACTGAAGATGGTGAAGGTCAGTTTCTGGGTTTTTTACAGGACTGTGTTGGTCACCACAGATTTACACAGAACATAAACATAGAGGTGAAGGAGTGCAGGAGTCTGTTTATAGACCTGTTTTTGTTGTCATAGTCCAATTATGCTATATTATGTTGATGCTGAATTATTTATTATGATGAGCCAAGAAATGGGCCTGCATTGAACAATAAACTGTGGTACAAAAACACATGGAGGAAATAGAGACATGAAGCTTAAACATAGTGCCATTTGAAGGTGGGATGTTTACACACACCTGGTCTGCAATGAGGAATTAAAAGGCATAATTGTTCGGCAAAGCTTTTCTGACACTCATCATCTCTTAGGTGTGTTAACGGGGGCAGAGTGTATTTCATACACATCAGAAAACTCCTCACACAAGCTTTAATCCACAACAGACAAACACTATTTTTTTTAATTATGTCTATGATAATTCAATTGATCATTCTAATGTCATTCAGGTCCAAAATAAACTTTTTTTTGAGTAACTGTTTGCTGTTTTGTGTCTTTTGGCACAAACCAGCAAACAGTTATAAATCGTTCATGAGACCAATAAGCAGCATTGGAACAGATATACATGTCATTCTGCTCGCCCGCTGTCTCTGCTGCTTTGAGTTAAAACACACACAGGCACATCTGTACACAGATACATGCAAACAGGTTAGTCAACCAGTAAGAACAGCTACACATATTAGCTCAAAACCAGTTTGAAATGTGTAATATGGAATTTTAGACATAAGCCTGGTTAATCATAACTGCTTATCATAATTTAGAGGTTAATTGCAATTCCAAAAAAAGAAAACAATAACTCTGAGAGCTTTACTTCTAAAGTGTTTTGTTAAACGACTTCAACAGGTTGTAGACTCACAATTGAATCCTCTAAATGCTGAGTTTAAATAACAAAGCTGATATCTCATTAGCTGAGACAACAGCTGATGATTTTTAATATTTATATCACATGTAAACAGAAAAGATGTGTAATGGTTTATAGCACTTCTCCTGACATTGACAGATGATGGTGACCATGTCAGTGTAGTCAGTCTAGAAGAGACATGTTGAAGCTTGTGCAGAAACTGTGTCTCCGCTTTGTAAATTCCAAGAGGTCACTTAAGATTGTGTGGAGAGTTTTCTCTGTGACTGCAGGAACACTTGGTATTGGCCGGTAGGTCCACAGTTTTTATTCTGCACTGTATGAAGTCTGGTATTATAAATTGACTCCTTCTCTCTCTGATTTTGGACATTCGTTTCACACCTGAAAGGATTTTTCACTCATAGGAGGGGTTCCATCTGAATTTTCTCTTCCACTTTCCAGCACACAGCACAAACAAAGCATGTGATGTGAGCCTCGTGTTTGTTTTCAAGGCTTCAGGTAGACCTCAGTATACACTAGTACTCTCACTCAGCATGCCTGCTGCCACTCACCAGCCCTCAGCTGCTCCAGATGTGGCTTAATTTACTGCGACTTGGCTTATCATGGTGATTAAGGATTAATTACTGTTAATCACTTTTACATAAACTGGTTGGCGGTGGGAGAGCTGTGCTCAGTGAAAAATGCCACAGAAATATGTGTAGTGGGTTAGGTGGAATTAGCCAGAGCTGGATGCTGCCAGGTTTCAGAGCTGGGTGTTTCTCTGGTTTTATTATATGGAGTGCAGCTTTTTGAATGCAAGAACCAACTATTAAAGGGAGGTTGACCTCTGTTATTTCTCTGTTTGTACTAGTCAGACAATTAAATGCCATTTTTAAGTGTAAGGGTTTAGATTTGTTAAGTTTTAGTGCTGCAAAATAAAGAAAACGCTGAGCATATTCCTTACCCACAGCAAAGACATTGTCAACATTCAGCCAAGCAGACGTCTCATGGTCAGCCGGGGCTGAACACACACTGCTGTGCTGTGTGAATGTCCTGCTACAGGAGATAAGAATGTGAAGGAGCATAACCACTGTGAGTTCCATTAACACAGACTGACAAGGGAATCACAGGGACATCAGGGGGTCTGGGATGAGGCTGACAACAATGCCACTGCTCTGTGCTCAAACATCCCCCCAACCCCCCTCGCTCTCTTTCCCCCCCACACACGAACTGAGGGTGGCAGTGTGGTCACCTTCCCTCCTTGGCCTGGTTTCACACTGACATGCTCGTCTGCTCTCCTGAAGGAATGGCTTTAATAAGGTAGCGCGGATCAAGGCGACTGTTAATGACATGGCAGGGCCAGTCAACACGGCGCCCGAGGCCATGGATGGCCCCAGTCTGGTGCATGCTGCTGGACGCTCGCTATCTCATGTGGGACACTCAGGACACTTGTCTGGATGCTCTTTAACTGCTACCTATCCTTTAAGTGGGCTGAGGAGCTGCACAGTGAAATGAACCTAACCCCTCATCTCTGAGCTGGTTAACTTTATTTTACAGCTTTATTCTGCGTTTACAGGCCATGTACCAGAGCAAAGTTAAAACTGGAGAAAAAAGGTCCACATCAACTGCAAAGTGGCTTAGAGACTCAACATTTTGACAATGATGACCATATTAGAAAGTATTAGAGAAAGGGTTGTCTTCTTTATGTCCTTTCTTTATTAGTCGATTCTTTTTAACTGCCTCTAAACATACTGATTGTGATTAAGTAGTAAACTATGAGTTGTCAGGAAGTAAAAAAAAAAAAACTATTTAAATTCCTTTTTTTGTGATCCAAACTAAATCATGTTTTGTTAGCTGTTGCACTATAAACAACAAACTTATAATGCTCCTATACCTGAATGTAAACTGACACAGATGACAGATTGCATTTGTCGCTCGGTGAAGTTGGGCAGTATTTTATTAAGATAATGTAGATCAGGGGTGTCAAAGTCAAATGGACGGAGGGCCAAATAAAAAATTTTGCTACAAGCCGAGGGCCAGACTGATCGAACGTTCATTGAAAATTTTTTAAATGACGCATATAGTCTAGTGAACCTAATTGAACCTACTGAAAACCTAACAAATATATTCCAATATGATCAGATAAATAAAGCAATATTTTCTTATGGCTCTGTCAGTAATCTTTAATTTTCAACAGACACAAAAGACAAATTTCCTTTATATAAAAATCCCCATAACATGAACATTAAATGAAAGAAACCGGTATTATTCAAGGCACCATCAGTAGCCTATATTTTCTATTTTAGCAAAAGTGGGCTAAATTTACTTCAAAGAAAAAAAAAATAATAATAGCAATTTTCTATCATCCACTCAACTGAAATATTTTAAAAATATAATTGGATTGAAATACAATAAAATAAAGTGCAAAAATCTATTAATCAAAAACAACACTTTCTTCAAGGAGAAGTAACATGCATTTTTGATGGGTATCTGAAAGTTAATTTTACTGTTATGCTGACGACTGCTGTGCTAATAAGCCTACTGCTCGGTGCGTCACCGTTGCATTGTGGGAAATGTAGTATTGGTGCGTGTAAAAGATCTGCGGGCTGCCGGCTTGCTGCGGTCTGCGGGCCGGTTCTAATAATAAATCAAGATCATCCCAGGGGCCGTAAAAAACCTTCTCGCGGGCCGGATTTGGCCCGCGGGCCTTGACTCTGACATATGTGATGTAGATGAAGTCATGTGTGGGCTGTGTCTGGTTAGTGTAACCAGAGAAATAACCAGCACAAGCATTTTGGCATCACTCTGCATGGAGGACTGATGGCTGGTGGTGCTAGCTCTGCTAACTCAATCACGGTCTTTCTGTAATACATTTATCCAACTTTGGATTTTGTTGAAATAATATTTATGCTGTTTACTGCCTGACTAGCCAATAAAGCAAGGACAAGACAACTGACAAATTATTTTCTGCAACTTGTGGTTTCTAGTTAATTGAGGTATAGGAAGAAAGAAATTTCAGGTGGACTGAACTCATGTGTTGTCAAAACTCTGTTACAAAGATCAAGAACCAGGTCCCATGCTCAGGTCCTCTCCAAAATATTATATATTTCAATAGCTTTTCACCTGAGATATAAAAAAAGGAATACAAGAAGGGACAGTCACTGTTTAAGTGCATAGATCTACTCTGGATCAAAATGTGAGGGTCACTCACCTGAGCTGTAGATTTATTCTAGTGCAACCAAATATATTGCTTTTACGTACAGCAGATAAAAAGGTGTCATCTGTTCTGTACCAATAGCTATCTTTACTCCTGGCCTTTATGTCACCATGGGTGTTATTCTAATTACCTTCATAAGTGGTATCTGCAGATGACAGGAGTGTGTGTGATCAGTATTTATAACAAAGCCTTAAGCTGCTTCTTTATCGTCTGAACTACTGGTCACAAAGTGGAAGAACCACATTGAAGATGAGAAAGCAGCAAAGCGCTTTTAATGTGAAGGCTGTCAGCTCCTCTCGCCTTCGTTTTTTCACCCTCTGAAGAGCACACGGCCTTATCGCTTTAATTGACTCTTTATCTTTTTGTTAATTTCCTCTTTAGTGCATTAGCTCCCATTCTACCTTTTGATATGTCATTTAACATTGGCTTTTGTATGACTTGCAGGAAGAGGCTGTATAGATTACCATATTTCATAAAAAGGCAGATTTCTTTTTTTAACAGCACTTTTAAGGAGCTAAGCTGCTTCTTAATTGTCTTCCTTGTCCATTAACCTCTGTGGTATTGTCTGTTAACCTTTTCCCTTTAAATGAAATACATGACATTGAGTCAAAGCTTTCTGATGTAGATGCTGCTGATCTTCTTTTATTCTCTACACACCCCAAAGCTCATTTTGTGCATATTTAATAACTGTGGTAAAATTTCATGTTGCTGTTTATAGACTGGAGTCTTTAGAAAGGCAAACAGAGGGGACTTAAGGGAAGCAGGATTTAACAGTTTGATGCCTGTCGTCTTCCTCCTGGTCTATGTTGGTCCTCTTTCCATTCCAGTACACTTGCGACTGTATAATGAATTATGCCGATGTTGAATTAGCATGTAGCTGTCGCTTCGGCACTGGTGCTTGCCTTGTGACAGGACCACCGTAGCACAGGCCTGTGTCTAGAGAAGGGGCTTCTACTGTGATTTATTAACTGCTAAAGCCACAATGAAGTGTGCCCACTGAAGCACCAATGCAAACAAATAGAGGCCAGGGCTGTCACTGTAAATTCATGCAGACAGGCCAACCGCAGCCTGACCAGAAAGGGTTAATTATGCAAAAGCATTTGGCTTTCAAGGCAAGTTTTTGAGCATCGACTGATTATAGTAGGCAAGATTACATCACAGCTCTATTTGCTACTATATGCTGAATTTCAGTGCAAAAACATTCAAAGACTGGCATGTCTTTATAAAATCTATAAATGTGTAAAGATTGTTGTTTTTTTAGTACACTATAATATGCCATAAAAGCAAAGAGGGATGTATTATAATGTCAGCATACCATCAGCAGATTATTGCGTAAAAAGTTGATTAATTATCAGTATTGGCAGGTTTAATGTTTCTGTCATTATGTGCAGCTGATAAGGGGAGGTATTAATTGTGTGCACATGTTGACATATTATGGGTATCATCAACAAGCTTCAACATGTCAGCTGATTGGCAGGATTTGGAAATGTCAAAAATAGACAGCAGGTACGTGACTGATGATCTATAGTTGGAAAAGAGTACAGTTATTGTTTATGCCTGAATCAAATGTTGTTCTCTAGTTGTCAGAATCTAATAGAGAATTGTAGTTCTGGGTAAAAGAAAAAAGCTGTGTGTACATTTGTATTACCCAAAATGAGTTTGAAAACACTCTCATATAGAAAATCCAATATTGTACTTCAAAAAGGAGTGATACCTCTAATCTGAGGATGCAAAATTCTGATTAGCTAAGTAATGCATCTGAAATTGAAGTGTCAGTGTTTTTTAATTTAGCAAATTAAAAAAATAATGATGTGAACTAAATGTCTAAAACAAGTGTTATACATTATTTTCATTCATTATAAAGTCATAAACACCTGTAAACATGCAGCTAAACCCAACAGTATTGAGCAGACACAAACCAACCGGTGGCTCACTGTCATGGCTTTATGGCAACACACAAGTTCTCCATTTTACATAAACACAGACAACGATGAGTTTGAAAATCTCAACTTTCAAAACCTCTGTTTTCAATGACCTAACACTCAGGCTTCCCAGAGGCGCAAGGCCAAAACATAAAAAAAAAATCATATCCGCATACATATAGACAGGGGTCTGAGTCTCATGCGTCATTACCAAATGACATCGCTAACAGTGCTATTAGTATTTATACTCGATAGGACCAGCAAACCAGCGAACAGCCTCACAATCAGGCTGTTCTTCGCACACATATGCTGTTCAGTTCATTATACTTCCACACTTCACAATTACCCCACAGATATTTCACTGACATGATCATTTGTTCAGCACAGCTTTTTCACCATTGAGCGTTAACAAAAATACAGATAGCCTGCAGAGTGTAAATTTGTATTGGACAGACGCAGATATTTGTCATTGTTTAAATGAAGATGATGCTGATACTTGCTAACTTTTCTCCCTCTCTCAAAAAGCCTGTGTTTAAATGTCTAAGGTTTTACTAGCTGTTCATTAGCACAATACTTAGGGTGATATTGCCATAGAAAACTAATAAAAACATGACAGATAATAGCATTCAACATTTGTGCCCTTCACCCCTTTCAAACGTTCTCAGAAATGTCAGGCTGGGTGCTAGTTGATCTGCCTGGACATGTTGTCACCTGACCGGCGTCATTGAGTGTCACTTTCGGCTGCCTCTCCCTGTGATGTAACACCGAGGATCACATTTCAGCGTCTGGGTGTAGAGTGGAGGGCCTCTAAAGGTGTCCACCACTTTGAACTGAGGCACCCAATCTCTGTCAAAGGCCTTTATGTTTGACCGTCTGTCTTGCTAACTGTGACAGAACAGCCCAACATCATTAATTAAACATCAGCCTCTCCCACAATCACTGGATCGCCATGACAGGCAGCCATGCCAACAGTCCCCATTGACATGCCTTGGAAATCTAGAAGGGGATTACATATGGTAATGGTTTCTGACAGGCTGCCATTTGCCTCTGTTAATCTGATAGGATAAGATATCTGGACTGCAGAGCATGGTGTGTTGTAACCCTTTGAGTCTGATATTGTTACGCTATGATAAAACTGACTAATTTTGAAGACGCAAGCAATGTCCTGGAAGAAATCTTAATCCTCTGACAAGCTTTTGATGGGATCCCAAATATTGTAACTGACTCAAACATGTATTTTTAGACCTGGATCCTGCTAGTATTTGCTGTCAATTTCAATATTTCTCACATTTATGATCTCCTGTCATGTATGGTGTGGTGATGTGACAGACTATAACAGACCCTGGTGATAACACTTCACAGAGGAAGCTAGCTACGATGCTAGCCCCAGGCTGCCAACACACCTTTATTTTGCTACGGTTCATTCCCGCCTTCAGAGAGAAGCTGAGTTTTTTTTTCTCTGCTCTTTGCTCAACTAAGACTCGTCCCAAATATAGATCCACGCTGAAACATTATTCTACTGTTAGTAGTACAACCCCAGCACCATAAGAGGTTAGAGGCTGTGAAAAGGAGGATGAAAAAAGCATTTGATAGATTGCAAATCATTTAAAGCAAGTATTTGATTGGAAAAAAAAGTATTTCTATATAATTTTAAATTGGATGCCAGCAGCATGTTTCTGAGAAGTCCAGGCAGGAGCATGTGCCTTTGTGTTGGCTCACCTCTTCTTTTAACAACACACTGTAAACATTTGGAAACTGAAGAGACCAGTTCTTGGAGTTTTTAGAGTTGAATTTTGTCCCATTCCTGTCTAATGTAATATTTCAGCTGCTTAACAGTTTAGAGTCTCTTGTTGTTTTTGTTCTTTTGAATTAGTCAGGATGTCCCTCTCCTCTTTGAAACAGCCGATGATTTCCAAAAAGCACATCACATGTTGACTTGTCAGACCAGAGGACAGTTTACCACTCTGTATGCACTTTGTTAATGCATTTTTTGGTGTGATTTTGAGCCCATGCACTATGTTTTCCTAATTGTTCTGAAATGTGTAGCTGGTGTTCAGTTTCAAATGGACATATATTTTTCATAAAAGTGCAATGAAATTGGGGTTGTAGTTCTGGTAATATTTTAACACTAATACCCAACTTCACATGAGGCCATGAGCCAATCTTGTGGAATGACTAATATATGGGCAATAGACATGCTGGAAACAAGCAACGAGGGGGGAGAAAAGGGTTTAGGCAAGCTGCTCTCCCCCAAATAGGGACGTAAATCATCTCAGAGCACGATATCCCGAGCTTATCCTAAAAGAGCAAGTGCTTTTTCCCTCTCAGCGGTCTAGAAATGAAATAAATATATCCAGATAAACAACCAGACAGTTAAACATCCACCTCTCCAAAAGCCAATTGCCCTGGGCTTTTATTAAATATCGATTTGATTTGTAAAAGGCCAGTTGCTGCGAGGTTAAATAAATGTCATGTTTTCCTGGTCCAGTTTACTTTTCTTGTCTCCTCAGTCGGTGACATTTTGTCTCGCCGTGTGTACACACAGCAGTAAAAACCAGCGACCAACTTGACCCAATCCATCTATCCAGAGATGCATTTACAGGAAGACACACACATCTTTCTTCTCAGCATTACAGTTCAATCCTGCATGCCTTGTGTTATCAGTAAATTCATCAGCAACCAAGGCCAATTTGGGGATGTTTTTCATTCGTATTAACTCATGAAATAAAGCAAAGCAATAAAAGCCTGGTGCACTCCTCCTTGTAAGAATTGCTTGTCAACAACAGCAGGAAGGAATAAGGCGTCGTCTGACAACAAGCCATCTTTGAAACGCCTCTGAGAGGGAAATGGCATCCATTAGAAACATACAGAAAATGTGTGTTCACTGAAGGGGGGGTGGGGGTCCGAATCACACACAGACACAGACACACAGATAATTGTTTATCCCTGGGAGAACCTTCAGTGTTTGTCTGCGGGTGGCTAAGTAAGTTCAGCAGCACTATTGGACAGGGAGTGTGCAGCAGACCCAAGGCTCGACAAACATTAGGATGAATCAATTAGGCCGCCATTAGCCAATAAAGTGGCCCTCACTGAGTCGTGTAATTATGACCCACAGCAAAGCCGATTTTATGGAGTCACATTATCCCTTTCTTTTCTTTATTAATTTTATTTGTTTGAGATAATCCCCTTCATGGTTTTAATTATGTGCTTTAGGTTCATGGTGGAATAAATAAATCATCATTTGCTCCCATCCCTTCTGAACACTGTAGTTTCCTCCTTTCCCCAGACTGTTACCACTACGTCTGTCATCTCTGCGAGGATCACACTGATTAGACGCTTAAATTAAAAATGAATACAGTCACATCCTTTTTGCGAGATCCACATGAAGCCCTCTCGGAGCAGGTTCCCGATTAGATTGTACGATAAGAGACGGCAGGAAGAGCTGATATTATAGGCAGCAGCTACTTAGCTTGTTCCCAGCACAGAGGACACAGTGTAAGTGTGACAATGTGCTGTCAATGAGGGATGACAGTACACAGCCAACATGGCGTAATGTATTGTTCCTTCCCGGGTCCCTCCTGACAGATGCTCTCCAAGACAGCTGGATCAGCAGCATGAATGGCGTTGGGATCCAGGGCTGAGCCGAGGAAGTGATACGCGGCTGATTAGCGAGGGGATACATGTGTCAACAAGCAAGGCCTGGGGATGGTGACAGAGTTTGTGTTAATTCTCACTTTAGCGAACATTTACCTGTTTACTCTGGAAACGTAGCTCTGTTCAGTGGAGTCATTTACTTTCCATCTGCACATGATCATTTTCATTCCATCCCTCCAAACAAAAAAAGAGTCAGCTTACCAGTTGTTGTTTTTTTTTTTTCCATCTTCATCTAAGAGATCTCCGAAGAACTGACCTTCTCTGCTACAGCCGCTCTTACAAGACAGATGCTGGAGGTGCTTCAAGCCAAGTAAAATAAACACTCAGTGAATGTTGTTTAAGCTGGAGTTTGGCAGAATCCAATCGTTTCTGTGGACACAGGGAATTATATGTTCCATTTTGCTCTTGAGATGTTTCAACTGTAAGAACTAAAGCCCAATTTTATACAAAACTCATAAAATGTCTAGACTCTCAGATTCTTCTTTGGTTAGCTGATCCTCTGTTCCTATTACACTTCCACTTTGTATTTAAGACATTTTTTCATCCAACTATGAACTTACAGCAAAAACATTCGAAGCAAAAACACAAATTTGGAAATGTAAATGGAAGCAGAGATGCTGGTTGAATCATCTTGAAGCTTTAGAGCTCTTTTTTGCTCCACCTTGAAACTTAATGTTGCATCTTATTGTGTGATTTGCTCAGAAAAAGGACTGTCCATACCATTGTATGGGGTGTTGACAGTAACCAACTTTGAAGAAAATGAATATTGTTAGCATATGATGATGCCAAGTGAGTTATTTGTACATAGTGGGTAGCAGCAGTGGTTCTTCATGCTGGTTGTTGCTTATCCCAACCTGAAAGGAAGATGAAGAAGCAGCAGCTCAGTGAAGAAGACACATTAACCGGCTAGTTCGCTACCTGGAGCATCCCTCTGAAAATTGATCACAACAAACCTGTTTTAAGATTTATCATAAAACAAAAAACAACACTCTAGTAGTCAACCAATTGCAATTATATGAGAATATGGTCAACATATACTGCTGATATCACAGTCATGTCTTTTTTCTTTTTGCAGTTAAGAACTTTGAACAACCTAGTGATGCTAGCAAATGATCAACAAAGTTACTGAATACTGGTAAAAGTTTTAGTGAATAATTGTAGAAATAAACAAATATTTCATGCAGTAAATTATTACTACAGAAGACTTTTGTTGCTGCCATCTTGAATTATTAACAAAGACCCAAAAACCAAGGTAAATATTGGGATTCAAATTTCAAAAAGTCATGTATAAATCCATTATTTTATGCACATTAGAATAAAGAAAATTCATGCTTATCTTAGCCAGTACCATTTTTCAATAGATTTCTAATTAATTGAAATAACATAATGGTGATGTTGGCCTTGTGAGGGCTGATGTTTGTGTGATTCCGTTTACTCAAAAATGCACTTTAATGGGCCAACTGATGAAACAGTCTATTACTACAACATGTGCCTCTTTGGGCACTAATACAGCAAACATTTATACTTGCTAACCCTCTTTTTGACTGTCTTCGTTTAGTTTTATAACTTACAATCTACTGCAAGTTGTGTGTGTGTGTCATTTCAAAATATAACCCTGATTTTACAACACAGTAAATAAAGCAACCTAAACACACAATAGCGTCAAAATGAAAGGATCACAAACTTTTTTTTTCTTGAGGTGATCTTTTCAGCACAAGTCTTTACTGCAGCAGGTCGGTACCAATGCAGTAGATCATGTCAATGGAGACTGACAGATAAAAGTAATGAACTAAACCCATGCTCAAAGAAAGACTCCTCACCAGTTTGGGGGATTTTTTGATTTCATAACAAAGACAGCGAGCTTGTGGACAGCATGAGATGCAGAGTCTCACACACACAGAAGAAGACAGTGAGTGTTTGTTTAATTAGAAGTTTCAGTCACTGGTGCCGACGTGGACAGAGCCGAGCTTTGAATATCGTCAGAAATGGATTATGACAACAAAGTAGGATGATTGCATTTATTAAGGTAATGAAGTGACATGTCCACCCTTGTCTTGCTTTTCCTTAATTTGATTTTTCCCCAATTGTTCTGTAAATATCTCCATGAAATCGTTATCATGAATCATTTTGGCCATAAAAAAATCTTTGGGTGAAAATGTGATATCTGACAAGCCTGCTCAGAATGAGTCTGTATTTTTTTCTTCCATTAAGAGTGTGCTGCTTTGTTTTCCCTCTAAAAGTGACTTCCAGAAAGTTCAGCTCATTCTCCTCCGTGGGATCTTGTGGTATGCTCTTATTTTAACACCCACTTTAGTTGGGTATTTATGAAGTGGTAACTATAGAGAGAAACAGCCTCTCCATACTGGTGAACGTTCAGGAGGTGAGGAGCAACGGGGGTCTTTGTTGATGTACATTAACCAAAGTCGACAGGCAGGTCTCCAGTTTCTGATGTAGTGTGTATGATCAGGTCATAACGCGGTTGCGAGTTGCAGCACTGTGTAGGTAAGGCGGGTGTGAGGCCATCTGAGATTTTAGCCTCAAGTCAGTCCATACATTACGGGAGTGATGAAGGAGGCTGGGTAATGAAACAGGATGTTTGTACAGTCCTGCTACCCCATGAGACCCCCACCACCGTCTTCCCCAACACTCAATCTACCTCCCGCTGAGCTCGTGGCCTGAACCCCTGACCTCCTCCACTCACCAACAGTTGCCATATTTGCATTTCCAGTCCACTTAAGGGCAAAAGGAGGGTGACTAAGAGACCCCCCTCTTTTTTCTCTGCTAGTACAGCAGGCCCCATTCTCATCCCAGTGACCCCCTGCCCAGGCCTACCACCCCGGACAGCAGTCTGGGGTTAATGCACCAAGCACTCCTATTGTCTCTGAATTAATGAAGTGCTCCCTGCCTGTCCCCTCTCATTCAAAGACAACGAGACAAATGACGAATGGTAACGTTTTAAATGGCTATCGACACATGCAGGGCGGAAAGTCACAGAGTCACAGCCCCTCTCAGCACCGAGGCCCCCCTAACAAAAACACCAGATGCTGTTGATTCGCTTTCGATGTCCACTCTGGGATCAATTTGGGTCCTGGCTTCTCCACAGAAGAGTAGGTGTTTCATATTGAAATGGATGGTTTCTCAGATGGAGGAGGAAGAGTCAGAGACTGGGAGTGTTTTCACCTCAGAAAATGGAAGGTTGGACTCTGAGCATTTGTGAATGGCAAGGGAGACCTCTAGTGGAAATGAGTGGTATCAAATTTTCAGAAGATGAGTTACCATCATTGATGAGTATTTTTAAAGTGCAAGTTCAGATTCTTGAAGATGTGCTACCATGAAGAAAGTTATTAGAATTATGACAATTATATTAAGCATTATAAGAGATATGTAAAGAACAGACCATAAAAAACAAAAAGCTAGAAATGTCATCCAGGTGCGATAATGAGAGAAAACCTTCACAAAATATTCAAATGGATAGTTGTTTTACCTTAGTATTAAATACACAGAATACTGACTGCTGTGCATGCTGTATCTGTGTTGAATGCCCTCACAGGTAACTGTCAGATCCAGAAAAAAAAACAAAAAACACATGTAGAAGAAAAGAGAGAGATTGGGTTTTGTTACAAGCTACGTTCTCAGGGCTGGTGACACATTAAACAACATGAAATACGGTCAGAAATGATTAAGGTTTTGAAGTTGATTGCATTTATAAGTCAAGTTTACTCAAGTTTACGAAGTGAGGTGTGTGAACTCCACCTGCGCTCTCCTCCTCTTGTGTCTCTGCTTCCTCTCCATGAGGTGTCTGTCAGAGGGTCAGACTCAGTTGTTTTCCATACATATGTAAAATATATATATATGGCATATTTATATGGCATTTTCAGTTTGTTTATTATGTTGTGCGGCCCTAATTTATTTTCTTGGTTTTCACATTAATTCCTTTGTATATAAAATCTTTAAAAGAAAACTTTCCATTAATTGTTCTTGTGATAAAGCATTTGATAAAGTGACATCTCTATTTTAATCAACAGTACTGTAAACACTGAAGAGTGAAAGGCTGTATCCCTAAAAGGGAGAAGGTAACACAAGGGTACACTGTTTCATTGCAGAGCTAAAATTGGCGACTGAAGGCATATAACCAAAAAGAAAACAAGCATTTGAATTGGGTGACTTAAACTTCTTTCCAGTCATCGTCTAAATCTCTCCGTTTTGTGTGGTGCAGTTCAGTGATGCCATAGTTGAACACACACATTCGTAAAATACATTTGGGTCAGGTTTGTAAAGGAATTTGTCTTCAAACTAGAAAAACCAGACCAGCTGTGGTGTTATATCCACACACTGTACACTCCATTCACAAATCTGTCTTTGCTCCATCACACTGCATCCTTCATGTTGAGCTGGTGGATGAGTGGGTGCAGCTCAGCAGTGTCAGCCATGTAGTCAGCCTCCTCCACAGCTGACAGCTTGTTACGGTGCATCACACCACTGTAGGTGTGACCTTTATGACTGACCTCTGACCTCCTCCTGTCATTGCAGTGCTGAGTATCCGCGGCGCCCAGGAGGAGGAGCCCCCGGATCCCCAGCTCATGCGCCTAGACAACATGCTGCTGGCTGAGGGCGTATCTGGTCCGGAGAAAGGCGGAGGCTCGGCAGCGGCAGCAGCTGCAGCAGCGGCCTCGGGGGGAGCCGGAGCGGACAACTCAGCAGAGCACTCAGACTACAGAGCCAAACTGTCCCAGATCCGACAGATCTACCACACAGAGCTGGAGAAGTACGAACAGGTGAGACAACTGACCCACAGCTTATTGTTTTCATATTTATATTACATACTGATTGTTTCTGAATGTGGTCATGTTTATCCATACTTATATGAGTTATTTCATTAATAGTAAGAAAACTTACAACAAGAGTATACAAAAGCGCTGGCTTTGCCTAGCTGCTGCATCATGCACCCTTTGTCATGTGTATACAGATTGTAATCCTCAAAGTGGGCATCCCTTTTAGTTTTATATTCTATTTGTTCACTTATTTTGCCAATATAGGCATAATTGACCCCAAAAACTTTTAAAAAGTCTGCAAATCTCATTTTGGAGAAGTAATGTTGCAGCAGGCTGAACCATCCTGACTTCTAGTAATGTCCACAGGTGATTATCCAATGATGTCACAGCTAATATTTTCCACAGTGTTATTGTTTGCAATCTTTGGTTTCACACATTTTTTTTTACATTTATTTTATTTCATGCCTTTATGTAGAGGATGGGACTGAGCAAGAAGAGTTGGAAGCAATGTTCAGAAAAAGATCCACAGACTTGATCCGAATCCCAGCCATCCTTGTGAGGTGTAACCTCCTTATATTGGCACCATCCCTAGACTGCTAGACCAGTGGCCCCCTTAAACACATTTCTAGATAATGCTCACATTGTTCAAACTTCCCATGCCCAAGTTTTTAATGGAGTTTTTCTGAAATCACAGTGTGAATTCCCCAAGCTTAAACTAAAATTACCCTTCTGACAAAACTTTTGTTTACAGCTGCTCATGATAAATTGCAAAATAGGCCAGAAAACTGAACAAATATTAAGATACAATAGATCATATACTGCAATAATCTTGTGAGATAGAGGACCCTATCTCGATTCTAAAAATGTACAGATAGTACAGGATTTCTGCTGGGTCTTAAAAAGTCTTAAAACATCTAAATTCCAATAATTTGAATTTAAGGCCTCAATATGTCTAAAATTCTCTTAAAACGTCATAAAATGTCTTAAATAAAAATTTGAAAGGTCTTAAAAATGCATTGATTTGACTTACATACTGTATATTGAAGGTAGTTTAAAATGTTCCAATATACCTTCATGTCTTTCGTACTTTTTTGCCAGTATGGATGTAAAATGGATCTTCAATTGTACTCATTATGGTCTAAAAAAAGTCTAGAATTTGATCTGTTGAAACCTGGAGAAACCCTGAAGTAAAATGTGAGGATTTGCTGCAATAGAATACAACATTTCATAATGATATTTTGGTCTTTTGGGAGCTGTGATTGTCACGCCCCAAAAACACAGTCATATCACAAAATATCAAGTGGTAAGCCAGGTACACTTAAATATTTCCTGAATGTACATCACTGTCAGAAAGAATTCACTTTAGGTTGCGTTCCCACCCCAGAATAGTCCAACATGTGCAGCCTGTTGTGTGTCTGTGTGTATTCCAAGTATAGTCTTGAAAGTCTGTCGGAGGGGGGGAATGATTTCCTCTCATTGCCTTGATAACCGATGCATTCCCGACAATAGCATGCCGCTCAGATGAATGTGAGTAAGACAGATGAACACGCAGATAGACAGACACAGGCAAAGCCTGACACGGCTAAATCCAGAGAGAAATCGACAGAAGGAGAAGAAATAAAGAAGAGGAGACAGTAAGAGACGCAGAGTCGGAGTGTAATATCGTGGCAGATTCACGCCTGGTGTCACACGAGGGGGGATGAATGAAACGTTGTGGCGTGTTCGTCTCTCAGGGTGGCTATGTTGTAAAAGTGTGTGTCTGCGAGGGGAACAGCTGTCATTGGTTTCTCTCAACACACTGCCATCACCACTTGTGTTAAATATGAAATATATCAGCACTTATATTCCCCCTTGGCTCTGTAAGAAGAACACTTGGCCCAGCACTGCATTGAGCAGAGCTGGATTTCTGCTTTCTTTTAGATTTCTTTCTTTAGCAAATTTAAAAGACCTTGTGTCACGTGTGTTTTTGTGTATTTGTACTGAGCTGAATTTTCTTTAGCCACATAGACAAATTAAACTCTTACGCTTAAGGACCTCAAGGGGGGTGTTTTTGTATCTCTTCTTTTTTAATACTCCTCTGTGTACCTTCTTCTTACAGGCATGCAACGAGTTCACCACCCACGTGATGAACCTCCTGCGAGAGCAGTCACGCACACGGCCAATTTCGCCCAAAGAGATTGAGCGGATGGTGAACATCATCCACCGCAAGTTCAGCTCCATTCAGATGCAGCTCAAACAGAGCACCTGTGAGGCCGTTATGATCCTGCGCTCTCGCTTCCTCGATGCCAGGTGTGTGTCCTTGTATACACATTTCCATTCTGCAAATCAAACACACCCACCACGCTCAGAGCTGCAAATAACCTCCCAATTTAACAACACTGCAAATCATCAAGCGCTTCCCTTGCAGCCTGATATCCATATGAATGGCTGGTGTAGGAGGCCTATCATGCTATAAACATGCTGTAGCACATGCTGTTTTGCTACTGACCAAACACACTGGACTGGTTTGCAGCTATGGATGCCATTTGGACCAGAGTACCCTGCGACACCGGCCAACAAGAGTTCCCTGCCTGTTCCATAACACTAACTATTTCCCTTTTTTTAATGTAATCGCTTGTTTCTTTTGATGCGTGCTTCGGATTTGCATACATTTCTCCAAGGATAAATGTCGCTCAAAGTCGGAGTTGGAGGCAAAACATTTAAATGAGGCATACGCTCCCTTACAAAGCTCCCTATCTATTCTCTTGCAAATTATTGTGGTGGAGCAGCAGCAGCAGCATGGAGGGGAAGGGAAAGGGAGAGGAAAGCTTTCACTGGTTGAGAGGCGCTGCCATGTTCGGCTCGGCTGATTAATCTACTGGCTGCTGGAGCCCATGCTGTGCACATTTACATATTGTCAAGCAGGCTTTTGGAGTGGGGGACAGAGATTTTAGCACAAATCTCCTCACCGGTGGGTACATGCGTGGAGATTTTACAGGGTTCCCCTCCAGCTTATGTAAAGCCCCCTTTAGATGTGGCACATGCAGACATGACCTGATAAGTGCAGAAGATAGGAGGTCAGTCAACTCATGGGTATCAGCATATGACATATCTGTCTGCGCTAAGGTGTTGTGTGTCAGGAGAAGGGTGATGCTTTCTCAAGGTAGTCTCAAGGTTTTCATGTGGAAAGTTGTATTAGAAAAGAAAAGCTAAACCTTTATAAAGCCGATGTTTGTTTTTAGTCCCATTTACTCGTCACATTTGGAGTTATGTATCAGGTCAAATGAGGGACATTTTTCGACAAATAGATCTGATGGTAGCGAGAGGAAAGCCTGTCATCCGACTGGTGGAATTACATGAACACATGGTCCCTGACATTTACGCTTTTGTATGATACTTCTTATGCTTCCAAAGTTTGTTTTGAATGCAATTGAGGTTTAATTAAATTTTTATATTAAAATGACAATGAAACAAAAAGACAGCCAACATGAGGGTTACTGGGAGAAAGCTGAATAGAAAGGAGCATGTGGCACTTCAATAACAGTTTATTTCTAACTGACCCATCACTGTGATGCAGAAAACCACATTCAAGCAAAGGCTAATATGTGAATGAATAATTGAACATACTGCGAGGTATCTCGTCTTGATGCTGAGTGCTCTCGCTAGCCGCTGTAGTTATTTTCAAAACAGAAATAACCTCAGTCTGCACTGAGTTGAGCCTTTTTTAATCAACCTAATCATCGGATTGGCTTATATAGCTCTATGCCTGCCTTTTTTCTGGCTCAGAGTCTAAAAAGTGTTTGAGTTTTAGTGGATTTTGAGTAGCTTGTAATGGCCCTCTGTGTGCTATTATTGCTGCTGCTAATTCTATTTTCAGTTTCTCATAAACGGATCTGTAGTGAGCGGTTCTGAGCCAAATTGTTCCCCAGAGTGCTGACAAAGTGTCTCAAAGCAAAACTACAGCTGAATTTAAAGTTTCTTATGTGCCAGAGGTTTAAACAAAGCAAGTAATGTGCATCAGCACCAAGACCATGTGGACCCAAGGAGACCAGCGAAGACCAGTGTGTATCATGTATGCAAACAAAATGCTCTCCTTTGATTAGTAAGGAAACCAGTAGTTTTAATTATCAGACGTGGTTAAAGTGGAGCCCTTTTCAAGCAAAAAAACACAATTTTTCAGAAGAGAATAGAGTCAAATGTTATTGTTAAAAAATGAAGGGATAAAAAATGATTGGATCTTTTGAAGGAATATATGTACAACACAAAACCTAATAGATATCTATTCTGTTGTTTGCTCAGGATCTGTTACAGACAGAATCAGAATCGGTTTTAATCACAAGTAGATTTTAAACAAAGCAGAAATTTGTGACAGTGTTTTGGTGCAAAAAAGATAAACACAGAAGTACAGATGCAAAAAAATATATTCTATACATAAATAAGAAATGTTAAATAGAATAACTGATGTCAAAGAACCTCAAACAGGATAGGATAAAGTATTAAAATAATAAATAACTTAATCACAGAACATGTAAAAAGAAAGGTAGTTGCAGAAGAGAGGTGTGTGGATGAGTGTGTAAGATGACAGTGAGTCCACGATCCAACAGTATAATAACATGAACAATGTACTATGAATATTACCAACATGCAGTTCTAAAGTCCAATGTGCATTTGAGTGAAGCTATAGTCTGGTGTGTAGTCTTAATACTAACAACATATTGAGTGACTCTGAGGTTGCATAAGAGCCTGAATGTTACATGGGGATGTGGTTCGGGAAGAAACTGCTCTTGAGGGGAAAGGTTTTGGTTCTGATGGACTGCAGCCTTTTCCCCGATTGGCCACAATCTTCATTTAGCAAATGCAGAAAAACTGTTGTAGAGATTTAAGTGTTGTGAAGAGATTAGAGGGAAGACATGGTCAGCATGAGGCCTGCATGATATGGGAAAAATGTCGAAGATGCAATTGCATTGTGTATAACAGCTTGTAACTCAAAGTTTTGTCATCTGTCTGCTGCTCTTAATGCTTGACATGATACTTGTGTTTGCAACGTGTCTCTTAAATCTAAAACAAATCCAAAACCCTTTTAACCATTAATTTACCCTTAAATTTGCTCCAATCAGTAACCAACAAATAGTTTGATCCTTGTAAGACTGCAACAAAATGGTGTGAAAGCATCACTACTATACTCCATAAGGCCATCTCGAGAAAGCAATGCTTGTTTACATATGATAACAAAATAACATCCCAGTCTGCATTATACCCCATCAGAGTAAAATCTTTAATAGATTTGTTTAACAGATTTTTAGGAGCACTCCTCTGTAACTCAAGGTCCTGTTTCCAACCCGGCCCCAAACTCAGTAAATCAGTTTAATAACAGTCACCTGTGTCAGTCTCAAAGATCTGATGTCTCTGTTATGGCCAATTTAATGGTGGATGGTATTTTTAATAAAAGTACACAACCATCTCTGTTATCATTTAGTCATTCCTGTCTTGACTCCTTTTGTTTCTCCTGCAGACGGAAAAGACGAAACTTCAACAAGCAGGCAACAGAGATCCTGAATGAGTATTTCTACTCACACCTCAGTAACCCATACCCCAGTGAGGAGGCCAAAGAAGAGCTGGCAAAGAAGTGTGCCATTACAGTTGCCCAGGTACACCACAGATCAGTGCTACCCCAACACTGCACCACACTGTCTGAGGGAAAAACAGCTTCACATAGAGCTGTGAGAAAAAGCACGGCTCTAGTCTGAAGCAGCCGTGAGTGTCTTGGCAAGTAACCTAATAATACGTTTTCTGACTGTCATGAGTACAGACAGCTCCTCTGATCTTTTAGCAGTACCTTTCATTGAGACAACAAAGGTACTCAAAGTATAAATATGCCATGTCATAAGTTTGTCATCTTGTAATTCAAACCAGACAAAGCTATTTTGGACCAATGACTCTTTGTTTCCATTGAAGTCACACAAACTAAAGACAAGACTGCTGTCATTACTGCTAACTCATCATATGGTGGAACAAATCGTCTCATAAAACTCTGATATGATTCACTAAAAGTCTGAACCAAAAACTGTCACTATAAATAAAAAATTACCTCCCATGTTCAAAATTGATTTACAGAAAACTTGGTTTCACTTCCTTTTTTCAAATTCATATCTTTATGCTAAAAAAGTGAAACTATAAATTGATTCATAAGAAAGATCAGTGGGGTAATTCATTGTGAAACTAACAGTTTCAGCCCTACAGTACATGGAAGTAATTAGAAGGACCATTAGCCTCTGAAAATTAGCACTGCAGTTATCAGATGCACTATAAATCTAACAGTAACTTCCCAAACATCCAAATACATTTAGATGTTTGTGCCAATAATGCTGACGAACACAAAGGGTCAAATATTCAGGCAACTTGTTTTTTCATTTTTGCATTCTAGCATCAAGTTGTTTCAATCCTGTGAGAATTGATAATACGAAAAGCAATGACAACACCAAGGTAAACAGCAGTTTGTGTTTTGGATCCATCATTTGGGAATGGATTGTTTTCTCAATTGGTTTCATTAATTTATACCAAGTGATTGGAGGGTGCATCTGGGTCTGATTGAGAGAGCTGCTCAGCAGCTGAATGATTTGTAGAGTTTCTGTTTCTTGGCCATAATAAAGGCGAATGTTTACCTACTCTGTGTATTGGAAAGTTTGCAGGATTGATTTGGTTTTCATTTTAATGTTGTTTATCATTAGTGCTGGGATTACCCCCCTGGCTTCATCTGGGAGTCCATTAGCAGTAATGGGTGTTAGCGGATGTTGACTGATTGGTGCTTGCGTGAGTTCTGATGATAGCTGCAGTCATGGTGACATAATGAGACTGTTATTGGCAATCATTCCACTCTGGCACTAATGCAGATTCACAGCACCAGTCTATGTAGCCCCTTCTTCTTACAGAGGCTCTCTGCAGTGTTACACATGCCATTAAGGCCATGCAAGCTAAACACTACCCTGAATTCTCGTAATGCTTGCTCTCTAATGTGGAGAGCCTCTGTGTGTCAGGATTGCATGAGAGTTAAACTACCTTCTCTTGTTTGTCTGCTCAGGTTTCCAACTGGTTTGGGAATAAAAGAATCAGATACAAGAAAAACATTGGTAAGTTCCAAGAAGAAGCCAACATGTACGCTGCGAGAACTGCCGTGAATGCGGCTAATGCATCCTCACATGGAAGCCAAGCAAATTCACCCTCAACTCCAAACTCTGCAGGTGAGACAGGAAGTCCCTGGCTCTGCTCAGCTTTTAGCCATGTACCTCCTCTCTGTCCTTTTCTACGGTTTGGCAACTATTGCAGTGTATCAGTCTGAAGCAGTTTTAATATTGGTGCCAGTGATTTAAAAGGATTGAAAGAGTTAATACTAATGAAAAGGCAGTTCTTGTGCAAAGTACATGCCTTTCAGTGTTATTATATTGAACAAGCACAACTTCCCCATTAGAGGAAAGCTGTGTCAGCAATAAGGCAACCTGAGCCCCATGCCAAGTCTCCTCCTTTCGTCCTCATGCTAACCATATTCTTCATGTATGACTTTTTCAAGTCTGTCTTCATCATACCCCTGTAATGACATACTGCTGTTATTCTACTGTCAACAAATCACATAATACCAAAACATCAGCATGATAGGCTTATTTCTTTGTGCTGTTGGGTTTCATTGTTATCATCAAAATAATATATTTAAATCATGGAGGCCCACAGCTTTACTGGGCAGTTTCTTAAAAAAATATATATATATACGGTAAAATGATTTTTAGTGAGTCAATCTTACATGTGAACATTTAAGAGTAGTGCTGAAGATAGAATACAAAAGTTGTAGTTTTTGTGTATGATGAGATTTGTTGACAATAAATCAAGACAGATTAAAAAAGCTCTCCCCCTATCTTTTGACTTAACTTTCATCTTCAGTATTTGCTGTCTTATCAGGAGTAGGAACAAGACATTTAACCAAGCGTAGAATAAGCATTGGAAGCACGAACATCTAGTGTGGATGAACAGAAACACCTTATATGCACACAACCCCAATTCCAAAGAAGGTGTGTCATTGGACTGGTGTAAAACTGCAGACGAACTGTGGATGCCATTATCTACAGAACATACCGTTATAAGATTCAAAGAACCTGGATCTTTGTACAAAACGGACAAGGCAGAAAATTAAACTGAAAGGCTACGATCTCCCTGCTCTGAGACAGTGCTGGATTGAAAATAGACCTGACTCTGTGTTGGAAATCACTGCATGGGCTCGTCAGACGAGCACAGCTTAACACTGTGTGCACTAATGTAGGTTAAAACTGTCACATGCAAAGAGGATAAACATACCTAAACATAAGCCAGAAACACCAACAATGTCTCAGGGCCCAAGTCCAAAAAAAACCAAGATTGACTTAGTGTTTGAAAAAACTGCCTTGTGGTCAAAATTTGAATCTCTTAAGGAAACTATGGACTCTGGGTCACCTGCTCTAAATGCTTGTTAACAGCTCACAGTTCAAAAGCCAGCATCTGTGACGATTTGGGGTGGCATAAATGCCAGAGTCATGGGTAGCTTACACATGTCAGGGGGATACTATTGATGCTGAACAATATACAGATTCTGGAGGTGCCCTTTAGACGGCGCCTTCTTTAGGAAGCACTTCACATATGACAGTATGACAATGTCGAACTACACTCTACAAGAATAACAATGGCTTTGAAGTGCAAGAGTCTGGATGCTAAACTGACATGCCTGCAGTCCCAACTCGTCGTACTATAATAGATTATCAACATTTTACCCAGTTTCCAAACTTTTTTTGAATTGGGGTTATTCAGTGTTTTATGTTCTGTCCTGTTGTACCAAGTAGATTCAAAATCCCTGCAAGTTGGAAAAGGGTAAATATTGGAAGATGCATTTGTCACATTTAACTAAGCTAAGCTAGCAGTTCCCCTCAGTATCCTGCACTTGTACTATGCTAGGCTGCACACCCTGAGCCTGCTTCTGTGCTTGATTCTGAAATAAAATTTCATGACTATTATCATCTCTGTTTGTAGTTTTGTGACCATTTAAACTTTTGGTAAGACAGCAACATTTGGACTGCTTTTTGAATTTCCTCTGTTACCTTTGTCCTAACTCAGCCTTGAATAACCTTTTAATAGCACTAAAATGCAAGCTCCTCTCTTATTTCTATTTCTGAAAGCTATTGGAAAAAAACAATCTTAAGTCAGTTTACAGGTCTTTATCTCCTTTTTCCTTAATTTGTTTCCTCTTGGCTCCATCTCTCTCAGCTAACAGAGCCCGTGTAGCTACCAACTCACTTCTGCATGTGCTTGAACTTGCTTTAGCCTGCTTGCTCTCTGTCTCTCTGTGATTCCACTGCTCCCTCTCTCCTTTTAGGTTCTGCTGGCTCTTTTAACATGTCAAACTCCGGGGACTTGTTCATGAGCGTGCAGTCTCTCAATGGGGACTCATACCAGGGGGCTCAGGTGGGAGCCAACGTGCAGTCACAGGTAGGGCTACTAGCAGCATAGCAGATAATACAGGGGTAGATCCAGCTCACTTCCCAGCAAAACTCTCTCAGAGCAAATATTTCGACTTGTCATACTCAGGTGTAGATGATGGGAATAATTCATTAATGCTGTATAAGACATATCAAAATAGCAAGACATTTCATAACTTGATTGAGTTTAGCTATTCATTCATGTAGGTGCTTTAACCTCTTTATCACAGATTAAATGCTGGTGTTTTGTTCATTTCATGACAAACTGCCATGTCAACTCAAAGGTCAAGCATTTATCCTTCTTAGAGAAGCTAATGCTGTTTTTCCCATTTCACCAACATTGTTTGAATGCAGTGCTATTTTGCAAGATTGGCCTTAAAACTTGGCTTTATGACTTAATTGTTCTATCCACAATATATAGCGCTGACATAGTTTTAGTAGCATCACTCATCGGTTTCTGAAGATGGGTTTTGAAGCCTGACAGCCACAGTTGCCATATTAGAAAATGATGACCCAACCTACCTTAGGTAAACTGAAGAAAGGCAAAGAGATGGAGTTTAGGCAGGCCATTCAGCCATGTCCTACTTCTTAACTCTACTCTCATAATGTGACAACTTTCCTGTAGAGTTCGTAGAGCCCTAACCCCCTGTCGTACTCCTTGGCTCGAGTGAAACCTAAAATTACAAGCCTAGCTAGCATAAATAGACACTTACCCCTCATAGAGATCAAATTGGTGTTGTTCCCCATAGCAGGAAGCTAACCCAACACTCTAAAAACCATTAGCAGACAAACAGCCCAAATGGAACAAAGCCATCATTATAGCTCACAAACGAAGCTAGTTTTTTTTTCCTGTCGTGATGAGTCAAAGTGTCTGTCATTAGAGAGAGGACTAAACAAGCTTTTTCTGGCTCCACTAAAGCGCTCGTCAAAGTCTCAAGGGCAGAATGTGCTGACTGTGTGAATAGCTTTTATTCAAACTTGTAAAAAGCAAACATTTTTATCCTGAATTCCCCTTTTGTTTGATGGACCTTGTTTCCTCCAAGGATGTACTTGCAGCAGTGTACTCTTGTTGTCTCTCTTGTTGTCTTGTCATCCCTCCCTCTTTTCTCTTGTGTTTCTCTTGTGTTGACTCTGACCTTGCTTTGTTTGTTGTTTCTGGATGTTTCAGGTGGATACCCTTCGCCATGTTATCAGTCAGACAGGCGGATACAGTGAAGGACTCACAGCCAACCAGATGTACAGTCCGCAGGGCATCAATGTAAGGATTTTTTTTTAAAGTCTTTCTCTCTCTACCAATTATTTTGAAGCCATAGGGCTCAGAATGCCACTTAGTAGGACTTGTCTCTGCTCCATGGTCACCTAGTTGATTGCTTCTGTATCGCTCGTGCCATGGGCAGCGCCATGCCCGGCGTATGCTAGCATGGGGCTGGCCACACACATGCAGGGCCACTGTCTGAGCCTGTCACCTTGGATCAATTCCAGCGTAGCACCTGCAGCCACGTACAGTCAGCCATGAGCAAACTGCACAAACAGGTGACACATCCCTCTGACCACCTGACCTATGATTAGCAGCCCCAAGGCCAGAAGCTCCCATTAAAGCCTCATGGGAGACAATGCCGCTGTCCCGCTAAAAACCTCTCGCTGCTGGAAACAAGTCCTCATGTGCCATAGGGGTGTGTTCCCCTCATGTTTGTCTTATTTTGAAGCAGAGTTCGGGGTAAAGAAGCGGGGGTTGTGAAGGGGGGGTTGGGGGTTTTGCTTGCTGGCGGCTGCAAACAGTAGGGAAATTCATAGCGACAAGCCGTGTCGTAAAGGGGAAAATCGATAAGACAGACACAAGGAGAGCAGAGTGTGGACTTGGGACAGCAATCCAAGCGCATTGCTCAGATCATGTTCGTGCCACACTAATGGCCCTGACAGCGAGCCGCGCTGAGAGGACGAGGACGGTCACAGCCGCGGCTGGGTTCCTCCGCTGTCGTCGTCGTTGTGCCTCAGTGGCCATATGATAATCAGATGAAATGTCCCCCGTATAAAAACATGTATGTGTATTCAAATAGGCTTCCTGGCTGCTCAAAGCACATCCCGCAGCCAGCTGTGCTAACCCTGAGAGGCCGCTAACGTATTCAGGCCCTGTTCTTCCTCAGTCCTTTGACCTCACAGATACAGTTCTCCTTGGACGCCTGCTTGCTCTACCACATCTTACACTGCCACAATATGCTGTGTTATTCACTTTTATACCCTGTAAAGAAGCTCTGCAATGCATAATGTAAAAGCGGGATATCTGCCTGGCAGCCTGTTTGCCTGTGATTTATGTGGCTAGGGCGAGTGAGTTAGGAATTTTGGCTCTTCACTCACTTTTTATTCTACAGTGTGTGCTTCTCTGAACAGTTTGATTTATTTTTCAAAGTAATAGTATTTTATGCCATAGTGTTAAATCTTTTATGGTGTTTCACATTTATCATCACTATCTTTTCTCGCTGGTTTTAGGTCCTATAAAAGCACCAGGTGTGTTGTAGGGCTGCTTGATAGTAGCAAAAATTACAGTCACAAGTGTTTTGACATTGAATTTACTTTCTTTAAACAGAGTTATTCATTGATTCAACAATATCTGCATCATAAGACTTCTCTAAACTGAAGCAAACCAATTAAGTCATTAAGTGAATAAATATATACTAGAGTGATGTCGTAATCAAATCACTTGGATAAGCCAGTGAGTTGAAAAAGATGACTGCCAAGCTTTGATAAACAAAAATATAATCATTTCATGTTACAGTTCATGTTACACTAAATCACTAAATTGAAATTAAAAATTGATTGATTGCCCTCAGGGTTTAAAATATATAGTTTTTTTTTTTTTCCCACTGCTCACTCTGTCCCTCTGCTTTACTATCACACATACCTGTATACCAGACTGCCAGTCATGTCCTGGCGAAAGCTCCCTCTCCTCCTCACTCCACAAACTGAGGTAGGAACTTTTAGTAGGACAGACTTAGCGCCACAAAGGACAAAATTTGTGAAACAGCAGAAGCCAGACTGGTTGTATAATCTGGATTATCTTGTTTTCACGATCGTGTTAATTCAAAATTGCAATTGAAACTCAATAATTGCCCTGCCCTAAAGATTTAAACTAAGCACAAAGCTTTTTTTTTTATTTACCTAGAAAGGGTATACTAGATAGCTTTAAGGTCTCATGTGATCTTTATTATCTCAACAAAAAGGCAGTCACAGGAAATCAGAGAAAACCTAAAACCAGAATATATGACTGAAGCATGAAACAAGTGATAAGAGAGTTGCAAGAAACTCATTTTGTAAGCTAGAAGTGCTGTAAAATGACTGAGCAGATACAGAATACATGCTGAGGATGATTACAGCTGCAATTACAATCCTGAAACAGGCCAAGCGCCCCTGAAGTCAGACATCCTCCAGTTCAACCCCTCCATTTGTGATTACACTCCTCTGCCTCAAATCACAGGCTTTGAAATGAAAGGCTGCCGAGGACCATTTCCAGTTTTTCTGACGGATTTAAATTTACTATTAATATCCTGACTGCTCAGTAACAGCTCTGTCTCTGCGAGTGTAAAGGCCGTCTATGGCTCTTATTGTATGTTAATTCCTGCTGTCAGCTGCATAATTAGTGCACATGACATTGATTGCTCTTGTTTTGTTTCAGAGGTCTTTTCATATAATTTACGCAAATTCTACATGTTATTTATAATGACAGTGGCAGGCATTTATTTCAACACAAAAAATTTGTTTCAATGTGAGTTTCCTCTCTGTATTTTCTTCATTATATGAATTTGAGGGTGCAGTGGATGATGGGTGGAGACTGTAATTCACTCCATTTCTGCTCGGTTGAATTTTTTATTCCTTATGTCAGTCTTATTCTGAAATATAAGCTGTAATTTGAGCCAGGTTAGCTTTTCCAGCAATCCAGAAGGCAATTTAGCTTAAGGCTGTGCTGCAGAAGTATCCCAGCATACCACAGTGTGCTCATACACCACCCCGCCCGTAGGACTACCATCGAGTGTACCTCATTGTGTTTGACCCAGCAGTAGTGAATAATGAATATGAAAGTAAAAGGACACCCCCCCCCCCCCCCCCTTTCTGCTCTTCTCTCTCTTCTCTCAGGCAAACGGTGGCTGGCAGGATGCTCCGACCCCCTCATCAGTGACTTCACCCACAGAAGGACCCGGAAGCGTTCACTCTGACACCTCCAACTGATCCTCCACCCCCTCACTCCTCCAGGTCCTCTGCTCCCCTGACTTCCTCCACCACTGCAACCCCGTCAATATCTCTAAAAACTTAAACCCCATTGGGAGTGGATGTGACGTACTGTGTGTGGTCACAGCAGGACACAGTTGGGGTCTGGGATGACGCTTTCCCCTCAAACGGATGAATATTTCACTTTTCCTATCTGGACCATGGCAGCAGCACTGCAAAGGGGACTCATATCCACACTTCACAGTTTGTACAGTTTCCACTTGATGTCCATGTTGCCTCTTTGTATTTTCTCTTACATTATATATTCACACAGTAGGCACAGTTAGCAGCATAATTCCCCACGTCTTGTAAATTGAGATGCTTTCACACTACCTCGATTCGACAAATAACAACAGAGAAAACAGATTTCAGATGCTTTGCTTTTACAAACTTTTATAATTATTAGGATTTTACTGTACACCTCACCATGCCCTGTCATTACACCTCTGCCTTTATTACTGTAGTCACACATTTTGTTCATATATTGTGCTAAAGTTCAACCTTGGAGGTGAATTTTGATAATATGACATTAATTGTGTTTGTGTCTTGTCCGTACATTTCTCATGCCAAAATTTTGTGAAGTACAGCTATGTTTGTCCACTCATATTTGTCAGGTAATATTCAAATATTTATCCTCAAATAAATTATAGTTTGTACACAGGATTTCAACCCCAAACAGCTACATGTAAGGCTTTTTATATTTTATTGCAAGGTGCATCTCAACAGAGTAGAATAATGTTTAAAAAAAGAAAAATAATCCTTGTAATTTATTTTGAAAATGTGACACGCACAGAGAAATATTTTAAATGATTTTTTTTGTTGAAGTTTTAATAATTATGGATTATATGTCATGAAAATGACCAATTCAGTGTTTTAAAACTGTTGGAATATTTCCCCAAAAAATCAAAAAGAGGATTTAAATACAGGAATGTCAAACTTCTGAAAATTACTCAATACTTGGTTTGGCCCCTTGATCATGAATCAATTTCTATTTTGTTAAGATGTACCTCTAAATTTCTTGCCCCACAAAAGTGCAAATGATACACAATTTTTACACAAGCAATTATCAAAATTAGCGCAAAGAGAGCTAAATGCATGCATATTGGCATCCACAACATTCAAAGACAAAGTGACTTTAAACCCTGAATCCATGACAACATCAGCAGCATTTACAGTACGTCAGTATGTAATAAAGCACAATAGCACCTAATGATTCAACTCAATAACATTTGTAAATGTCAGAGAATACAATACAGAGGAAAATATTAACATTTAACTAAAGAGGTCATGTATGGAAGACAGAGCGTTTTCACGCTGAAGTCATCATAGCCAAATACTGCTGGGAACCAAATCCAAGATGAAAAATGCCATTTTTAATTTGAAAGTGTTTGCAGTATTAAGTTATTTACATTTTTAGATTTCACTTTTATTAATGGGATTGTATTTGGGTCATAACCCTAAGAACATAATATTCAAATTGAGTTATTGTTAATATAAGAATTAAATATCCCAAAGCCGGCTTATAGATTTTTGACACAAATATGACTCCATATACATCCAGCTGAATAAACTCACCCGTTTCTCTGGAAGAAATCCTAAATTTCCTTTTTGTTTTATTTTATACTGTCACTTAAAACATCCATCAACACAAACCAGTCTGAATTGTAAAATTCAGTTTGTTGCATGTACAGTGTAGTGTGCGATCTAACATGTTCACATAATCACATCAGTCTTCGAGAGATATCTGCATTCTGTGATACCAAAAAGGCAGAATTTCTATCCTCTTCATTGGGGTCCGCTTTACTGAATTTTTGTTCCCTCTTTCATAGGATTTTATTATCATCTATACTCACGAGCATCCCATAATGCTCCAGGGCTCTGTATTCTCAACCCAAAAATGCAGCTTGAATACAGAGGTGTTTATATAAATTAAGATGAAAAGAAATACTTTGATGGCACACAAATCCAGATACTGTTTGGATATATTTTTATGTCTCCATTTTGTGAATAACTCATGCATCGTTTTGTTTTCATTTGATATTATGTTGCTTTGCTACTTCGGACAATATTTCTTATTTTATGCTACTGTTATACGTGAATTAGCCCAAGAATGCTATATATACAGTATGTAGATATGCACCTTTACTCTTCCTTTTTTTATTTGGACAGTATACATTTTAGCACAGCATAATGGAGTTCCTGTCAAACTTAAAGGTTAAATCTGTGTAATTATTTTTAACTCAGACCATCCAAACAAAGCCTGTATCCAAGATGGCTGCTGTCTTAAAGAAAGTGACATGGAAAGTTTTTGCTGGCATGTCCCTTTGGGCTTGTTTTTAGCTTTACAGTCACTAAGAGAGAAAACATTTTATCCCCAGATCTAAACCAGTCTCAATACAGCCAGAAAACTCCACGTATTTTTTAACACTTTGTGAGTGTTTTTGTATTTATTACACATGTATGAAATCATGGATGTTTTTGAGCTACTTCCTGTCAGACCACGGCATAACAATACAAAACAAACCCATTTGGATCATCCAGAACGGCCCCTCCTCGACCCCCCCCCTGCTCAGTATTACAGTCCAGGGGCTGAGCGCCATTGAAGTGATACACAGAACCTGCCTCAGTCGTGTCTTCTGAAGTCATTGGAGTGAACTGACAGCACCGGCCATGCAAGGCAAACACAAGGATTGTTTTTGCACCCCTTCAAAAAAAGGCTTAACTCTACTTTTCACATTGCCTGTCAAATATTATCGAAGCTTCATGTAATGACGCTTTTTAGTTTTTGAATATAAAAGGAAAAGAGACATGAAAAGAAAAATGAACAATTTGTAAAACATAAAATGTTTTATTTGTTGCATGTCTTTTTGTTCTTCAATAAAATAACGTACTGCAGTGTTTTGAATGTTAACTTCTTTTTTATAAGGATTTCAGAGTGAAATCGTGGAGCCTTTTTCTTGACAGGTTTTAACTTTTAAGATCTCTGCGTATGTAAAAAGGTATCAAATGAAAAACTATTGTCTTTTTAATTCCAACTCAAAACCTGTTTTCTGTGAAGAAAAATAGCTGAAAGGTGTAGGTTTTATGGTCTCTTAATTTGTACTGGCAATGCGTATCCCAAATAAATAGTTTCTTTTGTTGCATAAATTGCAGTTTTTGTCCTTTTTCATGCATGTGTTTTGGTCCGGTTTTTAACAAATACACAGCTGAATATATCAAACTTGTGTGCGGTGTCTCCTCCAGACTTTTGTAACAGGGTCAGGGTCAGAAGTCACTGTAGGACACAAGTTTACACGTTGTTGACTTGTCAGTCCAACACCTCTGGATAACATTGCACATCTCACTTCCAACTAAGCAACTGCACGCAGGCATTTTATCACCACTAACATAGCGCCAGAGCTCGGCTGTGCTAGCGAGGGTGTGATGGGGACATTTTCACAGTTTTTGAAGTGAGTGAAAGCTGTGCGCTCCCGGCAGACAGACACCCCCCACCCCCTTTTCCAACACCCAGCGCTCCCTCCAAGGCATGGTTAATGTGCGTTCCCTGAAAGAGGCGGAATCCACACTTATCTCTCTCCTCCAGATAAACCAGACAGGATGTCTGATTCTGCTCCTTCAATTCATCCATCCCTGAGAAAAAAAGAAAACAGGAGAAAAATGGTTAAAACATTAACTTGTGGGTTAGAAAAAAGGTTCTCAGGAGCATCTAAAATCACAGAGCGTGACAAAGACTGTGGGAGTGACATATGCAAACATGATCAAGTGTAATTACATGGAGAAGCCTCCTTGTTTCTATCAAAGGGCTTCTTTTAGCCACAGTGTGAGCAATGAAAGGCAACGAGTGCTGGACGTGTGTAATTTATTCATGTGCTCCTGCAAACTGAAAGGCATTGTGAGGCTGATTCAGTCATTACATGGTGAAAAGGTGTAAATCCCATTCTGAGGAAAATCAGTGTATGTTTTTTGAATAGGCTGGATAATATGCTCCGCTGTGATGAATGCTATGTAAGGTTTTTAAAAAAGACTATCCTGATCATTATCCTCAGTATTACCTTTTCCACTGACATTTTCTTTAAAAAAAAACATTCATTTTTAAATTCTACTGGCTTTTATTCATTTTCAAACAAAAGCGAACCACTAGGCACATGTTAATATTTTCACCCCCCTGCGAGAAGTGCAAGCTTTTCCAAGAAATCTCTGATTTTATGATCTGCAAGTCAAAAGATGCCTTGGGTTTTGGTTTAAAGCAAACTAAAAATTGGGTAAATAGGGAAGGTTTCACATGTCAAAGTCCCAGACCTGTTTTTCAGCAGAAGTCGGCCTGCACTGAAATCTCTGATATCTATAAAAAAAGTTTTTACTTTTCAACTCAGTCATTACTCTCTGGGTTATGGTCACAGTTCAAACCATGTTTAAGGAGGAACTGGAGGAGTAATGCTGCAATAAAAAGAATCAGCAATGAAACATTTGTGCTTGCCCAATTTATCTTTGAGGAAGATCTGAACTTACTTAAATAACCCATGTGACAGGAAAATACAAAAAGAAATTGATCCCTTGATTTAACCCCCACCTTCGGCTTTTTTTTTTCTTTACAGCCTTCAAAAGTTACCATAACAGTTTAGGTTTATGGTAACTGCTGTCATGAGCTGTATTTTTGACTCGGGCTGCAACTTTAAGCTTAAAAACTGGGCATCAATAATGCTGTATTGCCCAGCATCACACAGTGGAAAAGCAGGTGAGATACAGTGGAGTATTTGGCGGTTAAAGAGGCAGATATTTAGGCAGATATTTGATGTTTGATTTTTTTTTTTTTTAAAGCAGGATGGATCATTAATTAGCTGTGTTTAAGATGAATAAAATAAAAAGAAATGTACCTCTGAAAAGATGTGAGAAATGATCTGACAGTAATTGCAAATACGTAACAATTTGAGCTAGCAATAATATCGGCCAATGAGTTATCTTAGTTTTGGTAAAGTTTTCACAATAGTAATGGTATGATTAAGGATGGCAATACAGGACCAGTTTAACTTCGCTCACACAGTGTGCACATATTGTACAAAAGTCATAGACCTCACCACGAGTTTGTGTCTAATTTTAAACCTCAGCTGCGTATCTTTACTCCTATGGCATATTTTATGTCCCTCAGCTGTAATAGTATGGCAAAATGACATAAACTTTGAACCTGATAAAAAAAAATAAAACCAACACATGTGCTTTTATAGAGCCATTTCAAACCATAATCTCTGACTGTTAAGGTCATTAGAAAGAGTAACATCTGACTTATCTCACATCCTCTATGCCGAATATAAGTCCATACCATGTGGCAGATGACTCACAGAAAACAAACCGAACCCTTTTGTTTACACTTAGCTCAATCAAAAATTTCAATTCACACCATAAGGGTTATAAAATAGTTTCATCCTGCTCTTATCTTTTCACATATACACTACTGGCCATAAGTTTGGAAGCAAGGCCATTACAGGCCGAACAGTTGGGAGTAACTTCAAGTTTTTATTCACAATGCTTTTTTTAAAATCCAGCATGAGTTTTATATATTTTGGGATGTATTTACTCCATGATCAGATGTTGCCTTCATGGAAATGCACCATTTTACTCCATTTACCTTTAGATATACATTGATGTTAACAGACCATTGCAAAATATATGTCAGCAAAAGAAAATAAGGGCTTAGTTTTAGGGTTGAAAACATTTGCAAGAGTCACAACTTCAGTGCAAAAGCAAAAAAACAAATCACAGTTGGATTATTCACTTCAACTTTTTGGCTTTTGAGGGTCTGCATACAAAAATCCTAATAAATCTCAACTGCATTAAAACTACCGCAAAAATGGCTAGAAAGAAGCAACTGAGTAAAGAAACAAAAGTACAGATTTGTACATTGAGGAAAGAAGGATGCACAGAAAGAGAAATTGCAAAACGCCTAAAGGTGTTGAACAAAGGAGTCCACTACACTCTGAAGAGACTAGAGGAACCTGGAAGTTATGATGATAGAAAAAGACCTGGACAAAAGAGAGTTACTACAAAAGCAGAGGATAAACATAGCATTGTCACCAGTAAGAGAGATCGGCGAAAGACAGCACCAAAAATAAGGGAGGAAATCAACATGACAAGGTCGAAACCCATATCTCTGACAACCGTGAAATGACGTTTGAGAAAGGCTGGTCTGAAAGGTTGTGTATATGCAAAAAAACACTACTTCGTCCACAGAACAAGAAAAAGAGAAATGAGTGGGCAAAAGCTCACAAAAATTGGACTTATGATGAGTAGAAACAAGTTTGAACTGTTTGGTTCAAAACGCAGAGTCTATGTCCGCAGACAAACTGGTGAACGTCTGAAAGCAACATGTGTTACACCCACAATTCAGCATGGAGGTGGTAGTTCCATGGTATGGGGATATTTTGCAGGTGATAGAGTAGAAGATTTGTTTGACATAAAGGGTATCATGAAGAAGGAACAGTACCATTCCATCCTCCAGCACCATGCTGTTCCATCTGGACTCAGACTTGTGGCTCATAAGTTTGTTTTGCAGCAAGACAATGACTCTGCCATTGCTCTGTCAGGGTTACCTAGACAAAAAAGAAGAGGAAGGTGTTCTTCAAAATGGTTTGGCCCCCTCAGTCTCCAGACCTTTCTCCAATTGAGGTTGTGCGGGATGAATTGGATCGATCGGTCAGAAAAACGCGTCCCACGAATCAGCAGTCTCTTTTTAATGAAAGCTTGGAATGAAATCCCTGGAACATACCTTAAAAAACTTGTGGAACGAATGCCTGGTATATGCCAAGCTATTGTTAAAGCCAGAGAAGGTTACTTTAAAGAAAGCAAAATCTAAGCAGCAATAACTCAAATACCTAATAATTATAGTCAAAATGTCTTCTGATAAGTTACTCTTTACACAACAGTCATATTTATTGTGTTGCAAATTATATATATGAAACTATGATCTTTTTTTGTGCAAATCTGATCTTGCATCCTATCTTTTGGCCTGTAGTGTACCTTGTGTTACAGCCACAGCATGTGTAATAGTAGTAGTGTAATATGCTGTTTGTGGTTCCTTTGGCATCTGCTTTTCTGCTCATATGTTAGCAATTGTTTCCCTTATTGTTTTAATGTATTTACATCACAGTAGTAGAGGCAGATGTAAGGAGCAGTTGAAATGAATTTTCTTAAGGGAACACCACAGTGTACTCAACTGCATTGTACCATACCATACACATAATGTCACATCTCATATCCTATGTCACATTGCATCACGTTGAATTCCATCATATTACATATATTTGTTCATTTATCATAAAGCAGAATGTGTGCAGCATCGAAGTACAACCAACCACTTAATCTAAGGGATCCATTTCTTAGCTGTATAAATGACAGATTTTTAAAACAATAAACATCATCTTTGAATTTAAACTTGTTTCTTTCATCGCTGGCAGCCAAGCAGTAAGCAAGATGAAACTGAGCAGGTAAGTTTGTAAAGCACTCCAGGCTACCAGACCCCTTAACATATTGTTTTGTATCGTATCATACTGTACCATATGCACCTTATCACACTGTGTCAAATCAAGTTATAATGTGCCATATCGCACTGTATTGTATTGTATTGTATTGTATTGCATCCCACTGTATGGTATCATTTCATGTGGTACCATTCTGTTTTTGTATTGTATCGTATTGCACAATGTATCATATCATACTGTAACATGTCAAACCCTATTGCACTGTACTGTATTGCACAGTATTGTATTGCATCATATCGTATTGCATCGTATTGCATCGTATCGTATTGTATCTTCTTGATTGGTCTGGTCTTGTATTACACTGCATCATGTCATATCTCATTACATCAAAATGTTTTATTCTGTATCGTACTGCAGTGTAGACTTTAATTGTATTTTTCCAGTTTTATCACAAATCTAGCAAATATATACTGTATGGAAGCATTTCTCAACCACTCAATTTAAGGACTATCCAAATAAGTGCAGGACTCGAGTCACATGTTTTGAAGGATGACTACAAAGTGGGTCACAGTCAGTATGTTAACATGCACAGTTAAGATGAGCTACTGTAATAACTCATTTAGCCAATTTAGCTGGACAACTGTCCTTGTCCCAGTTACCACGCACCAATCAAGAACTGAGTTGTTGACAAAAGTAACTCCTTGAGCATGCACAAAACTATTAGGCCAGTTTTAGTCCAATGGAAAATGATAAATGATAAAGAAAATCGATTCTCTGCCAAGTTATCTAGGTATGTTAATTTGACTATGAGAAGTTTAGTTTATTGTGATATCAGTAAGATTAGCTTGTTCACCTGTATTTCAGAGGTCTAGTTCCAGTTGGTTCGATGCAATAAATCAAATTTAAACCTTAAATTAAATACAATATCATGTTGCACCGTATGGCAAAATTAAGGATGGTATGATATTGTATCATATTGCTTTAAACATATGGGAGGATTTTATATTATATAGTATCAAGCAGCATCATATTGTATTATATCATATCATTTGTATAGTAGTGTACACTATCATTTCATTTCATGAAGTATTGAATTGCATCATATCAGACGCTATGATATCAAACTGAATTGTATTATGATGTTTTGCATCATATTGTACTTTATACTGTAGTGTCGAATCATGGGCATCATATCTTATCTACCTGATTGTGTCACTTCGTATCATGTTGTGCCATCATTGGATCATACGTATCAGACTGTTTTTTTACCGTGTTGTGTCATATTTTATTGTACTGTACTATATACTGTAGTGTTAGATATATTTTGATGTATTGTGTCTTTTGTCATTGCAAATCCAAATACTAATAAAGCAGGGTGATGGTAGCCTAGCAGGTTATGAGTGCCCTATGCATTACGGCAATAGTCCTTGTTGAAGCGGTTGCTGGCCCTGGCCTCGACTCTTTGCTGCATGTCTTCCCCACGTTTTCTGTCTCTCTTCAGCTGTCCTATCCAATAAAGGAAAAAATGCACAAAAATAAAACCTGATAATACATTGATTTAGAGGTTTTGACTAGATTTCGGTTCAGTTTGTTACCGATCGTCTTCACAGAGATATTACACTTCTAACTCTGGAATTTGAGGAGGGAAATGCAGCACTCTTGTTTTGTACATCTTCTCATTAGAGTTTCACATCAATCATCCTCAGACAGACCACAATGTATGTGGCACATACTTTGAGGCTCAGGGCTCACATTATATCAATGACAATAACAAGGCTCATGAAAAGGCTGGCCTCATAGCCAACACACTCAGTGTATCACTTATGTCAGTGCCTGCCAGCATGATACACACACCAAGGTTACACACATGTGCCTGAGGGAAGGGCTACTGAAGCAGACGATGCAAGGTCTGAGGACTGAGGGCATGACTTAATGGAGAGGCTTTGTCTCAAGGAAAACCCTCTGCATTAATAAGATGAAACAAGTGCTCTTCCACAGATAGATCTCACATGAATCACAAAATAACTCTAAAGAAAACACTTCTGCAGGAATAGGGTCAAGTAATTAGCAGCTGTGGGTGTGTTTCAGTCAGTGTTGCAGATTTCAGATTTGGAAACAGTTCAGTTTGGCAAAGACTTGCCCCTGGAAAGCCTCAGTCTCTTATTGCCTATGCCACCCACAGATCTCTAATGAATTCCTCTGATCCCAACTTTCATAAAGAAGACGTTTGGAAAAGATTTCACAGATCGGTGAACGTCACTGTAGCCTTTCAAGTTATCTCAACCGTGGAACATTTGAATTAGTATCCACAGAATATTTGTGTTTTTTTGGGGGGTGTGGGAGTTTTAAGGCTGTAAACTGTTTCATTTTATTTGCCTAAAGCTTCCATAATGAGCAAGATATGGACCTTATCATGTTCCTCAATTATGGGGGAAAACATCCTTTAAAACGCTGCCAGGAGATGCTGTTACTAAAGAAACAAGAAAGTTATCTCTCTAAAACACGAATCAAAAATGAGACAAAACAATATTTTGTGCTGATGATCAAGGACATTCAGATACACTGCTGTTGCAATAATTATCTCACTCACGTCCAGCAACAAAGGCAACATCAGTCATGTCAATTCTCATGCAGCTGTGAGTTAATTTGTTTTGAGTTTGTGTCCGTGTTTTCATATTCTTAAATGTTTTCCCTGCATATCTGGACATGAAGTCATTTGACACATTTGGTCACTGCAGTGTGTCGCTTTAGAGGGAAATCCTGTCCTTTCATAAGATAGCAATGCTGATTATGTTGTCAGGATGGATTTGTGTCAGTTAACAAAAACTGCCTGGTTCCCCCTGCTCCGTGTTCCCCACTTTACAGTGTATATTGTAATTTAGGAGGCAGCTGTCATACTGAGTTTTCCCATTATCCGGTATGTACAGCGTGGCTGAAAGTCCTGCGGAGAACACTTAGTGTGACTATAAATTACCTCTCTATCTGTCTTTTGCTTCTTCTTTTATTATTTACAAAAAAAACATAACCATGATTTCAAGATGGAAATTGATTGTTGACTGTGGGATGTTTAAAGATGAGTGTTTTTTTAAAAACGAGTGTACTGACACTGTGGAGCTTCAGCGTCTCAGCTATGAAACACTGCTGACCCCTTATGGTGTGAAGTGTCTTTTTTATTTGTATGGGAAAGAACTAGAGACAGAAAAATTTGGTTAAAAGCATTTATATTAAGGGATTGAGAATAAAATGCCTCTTGGATTATCTGTGTAGAACACACACAGAAGTTATGATGTAATTTTTCCAACAATCTCCAGAGGCCTCGTATTAAACGTATTAAACGTCATATAGCATTTTGACAGGCAACCACATTGTATTAACAATCTACAAGGCTCAGATTTTGTGTCTACTCCAATATCTGAATTCATAATTCTTTTGATAATAACTGAGAAATTTGTAATCAAATATATCCACATTTATCATTTTAAAGTAGCCTTATCTCATAAACCTATGATAATTTCATTCAAACAGATCTGTAAACATCTCACTTATGTAAGCGTTTTAGCATTTAGCTTGGCTCTATAAATGGCATCACTGTTGTCACTGTCACAACCCCACTAACAGATTGTGACAATAATGGGAGGGAAAAAAACACAAAGCCTAACTGTGCAACAAACTAATTGATTTAAATTAAAGCTCCCGTGAGGAGTTTCTTCATATTTATAAAATAGAACCTGATAAGGTGAGACAAGACCCAGATGCAAAGTGGGGCAGTCTTGTCTCACCCTGAAGGGAGTCCCTTAGGCATAACCACCAGCAGGCTGTCCCAGTTATTACATGGCTGCCAGCTGAACATACAAACAAGTTGACGCAATGATCTAAATATCATAGTATTGATTTTAAAATGATTTATATGCAGCCAGAAAGTTAGTTCTGAGTCTCAACAGCTGGCAGAGAACTTGTCTTATTTCCATTAAACAAAAACGTTGTCATTAGTAAATTTAAACCATTATCAGGCTTTTCTGTTAAAAGTCATATCCAAATTAACATTTTACTTCACAATAAATCCTAAACATTAGCATTTCTCAGTTGGCAATGGTAACAGTTGCAGGAAATAACAGCAGCACCTGTTAGTTGGGCATCACTCAACTAAATCATCTTTATATACAGCTCCTTTTATACATACTGTATAAACATGCAGCCCGAAATGCTTCACAAAAGATCCGAGACAAAAAAAAAAAGACATGTAAAGACTTCAACAGTGATCAAAGACCAAGAGACAAAAATAATAAAAAAACAACATGAAATAAATACAGTAAATTTGATCAAATGTATAAGGTTGGGGAATGAAGTGTAAAAAGATCATGTAATTTAATTTTCGGAGCTCTTTAAAACAATATGGACTTCAGCAAAAGCTGTGGGCTTTCTGGCTATAAACAAGGATTATTTTATAGATTATAAATATATGAAATGATTGAAAAAGTCTTAATACTGTCGTATGATATGTTGATATGTCAACATAAGCATGTACAGTGGGAATTCCCCAGAATCACACTGTAGAGAAAACAGTCACTGCTATAAGCTCACTGCTATTTTGCGTTTGAGGGATCCGTGTTTATTTTTTGGAGTTGGAAATCAGGGCATTACCTAAGGCCAGTCATTTCAGTTTGGATGTTGCCTGTTTTCTTGTTCACGTAATGTTACTTTTTAATATTTTTCCCCACAAAATTACATATTTTGAGAGGAAAAAACTTTCATGAAGAGCTAAAGTACAATAAGTGTCACAGTTAAGTCTCATAAACTGCAGTGACTGTGTCCGTTTGGCAGCAAATGGTCGTATTCAGCAGATGCACTTAGGACTCCAGAGTAAATTAATATTTTTGTTGCGTAATCCAGAAGAAATATAACTGTCGTGATGCTCAGATGAAGCTTTGACAGCAGAGTTGGGACGGTGACAGTATGACATTACTCTTTCTGCCTCTCCAGGGTGGAGCCATTGAAATCACTGCCTGCTCTTACAGCTCTAAGAAGACTGAGTTTATATCACCATCGCACAAAAACTTTATTTATATCAGATTGTGTGAAGAAGCACATCCAGTCTTTGTTTTTTTATTTATTTCATTGTTTTTATTTCTTTGAAATCAGAAATGTTCCCTCAACAGGACTTCATCGTGTACAGTACACAAACACAGAGGTGGGAGAAATGCATCTCTTAAGACTTAAGAGTCCTTTTCTCCAACTATATAAAATACATTTTCATGTTTTAGTGATACATTTAAAGGAAAGTTGCTGTAAAAGTTAGTGGACCAGCATTCTTTGAAAATGTAACTTGAGGATATCAGCAGCACTGAAAAGCCCCAATATAACCTACATCTGATCTACTGATATCAAATAACATGCTCTAAATTTCCGCAACTAGAACTAAAATTGTTTTATTAGTGTCATTTCATACTGTCCTGAGAATTTGTCAATAAGAAATACTCCGACACTACTTAAGCAGGGGCATGGCTTTAACATTAAAGGTGCAGTGTGCAGTTTTAACGGCATGAGTGCATTGTCTCCTGGATATTCAAGTTATCTTATTTGTGTTACTTCAGAATGACAACTTTATATCTGCATTAAGACATTGCCACCTTGCACAATCATAAGGTAAGATGCTCCTTTATTAGTCCCACAAGGGGAAATTCCTAATTTACAGTTCATCCTTTCCAAGAAACATACAGTAGACAGACACATACAGGGGGAGACAGGCAAGGGAGAACTGACAGGTCGTTGCAGACTGGCGCCCCTTTTTTAGATTAGAAAAAGGAGAATGGGGGAGGATGAGGGAAAAAAAGGCAACTCCAAACTCTGCTCCCGTAGGAGGGCACAGTGTGGGATCAGTGAAAAAAAAAACACTTTGGCACATAAGCAACATAAAAACATTACAACAAAAATACTCAAAAACTTGCACATGTGGGAGGGGGGCAGGTGTCAGGGAGGGAGGGTGTCACAGCACAGACACGAGGGTGAGCGCAGCCACACTTGGTGCAAGCATCAACCCACAGTACTTGCACTACAAAGGGGAGGGAAGGGGTATGGGGGTCAAGAACCATGCTTCTGCAATTGCATAGAAATCAAAAACTGGTATCATATGGGTTTTTGTATTTAGTGAGTGGCATTCTGAAATGCACTGCGAGAGGACAGAGACAAAGAGAGTTTGAAACCATTATTGAAGACTTCTGGCCCTCAACTGTCTGGAGTGGACAGATTTTACTTTTTATTTTGTATTTTTATTATTGTGTGAGTCGATTTACTCTTGTTTTCTGTTTGGAGTTGGTCAGCATTACATAAACACAATAAACGTGAACCTGACTTGACTGTAAAAGCCGTCTGTGTCCTTAAAGACAGCGTGTAATTCTTCTAATGCACTTTAGGATTTGGATGACCTGCAGAATGTCGTGCAAAGTGTCTCTGTTTACCAAAAACCCACCCTGATCATGACTGCAACAATGTTTGAAAAAAGAAGCTACAAGATTATTTTTTCTTTGAGGAAATCAGTTTCATTTAATACCATCAGTCCCTTGTGGATGACTGTAATTTGCAACAATCAAATGAATGAACCATCTAATAGAACGTGCAGCAAAATCACGTTAAATTTGGGTCATGGCTTTATTGGCAAAACTAACATTGGGTTGAACCATCATATGAGAGCTTGTTGGACCATGAACCACGTAAAACTCTCATCGTGCCATATTTGAACTGGAAAATGTGAGTAAAAGCTGCTTCTTCAGCCTGCTGCCCACTTTCTGCTGACATCTACAGCAGCTTCAGGCTTTAAAAGTTAGAGTCAAGACATTGTCTGTCTTGTTGCTGGTGCTTTTGTTTGCCTTTGTTAGTCACAGAGGTATCAGTATTGATTTTTATTTATTCCTGAAGTATTACAAAACTCCTCACAGAGCTTGCAGATTCATTTCTATTGAACTAAATGAATTAGTTGGCTGTCTGTAAATAAGGAAAAACAAACCACACCTCAGAATTGAACTCTAGCCTAAAAATGGACAGGAAACAAACAAATGCTGCTTAAAACCATGAACTTTTGGGGTTAGGTATGCAAAAACTTGATTCAGCTGTTCCTGTTTCCTGAGGTTTGCAGCATGTTGCCTGTTGTGTCTTTGTTTATGATTTGGACCTCATCTGTGGACGCAAGGTTGACCTTGTGCAGCTTTGAGCTGTCTCAGCAGAGCGTCTGAACGTGGTGGCTGACACAGCAAGACGTCTGCCTGTTTGGGGACAGAGGGTGTATGTAGGTCAGCCATGGGCCTGCTTGCTGTGACAGCAGCACGGTCACTGTGCTGTGCAGTAGGACAGGGATTGGAGTGGACAGAGAGAGCCGGCATGGAGAGAGGCCCCCTTCACACGTCAGCACCGATACTTCCTCATTTGCCCCCTTAAACACTTTGACATTATCAGGCCACACAGAGTGATGTCCACCCTCATTACTCTCACCTTTGGATCTGCAGCAAAATGGGCAAAGAGAGGCAAGAGAGGATAGAGACCGGCAGAAATACTCCACAGACATCAGATCATGGTGCATGTCTGAAATGTTAGATGGTCATTTGACAGATTCTGTCCCGTCCATATCAGGACACCATACACACTCCTACAAGAACTAAACACTTTTGCTTGCATTATATATTCATTCTTTTTCATTATTGAAAAAGGAGAACCATTTGAACTTCCTCCTGTGAAATACTTCAACACTGTTTTTGTTGGTAAAGAATCTTCAAACAGTCGTTTTAGTAAAATTATTAATTATACTGCAAAAACTCTTTTGTCATGTTTTATTTGAAAAAACAAGTCAAATATAAAGCTTCATGTACAGCAGATAAATGATGACATACTGCCATCTGGGGGCTCAAAAGAAAACTGCACCAGTATGATGTCAACATTTCGACTCGCAACCTCTACGGCTGCAAATACGAACATTTAATACCTGATTGTTTTTAATGTAATATCTGAGACATCAGAGAAATCACCTCAACAAAAGCTGGGCCATTACACAAGAATAAAAGGGTCTTTATTTTAAGGACAGAAAGGTGAAAAGCCTCTGTTTACATCAAGTCTCTGAGATGGAACAAATGCTGAGTGAAGAAAGAAGACATTTAAAGCTCATCGTGGGTAAGGATGCATTGAGCTGGACGCAGATTTGATGTTTGTCTTGATGCTGCTTGGCATTTTACCTAAAAAGAAAGAAAGGGAAAATATCACCAAAAATATAGATTTAACACAGATTATTGTTCCAAACTGTTTAGATACACATACGAAAAGAAATGATGAGGTTGTAAACGAAAATACAAGGGAATCAAGAATTGATAAAGGACCAAAATGTAAAGAAATGTTTGTATGAATCAAAGTGTAACCAAAGTATCTGTGTAGAATACTAACAGAGACTGTATGTGACACACTATTTGCTTGATTTCAGTGCTAACCTGGTTACCTGTTCAGTCTAGTACGGATGCAGCAGTTAACCACTTTTATTCATGAAATCAAGAGTGACAGAGCAAATTTCATAGTCCCTAATCTTGTGAAAAACAATAAAAAAATCTTTTCTGATCTTGTAAAAGGAAATAACTGACTCTTACGGCGCTAAAATAATTATCAACACCTATTCTCAAAATATGTGAATACAATATTTGTGCTCTTAAAATGAAGTGATGTGTTGGTCATGAACAGCTTAGCTCTCTCAGCCATCTATTACTTTTGTTTTTACCCTTTAGTTTTTCACCAGACCTCATGTTTGATGGGAATAATTTGGTTTATTTTAATTACATTTAATAATTAAAGCAAAATAAAAAGAGAAGTAAAAATAATTCCATGCAAAGAAAGTAATGCAGCAGCAGTGTTATGAAGTAAAAAGGAGAGCGAATTCTCTGCTCTGGGGCTTTGGCCAATGACCATTAAATGGATATTGCGGCATAAGATTAATTTAGGGTTAAACACATCGTAACACCGAGTTAGACACCCCCTCGAGAGATGAATGTTGCCGACTGCTTGCTTCTCGAGCTATACCAACTTTAGTAACGACCACACCGTAACAAAACAGATATGCGCTCAACCAAAACGGCACTCTATAGCCACAAATAATGCTCAGAACAGCACCTAACTTCATCAACAGTACATATAGGGTCCCAGCCATAGTACTAGCAAACATCTTTTTAGCTTTGCCTGGTTTCTTTAGCAAAGAGACTAAACACAACTCACCTGCTCTCTTCCAGCAGCCGCTTGTTTGCGGGGGAGCCCTAACGAGTCGATCATCAAGTGCAGTGCAGTTTCGCAGTTCAAGGAAGAATACTTATGCTCATTACGTCACGGAAATGCAATCAGACTGAGACGCTATGGCCGAAGAACTACCACATCTGCAGTGCAAAATGATTATTATGATGATTATCACTTCAAGGAAATGATATAGAAATTATCATAAATGTTATTCCTTGAGCTGCATCACCCCACTGCAGTCCGCAATGGACTCGCCTGAAATCTCCGTACAAATAAGCGGCTGCTGGAAGAGAGAAGGTGAGTTGTGTTTAGTCTCTTTGCTAAAGAAATTGGGCAAAGCTAAAAAGATGTTTGGTGGCTAGTACTATGGCTGGGACCCTACATGTACTGTTGATGAAGTTAGGTGCTGTTCTGAGCATTATTTGTAGCTATAGAGTAACTCTTTGGTTGAGGTTTGTGTATGGCTCTTCAGACCACTGTGTATTGCTATCGTGCGGTTGTTACTAAAGTTGATATAACTAGAGAAGCAAGCGGCAACATTCATCTCTCGATCATCTGTTACGGTGTGTTTGACCATAATTTAGATTTATGCCAGAATATCCCTTTAAATTACTCTATAATAATCCAGATTGTGGTGATACCATTCAGACCCCTAATTGTTCCATCTCAGAGTATGCTCTTACTCTAAAATATCCGATAGACTGTATGTGCACATATGAGAGAGCAGGTCTCTTGGATGATAAGGTGTCCAGCAGCATGGTCAATGACAGCAGAGAGACACAAACAGGTTTACCCTAACCCTGAAAACATCTTTGAAAACTGTATGAAAAAAAATGACAATTTATTTCTGACCAGTAACCAATTATTGCTCTATGTGGTCTGATGATGTGCCTAAAAGTTTTTAAAATACCTAATAATAATCTGTTTTCATATACCCTTCATTTAGAATCTATTAAATCTTATTAAATCCATCCATATTCTTTAAATAGAGAAGTTTTCAAACAGAAATGATCAGAATACTCTCAAAATAAAGGTCAGAAATTGAAGAACAGACAGAGTTGGTCGTCAGAACTGCCTTGGTTTAGCGATCTTCTCTGTTTTTAAAGTGTAAACACATGTGGTGTAGTTTATTATAAAACAAACACTTAGCCTTTGTGTGTGAAATACTAACCCAGTTCTCCAGGTCTCCTACCTGGCTGCCCTTGCTGCTGAGGAGCCACAGGTCCACCGATACCTGCCTGCTGGCTTGAACCCCCACCGATAGTAACCTGCTGTAAGGTCGGACCTCCACTTATCATGGGCCCCTGCCCTGGATGGCCAGCGGCTACCTGGCCAGGAGGCCGACACTTGGAGAGCCCTTTTCCAAATGCAACAGCTCCAACCAAAGCGTTAGTGTCAGCAGGGTTGAAAGATGGTTTGTTCTGACGTATTGCTGGGAAACAGTCAGAAAAGTTGGCAGTGTTAAATTCATGAATCAGCTTGTGGTTGACTATATGGACAATCTAATTGCAACACACCTGCACTTTCTGCATCTCTGTCGTCACGAGGATTGTTGAGCTTCTCCAGCAGGTTGGAACACAATTTATTTAACGTCTGAATCTGTTTCTGTTGGTAGAAATTAAACCAGAGTTGAATAATGCAAGGTATTTCCCTTATGTTAGAAATGTAAGGAAGATGATTATATAACCATTTCTGTCCGGGAAGATGATTTCATAACCCCCCCCCCCCCCAACAGTGAAACCATTGCTTACTCCAGAGACAACATTCATTCGCTCATTCTGTATGTAACTGACCTGTGCCACATCTGGGCCGATGCGTGCTGCCTCTGCACTCAGCTGCTTCTCCTGCTCCTCCACTTCAGGATCAGGCTTGGTTCTCAGGTAGTCTGGTACAATCTCATGACTGAAGACTGGCACGCGCTGCTCTGTGAGTTTCTGTGAAGGAACAAGCAGAAGAGGTAAACCATAAGTTGGTGTGATTCTCAAAGAAGCTGGCACATCACTCGGCAGCTTCAATACTCACAGCTAAATCCTCATCTCGGTCTGGAGACAGGAGCAGTGGTATTATGACTTGGTTGCGAAAAGACGGTGTCTTCTCATTCTTCAGAAGTTTGTTGATTGTGTTCAGCTGACCAGACAGAAGAGCAAAGTTGTCCAAAACAGAGGGCCTGAACGAGACAAACACAGATCACAGCATGTGAGGCAAATAAGCATCCACATTTAGGCATATGTGCTTGTGATAGTTAAGATATTTAACCTAATTGGTTTTATATCATTATCTCTATACATTTATGTATTTCACATACTTCATTAATCATGGGAGGGAAATCTGTGTTTTAAGTAATTGAAAAGATGAAAGGTGTTTGTATACAAATGTAAGTGTACAATTCATGTTTCCTTAGGAGTCTGATGAGAGGATCAGAGTTTCAGTTCAGATTGTTGAAATGTGTTACTTTGTCTTTTCAAAAATACAGCTGTGAATGTTCTGAACCACTTAAAGGCATTCTTGTGCTAAAATGGCTTTTAACAAAACAGCTTTTTAACAGTTATATGCTATAATAATAAAAAGAATTACTGTACCAGTTCAGTGTATAATAGATAAAATACACATGAATGTGAAGAAGTGACTGTTTTTTTAGGGAGAGACAAGATGAAGGAGGGCTGGGGTGGAGAGTGGGGGGGGGGGGGGGGGGTTAGTAGGGATACGGCTCAACTTAACCCGCTCCTATGGTCAACTTACCCCATACACAGGGTAAGTTGACCATAGGAGACTACTTTTTTTGGTATGCTATAACACAAGACAGTTATGTTTACACCATAGACTGTATATACTATGGACAACTTGGTTCTGCCTCCCGCCAGTATATGGATTTGAAGCCAAAAAGGTTTCTGTATTTCTGCGATTTTTCTTCATTTCCTGAAACCAGCATTGCGCAGTAGCGTTGTGCGCATTCAGCGGGAGAGTTGCTGTGATGACGCTTGGCTCAAACAGCGTATCCCCGGGTGAGCTATGCAATCCCTGAACGCCAATAGGCTGTATCAGGTGTCAATCATAGAAAACATGAACCCCCTAATTACTTTTAAAAAAGGAGCTTCACAGAAAAAAGAGGACTTGAGCACAAACCAGCCTTACTGTAACTACATGTCAACATCACAAGCAGGGGGGAGAAAAATTTATGTTCTGTGTAATAAATTTCTAAAGTTTATCCACAGCTCCATAAGTTTTGCTGGCGTAGGCGAGATTTATGACCAATACTGCAGCCCGTCAACAGAGGGTGCTGTTCTTGGAGTGGCTTCACCCAGCAAGGAGGCAGACTCTGTCCATTCTATATACAGTCTCTGGTTTACACTCCTTCTGTTGGTTTACAGGGATGAACATCTTGAAATATATGCAGATACACTAGTTAGAGACAACACTATGATTGCCTTGATGTAGTGATTTGAAATGTGAAAAATGGCTCATCTTACCCCACTCTCCCCTAACCGCTCTCCGGTGAAAATGCTAACTTTTAATAAGGACCTTATTTGACCTGTGGTGCGTGTGTATAGGTCTGATACCACAGAGTATCCAACAGCACCAGCATAAACTCCTGAGTTCTTCAGGTTACCTACCATGTTAATCTCTCATATTCATTCTCCAGTTTATAGATGAAACTGTGCAGAGCGCTTTTGACGTGCGCGACCCGAGAGACCAGCGACTCCACAGACGCCTCCAGCTGCTTCTCCTCTCTTTGCTGTGGGACAGCAGAAGATGAGCAGAAAAACACAAAGAATACACCAAAAATCATCCAGTGAGTAAGTAACACGGATTTGACAACCTTTATTCTGGAGCCATTGTTATACCCAATTCAAACCAAACTAGCTAATGCTAACTTTGCCTCGTTTTGCAAGCATACACAGCTACTGCGAGCCCTACAAAAGGTCATTCAGGAGTTAGTTGACGATAAGAATATTGATTTAAATGCGAAAAGGAAAAAAGGTACACTTTAATTTGGAGTGAATGAAAATCAAGAGTGCAGTACCTGCATTGTTTGTACCAGAAACCGAAGACACAGGATCTTCGAACATAGCAAACGGGAGTATTTCCGGTTCACCTTGTCAAAATAAAAGTCTGTGACTTTATTAAATGGTGATGGCTGTCTTGCACTTTTTTACCTGTCTGAAAGAGCATCCAAAGCAATTATCTGTGAATATAGTTTTAAAGCGTTTTTTTTAAACATTTTTAAGCAATAAGAAGAGCTAGCACATGTATGGACTTGGGAAGAGTTCGCAGTAACAACAGTAGGCCTATATGATTCTGTAGAGCAGACTCATTTCATGTAGTTACCAGACTTAGAGCACAATGAGAGCTCAGTAACACAGAATCTAAGTCACATTTATGCCCTTTATCAATATGTTTCCCAGAACGACTGCACATTTTCATTTTAAAAGCTCCGCTGTTTTAAAAAAATTTTTTTTAATCATATACCCGTTAATGAGCAGTAGCACAGTTTAGCGTTTAGGGAAAACATTTTGTACTTGTGATTCGCAGGCACAGGTATGAGTTGATAGTGAATTACCACATTAGCTATTATAACCAGCAATATACTAAAACTGTGCAGTTGATTAGATACAATGTTTATGATACCATATCTGCCTTTTTACCAAATAGTTTACAAGATGACAGGTAAAAATCACTCGTGTGTCAAATATAAGGAATTGATATGTCAAAATCCTTTTTTCTGTATTTACAAGATAATTATGGACCTAATAATTGAAAATATCTGATAAAGTTGCCTCATTCAATCATTTAAATTTAACTCTGATTAACCATTAAACAGAAACAGTCTTTGTGTTCTTTATAGCATTTATTCTGAGAAAAGAGATTGGTGATCAAAAGTGTGTTAAGCAAACAGTATAAAAATCTTTCTGCATGTGTTAGGTAGTTATTCTCGTATAGCAATTCACATTTCACAATATTACTCACAGTGTTTCAAGTAAAGGCTTTAAGCTGTGCTTCGAAGCAAAACTGAAATTTCTATTTCTAATGAGCACTTAAAATGACATTAGCCTTGCACTTGTTCTCTTGCTTGGCACTAAAAAGCAGATCCACCTGAAAGCAGAAAAAGCAAAGAATTGTGAACTTAACAAGTAAGTAAGCCACCTCTAGCTTCACAGTCATCACTGTCATTGTGAACTACAGTGCTGTGTGCACTCATGACTAAAATGGAGAAATGCTGTTTTGCAGGGATCTGGTCCAGCAGTGTAAACTTGGTGAGAGTTGTTTAGAAAAGGCTGTCAACGTCCCCCATTTCCACAACCACAGTCTTCAGCTGGGAGTAGTACTCAATCGTAACCTGGCCGTTCTCTCTGCCAAAACCTGGAGAAGATCAGAAGACTTCATGTAAATAATGTCTGTTTCCTGCAATTCAGTGTAATTTTTGCCAGTGGAAGTTTAAGTTACAACAAAAGAACTGCCACTGAAATTTAACAGTGTTTATACTGAACAAAAGTTGCCACTGTGACATTTTTCACTCTAAAAAAATCTCACCTGAATTCTTGTATCCTCCAAATGGCACCTCCACAGGACTGATGTTGTAGTTGTTGATGAAGCAGGTCCCTGCCTCCAGGTTCTCAGCCACACGATGAGCCCGAGCAATGTCCCTGCATGCAGAAAATATGATCTAATTCTGGGTTTCAAGCACCAAAAAAGAGCAACTTTCTGTCTTGAAAACCTTATATACCACACTGGGAATGCAAAAATCTTAAATAGTCACTAACAAACCTGTAAATCAGTAGCTACAACTGACCACTGAGTAATGAAAAACTGCAGTGGGCTCTGTGCATCCCAGTCTTACCTTGTGAAGACTCCAGAGGCCAATCCAAAGGTGGTGTCATTGGCCCTCTTAATCACTTCTTCCTCTGTGTCGAAAGGCAGCACAGACATGACTGGGCCAAAGATCTCCTCCTTCACACAAGTCATGTCATCTCTGCAGTTATCTGTGGCAGGAAAAGGACTGGATGTAACACAGAGTGCATACTGAGAAACACAAAACATACACACAGGGAGAAAACTGAATTCATCTGTGTGCCGGTATATGTTCAGTGATAAGAGGTACAAATGAGTGTGATGAAGTGCAAATAACATACTGGAAAGTAAAAAAGAAAAGATTTACCAAGTACACATGGGGACATGAAGTAGCCCCCTTTCAATTTGGGGTCACTGGGAACAAAAGGATCTCCTCCACAGAGAACTTTGGCTCCCTGGAAACACACAAACATTTTAGTCAAATATTTATGAGAACTAAGACACGTTCCTTGATGTTTAACAATGAAATGATTTTACACACCTCTTTCTTGGCCTGGTCAACATATCTCAACACTTTATCCAGCTGTGGCTTGCTGATCAGTGCTCCCATTCGCGTATCATTCAGCAGGGGGTCACCCAGAGGGATGGCCTTGGTCCGTTTAACTACTTCTTCCAGGAACTGTGGCATGATCTCTCTTTGCACATAGACTCTGGTCCCATTGCAGCAAACCTAATGGAAAACCCAACCCTGTTAAGGCTGACTAAACCATTTAAGACTTTACATCAATAAAGATTATGCATTGAGGACAAGGATGTCTCACCTGTCCTTGTGTCAGGAAGTTTGCCATGAGTGCTCCCTTCACTGCGTTCTCCAGCTCAGAGTCTTTAAAGATGAGGAGGGGGGATTTACCTCCAAGCTCCAGAGTCACCTGCTTCACCCCCTTTGCAGACATTTCCATGACCTGAAGAAGAGCCACTGGGTTTTATCAACAACAATAACTAAAGCGTCATCGGAAAGCTTAGACAGTTTTTTTCAGAATGATTTTACAGCAAGAAATTTATGATACCCCTACTTTGAAACTTCGAAAAAAGGTTTCCTACTTCCTAGACAGGCTTTGTTTTTTCTGATTCTATTGTGTACTTTCTTTGAACTCTGGGGTTTTCAATACACGGTCTCGCAGTGTTTAGCTGTATTTAGCTTTAACAACACTTGGTATAAATTCATAGCACCACACTGGTCTGGTCTGTACCTTTTTGCCTGTGGGCACACTGCCAGTAAAGGAGACCTTGGCAACCATGGGGTGGTGGCAGAGTAAGCTCCCCGTCTCTGCTCCACCCTGTACCACACAGAAGAGCCCATCAGGTACCCCAGCCTCTTTGTAGATCTCAGCCAGGATGACAGCAGTCACAGGAGTCATTGGAGAGGGCTTAAACACCATGGCATTACCTAAACACAACCAGATATTTACAATGCAAATTTTGGTTATGACTGAAGCCCTGATACAGACTCATTGTTAGTGTTAAAAATGTGCTGGTATTGGCTATATGTTGATGTTGCAAGATTTGTTAAAAAAAAAACAAAGAAAAGAAATGAAGAGCTTCTTTAATAAGGGTTATGTAATAAACATGTCTACTGTCAAGCCATTTTTAGCTTTTAAATCAGTTCTGTAACTCACAACCCAGAGGAGTAAGTATATACACTTCATTTAAAAATAAATGCATGGTTTTTGCAGTACATGAAAAAAAAAACTAAAAAGTAAAAATCCTATAATAAAAGCAACAAATTACAAACAATCACTTAATAAAGTAGTGTCTGTTGTAGTGTCATCAGGCGGGTGAATTAGAATAAAACGTAACTGCCTGTAGTTGTCTGACCAATCAGCACTTTCACTACTCCAAGTGCTATTACATCATGCCACATTCACTCATTCGCACCACATTCACACACTGATCACAGGAGCTGCTGCGTAAAGCACCCATCAGTATTAACTAATCCTATTCACACAACACTGGGTGCAGCCAGAAGGAGGCGGTTCTTTGCATGAGGACAGTGGACCCTGGGATTAAGCACCAGACCTTCCCACTGAAAGAGGATCAACTCTAACGCTAACACTGAGCCACAGCCACCCTGTTCAAATCTATGAATGAATACAGCTTTATGCTTGTCTGGCCTTTCCCTTATTAGATTAATTGTGTCAATTATTCCATAAATTTTCAAACTGTATTGTTAATTTGAATTATTTTTGGCCTCAGTAATATGACACTGTGACAGCCTTGATTTACACATAAATAACTATAGACACTAGTAAAATGAACAAACTGCAGGCTGGCAATAGTTGAAAACGGGTATGTTTCACTCTGGATTACTGTAACATCAAACTTCAAATTCTCATAATCTGGCAGTATATCACACAGCAACAAACTCACCACATGCCAGAGCAGGAGCAGACTTCCATGCTGCGATCTGGAAAGGGTAATTCCACGCACCGATTCCTGCGCACACACCAAGGGGCTCTCTTCTGGTGTAAGCAAATGCTCCCCCAGGAAGCTGGATGTGCTGGCCTTCAAACAAGTCACAGGCAAAACATCACAAAAAAAGTTTTTGAAACTAGAATATCAAATTACTTTAAATGAGAATAGGTGTGTATTTACCTGCTAGTGTGCCAGCCAGCCCAGCATAGTACTCAATGCACTGCCAAGCAATATCAATATCCACCTGTGCTTCAGTGATGGACTTGCCGTTGTTGATCACTTCCAGCTTTGCAATCTTGTCTCTTCTTTCCTATTTCATCCAAAAAGAGAAAAGTTGTAGATACATTACTTTGACAAAACAGCTTAAGGGGAATAAAAGAGTTGGATAACATGGCACTGCTTTAAGTTTATGTAATGTCAATAACAAATTAGGGTGAAATTCCTCAGTGGCATTACTTCAAAGAGGTGACACAGATACATAAAAGGGTGTTACTGTGATAATGTAGGCCAACAGTTCAGGGTGAGGACAAGTTTGCGTTGCTAATGAGTAACTAATATCCTTCTTGAAGCAGGCTTCCAATAGTCATCTTCAACTGAAGTTGCACAACACTGACATATCACTGGCAATGTTTCAGCAATGCAGATGGTGATGGCCATCTCACCCTGATGATACGTGCAGCCTCGAGCATCACCCGAGCCCTCTCCATTCCTGCCAATTTGCTCCATTTTTGGTAGGCAGCATGGGCACTCTTAATGGCCTCGTCCACCTCCTCAGACCCACAGGGGAACAACTGGCACAAGACACGGCCTGCAGAAACAATAAACAGGTTACACATAAGATAAGATGAGATAAGATAAGAAGAACTTTATTAATCCCCGAAGGGAAATTCAATTGTCTATTGTCTCAAATAATATGTCTCTAAAAGTTATCTACTATATACACAAGAGTTATGAAGCCTGATGGCTGTTGGTACAAAAGATCCTCTGAATCTTTCTGTCCTGCAGCAAAGAGAGAGGAGCCGTCCACCACCATTGGCCCTTTGGTCCATCAAGGTGTTGTGAAGTGGGTGATCCATGTTCTTGAGAATAGACTCCACCTTCCTCAGTGTAGATCTCTCCAACACATCTTCCACTGAGTCCAGCTTGAGTCCAACCACAGAGCCAGCCTTTTTCACCAGTTCGTTAAGACGTCTTGCATCTTTGTGTTTGATGCTTCCTCCCCAGCAGACTGCAGCGTAGAACAGAACACTTGCCACCACAGACTGATAAAACATCTGCAGCATCTTACTACAGATGTCTATTGATCAGAGTCTTCTCAGGCAAAAGAGGCGGCTCTGTCCCTTTCTGTAGATGAAGTTCTTGTTCTTGGACCAATCCAACTTATTATCTAGATGTACACCTAGGTATTTATATGATGTCACTACAGTTCAATATCTGGACAACACAACTCCTCCTTGACAGTTATGTGTGAAGGGTTACACCATCTCTGGTTGACAAATAAAGCCAGACCTCCTCCTTTCTTTTTGCCACTAGCTTGAGCATCTCTGTCTGACCTTATGAGAGTGAAGCCAGGTAGATCCACACTGGAGTCCGAGTTGTTTTGATTCAACCAGGTTTCAGTAAAACACAGGAAACTGCACTCACGGTATGCTTTCTCAGTCTTCATCAATATCTCCAGCTCATTGCTTTTGTTGGGCAGAGAGTTGACGTTTCCCCTAATGATTGATGGAAGAAAGGGTTTATATCGCCACCTCCTAGCATTCAGCTTTGCCTTCACCTTTGCACCATCACGGCAACCTCGACAACACCTCCTAATGTCATCTGGAATTGTATGTTGTTGTCCAGATTTGCTTTTACTCAATTAAAGGAGCTCCTCTCTTGAGTAAACCCTTCGCCCAGCAGAAGTGTCCATTAACAGCTCACAAAATGACAACAAAAATATGAAAATATATATACAGTCTATGGACTCAATTCAGTCAGAGAGGAGGTGCAGATAGCCGTTCACTCACTGAGGGTCATAAGAGTTCGGTTACATCACAGTCTGGCCTCACGGTGACCCCGCAGAGTAATAGTTTCACTAACCTAAAAAATCCGTCACTCTAGAAACGTTTCCTGCAATGTTATTCAGAGATATGCCCCCTACAGAAAGAACCATAGCCTACTGTATTTTCTGTGTATATTTACCAGTTGCGGGTTCAAACACGGGTTCAGCGTTTTTCTCCTCCCGAGGTTTGACGCGCTTCCCATCCCAGAAGTTCAGGGAGTCTGTGATCGACACTGTCCCAGTGGTGGCCCCGGGCATGGTGTCGAGAATTGACTGGGACATTTTTACAAGGCGATGACCTGCAAAACACACATGCACGCAAAAAAAAAAAAAAAAATCAGCTACTGGGCTTAAACTTACCTTGCAGAGCCGTTACAGCTCAGGTTCACATTGCAGGCACCAGTCTAGCACAAAGCAACACTAGCTAAACTAGCAGAGGGGAGAGGGTATCTGTCTAAAATTAGCGAAGAGCTAAACAGGACATATACAGGTCAGCTTCGATAAAATATAAGAAAGCAGACATACGAGAAGTTATCCGTCTGTGCTCCTGAAAATGAACTACTTGTACTTCCGAATGTCAGTCACAAAAGAGGGTCAATGAACGCGCCCAGTCATCAAACAGGACACGCCTCCACCACCGCCAGCCCTCTGTTTCAGTCACAGGCTGTATAGTCTATGGCAGAGCACTGCTCTGGTCTATGGTTTTAGCGCCTTATCTGGGCTGTTAGGGTCACTGTTGGACCGGGATCTAAAATTTAAAACATATTTGAAAAACTCAAATAAAAAGCAAAAACCAAAATTGAAATAAAATAATAAAATAACAATTTAAAATACTTTATGCTGAAAAAAAAAAAGAACTATAAGAGCTACATAACGTCAGAAACTCACTATTGTGTTGCTCTACTATAAGACTTGATGAGGAAAGCCATCAATAATATTAAAGATCAGTGGTTAATTTTTTACTTTAACAAGACAAAAAGTCTGCAGTGTAATACACAAGTAAAACAGGACACAAAAACATCCACAGGTCCTACAGTCTAATCAAACTGTTCAATTTCTGCTTTAGGGAGCAAGTTAATGTGTATGCAAGCAGCTGGACAAGTGAGGAACTTACTCAATCAGAGAAAAAATGTTATCACCTTTCCACAGGGATTTTTGTCCTGAACATAAGACCTTAAAACAGATTCAAAAAGAGACAAAGTGGGAAGAACTTTAAAGGGGAGGGTTTGCCTTGGTTTTGTTGCACTGGCAGAAATTGCTCGGGCAATATACAGTATATTACATTGTGAAGGAAAAATGGAAAGGGTAGGGTTACCTCTGTTTTACTGAGGGGGGTTAGCAGCTAGTGTGAAGTGTAAAGGTGGTGGTACAGATGTGATTTGGTTTTTCAAAGTAAGAAAAGTTGGAAAGTGAAAGATAAACACAATCAGTTTATTAACCAATAACCAATACCACATAAGTTAAACCATAAAACTTTATTGATGATTAAGAAATAAGGATACAATGACAGATAGTAATACTGGTATATGGATGTTACAGTGCCAATCAGAAGTTAAAATTCTCAGTAATGTATGGCATGTGCGGATGCAAGATAGAGGTTTGTATCCCTTGGTAATCAATATAATTAAGAACAACTTTTCTGTCTAATTTCTAAATAAGATTTTTTTTCAGTTAAATAAACAAAACATCCAACAGAAAGTTGTGATACATTAGCTGCAACTGATAACATGTTTGTTCCAGCACTGAGGAAGCAGTTCAGTTCTCTGTGACTGCTCTGATGACAAAGCTCTGGCTATAAACACAGTCAAACTGCAGGACCAGCGGGTCAGACCCTCCTGACGATTAGGAAAACTTAGCAGCCTGAGGAGGAGGTCCCAGGAAACCCCCAGCCTGTTTGGTTGCAGCTCTAGAGGGTGCTAGACCAAGCATCTTCTGGATGTTCTGGAGAGATGATATAACACAAATAACACAGAGAATGGTGATTTTTTTTTTCAAGTGATAAGGGCTCAAAAAGCTAAGAGCAATTGATGAGACTTACTTAACCTTGTAAAAGGAAAATTCTTAGTTTGTGTGTCTGCAAATCTGTTTGTAATTTTCTCCATCAGTTTAATGGCATGTTTTGTGAGGTAAAGAAATGTTTGGCCTCAGAAAATGGCAAAAATCAAATCAACTGGCCTTCACCACAGTTTTAAAACCTCAATGTTAACTTATCCATTAACGTATTCATTCTGACTAAACACTAGCACAAATTTGTGCTAAAATTCTAACAGTAAGAATGTGCACATGTATACTGACTCTGTGCATTAGTATATATTTGCTGTATAAAGAATGTGATGTTACCTAAAGTGGTTTTGAACCCTTGTGGGGCTGTCAGGGTATCAGCTTATCGCCTCATGATAATATAGCCATCAAATATCAGTATAATTATATAAATGAAGAACAAGAAAAAAATGAAGCAACACACTTCTTTATTAACTTAAGTAATAAATGCTTCATCCTTTTATGTTGATATTTTTCAGTTTTACATTTAGGTCGCTTTTTGTCTTGCGCCGAGAAAACTTGCTTTTGTTTTGAAGTACACAACTTCTGGTAGATTGTAGGTTGAAAAATTAAATGAAAATAGTTAAAAGAACAATCACAAAGAATAAATATTTAATTGATTATTAACCCCAAGAGGCACCAGCTCTAAAGTTGTTTTTGGATTCACTATTTATCTGGAACTTCAGTTTTCAATAGTGCTGAATCATCTCTCAGAGGGCTGCTAAAGCTAGCTCTCCTCTTTTTCTTCATGTCTCCTCTGTTTTATGGCATGGACTACAACTATGGACTCACAGTATTGCCATATGCTCATTCATAGCGGGATCTTAAGATTATTTTTTTAGAACATGAACATTGTTATCGTTACTAGTATTTTGTGACAACCCAGAATCCCTCTAATATGACTATCCAGGGACATTAAAAGAGACCCTCTGTAGGGTCTAAAGTTGTTGCAAGTATGCTAGCTACCTGTCTGATGGACATGGTGCAGAGGATGTAAAGGAAGATGAAGGAGCAGTCGGTGTAATCCTCGCCCAGCAGGTTACGATGTGAAAGTCCCTGGATGTAGGAGAGGGGCACGAACGGCAACTTTGCCACCACTCTTCCATCAAAGCTGAACAAGACCAAATTAAAACAGAGGTGTGAGCTTAAGGGAGAGTTTGAAGTTCAAAAGAAGTCACCAACACCTTAGCTACAAGTACATGGTATTTACTTAAACTTAAACAATTCCAGAGCACTCACTGTCAGTCATCACTGTCTGAACTTTTCCTTCATTTTTTATATTATGACAAAAAAATGACTTGCTTTAAACACGTTAGACTTACATGGAGTTGAACATGCCCATCAAAGCTGTAAAGCAGAAGCCTATGGCAAACATGGACTTCATGCGCACCTACAAACACGAAAGAGGAAAAAAGCCCAATAAAAACTAAATGGTACTTGGTCACAAGATGTTTACTTTAACTAACAACCAAACTCTAAGACAGTACATTAAAAATTTTTCAATTTATCCAAAGGATTAAAAATTGAATCTAAACAAACTTGTACTCACCATAGACAGATCTCTGTTGTTGTTCTTCAATTTCTCTTCTTGTCTTTCTGTAACAGATTAAAAAGAAAGGATCAATCAAAAAGAGACACTGTCAATGTGAGGCAAGGAATGTGTCTGTTTCTTAGTTTTTTCTTCCTACCAATTTTTTTCTTCTGTTGACGTCCTGCAGATTCTGTGATGGTTTCCTTTTTCTTCTCAACTAACATCCAAACACAAATACATCCAACATCAGCCAGAAACAAAACAGCCAATGCTTAATCAACAGCAGTGTATGTTTATGTAAGAGTCACTCACGTTTTTTGCTTTGTTTTTCTACTTCAGCCTTTAGCCTTTTATACTTTTCAGTGCGATACACTAAAACCCAAGTTATCCCTGAGGAGCAAAGACAGAGTGGTTACATTTGAAAAAACATCCCAACTCTCTGGGGTCTTCAGACACTTTGAAGACTGAGTTTGTACTGTATCACATTTCAGGTTACACTGGAATACCCCCCCCCCCCCCCCCCCCCAACCACACACACAATATTTTTTTTACACTGCATATTCCCATAAACACATGAACACCGTAGACTTTTGGGAGTTTTATTCCTTTTCATACCATATTCTACCAGTTTAGTGTCATAAACCTTCAAACTTTACAATCATGGCCATGCAAACGCTTATAAGCTATCATAAATTGGAGAGTTATTTCAGCCAGATATTTTCAATTATTTGTCTGGTGGTATGTTTTCATTTTCAGACATTAAATCAAACAATATGATACCGTTGGTCTCTGTCAAAGAGTTTGCTTGAAGGGCACTGAGTTCAGTCCTTAAATGTCACTTTGCAGTAAGATATTGAGATTGAGAAAGAAAAAAAAACACTTTAACACACATTTGATAAAGAATATAAAGGGCAGAAACAATTCATACACACTCTCAAAATGGCATTAAGGATATCATGTATCACATGTATAAAATTATCAATTCTGAACATCGTTGAATCATCCCTTTTCAATTTTAAGTTCATTCTGCTTAATGAAGGAGAGGTCTTAGGCAAAAATGTATTGATAGAAACAGAATTATTATTATTATTATTTAGTTGTGGTATTCAAGTATCTCACTTTGATTAAAAATTTATAGGATCTGCTGATGATGACAGATTTACTGTTTCAAAGTTACCGTTTCTGATCCAATGCACTATTTTTTCGCTCCGACTGAATTGGCATTCGATCCCTCCTCCTCACCAACCAAGTGTGTTTCAATAAGAGACAAACTGATGATTGCGGATTAATGACATTTCCTCTCTTAAGTTTGTAATATTGGCATTATACATCGGCCATCAGATGACCAGCTCTCTTATTATTAGCATGACCAGTTGAAAACTGTAATCAATCAATAAATTGAAATTAAATTTCAATGACTGTATTATAATTGGAGTAAATGAATGCAAACTTCCAGTTTTAGTCAGGATAAAAACATGTCTAATCTATGGATATTACATTCAGCTGCAGATGCATTAGAATATACAGAGAAGTACGAAGTAAAAAAAAAATACTTTCAAATCATGCTATTTCTCATTGAGCCTTTTAAATGTCTTTATTTCCCCTAAAAACATCAAACAGTACTATAAATGTACTCTTTTGTTTTAAATGTTTGTTGATCCATATAGATTTACATTAATATTCAAACCTATTTCTCGCTGGCACATATTTCTCATAATGGAGATTAAATGAAGGAAAACCAAATGAAATCAATGAATAATCAAATAATAATAAATTAGAGTTTCCTCTTCCCTTTCCTGAAAATGTGGACGGTAGTGAAGTCTGATTGTCGGACCTCAGACATTAGCTTAGCTATATTAGCCAGCTGAAAGTGTCCCACTGCCCACACTCCTCAAACCAGAACTAATCAATGAGACTGACCACATTTATCGCCCAGTGTTTCCCTCACGCCTGTGAAGCTGTAAAGTATAATCGGTACTGACAGTATAACACCTCTCTGCTCGTTTGGCTCGTGGAGCTGTCAGGGTTTCACTCACCTTCAGCCAACAGCGCCGTGCAGACAGAGATGAACACGATCAGGATCGTGTCTGCAAACATGGTACTCATGCTGAGACTGTCTATTTACTGTCCCGTTTAGCCGATCGAAACGAGAAGGGAGTGTTTGTTTGTTTTATAGTTATAAATAACTCACTGCGTACATCACACAGCTCAGTTTCAGCTTCAGAAAGCACAGTCAGCATTAGTGGGGAAATCATATGTGTTGAAAAAACTTCCGGGTCAAGATTTCTTCTTCGTCCGTGATGTTTGGACAGCAGATGACTCCCACGTGGCTGCATTACTGCCATCTTTCGGAGTCACTGAGCTGCTGTCGTTGTGTCGATATTTTACTAAATCACTCTTACTCTCCCAAGAAGTTGGTTTATACATCCTACTGTTTTGAAAACTTTTTGTACAGTTTCTTGGGTTTAAACGCGCTCGGGCAGACCATTTGGAAACGTTTCACTATCCATTTTCACATTCAAAATGCGGTCAAGAGAAATGCAACATGATCAAAATCAAATCAAATTCTATTTATATAGTGCCAATTCACAACAGTCGTCATCCGAAGACACTTTCCAAAGAAAAAGAGCAGGTCTAGACCACTCATTGTTTGATGAATTATCGAGACCCAATTTAAGATGGGATTTGGCCCATCTCATCTAACACGAGTGACAGTGGCAAAGAAAAACTTCCTTTTAACAGGCAGAAACATAGAGAGAGAGAGAGAGAGAGAGAGTAGGTAAGGGAGAGGGAGGGAGAGAGAATAGAGAACCACGGTTGTACCACTTTTCCACAATGAACGCTTAAGAAACTATTACTAATGTATTTTTGCATTATGGTTTCAGTTTTTTTATATTGTGTCCAATTTTGGCATTACTGTTAGAGGGGCAGATGGGTACACCATGATACACCATCATATGGACAGCTGTGATTAACTGACAGTTTAATCAGCATCTCAAAGACTCTTTTTCAGCAGCTCACTTTTCTTTCTCTTTCTGGCCTTATGTGGTTGTACAGAAGCTTAGTGGGCTTGCAAAAATTATTTTGGCAATCTGGGAAGCAGGTAACCCAGAGATGATAGATTTGGAAAAGTGTTTCAAAGTTGTAATACTCTCACAATGTAGAATTCATTTAAACAATGTGAGGCATTAAATTAGAAGAGTATCTTACTTTTAATTTCCTGGATTCTTGTGAGTATTTATACAACAACTTGTGATTGAAATTTAATTATGTGAAATGAATACAACATCCTTCGACCATCCCTCCCATCCCCTTTGAGAGCACCACTGAACCACTGCAGTCCAGAGGAGGTAGGTAGGTGTCTGTATAGTGTCATACTACCTTGGCTTTGCAAGCCTTTCTTTCTTTTGTTTGTCTTGCTTCTCTGTTTTTTTCACGAAGGTACAAAAAAATTATTGGCCAAAAAGTATATAACTTGTCTTCGACTAGTCTACTTCTTTTATATTTTTAGCAGTCTCGTTTTGTAATTAATAATGATAATAATGTTAATAATAATAATAATGATATTATTATTATTATTATTATTATTATTATTATTATTATTATTATTATTATTGTTAACTTAATTTGTACAGCACTTTTCAAAAGAGGTTAAATTGTTATACAAATTTAAGACAAGTGAAAAAAAGTGAAATGTGTGGAAGACAATAACCAAATATTTAATGCTCTAAACAAAACAGAAGTGATTGAACAGCATAGGAGATATTAAAATAGATAAATAGGTGGATAAAGAAGTGTAAGAGATATTTTTGAAAAGAATATAGGAAACGTATCTGCAAGGCTATGTAAAAATTCAAAATAAAAACATATAGAAGGACCTGGAATTCTTTGTGGTTATGCTAAGCCAAAACAAAATAAAAATGTGTTCAAAATACAAACGGATTGTCGACAGGACGGCTGAGTTGTGCCGATAGTTTGATTTGGTAGACCTTAACAGTTATTTGAAATCACAGTCTATGGTTCATATCATCATCTTTACGTCAGATTTTGATTACGCCATTACGGCAAGTCGGTCTGCGCTCATTTGCGTCACCCTCCTCATCATCGATGCCATCATCTAATGGGAGGAGCGCACACAGAGCTGGAGCACTCAGGGCCGCATCGCCCCGCTGCAGATGAAGTATGACAGGCGACAGCGAAACAAAGCCAGGTGACCAAGCAAAAAATGAGCGCAATAACCGGCAGCCGTTTCTCATCGGCGTGGCTGGAGGGACAGCGAGTGGCAAGGTTCATATTTCTATTATTGCTGGTATCGTGTTTGTGTTGAAGTAGACCTGATTGTAGGTTTGCCAACCAACGCCGGGCACTGAGGTGGTATGATTCAATATGATATAAAAAAAAAAAAAGAGAGAGAGAGACGGCTTGCCTTTTTTCTTTTTAAATAGTCTGAGATTATTTATTTTCCTGTAGGGTCTATCTCTGTTTCATTGTGTTTTTCTAAGATGATTGTATACCTACAGGTAAAGACAGGATATCATGCCCTACTCAAACGTTCCTGTTTTGATGAAGCAAATTAAAATCAGACTGATGCCTTTTCAGGACGCTGTAATGTTGCACAGAGGGCTAACTAAGTGGATACAAATGGTGTCAAAAGTAGTCTGAGGAAAATTTCAGATGATTAGCATCAGCTGCGCAGCCTCTACCAGGTACAAGCTCATGAGAAATAGTCAAAACCAAGTGAATCATACAATTTGTAGACATTACAGACCACTGAACCCCGTAACCTTTTTATCCTACATTTGTTTCTGTGACGTGGTGCTGTCTGCGGGGCATTTACCTGACTGTGATCATTTCAGATGCAGTGTGAGGATTTTTTTGTGTTTCGATATTGTTGTTTGTGATATATCTGTTCTCGGACTACTTTTCCATGTCTCATGTCTGTTTGTGTGCTTCTGTCTCTCTGGATGATAATTTTGCAGGCCTGCTCATTGGCATGACAACGATGTCCTCAGTCGCTAAATATTTGCATTATCATCCTCTAATGCGGCTCGCATTGAGAGATCAGAGGAGGTTGCACTTGTTAAAGATAGTGTTGCAATGTTGCTGTGAATCATAGATAATACACCCCAATGCTAAATAAAAGCATGTATTCTTGTTTCTGTTTTTTTAAGGATTACTGAAGTGTTATCGATATAGTGAAGTGAATTAAACAGCCCTGCCTAGACTGTAGAGAGTGATGTTTTAAAACCTGTGAGAAAGTTTACTGCCTTTGTATCCTGTTCCTTGATTGAAGTTATATAGGTGGCATGAAGGTGATTATATCAAGAGCTTGGGTTGTGGTTTCACAGTCAGCTGTCTGTGGCTTTCACTTCCTGCTATTATGGCCCATGTTTCCTACAGCAACTGTTCCAAAAGCCACCTGTCTTCCCACACGTTAACTGAATAGTGGGTGAACTCCAGTCTTTTGTTTGTGTGTAAGACTCCTGCTTATTTGTCTACCAGGTGTACAAATGAAATAAAGACTCCAGGTTTGTAGCTTCTAAATCAGTTAATAATGAAAGATTAAGTTTTCATTTCATCATTCAGTCCAAGAAGAAAATCAAATCAAATGGTATATTTTTTCCTCATACCTTTTCTTTTGTTTTGTTGCTCCTGTTTATCTAGTCCTCAGTATGCAGCAAGATCATGGAGCTGCTGGGGCAGAATGAAATCGACCACCACCAGCGGCAAGTGGCCATCCTCAGCCAAGACAGCTTTTACAGGGTTCTCACCCCCGAGCAGAAGGGGAAGGCGCTTAAAGGGCAATTTAATTTTGACCACCCAGGTACATCTGTGATAAATGATTTAAAGTCTGAAACATTCAAAACAGCTGTGTGTCCCATTCAGGGAAATGGTTGACTCATTTTTTGGAGGTTTTTGTCCAGATCTTATCCTATCAAATACCAAATCTGTTGTCCAACTTTAAATGTTCTTCTCAATTTGAAATTAGCATTTTCATCTGCATATGATATTTTCGCCCACCACACTGTTATGTCATTTTCAAACCAAGTGCAAATAAAATCATTCGTGTAAGTGAATTAAATGTAAAGTCAATGCAATGATGCAATTAGACACGCATTCTACTCAGGTGACACTAATAACAGAATTACGCTCCGTGAATTGAGCAGACTATTTGAAAAGTACGAAACTAATTAAGCAAGTATTTACACAATATTCCCATGGCCAGACATTTATCTATATATCTGGACATGCGAATGTTGTGTATTTACCAGCTTAATTAGTTTTTACTACACAAATAGTCTGCTCAATTTGCATCGCTTGTGTGAAATGGTATGATTTGCATGACTTAAGTGAATAGTGAATAGATGATTTTATTCAGGCTTGGTGTGAACACAACATTACTCAGCCAGTCCTAAAAACAGAGCCCATTCCATGCACCAGTGTGTGGTTGCTTCATGACGGTTTTCTTCAGTTTGGTTGATGTTTTTTTTCAGTCAGCTCCTCGTGTGTTATAGCATCCTCTGCAGGTTTCTGTGTGATTTTTCCGTTATGTTGTTGACAGGTCAACCATTACCATAAATGTGAAGTTTTGTGGTCTCCAATTATATGAATACTCTGCATGTTGTGTAAATAATGCTATCAGAAAGTATTTACCATATTTTCCGGGCTATAAGTCCCTTTGGAGTATAAGTTGCACCAGACAAAAAGTGCATAATGAAGAAGAAAACACATATACCGGTATAAGTTGCATTTTTGGGGGAAAATTTACCTTACAAAATCCAAGACCAAGAACAGACATTTCATCTAGAAAGGCAAGTTATGATAATAATAATAGAATAGAGAACAACAGGCTGGATAGGTGTACGGTATGCTAACATAACACATTGATGGTTATTCAGCTACATGAAGCATAAACAACAAACTCAACAGGTGTCTGGTATGTTAATGTAACATATTAATAGTTATTCAGATAACTATAGCATAAAGAACATAACAAAACAAGTTTACCAAACTCTTGATATGAGTTAATGTTCATTTTACATTTTCAGTGGTACAGAAGTAGCAGATACTGGTACACCAGTGTCCTCTAGTGGCTGTCAGAGTAAAAATAACAAATGTGAAATTATACATTTTAATATAAGTCAACAAACATGTAAAAATATATAAGTCACAAACCTTGTCAAAACTATGAAAAAAGTATGACTTATAGTCCAGAAAATACGGTACATGCCATCACCATTATACAATCAAATTCAACTTTATTAATGTACCAGACTTCTCCCAAATTTGATATAATGGTCTTGTGATTAGCCAGAGAGCTGGGTAATGATAACAAGCTGATTCAAAAGTCTGAGTGGTATTTCATGATGCCAGAGATTTTGTGTTTACTAATTAGTACTCTTCTCTCTGTACAGATGCATTTGACAACGACCTTATAATTGCAACTTTGTGGGACATCAAGGAAGGGAAGACGGTCCACATCCCAGTGTATGACTTTGTGTCCCATTCCAGGTGAGTGAGTCTCAGTTTGCTGATAGACTACAAAAAAAAAACTCAGATGTATTAAAATGTGATATTAGTATTTACTTTCAAGGCAGACCATGTCCACTTTGGTTGAATTCAGCACTTATTGCTCAGTGAATTAAAACCAGTAGCTTGCTTTAAATGAAGGATGTGTATTTTGAAATGCGATGTCTTTTACTCTTGCAGGAAAGAGGAGACAGTGATGGTGTACCCGGCTGACGTGGTGCTGTTTGAGGGCATCCTGATGTTTTATTCTCAGGAAATTCGAGATCTTTTCCAAATGAAGCTGTTTGTGGACACAGATGCAGATACACGTCTATCACGAAGAGGTGGGATGGATAAACACATCACTGTGAAAGAGTCATTATCACTCAGTCTCTTTGATCGCTTGGAACTGGATTATAGCATTGATGCAACTTGCATGTGAAGTGAATGTGAAGCTCATTGCAGCAGTTCATAGAAGGCAGAGGAGAAAAGCCAGACTGGCTCTGTGAAACCTGCTTGATTAAACTTCCTCACCTGACTAGAATATATTATTGAGTTAATAACTTCTCCAAAAACACTGACTACAATAACATACATTGGAGTTTTGAAGGTTTTTTTTTTTATCTGAGAATGTATTAGCAGCTAACAGAAATGTTTCCGATTAATTTGTTTCATATTTACTGAAGACTCTTAGCTGAACTATTGGTATTCCTTTCATCCCAATGTTTCCCTTGTCTCATTTCCCTTCAGTACTGCGTGATATAAGCGAACGTGGACGTGACTTGGAGAGTGTCCTAGCACAGTACATAACTTTTGTCAAGCCTGCTTTCGAGGAGTTCTGTCTACCTGTAAGTGCCATCCTGTGTTTTCTCTTATATCCGATCTGCTTTGTATGTCTCATGATCAAGATGTTTTTCCTTTTCTTCAACTTTGTTCAGACCAAGAAATATGCTGATGTTATCATTCCCAGAGGAGCTGACAACCTTGGTGAGTTGTTTGGTACTATTATGGTTCTTAGATTCAAGAACATTAGATGTGATGTTAAAAAAGTGGAGATCAAAGGTTTGAGGCTGTAGTCCAAACAGGCTCATCCTGAAGGACACAGCTGTGTTTACTGTAGTCCTTAGAGCTGGAAGTTATGGTTTCAAACCTGAGGAAGCAACTCTTATGCCTTAACCTCCTAAGACCCGAACTCTTGCAAGGCATGCATTTTTATTTTCTCTTTGATATTTAGGCTAATTGAGACCTGATGAGTGTAAAAACAAAGAATGATCTTTTTACATGATGTAGTTTCTGAGAAAAATGATGTCCACATATGAGGACATTCGTTTTGAATTTTGAGAGAAGGCCCTTGTGAACAAAATTTAATATTGTGGTCTTGACAACCAAAAATGTGATGTCCACACATGTGGACGCCAGGTCTTAGGAGGTTAAAAGTAATGTACCTTTGTCTGTTTGTTGAAAAAAAAAAAATACAAAGCCCTTTTAAAATAAACTACTGTTCATACCGTATTTTTCGCACTATAAGGAGCAGCCGAAATCATTTTGGCTTGTCGGAGCACTGCAGCTACCGTAACCTCGTGGTGTTATTGACTCTTTTGTTTGGCTTAATGCCCTTTATAATCTGGTGCGCTTTATAATCCGGTGTGTCTTATGTATGAAAATAGATGCGAATAGACATGTTAATTGATGGTGCCCCTTATAGTGCAAAAAATACGGTACTTGAAATATCTTAAAACAGGCTACTACACCATCCAAATAAAAAGAAACACATTACATACCCAAGGTACCTTTCAACAGACTGTCAGTCTAGCTCAGATTTAATCCTTCATTCCCCAGTTTAATGTTAAAACATGCTGCCACCATGCTCACAATCCTTTCCCACAGCACCATTGTCGTCATCTAAGTTGATCACATTGACACTCTAAAAATGGCTAACCTGCATAAAACACATTATACAGCACTGGCCCGTGGGAATGGTATCAGTTTTGCAGGCATTTGTCCTAGCACAGAGGATAGAGAGATTTTGAGTAGTAATTCATCTATTAAGAGAGTCATATAAATAAAATTAGATTTTAAAACTAAGAGTTATGCTTTACCATTAAGCACAGACAAGGGGGAGGGGAGCTTTTTGCCAGTTGGCCCGGCTGCAGCCTGAATGAGACCTCTTTGCCATTTTTCTGCTGTAGATTCACTGGATGTTGATCAGACTCAGTGTTTCCAATATGGCTACCATCTTTGGGGATCACAATGTCTCTTCCAAAAACCTGCCAGTAACTTTATTCAGAGGATACTAATATTTTAAACATAGCCTGGATCTAATGCTTCTGCATACCAAGTTAAGATGGCAAAATACATAAGGGTTTCCTTTTCACTTCAGCAAATCCAAATGTGCTAAGAAAACTGCAGTTTGTGACATGGACACAGAGGCTAACATTCATAAGCAGCTCTGTCCCTGTAGACTACCATGTTTAAAGTTTTAAAGTAGTGCAAACACTGACCACAGATTGTTTTTGTCTCTCATTACAGTTGCCATAAATCTGATAGTTCAACACATCCAGGATATTCTAAATGGTGGTCTGACCAAACGGCTGAACGGCTGGTTCAACAGCTATGGAGCAACCAAAAAGCAGCAGACCATGGAGTCCAGCAGTCGGCCCCACTGAGCTCAGGTTCTCCCAGATAAACGAAAGCAGGGCTCATCTGCATACGTTGAAAGAAATTTATAGTTTACAGAGGCAGTAGTCCTTGCAAGGTTGGAAAAAGGACTTTCTTTTGATATGATTCTGCTGAGACTGAGGAAATAAACCCAGGGTGAAGATGTTCTTTCTGTGAAGACAGTTGAAAGCAGCTGGATGTTTTTCTTTCTGGCCTGAAGAGGTTTTAGGGAGAGAATCCGAAGGGGCTAACTTGTTTAATTTAAACTACTGCTTGCCTTTATCAACAGTGAAACTAGCTTAAGAAGTCTTGAAAATATCCAAACACTTGACAGCCTTTAACTATACAATACCTGCTGTGTAGCAACATGCTGTTTGATGATGGGCCCTTGGCCTGTCTCACCACAGTTAAATGTGTGCTGTGCAACCTGACTGAGTTCCTTAACCAATGCAACAAGACATCTTTATTTCAAGCTGTGAAAAGCTTTTGTTGAGTTATACAAACAGAGCTCTGCTCTGATAGAGGTTTTTGTATTTGTTTTTGTCATGCTGCTCTAAGCTGCACACGCTTTGTCTTCTTGTGTTAATCAAACAGTATTTTTCGAAGAAAAAAGAAGAAAAAATAATAAGGCAACCGATCCTCACCTCAAATCATGTGATGTATGACATCATCACCAAAGAGTCATCTGTGACATTTTAGGACAAAAATGTGTTTAGTCAAATTTTCATTTCCATGTGGAGCAGATGTTACTGTAATGCTGTTGGTAGCATCAAGAGTTGCTTGTGTTGTTATTGAACTGATCACAAAGTATTAACTCTGTCTTCAGAATCCCATAAACTTGAAACCTCAGATGTGCACACGTATGCAAGATTCATTTACCTGAAGGAAAACTGCACACTGACAGTCATGTGAATAAATGCAATGACCTGTAAAATGCCATGAAGTCTTGGATACATAATGTATTTGTGTTCTGTAATTGATTCTTGTATGCAGTTTTCTTATGATAAAGTTCTCAGGTACTCTATGAATGCAGGAGTCAAACTAAATAGTTGTACGTGTGTGTTTCCTTTTTGGTAAAGACCTAACAAGCTCCTTTAAAAATAGTGTTTAGTTCTACTTCAATAACTACATATGGGATATTAAAATCCATCTGACATGCTATGTGCTAAAGCACTGAAGATGACCCACTTGTGGTGAAGATTCTTGGACTGTAGTGGTCTTTGAAGGGACAAGGGTAACATCCTCAGTGTTTATACTATCTTGGGAAAAGGCTTACTGGCAACCTTTACAGCAGAGTAGAGCCACTGTTTATGCAATAAACACACTATTTCTGATACTACTGCATTGGGAAAAAATGTCAGCACAATGACCATTTAGTACCTTTGGTTAAAATGATTTAGCAAGCTTCTGATGTCTTGCACAGACAACTAACAATATTTAATACCAGGTATTGCAGCTGCAGAGCATTATTTTTGTTTGGTGTTTAGACTCCAAACTTTGTGCAGTTTTACTATTTACATGCAGAAATCAGGGAGTGAGGATAGTTGCTTAACCCCCACTGGAGCCTGCAGGTGGATGCTGGGACTGCAGTGGGGCTGAAAATGTGAGCACAGAACTTGACAATGGAGATAAAGGTAAGTGGAGGTAGAGACTATGAATCTTGCAGCCTAGAGTGACAAATAGGGAGTATATTTGTCATGTGACTGTGAGAATGACCCATGCCAGATTTGAAATCGTATCGACTATCTGAACTTGCTCCCAGGCTTGGCTCGCTTTGGTTCATAACGGTGTGATTTTTACAACATAAACAGTGCACAGCTCCCTAAAGTGAATTTCAAATATCCATGAAGTCTCCCTTTTCAAGATTATTCTGAAGGGTGCACTTAAACTGCTTCTTCAGCTTATCAGTTTTACTCTAGGTAGTTCTAGGGTTAGAGCTTGCATGATTAAACCAACTAATAAAACTTGATCATATAAGTAAATCCAACAAAATCACCATGACCTCATTTTATGGTCTGTACTCCTTTTTTTTTGTAGGAATCAAGGGCTTCATCTGGGTAACTTGACTTAAAGTCTAGTTTATATCCACCGATGGATGAAATCAGGGTCTATAATCTAGATAAAAACCACACATCTCCCAAAATAACCTTTTTCGGGGGGAAAATATATTGTCCAAAGTATAATGTCTTTGGAATTGAGATTGAAAATGGATTAATAAAATTAAACAGTCAGCAAGTGCAGCTTTTTTTTAATTAAAACATGGTCATCACACAATTACACCTGTTTGACATTTTTCTTAACAAAATAGGGTTTTTTTTCCAACCATGATGTGCTCTATGATTTTATCATCTAGCCCACTTTGCAGAGCCTTCCCTAATAATCAAAGTCAGCGTCTTAATAGAAACTGCTGCTCTGCATCACCCCTGGGTTTACAAAGAGACCCTGTTTGGTTCACATCCTGGTATCCGCTCTCGATAAGTACCTCCTTTACATCATTCCCTGGCTGCTGAGTTCTGACCAAAGAGTCCACGATACAGTTCACTGCGTGCCTCGTCACTCATTGAGCTGTGATCTATAGGGGCCATAAAATTCACCAGTTTACTGTGGATGTGGAACCGGACTTTGCGCCCCTTACTTGCTTTAGTGTCTACTTTTTTCTTTATCTTGCTGCGCAGTTTCTGGATGGCAAGCCACTGTCTGCCCATGGCCACCTGGTCATTGGGATCTGCAGCACTTGTCTTGCGCTCAATCAGCTCTCTTAGCAGCTGATGGTAGAAATCATCATCATTGAATATGTCTTCATCCAGGTCTTTTAGGTGTGTGTTTGCTTTCAGCTGCTGCTCTACCTCTTCTCCTTCTTCAAGGAGAGGTTCCGGCATGAAAGCCAAGGCCTCTTTTTTCCCCAGGACCTTGAACTCAGAGCGGCGGGTCTGAGTGCGTCTCATCAGTCTCTCTTTGTCCATCAGCACCTGCTCCACCTGTGTCAGTATGTTTCTCTCAAACGCCCCGAAACCTTTGCTGGTTTTGCCCATTGTCAGTCGGGTTTTGTCATGCCACTTCTGCAACGTAGCATTACAGTAAGGCTGGAACTGAGTGAAACGTTTGGCCATAAAGTCTGGGTACTCTGCCATCTCCAGTTTCCGTTTAGGTGCACCACTTTCCTGAACTGACCCATCTTCATCGCTGTTTATCTCCTCATCATCGTCCTGATCTCCTGTCTCCCCCAGAGCAATGCTCCTTGTGTCTGCATTTTGGTAAAGCAGCTGATCGTGGAGCTCCAGCAGGGATCTTTGAAGGGCTTTAAGAGCTTTGTGGGTATTCTTCAGCTCCCCGGCGAGCTCAGCTCCGCCCCTTCTCTTGAATTCTGGGAGTGTGTCTGGCTGTGGAAGCTGGTTGGCTGTCATCAAAGCTTTTTGAATTTTAATACGACCCTCCAGCAGCTGATCCCACAGGGCTAGCTGGTTCTTCACAGCCTTCCCTTTCTCGACTTCCTCGTCAACTTTGTCTTGAGAGAAAGTGCGGACAACTCCCTCATCATCTTCATCATCCTCTTCCATTTCATCATCATCATCATCATCATCAGAGCCCTCATCTTCATCACTGCCTTCTGTTTCATCTCCAATGTCTCCATCATCTTCTTCACTCACTCCGAGATCATCCATGCCCGCAGTGAGTTTGTGGAAGTCCACTCCCTGAGGAAAAATTTCAGCAGCACCTTTTGTTGTAGAAGACTTTTTGACATCTGGCTTTGCATCCACTAACTCCTCCTCCTCCTCATAGTCCACAAAATCATTGTCATCATCTTCGCCTGCCTCTTCATCCCCCGTAGATACAGCTTCTACCAGCTCTTCTTCGCTGCTCTCGTCCTCATCTTCATCATCATCCTCGTCTGCATCCTCATTTAGTTCTTCTGTATCCATCAGCAGTTGTTTCCGAGAGACAGCCTTCCCCACATACCGTCTGTCTGTGTCTGAGAGCAGAGATGTGTTGTGTTTCCGTAGAGCACTGCGGCCGACTTCATCTTCATCATCGTCCTCGTTGAACCTGTTTATCACTTTGGCTTTGGTAGCTTCATCTTCATCATCCTCCGGATCAGCAAATTTAGGTAACGGGTTTAACAAATCTTCGAGCTGCAGTGAAAATGAATTCGCCATAGGAAAAAAGTTCACTTTAGCACACACGTGTGCGATACTGTCTGAGCAGATCCTTGCTAAGGGAAGTAGTGACGTCAGTGAAATGCGACGACCTCTAAAATTCGCATTTTATTCCCTGGGTAGAGACTTTCAGGTAGTGCAATTTGCGCTGATAGCATGATAAATATACGTTACTCGCAAACGGAACGTCAAAAATCAAATTTTCTACAAAGATAGCGATTAAGAATATTAATTTATATCAAAAACAGCAGCCTTGCCCAAATCCATAAACTCTTCATATCAAAACATATAAAACTAAGATAAACACACAATTAAAACAGTAAATAAATTAGTCGTTTTATTTCTTCTTCTTATTTATTTCATTGTTATATATCTGAAATTTAAAAAATATCACTTTCCACATAAGGTTAGATTGAGATAATATGTTGCTGTAATTGTAGCAGTAGTAGTAGCAGCAGCAGCAGCATTAGCAGTAGTAGTTGCGGTGTAAAATCCTGTAAGACCAAATGTGGGGTAAAAACTTGAAGGTACCAGTCGCTCTTGCACGCATGCGTACACGGCTAGAGGGGTCCGACTGCGTTTGCTAACCGAGTGTTTCTCCGAAAGCTTAACCAAAAAGGTTACTTTCTGGAAATTAAAAATGTCAACAAGCGACTTCTATTTGAGATATTATGTTGGGCACAAGGGGAAATTTGGACACGAGTTCCTGGAATTCGAGTTCAGACCTGACGGTAAGTTTAATTTGGCGGCACTTCTTGCGTGTTAGCTTTTGTGCGTTTGAGCTAACATGAGTTGCTAGCATTAGCTACCCGGTAGAGAGTAGGCCACAAAAAGAGTTGGCACCAAACTATCCCCCTTTGAGGGTGTATTACAAACTTTTAAGATGTAGTTTGTACTCATCTTACGCTCAATAATGTGTCTGCTTTAATTCCTAATCCATAATGCACCACGTGGCCTTTAGGGATGGTAGTAAACTCATTCAGTATATCAAAGTACCTGTATCTAACAATTCATGATCTCTTTCAGGTAAATTGAGATACGCGAATAACAGCAACTACAAGAATGACGTGATGATCAGGAAAGAGGTAAGAAGTGACTTCAACCTTTTGGTACCATAGAAAGGTTCATTTTGGAAGTTTCAGAAGGTTTTGAGGTGATTGTCTTCTGTGTCTGACTGCTGATTGTAACCTGCTATGGTGTCTGTAGACTAGGGCTTGAAGATGTCTGTTATCAGGGATCCTTCCAGCGGTCTACAGAGAGAGGGAGTGTAGGATACTAGGGTGGCTGAGAACCGCCACTGCTGCAAATTAATAAGAATGCAAAAACAAAAAGAAACCACAACGGAAATTACCGATGCAAAAAGAAGAAACCGAAGCCTGCTGCAAATTAAAATAGAAATGGTTCAGATTTAAAAAAAAAAAAAAAAAAAAAAAAAAAAAAACACAACGGAAATTTAATGACACAAGAAAGTGGTGATGAAAAAAAGGTTACGTACTGCGAAAATAAAAGGATGCAAATAAAAATAAAAAGCCACAACAGAAGTGAGCTGCCAGTAATGATGATGCACCGGTGTTTTTCGATCTGGGCACAAAAGACGACGGCGAGAAGACGAGCAAAGAAGTTAGTGGAAAGGTTGTTTAATTTCGCTTCGTGTGCTATTCAACGTGTCGTTTGGTTTAGGCCATGTTGCACCTGAGTCGATATGAAGTTGAACTGGAGCTAACACTACACCGGCATCCTCCAATTCAACTTCATATAGTCCTCTTAGCATGTACAAAGTCTACCTTTTGTTCATGTGTTGCTCTATCATTTTAGGCATATGTGCACAAAAGTGTGATGGAAGAGCTGAAGAGGATCATCGATGACAGTGAGATCACCAAAGAAGACGATGCGCTGTGGCCTCCTCCTGATCGAGTCGGCAGACAGGTTTGTGACCCCGTTCATTAACACTGAACACAATATGCTGCATTAAACCTGTTCATAGTGCTGATTGCCTTGCAGGCATTTACCCCATATTCTGTAACAACCAGAGACCTCCACCACACATTGTTGTATACTTAGTAGTAGTTGCTCATGCTAATTTTTAACAAGTGACATTTTGATAACTGTCACCAAATATCATGACATGGTTTTTGCTGAAAAATGATACATAGTTTGTTAACCCACATAACCATGAAAGCACTCTGGCTATTAGCATTTTTATCCATTGATGTCTTTTCCTAATGTTCATAGATTTGGGAGCTTCACAGGTCACAGATTTTTACATGAACACTCGTCATTAACTTCTCAATGATGATTTTGGTGATGTTTTTGAAACTTAACAGGAACTGGAGATCGTCATTGGAGATGAGCACATTTCTTTCACAACTTCCAAAATTGGCTCCTTGATTGACGTCAACCAGTCAAAGTGAGTAGAACTTTGTTAAAAAAGTTTTGTCAGGTTGTGAGTTGAACATCGTTAAAATTTTTGTCAAGTTTCTGATCTGAGGGATTGCCTAACACTTCAAATGTGCTGTGTTTCAGGGACCCTGAGGGTCTACGGGTGTTCTACTACCTGGTGCAAGATCTGAAATGTCTTGTCTTCAGTCTCATTGGCCTTCACTTCAAGATCAAGCCTATCTAAATCTCAAATTCAGTTTGTTTTAATTGCTTTAGCTAATGTTTCTGTTGTTGACTTCCGCATTTGTACATTTGCTTTGGAAATGGAACTGTTTTTTATTTTAAATAAAGAGTAAAAAGACATCTTTTGTCTTACGTGATGTATTTCTTTAGGTATTCCTTGCTGTTATCAACACAGGTTTACTTATTACAATTAAGATCAAGTTTCAAAATGGTAACAGTAAGTAGAAGCATTGTAGTGTAATTAAATTGAAACTGCAGTTTGAGTAAAATTTTCAATTAAATTTTATTTCAAAAGACACTTAGATCAAGAAGGCTGTAAATGACCAGGTTTCATGATAAGTTATTACAGTGCTGATCAGCAAATGATCTTTAATTCACATTTTAATAAGGCACAAAGCTCTATTCTTGGAAACACTGCAAAGACTTATCTAAATCTCAAAAGCCTAATTTCATAAATAGTATATACAGGACTCACAATGTTCTTCAGTGTTTTGTGAGGCCATACAACTGGAGTAACCAAAGTTTTTTTGTCTACAGCTGTCAGAATCAATTTCCTCTTTGATTTGGGTGACACCATAATGATTTTCTTTCATGGAAAGTCATGAATTTATCGATTAAAGTAGGAAGGTGTAATTTTTTTAACATTATGTGGTGTTAATCAGGGATTTTTATCGGTAATGTGATTCATGTCTGGTCTGTTGCTATGCATTTAAGTTCCAAAATAATTGCTAAAGCACCATGATTTGACAAGCACTTCTCTTTTGTATTAATATAGCACTTGTTCTACTTTCTTTGTGTTTTTATCAATGAAACTTCAGGTAATTACAATAAAGACATTAACCTTCTCTTTTTCTCACTTTGGTGAAAACATGTTTTCTTAACTGAGCGCTTTTCCCTCTAGAACAGTGAAAATGTCCTCCAATGACTTGTGCACACATTGCAGGAACTCATGGACATTACGAGCCGGGTAACTGGACACATTGCAGCCGATCCAGTCATCATGGACTCCGTAGCCCACACCAAAGCCATCGGGCACCACTGGGGCAAAGCCGCCCAGACTCACAGCTGGACTGGTGAGGGTGCTGGTAGACAGGATGTTGTGGTTGATGGCAGCATAAGCTGGGTCTGTATACAGACTGTGCAAAGCCTGGCCCTTTGAATTGGCAAGGTATCGCATGGCGAAGAGATGACGGTCAAAGCCTTGGCCTAAAGACAGAGAAAATTATGTTACAGCAAAGTGCGTGTTTGTGTGTTTTGAGACCAGTTTGTCTGAAATCACTCCTTCTTTCCATTATTCATAGAACTTGGAGTCCTAGATTATGAGTCTTTTTACAGTTTCATGCAGGTAGAAAAAAAAACAGCCTGACAATTCTTTGTATCTTTATGTATTTCAATTTGATATACAAATAGTGTCATGATAAAAACATTCACTATTTTGGACCTGTAGGAGAAACAATTCTATGACCTCCAAGGACTTTGTAGGTCGCCTATTCCTACGCAATAAAATGTTTGTTTGGAAAAATGTATTAAATTAAGATTAAAGGTTTTTCAAAACGGTATGTCCACGGATATCACCACTCCCAGCTAATCACACAGAATTCATCTACTATATTTGCACAGTTACAGCAGGGATATTATGCTAACTTTTAGGCTTTATAACATCCCTCTTGTAGCTTTGTAGTAGCTTTACACAAGTTACAGTTCAGAAATTTTTATGTATCTCAAGCCAGTGTCCAGATTGTTTACTTTCATGTACTGTCTCTCTTCATTTATTGGATTTTTCATTCAGTTATATTACGCTCAAAAAAGGGGGGAAAAAATTTTTAAATCTTGTTCTTTTATCGATCCTGTCTACACATTAACTCTAAAACTTTGGTCATATTTTCAAAACAGGTTCAATCTTTTATGTTTTTTGTATCAATCTAATGTGCTCTTCAGTGTGCTACTGCATCTGGCATGTCCAAGCGTTAAATGCAGGTACTGCACAATGATGAAGGCGGCTCAGTGTAAACATCCTGTCATGTCAATTAACAAACAAAGCATCACAAAATTGACGACATGATAAGATGTCTTCCAGAGGGATTACTTCAAATCACATCTACCATTACTTTGATTGTCTTCTAGAGGAACTGCAACATTTTGAATGTTTGGGGGTGTAAGGAATTGTAGTAAAGTAAACAAAATTTTAAAATGCCCTGTACGCACCCATAGCTGCTTCCTTGGTGAGCTGCCCATGATATTTGGAGCACTCACTGAGCATGCCCTGCAGTTGCTCCACACTGTGTTTCCCTGGTTGATGTACAAATGCATGGGCACACTTTGCGGTGTGTATGGTGGCAGGCCGGATGGTTTCTGTACGGCCGTGTTTAAAGGCTGCAGTGCTGCAGGACTCATATGTGGCCACTGTCTGTCCATACTGCCTCAAGAAGCCCATCTGAAAAGCCAACTGAACTATTGCATCTGGACTTAACTTGCTTTTCTTTAGCTGTTCCTTCCCACCTTTCTTGAACTCCATGGCATCGATGGTTAGTTTTGACACAGCTGAGTCAAAGTTCTCCTTTGCTTTTTTGATGCCGTTCTCAAGCTCGCTATTCAGCTTGAACTGCAGTCTGCGGACAGCAGAGGCTGAATCCACAGCAGCAGGAGCAGATCCTGGGTGGATCAGGGGCTTCTCTGTTGTGTCTTTGAAGATCTCATTCTGAAAGCGAAGCACAGCTACACCATCTCCCCACGAGTGCTCAAAATTGATGGCTGCCTGTCCATCTTTGGTCAAAATGACGCTGAAGGACTTGTCATACCACCGGTTGCAGCCGTCGCCATGCAGCATGTTGTGCGAGATATGAATGTGGTCCTTCATACTTTCATCATCCAGAGAGAGACAGAAAAGAGCGCTGTCAACAACCTGTAAATCCTCTGAATTTCCAGCAGCTATCAGCTTCTCCCTCAGCCCAGCCCAAGTGTCCCTGTTCTCACTGGTCAGGACCCCCAGAGGGAAGGCAGGTGCTGGAGTCTGGTCAGACAAAATGTACTTCAAGTGGGACTGGATCTCTGCAGGGCTCACCAAATTCCCATCCCTGTCTACAATGTCAAACACATACATGTTTCCTTTCCTCATAACTAGGAGATGTCGCCCTCTCTCATCAGTGAAGAGCTCGTCTCGCCCCTGCTTTGGAATCCGAGTGGAGTTGAAGAGGCGAAAGTACTGCGACATGTCTAGGGGGTAAGCATTTACCATGTACGCTCCATACCAAGACAGTGAGGATGGGACCCAACGGATGAACTTTTTAAAGCTGTCTGTGTCACTCTTTGCTGGATTGAGATGGAAAACCTCCGGCTCCAACAATCCAGCTCGTAGTGTTTTCATGAAGCGCACCGCTGAACACACCACATTGGTCGCTCGCACAAGCTGGTCGTTGTTCTCCATTTTGGGGTCAGGATTAAAGGACATAAAAGGGTTGAAGTTTAGCACCACAGAGTCACGTGCAGAAAGATACATGTCAAACCATGGTCCTGAAATTACAAAAAAAAAAAATCGAACTCAGCCACAGTCATCAGTATGACAGAGGATTAAGGCCACAGTAAGGAAGAAAAGAAAAAAAGTGAAACTGTTAATTCAATCAAATAAGGTCAAATACAAGAAATTTAAATGTTACGTTTTTGAAAATTAGATTATATTTGAGTATAATCTCAAAATGCTCCATGTTCATCATTTTAATTTAGGTTGCTCTTCCTATCCTTCCCTTCATAATGTTGCAAGCCTGAAATTGACTTTTTTTTTTTCTTTTATTTTGTGACATTGAAAATTTGATCTTACAATACTACGATGTAGTTCTATTAAGAGGATGACACCGCAACTTTTTCAAGGCCTTATTCTTGTAATATTACCACTTCATTCTCAGAAAATTACAGCTGAAATCCTGAAATCTACAAACAAAACGTGACTTCAAAGTGGCCCTATTACTCATCAGAGATTGTGTGTATAAATGAATCTCATTTCAAAGTTGTGTTCTGTCAGGATGGCAAAAATACCTGAGATGTAGCTTGTGTGCTTGTTGTTTTTGTCCTGCGCAACCAGTTCTTCATGCAGCTGTTTCCCCATACCATTCTGGAAATCATGCGCATGTTTCTCGGTTGTTCTGCAGGGGAAACAAACAAAAATGTTGCAGATAATATTTAAAAAGAGAATCAGATCAATGTGTAAGTATCTAATAATCAACTTAAATGGTTAATTAGTTTGAGAACACTTACTTGAACTGTTCATCATCCAATACAGGCCTCTGGGCAGCCAAATACCTCCTTATAGTATCTTCAAGTTTTGGAATGGGAAGCCTGCAGAAATTACATAAAAATTAAGCCGTCCAAGAGGAAGAAATATAGGGAAAGATGTTCAGGGATCGGTGCAAGATAAAGTCCTGCCAATGCCCCCTAGCGGCCATTTCTTTAACTGCATATGCACTTTCACCTAAATTAATTCAAAAGCCTCCTGGGTCACCTTCTGTTACTAAAAATACCTCTCACAGCCCATGTAACATCTAAAAACTGTTGACATTCATTTGAAATAATAGCTAGGATGTACGAAGCCATATGTTGGGGTAAAATGAAAAATGCTAAACCAAAGTCACCTGTGATTCCTTACCTGGGTAAACTCTTCTGGTAATGCATTGAAGGGACGACACTTCGGTGCAGATATTCGCTTGATTCCCCCTTTTTACTGTTGTAGTTTCGCTTCCTGATGCCCAGAGCAGCAGTCCTTAAATTAGTTAGATTTCCAGGTTTTCTCAAGGAGATGAGGTATTGCATTGAAAGCAAATTAGCCATTGTGCTAGACGGCAAACAGACAACGTTTTATTCACCTAATGTAAAAGCTCGGCGGTCCAACAGGCTGAAAGACTAAAGCGAAATCTACAGAGACGTCCGTGTTGCGGCTGTGACTCCCGAGTAAATACGAGGGACAGCGAGCTTTAGCAGGTAGCATTGGCTGACAGGTCTCCTTAGCTGATCCGGTGATTCCCCAATCACCAGTCACTACCACACATAAGAGGCGTTAAATTAACACACCTTGAACTCCCAGTCAAATTAAATGTTGAACAAATAAGACTTTAAAAGAAAAGACAAAAGAAAAATAAGCTGAATTAACAACAGGAAGTTTAACCGGCAAAACTTGTCACGTGACACTGACGACTTCTTCTTCGGCTGAATGGGGGAGTTGAGATGTAGTCAAGGAACTACACAGACTCCAAATAGCCCACAGCCACGGTGGGTTTACTTTATTTATTTGCAACAAATACCATCTGTGTATTCAGAAACTTGTAAAACATACAAGTCGAACAGGCTAGTGAATAAAAAAAACGTGTTTTCCACACTGCAGTATGTACATCTTATTTGCAAACTAATAATGAAACACGATCCCTTATTCACACAAACGAGGAGGCATATCTAAAGTACTGCAAGGTAACTTTAATCCAATTTAATAACACTAATGTAATCGGAAAAAAATGTGTACATTTTAACTAACCACAAATCCATTACCTCAGCCTTGCAGCTAAACCAGTTATCCAGCTTAATGTTGAACATACCCTGAAACTAACTACTTTTTATGTAGATGGAAACTGCAACCTATTATTCCCTACCAATGGATTAAATTCCCTTTTCCCTCAAAAATTCTACACAAAATACCCCATAATGACAAAGTGAAAAACTTTTCAGAACATTTTGCAAATTAAAAAAAAGAACACTCAAATGTTGTATTCACACCCTTTACTCAATACTTGGTCGAAGCACCTTTGGCAGCGATTACAGCCTCCAGTCTTCTTGTGTATGATGCATCAAGCTTGGCAAACCTGGATTTGGGGAGTTTTTCCCTATTCTTCCTTGCACATCCTCTCAAGCTCAGTGAGGTTGGATGGGCAGCGTCGGTGCACAGCTACTTTCAGGTCTTTCCAAAGATGGTCAATGGGGTTCAAGTCTGGGCTCTGGCTGGGCCACTCAAGGACATTCAAGGACAGTCCTGAAGCCACTCCTTTGTCTTCTTGGCCGTGTGCTTAGGGTCATTGTCATGCTGGAAGATGAAGCGTCGCCCCAGTCGAAGGTCTCGAGTGCTCTGGAGTAGGTTTTCATCAAGGATTTCGATGTACTTAGCTGCATTCATTTCTCCCTCTATCCTGACAAGTCTCCCAGTTCCTGCAGCTGAAAAACATCCCCACAGCATGATTCTGCCACCACCATGCTTCTCTGTAGGGATGGTATTGGCGAGGTGGTGAGCGGTGCCTGGTTTCCTCCAGACATGATGCTTGGCATTCAGGCCAAAATATTTGATCTTTATGTGTGACCAGAGAATTTTGTTTCTCCTGGTCTGTGAGTCCTTCAGGTGCCTTCTAGCAAAGTACAAGCGGGCTGTCATGTGCTTTTTACTGAGGAGTAGCTTCTGTCTGGCCACTCTACCATAAATGCCTGACTGGTGGAGTGCTGCAGAGATGGTGGTCCTTCTGTGAACGCTGGAGCTCTGTCAGAGTGACCATCGGGTTCTTGGTCACCTCCCTGACCAAGGCCCTTCTCCCCAGCTTGCTCATTTTGGCTGGGCGGCCAGCTCTAGGAAGAGTCCTGGTGGTTCCAAACGTCTTCCATTTCTTGGATAGAAACCACTGTGCTTTTTGGGATCTTCAATGCAGCAGATATTTTTCTGTAACCTTCTCCAGATCTGTACACCGATACAACCCTGTTTCGGAGGTCTACAGACAATTCTTTCGACTTCATGGCTAGGTTTGTGCTCTGACGTGCTCTTCTTCTTCTTCTTCTTCTTCTTCTTCTACTGGTTTAACAACAGTTGGCACCCTTGTGTACGGTGCATTACCGCCCTTTTCTGACAGTTCTTATACAAAATCCTGTGCACCACCCATTCCCATCTCATACACTCACACATTCATACTCCTACAGACTAAATCCTATCAATCAACCCTGTCACCCTTAAAAACTCGACTAACACTCTCACATGTGACCTGTCCCCCATCTGTAATACTCCCTTTAGTGTAAGGTCCTGCATACCTAATTCCCTCAACTTATTTCTCATCTCTCCCCTTTCTGTCTCATATCTCCTACAACCATTTAGAACATGCTCCACGGACTCCTCCACCTGAAATCCCTCACATAACCCAGTCTGATGTTTCCCTATCATTTTCAGTGTTTTGTTTAATGCACAATGACCTAACCTCAACCTTATCAATGCTGACCCTTCCTTTCTCTGTCCACTACCCAGCCTCCTAACTTTAACACTCTCTTGAATCTTATACAGGTGCCTTCCTCTCTTCTCACCCTCCCATTTCTTCTGCCACATCTGAAAAAGCTTTTCCCATATCATACTCTTAACTTCCGCTTTACTTAACCTAACATTCAGCTCCACTGATTCCTTCCCTAACACCTCCTTAGCCATCACGTCTGCCTTCTCATTTCCTTCCACCCCTATATGTGCAGGAACCCATAAAAATCTGATCTGGCCCCCCTGCTGTACTATTCTTGTCACTGACTGTAATATTTCGTATAATAAACCCGGACGGCTGCTTGAATGGAACGATCTCATGCTAGCTAAAACTGACGCTGAATCTGTGCATATAACTACCCTCTCTACTCTATCTTTTTCCACCCATTTCAGTGCAATCAACACCCCCAACATCTCCACTGTGTTTACCGCTAGACCGTCTGATGTCCTTTGATTGATCTCAATTCCTCTCGATGGCACCACTACCCCTAATCCTGTCACCCCCGTCTCAGGTTGTTTTGCCCCATCTGTGTAAACCTGAACAAAGCTGCTGTATTCTTCCCTCAGGCGTTGATTGACTATGCTACCCAAGCCTACCTGTCCTCCCTCTTTCCTTTTCTTTCCCATTACACTCCAATCCACTGCTGGCCATACCATTCTCCATGGCGGCATTGCTGGATACACTACTGTTAGGCCTACCTCCATCCCATCCACCCCAAGCTCTGCTGCTATTCTATTCCCCATCCTACCAAAATGATCCCTCTTACCTTTCTCAGCCTCCCAACACTCCTCTATCACTCCTTTTGTGGGGTGGGTACCACTGCTGCCCTTCAAACTAATCCAGTAGTTTGCAATGAGATGTTTGCGCCTCAGGCATAGCGGCATCTCACCCAACTCCACCTGTACTGCAGGCACTGGTGATGTGCTCTGTCAGTTGTGGGATCTTATATAGACAGGTGTGGCTTTCCAAATCATGTCCAATCAGCTGAGTTTGCCACAGGTGGACTGCAATCAAGTTGGAGGAACATTTCAAGGCTGATCAGTGGAAACAGGATGCACCTGAGCTCAATTTTGAGTTTTATAGCAAAGGGTGTGCATACTTATGTATATGCAACATTTGAGTTTCTTATTTTTAATAAATTTGCAAAATGTTCCAAAAAAAGTTTTTCGCTTTGTCATTATGGGGTATTTTGTGTAGAATTTTTGAGGGAAAAAAGGAATTTAATCCATTTTGGAATAAGGCTGTAACATAACAAAATGTGGAAAAAGTGAAGTTGTATGAATACTTTCCGGATGCACTGTATTCTTTACAGAAAAAATAAGTTCCCTTGACACAACCAAAGTCATCAACTCACAAGAGCATACTTCACCCTCTTGCACTGTGATCCAACAAGCATCACAGTCATTTTATTGTTGTTTTCCTTTTCTGCAAGCACCAAATTGTAGCACGGATATTTAATTTACATTTGGTATTTGGTATACATTTCTGTAAAGACTTAATTTAATGCTTAATCTCTTGATTCTTCATTTAAGTTTTTTTTCTTTTACATAGTTATTGTAACCATACATGCTAAACTTAAAACTTTACTTTTGCGCAAGCTTAACTTCAATGATGTGACATGTAATGTTAAAGCACTTTGAATATTCAATGGACAACAGAAAGTGCTACTGGAACATATTCCAGTCTACCATACACTGATTTTACAACCAGAAATAAATCACCACTAAGTGACCACTAAAGCAATGAAACCAAAAGGCCTTGGTTTTACCTCATTATCACACATCATTAAGTTTTGCTCTTATTTTCCACTTTAAATACCGTTGACTGCTTCCTTTTATGTGAGTGGTATAAAAATAATGTTGATCTGGGGTGAGTTGAGTTTTGCTTTCAAATCATCCCATGTTTTTTTTTTTTTTTTTTTAAATCTCCCCTCTTCCGAAAAAATAAATAAATAAATAAATAAATAAATTCTGTTTCGATAGGCTCTATAAAATTCAGAGGTGGTGGTGATTAGTTACTAGTTGCTGAGTGTTTTCAAATATTTATATTTTAGCCCATTATTATTTTTATTTTTTATTTTCCTCCTTGTGGTATTTATTTGTCTAAAAATCTGTGTATCATTGTGCTATTTGATACCAAGCACGTAAAAAGGTGCAGTTTACACTAAGTTGTGATAATTTACATATAAAATCTCAGAAAGGCAGAAGAATATTTAGGTACTCTAACCTGCAACATTTCGTTGATGCAATGTACAGATGTGGAGCTTTGAGTCCAACGATCCATTTCTAGCATGATATTCTTTTGGCCAGCAGAGCGCAGTGTCTGATCAAATGCTGCTCTGGGCTCAGACACACATAATGCTGGGCCTCAGCTCAACAGGCTGTGTGGTCTGAGAGAGTTAAAGTCCCACACATGAAATGCAGAAAAAATAGACCAGACAGAATCTGGTAAAAGAACAGCATTGCCCGGCAGGCTCTGAGCCTGTCATTTGAGAGCGTGAGTTTGGTGCTTGGCTTGAGCCCTCCCCCACACACTAGCCTCTGCCACTATCCATGCACCCCCACCCCCCACCTCGCATCCAGGGTGATAGTTCACTGTTTCCATTAGTCTGATGAGATTTTCCGATGTTTGCCTCCACTTATGCTGTGTACATGAGATGCAGTGTCACTTGCTGACCTACCCTCTTTGCATAGCCAGCAGCACATACAACATCATTTAAAACCATTAAACTATCTCTTATCTGGCTGTCAGATAAAATGATACCTTACTGCTATTCTCACAGATTCATCCATTACTGTATTCTCAAAGAGTGTAGTGACATTAAAATTGTAATGAGTGGCTAGAGACGTCCCAGCTTATCTCTTTCCCTGCCTCCATCCTAGTTATTATCACCAGCTCAGTCAGAACACAACTTGTTTACTTTATCCCTCCTCCTGTGTTAGGGTCTGCACCGACCTGTTTTTGATTTTAAATGCTTAAAAAAACCCACTTAAATTTGCTTTTTTGCTCAAGACTTTTTGACTTTGTCAGGAACCTCTATTTCAACAACAAAAAAAATAGAAATAAAAATTGACTGAATTATAAAATGCTCCTATTAAAATTATGGCACTTGTCATGTTAGGGTCTCTGTTGACCCGCTTAGATCAATATCTAATAATCAGAGCAAAAACTGAAATCATACGTGCACTATCAGGAAACACACTGACAGTCAGATCATCTTCCAATCATTTAAGGTGTATGAAATCTCATTTTGCCATGTCTTTCCCTGCACAAAAAAACAACGTTGGGCACATTCCGACATGTGAGATCAATTCAGTATAGATACCTGTATGAGGGGTATCTTGACAAAGCAAGGCCCAGAGGCCCACTACAGAAACTATTACAAGCAATATTTTCATGGATATTGAAGCCTAACACCTAACAAACCTAGAGATGAGAACCAAATTGGATGATAGAGGATTGTTTTTAGTGTAATTTACAGCTGATTTAAGACACGGGTCAAAACCGACCCTTAACATGGTGGATGCGCAGTAAAAGCTAACACAGGAGGAAGGTTAAATCATAGATTTGGTGTTTCAGACTTTGACCAAATGTTCAGAAGACTTTGAAAATGTTTGACAATTAATCTTTGTGCGGATTTTTTTGATAGGTGTACTATTGTGCATCGTTTCAAATTGGATGCCAGCAACACATTCCAGAGCAGTTGGGACAAGGTCTTTTCACCATTGTGTTGCATTACCTCTTCTTTTAACAACTTTGTATAAATGCTTTGGGACCCAGTAGACTAGTTTCTAGATTTTGGACAGTGAAATAATGCCCCATCCAGTCATGATAAAGGGTTTCAGCTGCTCAGCAGTCTCTTTTGTTGTATTCTTTGTGTTAAGATGTGCCTACAGTTTTCTGTTACCGTGTTTTGCTCTACTCTGAAAAATTCTTTAACCTTTATATGCTGTTAAGCTTTAACAACGCCTTCCTAGATGTGTGAACCATCCGGCTAAAGGCATTTATGCTTCCCCATACCATTTCGGATGCTGGCTTTATTTACTGATTACAAGCTGGGTGGTTTCTCTGCTCTTCAGAGTAGAATAATTGACTTTTATGATTTCTAAAAAGAATGACAAATTTCGATTTCACCTCAGACCTCAGACTCAAATGAATCCCTGCATTTTGTAATCATGCTTAGTTTTTTTTTTTTTTTTTTTTTTTGCATAAAATTATCTTAATCTGGACAGGCTAAAACTAAAGTCTGTCTCCACAAACAGGGTTTTATTGGATGTGTTATTTTATTGGATGCAATGATGTTCAGGAGAGGGTCATATCTGTTTTTGATGCAGTGTTGTTATTGACCTGAAATACCTGCTGGCCTTGTTCCAGCAGATACTGTATTGGTCTTGAGATTTTTTCAGCTTCTCTTGGTCTTGAATCATAATTTGTGCTATAGTTGATGAAATCATCAACTTCTTTGCAGTTTAGTCTCAGCAATATATCTGGAGTTGCAGAACGATTTCCTCACCCTGTTTCTCACAGAGCAGACCTTTTACTTCTGAGAGATTCAGCCTCAGTGGAACAGCCTTCTTTGGCCAAGTATGTGACCAATCTGTTGTGAATTGTTGTTTGGGAAATGTTTCCTCAGATGTTTTTTCTTCTTTTTTTTTTTTTTTTAGCGCCACACAACCTTTTCAGTGTTGTGTTGCTCAAGTCCCTACTTTCAGTTTAAAATGACCGAATAATATTCTTCATATGTAACAAAAGCATTTTTAATTACATAATTTGATATGCTGTCTTTGTACCATTTTCAATTAGGTTTAGATGGATTTGCAACCTATTGAAGTCTGATTTTATCAGCATTTTACAATGCCTCAAATCTGGAGGAATTTGGGTTTAACATAATAAAATAAAAAAATGTGCAAAACAAGGCTGACACCATGGTCTCTCGCGTCACCATTTCAACGAACGACTTACATGTGTTTGATGCATTATAAAACAACTACTGTTGGAATAATGTACGAAAATGAATGCTGAGCCAGGTATAGTCATCCCGGGCTATCTGGCATCGACACATCGGGTCTGAAGATCTTGGCTAATCAGGAGAAAGGAGGAAGTACGGTTAGCAAACAGCAGGAGAGGCCAGGGCTAGCTTACATCAGGGGGTTTGTCTAACCTAAAGAACTGTATGTCCAATCGTTAATACGACAAAATGCCCGAAATACAGACACGAAGGTAAGGAAACTCAATAAGTATTATATGGTTCAATCCTGACACGTCACTGTGTATGTTTGTGATGATATATGGAGGTTAACTTCGTTGTTATCGGTTGAATTTACATTGACTGAGCCATGAAATAACAGGAAAGAAGAGACGTTTATATTTATGCTCGTCTGTGCCTCCGACCTGTAGCTCCCTGACATACTGATAACACTGCTGGTTACAGCATATTTAGCCCTTTATATACAAGTCCTCCTTCGTTAACCTGTCACATTCCTGCATTATTGAAGAGAGATGGTTTTTCTCACTAACAGATGTAGACTACTGTTCCTGAATCGTGAGACACTTGCTGATGTAGTGGCAGCCTTTTTCAGCGATATGTTACCTGACAGGTGGAGACAAATGGAGAGGTTGTTGAGATATTGAAATTAAAGTGTCAAATGTGAAGGCCAGTGTCTTTAATGGACCTGGTTGATAGTTAAAGTGGCTTTGTGGTATCATGTTCTCAGAGCTAATGACTAATTCAGTAAAAACAGACTAAGCTTCAGTGACAAGGTCCTGACAAAAGTCAAAATATATCGCTTTAATATAATGGACCTCAGGCAGAATTCGATGACAATCAGATTGTTTTTGGTTTGTGTTTGGCCGCCACACATGTTTGTTGCAATATTAACTCGTGTTTTGATTCTCATGCCTCCAACATCTCAAGGATCCAAGCCATGGAAACCAGTGCCAGTGAAGGACTGGAGGGGTTCAAGGCTCATGCTGTGTTCCAAGAAATCAATAAGAAGCTTCAAGAGGTGATTACATGTCAAACATAGGCACACAAAACTGTCCATCAGATATCAGCAGGGAGAGACTAGGTACAAAATATTATACTCCAGTAAAAACACAATAACTGAAGTACTACCTATCTCTTTACCTACTGGAATAAAAGTAAAATGCGTCCTCAACTCATGCTCTTTGAACGCATGTATTCCAAAACTAGTTGTTCCAATATAATTGACACCATCCTTTTGTAAGGTGATTTTATCTCTTGATCTACCAGAGTGAAGTTATGGAATATATTTTTAGCATCTTAAGACTGTATTGCACTTTGCAGATGGTCTCTGCGCACTGAAATGATGGCTGGCTGTGTAGAGAAGCTTTTTATTGTAAGACAAAAATAAAGACTTTGTTGATTGTTGAGCAAAATTGGCAGCAAATGCAGCATGAACAGTTTTCTTGTAAGTTACTTGAAAAAGGATGTTATACTTATTTCTCTGAATTTGTCATAAAAAGGCATAAAATATCTCAAAATAATGATATTTGCAGCTCTCACATCAATCTAGTGTAGATTATTTTTACTCAGAATAAAAATGATATGTGTGAAATATGTAACAAAGTACCATAGTGAGTCCAAGTATAAAAAATGATGCTCAGTTACACTAACATGATTAAATGTAAAGTATATTCCACTCTCTGCATATTGGGGACTTAATATAGTTCTCACGTTTACTTGTTTGTTTGTTTTTTATCTTCATTTCTTAGTTCAGTCGCTCTTTCACAGGACCATTAAAAAGTTCTGATTCTTATACATGCAAGAGGACAAATGAAAACATCTCTGTTTATAGAAATCCCTCTATAGCTGGATTAACATCAATACCAATGGCAGAGAATATGAACTTCAATCTCCTGAAAATATCAGGATCTAAATAGGAGCAAAAAAACCCCATCCATTTTTAGCAAAATGAAAAGTGGGACAACGGATTCACTTACTAAAGATAAGCCCTGAATTGAAATTTGTAAATCTGTCTCACGAGTTGCCTGACATTACACTGAAACCATGTCTAAAAGTATCCAGTCTGCTCTTGTGTTGGCATTTTCTCATTGTTGGCGAATCCTTTTCATTACTTTGACAGCCTGTCCAGGCAGCCTGGGATAGATCAGATATGAATTTTTTGAGGAAACCATTAGTTTGATTGAGACAGTGCATGCTTTAAATTGTTATTGTGCTATGAAATGAGAATTTGGAAGTAATCCAGATGTGCTTGTAAGGTCGTTCACTGGGGGTGTGCTGAATTCAGCACCAGAAATTATACAGATACAGCCTAAAATGAGAGGTTGGATATGGAGAGTGAGTCTATGGATGTAATACTCAAACATCTTCTTTGTTGCCCTGAAACCAAAACTGACACAGAGAGCTGTGCATTGCTGTCACCATGTTAGTAAATGATCACTGATGGCTCCTGCTGCTTTCCTGTTTGAAAGAGGAGCCTGGGTCATTTGATTCACCTGCTGCTGATAGCAAACAACAGCATCTACAGTGGGTTTTCAGCAGAGAGCAATTAGTTAGTGATTGGTATTTCTAACAAAAAAATTACACGATAACCACTTGGAATTATTGAACTTTTCATTGAAAGTCACCCACTTTTCTGTTGGGTGCCCCCGACTCTGTGCATGCTCGTTTTGGACCTAATTAGAAAACTTTTGACTTGACCTTAACTTAGTTTTTTCTTTAGGGAAAATTCCTCACAGAACATTTTGACTGTCAAAGTTGAGTTTTCTGTGGTTTTATATCTCAGTGAACCACATCTGCTCTGTCTGTACCTGGCATTAGTTCTTACTTCGTCTTTTTCCATTAACTTGTAGTAAGCATGCAGCTTTCAGATGGGCTACTGCCACTGTGTGATGTTTGCACCAGGCCTGATGAAAATAATAACAATTAAAAAAATAATATGAGATGAGATGAAAGTGGCAGTAACTATTCCGTTTTTTAAAGATTACCTACCATTTGAATGTTTTGAAATCAAGTCTTATCCTTCATGTATACCCGATGCAAGGCTTCATTTTGTAGTAAACAGTCAGTAACATATGATGCAAGTGCAAATATACAGTAAAAACTGATGCAAATGTACATATTCTGGAAATGGTATCTTGAGAGAAAGAGTTTCTCAGTTTCTCTTATAAACAAAGTGACTTTGGCTACATTGAAACCAAATTTACCAAAATTTAAAAAGAAACTGAATCAAATGTCTTTCAGTTTTTGATTCTTGACTGTTTCTATCAAGACTGAAGCCAAAAACTTACAGGATCTGAATTGAGCGCGTATCATCAGTGTCGCGTATCATGCAGCAAAGAGGTTCCTATTCTAATCAATGCAGCATCGCACACAGGACGCGTATCAGCTTCTTTTGCAGCTCCATATCAGAAGCGTATTGAGCGCGGCTCTGATCAAGATACGCGTTGAGTCTATTTTTGCTGCTTGACGCTTCCAACACATGTCAATATACACAGAGAAGATCGTTCTAGACAGGATGTTAAGAACAGAAAATGTGTTTGACATCCAGTAAATTTCAAAATAAAACACCATATACGAAGTCCCGACTGTGTATCAGTTCATGTAGATGAGAAATACTTCCTGGTTCGGATTTATCAGTGACACAGAACAATCTGATGGTCAATCCCTGATACATGTGAACCCCAACAGGACTTTTAGGTGCTAACTCTGTCTGAAGGTAACAGCACAGCATAAAGGAACATAGTTTACTTCATTAAACAGGAGTAGACCTGCAAAAACCATAACTTTGAAATCAGGTTCCTTTTTCCACATATAGTAGAGGCTCAACAGTCACTCAATTATATCCAAATTAGCAGGAACTAGACCTCAGAAAGGCAAAACAACCTGTTGTTTTCTCTGTACTGAGCCCAGCTGACTGCTGCTAAGCTGCTGCTACGCTGCTGCTACTCTTCAAATACACATCCTGTGGGTGATAGACAGTGCTGCTCAATGGAGAAGAGACACAATGCTGATGGAACGCGCTCAACACGGATCCTGTGTGTTTTCGGCTGTAGAATTAGCACTAGAAATAAATATACATGTACTGTGTTTTAAAACCCCATTCGAAACTGGAAGAAACGTCAAATATCCAAGATGTTTCCCTTTTCAAAATGTCCTATATTGAGTGTATGGTTTTTCATGTATGGAAGACTGTTTTTCTGAGTAGCATAACTTTTCTACAAAGAACAACTTGCAGCATTCATAGTTTGGAGATGATATTGAAAACTGATAAGACAACTGCAGGACAAACAGTAAGAAGTAACATCTGTCTGCACCTCAAACAGGACGGAGAACAGTTTGTGAAAAAGATCGGCGGAGTGTTTGCCTTCAAAGTCAAAGATGGACCAGACGGGCAGGAGGCGACTTGGTATGTGGATGTGAAGAATGGCAACGGCTGTGTTCACAATGACACAGGTAAGACAACCCTCTGTTCAGTCACATGACAGTCAAACCTATGTAACCATGTTATCTTGTTAATATTTGACAGTGGATGAGTTGAAAGTTCAAGGCCTGTTTGGCTGTGTGGCTGCTTTATCTTTGTAAAAATTAGACTTGAACCTTTTTTTATGTAACCTGTTACCTCTGAATGTAAATCACCAGTCAGTAGAGAAATATCCCTGAAATGCATGTTCCCATTCCTGAATTATACAAAGCTCTCATTTTTCTGGTCTGCAGCTAAGAAAGCAGATTGCACCATTTCCATGTCAGACACAGACTTGTTGTCCTTGATGACTGGGAAGATGAACCCACAGACTGTGAGTATTTCATCTGGGTGAGCTTTGAGTGATATTTATGGTGATTCTCATTAGAAAACATGTACACACATCTGTCATTAACCTTGTCCTTTTGAACTCAGATGTATTGGAGGAACTATATTACTCCTCCCTCATCCTCGGTGTCCACACAACCCTCTTATGCCTCCTCTCTTATCTTATCTCACTGGATCTTTTTGCCATGTAGTTTGTAGCTCTGAGACATACAATTCACAAATGAATGTACAGTCAACACAAGCTGTGACATGAACTTTACCTGACTGGAAAGTTCTGGGTTTTTATGATTTATGACCTTGTCTCTGGAGACAGGTTCATGATTTTTTAATATGTAACTTGGATCAACACTCACACATCAATGTGCATTTCTCAGAGAGAGATCTCTTTCAAGCTTAATTCTTCAACTGATATCATGTCTCAGCAATCAGACTCATCATTATCAAGAGTTTGTCTTTTAAATTACAGGCTTGTCAGTAGGAAGTTTCTCGTCTGTGTTTGAGCTGCTGTTACAGTCTTTGAAGGCCGGGTAACTGGGCACAAAGCTCAGGAGACAGCTGAAACATGGGCGTTGTTGAAGTCAGATACTGCTACCCTCTGAATATGGCTCAGCCACCTCAGTTTAAAGATGTCCATGTTGGATCTCAGTTCAGTGAAATCACTCTCATGAGGTGCTGAAGTCTGCAGGCGGCTCCTCAAGTTTCTCTGTTCAGCTGAAACGTGCTGAAGACAGCTCTCTTTGCTAAATACACATGTACAGTCTCTCCCTCAGCTGTCAGGCACCAATCACTAGTGAAACTCCATAGTGGGCCAGAATTTTGTAACTGAACAGACAGGATAAGCACTATATTTCACTGCATGCATGGAAAAAAAAAAACTGATCCCCTGCGGAAAAGACTCTTTGTGTCCTGTCTCTCACAGTGAAAACAGGACAGAAAAGAATCTCTTCACAGCCGTGATATATAATGGGAAGAATAAGAAACATTAAAGTTGGGCTGGTGGTGCATTGGAAAATAAATTTAGTTAATAAGGAGACATAAGTAGAACAGACTAAGATGGGCCAGCGGACTTCGTCTTCCTCTTGTTCAGTATTTGTGGCCTTTCTTTTTTTGATGGTAGTTCTCAATAACAATCTACTGCTCTCAAAAAAGTAAGGAGTATGTCAGGAGTTTCCTTTTGAACAACAGACTGTAGGTACTGGTTGAGTTGTGTGGTGACCTACTGACTTGTTCCTGCAGTTGAAGTCATCCTGCTCTAGCCCGTGAATCCCGTCCAAAGATCTCTCTGAAAGTGGAACAAATCTGTTTGCCAGTTGGACATGCTACGAACATGATTTTTTTGTTAGCCCCTGGGTAAAACTTCAAGCAAATGTTGAACTATTTTATTAAAGGCTGATAGTTCCAATTTACATCCATCAGCCAAGAGACCGTAAAGTCGAAGCTGTGCAGGCAAACAACATGATACAGATTTCCATTAAGCATCCTGAACAGGACTGAGACATGTTCAAACAGGCCATGTTTCATGTCCGATTTGGGGATATGAAAGAGTGTTTTGCAGGCAGAAAAAAAAGAAGTTAAACGTCTTGGCCTGTTCTGGCACCAGAAAGTCTTTTATTATCAGCATATCACAGAAAAACAAAACCAACAATGATGATCCCACCTCAAACATTGTGTCTGCTTCAAAACCCTCCTGTATCTCATTTCTCTGTGCCACAGAACGTAATTGTCAGAAAACGATCAGAGACACATCAGTGAGCCACACACGTCCGTCATTACCATAGACACGCAGTATCCTTTGGACAAATGAAATCCCACATACATAACCTCAAATATGTAGACCTAATGTCTGAAATACAAGACACATGTCCTCCTCCTACCACCGTGTAACAGTGAGGTCAAAATAACCCCTGCAACAGGTGCCAACATTTTGCACTTTTGGAGCCAGAGTCTGTACAGAGAGGATCAGCTCTCTGAGTCTCTGTCTGAAGCCCCACCCCTTCCACTCAACAAAATATCTATGATAGACGCAGAGATCCTAGTGGTTACGGTGTGCCCTATGTGTGCAGGCAGTCCAGGTTTGTTTATCCCCCGGAGTCCTTCCTGCATGTCATTCCCTGCTCTTCCCCCCTGTTTCCTGCTCTGTCCATCCTCCTCCACATGTCAATAAAGCCCAAAATATATCTAAAAAATCCATGACAGATGCAGACCACAGTCTTGTGTTGTTTCAAAGTAGACTGGTACAGTTATGGAGTGTCCAGTGTTTGTTTTCTTCTGCTGGTCCTCCTGTACTCTGCTTGTTCACCATTATACCTGTTTTCACAGCATCAAATAAGTTAAATTTCATCAACATGATAAAAATTAATTGTAGTGGACAAAGTCATGTAGAAGAAACCTTTGTTTGACATGTATTTGAATTTTTCAAGTTTGACCCATGTCTCATTTGTTGACATGGAGGAGGCAGGCTTTATGACCCAAGAGAACTGGACAATTAATTACATCAAATTTTGATCATGGTTTGATTTTACTGCATAGAAAAAGGTTAAACTTGTGCAAGACATAGAGGAGACCGGGCTTGTTGTCACACTTTTTACACTCATATATTTCTTGGAATCAATACATCATAAATAAACGAAATGTGTACCAAATGAAAGACCAAAGTCTCAGGTATATATTTTGTTTTCATGTCATTTTCATATCTTATATCAGAGTTATAAGCAATCAAATAGAGAGTGTGAACATGTGTGATGTCGCTCCATCATTGGGTAAGTTGTCTTACTACATGGGGTAAGATGTCACAGTGGATTTTGCAGCTAATAAAACAAGGACAAAATTATTGTTGTTCTCATTTTTTTACTTAAAAGTGAACGTCAAAGTCGGACACAGAAATGATTGAGGTATGACAGGATGCCTTAATCTCTCCTCCAGCAAGTCCACATGTATCACAGCAAGGATTTTTATCTGGAAGAAGCTTATTTTAAAATATGTACTTATTTTCTTTTTACTTTGGTTTTGTGTAAAATGGTTAATTGGCGCTCATCTCAGCTCACAATGTGCTCTTCTCGGACAGGACACGACCCCTGACTATGTAAAGGAATAAAACTAGTATTTCACTTTTTAGTTGCGCCCTCTGGTGGCAAAGATTATTGCAATGTGACAACTTACCCATGTGACAACAAGCCTTGAGCTGTGTCCGAATTGCCAAGTAGTAGTCGAAGTAGTATCTAGCATGTCCGAATTGGCCACCGGAGCGAGTAGCATGCTACTTCAGATACTAGACACGCCCACATTGTAGGTTGGTCTCGGTGCATCCTACGGGCATGCTACTGACCCAAAATGCACCGCGGGCTTCTTCTTCGTCCTCTTAAAAGTTGTAGAAGCGCATTGAAGCTCCAATGTGTCGCAAACGCCGGCTGGCCACAGCAGCGCGCACCATGGCGGAGTAGCAGCAGCAGCAGGGGGCAGGACCGCAGCAGTACAGATGAAATTTTAATGTAACTTCACACACTGTCCTAAAAATGTGCGGTTGTATCTCTTTGTCATGTCATGGTGTCATATTTGCCCAAGTAATCATTTTATGAGCAAATATGTGGCGACATCATGGAGGTAAAGCTCACTTATTCCATCATTAAACTGCACAGCTGCACTAATCAGGCAGATCTCATTGAACAAACGATCACCACGTGAGTGAATGAAGGCTGAAAGTAATGGAAAAGCTACTTTGTGAATTTCTAAAGCAGTGCAGGAATATAATACAGCAGCATCCATCACTTGCACAATTACCATTCAGAGTCTAAAACGGGCGCAGTACCTACTCTCTGCCTGCGGGGGTCGTCTTTCCCCACCGCTCGTCTAGTGTGTCCAAATTGGGCCAACGTGTTTGGTATGTAGGAGTAGGATCTAGCAGTAGCACGTAGCAGTAGCATGTAGTATGCGAGCGGGCAATTCGGACACAGCAATGGTTTCCCCTAACACTTGACCTGAGTATTGGCTGTAGTGCCCTCACACTCACTGGGTATAAGATAATAATAGAGCATATCCCACTAGATCTTGTCAATGGTCCATGCTAATGCTCAGTTACTGAGAGGCCTTCTATAAGGTAGATGGGATGACTGGAATACTGCTGTATAGCTCTGCTAAATGACCCAAATGAATGTTCATTACTGTTCTATAAATGTCCCTGTCTTTTCTCTCTCTTCTCTGCCTGAGATGAACGTCATATTTCATATTACAGCATGTTTCTCCCTGTCTAAAAGGACATAGATAATACATACACTGTTTATAACGAGATAAGAGACAGTATTATCAGGATGGGTTTGAAATCACAGGACTTCACCTTTGATATCCTTTGTTTTGCATCCATTATTCTTCTGCAACAAAGGAATCCAAACCCTGTCAGCTTACAATCATCTGCTCCTTCTTGAATTGGAGCGAGGTGCTGATTTTTTCTTCCATTTCTGAATACAAGGAGTAAATAATTAGACCCAGTAAGGTAAAGCGCTCTTGCAGACTTTTCTGTCAGTCAATGACTATTGGCAGTGATTTAATGTTTCTGGAATTCTCATTTCACTCATTGGTGAACCTTTGCATGCAACAAGAATCGAGTTCAGCCTTTTCAAACGTTAGATACAAATTTGGACAAGGTGACACATTAAAGGAAGAAAAACCTGCATGAAAAAGCCTAATATTCTCTCTTGAGAACAGATAATGAGGAAATGCCTGCTTTCTCACAGTGGTCGAATAATTACCTCCTGATCTGGTTTATTCTTTCATCTCTCTCCCTTTCTTGCACTCTGGTCCACAAACATGCTCTCCTCTACACCCCTCCGCCAACTCTGTGCCTGTGTGGCATGCAGTTTCCTGACATTTCATAAGCTGTTGTTGACATTGCCCCACTTTCACTGGGTTGAGTTAATCTCTCACGGTAACTCCTTTAACCAGCCGTTTGTAGCTCTCTCCAACACAGGCTGAACCGTACTTCAGATTCAAAACTGTTTGGATGATGATGATGATGATGATGATGATGATGATGATGTTGTTTATTTCTCTCTCTCTCTCTCTCTCTCGCTCTCTCGCTCTCTTGCTCTCTCTCTGGTTCACAGGCATTTTTCCAGGGCAAGCTGAAGATCACAGGGAACATGGGATTGGCCATGAAGCTCCAAAGCCTGCAGCTGCAACCAGGGAAAGCCAAGCTGTAAAGGAGACGGCAGAGTTTGCTGTAACACTGACAAGAGTTAACCATAAAGAAATTTACATGAAGTCTGTGTTCAGATCAATGTTAAAGGTCTGTAAACATTCTTAACTCAGACTGAACCACTTTACCCTGTAGTGACCTCGCTGATGGACCAGGGCTTAGTCAGCATCCCTGTTACTTTAACTGCGGAGATTATAGTTGGAAAGGAAATGGTTTCTCTAATTAAGTCCAACTCAGTACACAGGTGTACTGAGTGCACTTCCTACTAATCCACATCATGTTCAGTTTCCAAGAATTTTGTCACAAATGGAATCTATATCTTTTGTCTGGAGTTGATTGGTTGATTGATGTCAATTTTCCACAAACATGGACTTTGCAGTCGTAAGTGCCTCCTTGTCTCTGACTCTGTTCATTAAAAGGTTAAAAGTCTACATAGAGGAGAATAGTATTCCACTGTGGCTGCTCTGCGTTTTAATAGAGGAGGGGTTGCAGTTCTGAGCAGAGTGATCATCATTGTTTAAACCTTCTGAAAGATTTCTACTAAATAAATGTCTTTCCTGCAGTCTTAAAGGGTGGTCTCGGCTTGAGTGTGTTTGTCTCTCAAAGTAATTGTATCAAGCAGACAGCTTGATACAATTGGCTGACAGCGTTGCATTAATGTACCAAATCATCCAGTTGACCTGAACGAAAAAGCAGGGCAGTGAAAAGACGCAGATCTAAAAACATGACATGATGTTTCTGTTTAATGTTAAGATGGAGCCTCACTGCTTTAGCGATCAAATAGTAATGGTAAGTTTATAGTTGTTAAGATGGAAATACTAGCCAGATGTCCTAACATAAGCTTTAGTGTTTATTCAATGTGAAAGGGTAGACATTAAACTCCCACTCCTCCTAGTTCCACAGGAAATTAAACACACAAATGAATCCCCTTGCACAACTTAGGGGTCCTATTAGAGGTGACAATACTGTGACCTTTCACAATAATGGCCCTCTGTTCAGACGTGACACTACTTGGATGTCGCTGTCAGAGCTGGCTGGGTCTGGGTTATGTTCCCACTTTTGGAAGACCTTGGACTTTTCCAACTCTGCAGCGACCTGGTTCCAGACTGCCACGCTGTAGTTTTTCCTTTGTAAGTGGAGGAGCATGGCTGAAACACAAATCTGTTAACTAGCTCTGACCCAGATTCCACTGCAGCTTTGGCTCAGCTCTTGTAGTTCTCTGAGTCTTACACTGCAGACACACTGGGGTTATTTAATTTGTCACAAATGACTGCGCTCATGTTGGTATGAGATTTCACAAATGTTAAACTTTATTTTACCTCTGAAATGGATAAGAAATGTTGGCGTGTTCAGATCATTAAAAAGACCAGGCAAGTATAACCATAACACTTACACTTTCATCTTTGAGTGTAATGCATTCAAAAGAAAACTGTTTTTCTGTGACAACCATTTCAATATACACTCCTCCTGAAATTTGAGCTTAAAGGGGTATTCCACTAGTTTCAAAACAAAATAGGTTCCAACTAAGTCAACATAAAAATGACCCAATGTTCATGTGTTTTCTGGGATGGTTCAATTTCCCATGTTGGAAAGTTGTTTTCTCCATCTTGAAACCAGCATAAATGCTAAGAGTAACATTTGTTGTGTCTTATTTATTAATTAATTCATTAGGATCTAGTATGAAAGTCACAGCTTGTGGACAGCATTCAAACTGACCATATTATAACTACCAATTCCTAAATTGGGATGCTGTGTCAAATGTTCATAAAAACACAAAGTGATGGTTTGCAAATCATTTAAACCCTTTATTTAATTGAAAACAGTACAAAGACAACATATCCACTGTTAAAACTTAAAATGTTATTGTTTAATAAAAATTAAAAAAAGCTAATTTTGAATCAGCTGCAAGTTACAGGTTTCAAAAAAGTTAGAATAGGGACAAAACAAAGTACTGACACTTATATAAAGTTTAAACGAAACTCTTGGAGGAACATCTCAAACTCATTCAGCTAATTTGCAACATTTAGAACATGACTGGGTACAAGAAGGGTTTTCCATATGGGCTAAGTCTCTAAGAGGTAATTATTGAAGATGGACTAAGTCTAGGTGGAAAGCGTACCATGATCTGAAGATTTGACATGCTTTTTGGAAATCACAGATGTTTTAACCTCTGCTCCAAAGAGGAGAGGTGTCACTCGGCTTGTCTGCACACAGCTCAAAGCATCTGCATTGGGATGCATCAGTGCCCATGGCTTGGATAGATTACACATCTGGGGGGTACTACTTATTCTTAACATGACAGGTTTTGGGCTTACATATGCTGCTGTACTGACTGCTGTACTGACCTTTCATATCCTAACAAGACAATGCCAACACATTCACATTTTGCATATTTTACAAAAAATATGGCTCTGGAGTAAAAGAATGCAAGAGCTAGACCACCCTGTTTGTAGTCTGGACTTTGCCTCAAACAAAAACACCGGGCAAGCAATATTATGACAAAGGAAACCCTAAATTGCCCAGCTGCTGACCCTAGAACAGGCAAGAATGAGACAGTGTTTTACCCTCAAACCTCTGAGACCTGGTCTCGCTAGTTATTTCATATTTACAGAGTGTAGTTAAGAGAAAAAGTAGTGCAACCAACTCATAAACCTACTGTTTTGAAACATGTTACTGACCTCACATTCAACCCCAACCCAGTTAATCAAATATTCAGGTATTTTGGCCATGTATTTGCATAATGTGTCGTAATCCCTTACATCCCAAGATATTAATACAATTTTGATTTGGCAAAGTATCATTTCAGATGAATTGACACGAAATGGATACAAAGTATGTTTTGTGACTTTGGAGGAGCTTTGCTGAGTCTGAGATAGAAACCTATCTCAGACTCTCTGTCAAAATTTGCATTTAATTGACTGTTTTCACTATCTTCTGTGTCTGAGTTTGTTCTCTTCTGACCTAAACTGCATGCCTGTTGCTTTCTGCCATAACATTCATGACCTTTTTACTAACGCAGCAAGAATATCCAACATTAAAATGGTAAAACAAGTGTAGACTGTTGCACATGCTTATTGGTATTAGAGAGCAGCAGAAGACACTGGTTTGAACTCTTGGATTACTTCTTCCCCAAAAAGACAGCTGCCCTCTAAAAAATGCATGCTCAAGAATAACAATAAAAGCAAAGGTTTATAAGAGTCAGACAGCTGTGTGCACAGACGGCAGGAAATATCCCAGATGTAAGTGATAGAATGTGTAAACTATACACTTTTATGCTTGGGCTGTTTGACTATGTGTCCATATTTTAAAACAGCAGGAAACATACTTCTCATCTTCTCTTGAAGAAACAGATCATAATTCACAAGATTTACTTTTAATCTTGAATACAGTTTATGTGATTCTCACTGTTCTGCGCAGTGTCCTGAAAAAAACAACAACATGAAACCCGAGGAGCTGCAACCTGTTCGGATCTTCCAGAAAGGCCATTGCTTTGAGAAAGTGATCTGAACAGTTTCCACTGATTCTGTGAAAACTTATTAAAACCATGCTGCAGTGGCCAGAGTTCCTCTTCAGGGGAAAATATCCTGCCAGAAAAGATGATGAGTAATAACAAGAGCATGGATCAGAGTGTGTTTGCTCCCATTTCAAGGAGGTCTGTCTCTGCCTTTCAGCCTGAAAACAGCAGCTCAGCAGGCATGTGATCAGTAAGTGTGACTCCTAAAACCCCAACAGACTTACCGCAAGTGACCCAGAATTTTCGGCTGGAGTTCAAACATCCGTCACTGACATCGGTCTTGACTGCGGTCTTTAGCTTGTGCTCCAGAACAACAGAACCTGTAGGCCATTTCTAGAAGATTGGGTGACGCCTCAGTGTTGAATAAGTCAAGATACACTTAATGTAAAAACACGTATCCAGGGGAGCAGACAGACATCCTTTGAATTACACTGGTAAAACAAGGACTGTCTGAGGTTTCCGTTTTTATCAAGTTTCTTTGTGTTTTATGCTTTTCAACTAAAGCAAATGAACACTTTCAGTTTTTCGTTCATTATCAGACCTAATAACAGTCTTTTGTTGGAAACATTTGGACAAAAATTGGAGCAGCTGCTGTCTGGGATATCATTAAAGAAATTACAGGCAATTTTCTGAAAAATTAATGACAAAGTAATGCGTTTGTCTTTTTTTATATATTTTTTTAAGTAGTTATTTTGTAATCATAGACTTTAATTTTGTATTTTTGTTCTGGGTACAGAAAATGGTCTGCTCATCCACAATGTATTAGCTGTCTGTAACCAAGTTGACCATAGTATATACAGTCTATGGGTTATTCAAAATTGAAGCCAGTTATCTGACCGGCTTCAATTTCTCTGGCCAAACCTCTATGTCTCTGTCAAAAAGTCTCAATATTTTAATAATGACAGTAATTACACTTCAATGTTATAGTGGGATCTTTTTCTTTTGTCTTAATCTGCATTAAACAAGCTTCATCACTGAAAACCATTAGTGGTGCAGTGGTAGAGGAAACAGAAAGCTTAAACACACTGATGGAAAATTGGCTGCAAAAAGTAAAAGATTAAAGAAAAAAACAACACTTGATTTGGTGTTTTGACTACTTATGTCTAAGAAGCATCTCTGAGCTGCCGTGCATTTAAATCTGAAGTTCAGTAAACTGTGCTAATACCCTGTAATGCTTGCAGATGTCCACAAACAGTGTCTATGGGGAGATGGACTTATTTAAAAAGATGTCTGGTCCAAAAGCATTAGATTACATCCTGTTCCCCCTTTTTGGCAGAAAGTTCTTCCTCATTTTTATTTAGTACTTGGTTATTTGGGACAACTTGTCTCTCTCACCTCCAAATGGGAGTTATATGACATGTTGTTGCTTCTAACACAATAAGGCACATATTTTAAAAATGTGATAAAAATCTTTAATTATTATAATTTCCTGCACTTCACTGGTTTGAGATTTAGTTGAATGTGAGTCCTCCACAACATACATACTGTATTTTTTTAGGTAATGAAGCCTCTTGTTGCAATCATTACTTGAATCATAGCGGATTGAGATTTTATTTTATTTTATTTTTTAAATCTAGCAGAAAATTTACAAAACTTAACCACATAAAGCTTTGACCACACATTCTTGAAAAGACCTGCTACACTGAGGGAAAAAAAGTCTTGGAGTCAAATATGAAAAAAAAAAAAAAAGAAAGAATTTGAGTTTTTGGCTCCTGTTCAGGTCAAAGCTGCTCCTCTTGCTCACTCCCTTCCTTTTCCCTCTTGCCTGCTTCCCTTCCTTTCCTAACTTTCCCTCTCCCACTCCCACTGTCTCACACATCTGGAGTGTAGCTGGAGTGATTGTGTGACTCCTTGAATGCTATGGGACAGCGTGTGTCTGGACAAGACGTCAGACTCCTTTGCCTTTCAGCAAACGCCGGTCAGAAGAGGTAAAGTAGCAAACCAGAATCTTGCTTTTGCAGACTTTACTGCTACATGTTTTATGAGTGACCATAATGTTGTTTGGAAATTTAAGAGAGCTTTAAGTGTCAGCGTCATTCATCCATGCATGACAACTCTGGCATGTGCACTTCGGACGACCCAGACTACTTAACAGTGCAGTAAAACCACTTGACAACCTCTGCTCAGCTGAGAGAGTGCATGAAACAAGACAATGAGCCTCAATCTGCTCAACATCTCTGCTAATAAACACTTTTCCTGCTTCAAACCTTTCTATTATGACATCCCATGATAGTGCTGTTGACTCTGTGTTGACTTAAATCTCCTCCATGACCCCTGTTTTATGTGGTGCTTTAGTTATAGCCAGAGTTGAAAGTATACTATAGATGCTTTACATTGCACATGCTTTTACTTTTCAATGAGTGCTTGGATCTTCACAGACTTTTATTTCTCTTCTGCTGCTGTGGGTGCGTGCATGCTGTTCTTTGGATTTTCTCTGTGTGACTGTTTGTCAAAGACTGTCTGGTATTCGTTGTGGTTTGACCGCCAGGAAGAGGCTCTTTTGATTGAGGGATTTTAGTCGACCTTATGTTTCACCTTGAGTGCGTAGAAAATATGTAAAAGGTTTAATTTTGTTGGTTTGCCAGAATACTAGCAGGCATCGCTGCTTTTGCATGAAAATGACAAAATTCTGAACATTTTATTTAATATAAATCTAGAAATGGATTTGTCCTTAATATTTCAACAAAAGTTGATGGTTTGTAAATCACTGAGATGCTATAATTGAACTGTAAATGTACTAAAAGATAAAAATTGAACTTCTGTTTGATTGCTCTATAAAAATATGTGCTTGTTTGAAATTTGATGCCAGTGACATGTTTTAGAAAGTCAAGACAGGTAACACAAAACACTGTCAAAGTTGTGTAACACCCTTGAAAGAAATGTTCCAGCTAACAAAGTTAATCTGCCAAAGGTTTGTAACATGACTGGGTGTAAAAGGGACATCATAGAGCGGCAGAGTCTCTCAGAAGTAAAGATACCCACCCATCTGGGTGGGTATGTATGAAAAATGAAAAATGAAATAAAAAGTCAGTCACAAAAAAAGAAGTAAAGATGAAAAGAGATTCACCGCTTTGAGAGATTGAGTTTTAATTGTCTGCAGTATTATCATAAAATGTTCCGAAAAATCTCTATTCAAACGGGCAAAGCTGGAAACCGGTTGTGGATGGCCAAGATCTTTGGACAGCACTGCCCTAAAAACAGATATGACTCTGTAGTGGTAATCACAGCATTATGTCAGAACAATAGATTAAAACCATATCATGGAGAGGATTCAAACATGACCCAGCTGCTGACTTCCCTGAACAGGAGCCCGTTTTAGAAGCACTGAGGAGAAATGGAAAACTGTCCTCTGTCTTATGTATCAAATTTGACATTTATTTCGGAAATGATGGACCTTGTGTCCACCACTCCAAAGAGCAGAAGGGTCACCCATCTTTTTATAAGCACATAATTCAGAAGCCAACATCTGGGACAATATGGGTACGCGTGATAACAAGACTCCATGGCTCCAGGGTAGTCCAGGGTGCTTAACTCCCCTGCCTGTAGTCCTGACTTGTCACTCACCGAAAAAAATCTGGGACATCATGAAACATAAACACACACAAGCACACACGCAAAGACTCAAAGACTCAAGATTCTCCTCTAGTTTGCCCCTAAATGGGTTTTTTTTGTTTTTTTAAAAAGAAATGATACAATAGACTTGTAAACATGCCCCTATACTAACTCTGTTTGAATGTGTCACTGGCATTAAATTCAAAATGAGAACAAACAGAATGTCTGCTTACTGACATCTTATATGTTGTCTTAGCAGTATTTTCCAGTTAAATGTAGGACTCAAACAACTTGCAAACCACCATATTCTGATTTTCCCAACATTCAGCACAGCACCCTGGAATTTTTGGACCTGAGGTTGTGTTGTTGTTTTTTTTTTTAATGCTTAGGTGTCCTTGTGTGGTTTGAAAGCGAACAGAACTGGCTGTAATGGCTGATGCTTACAGTGTTTTTTCTTTCTTAATCAGTCCTTGCGGTTGGTGAGACCTGAAGCTTCGCTCTCAGTATTCAGAGGAGACAGGGGGAAGAGACATCTGAATTTAAATATTTTTTTGGTGCGTAACTAAACCAACCTTCTATCGATTTAAACATTTTGTAAATGTTCTTATTACAGTAGTTCTTATTTTCTTCACCTTGTGGAAAGGTCTGCAAAGTTCGACCACTAAAGGATATGAGATTTAGGGAGACTTGCAAAAAATATTGTACCACAGTGGAGACAAAAAAATAAATCTGAATTTCCGTTGTCATTCTGGACTCAAAAATCACAACTTTTGGTAAGTTCAAGTTTGATAACCCAAGTACACAATTAAGTTATAGAATAAGGGGACCACCTGTCAGGATTCATCCATGAGATGGACAAGTCTTTTGATACTGCTCTGTGACCTACCAACTACCAAAGTCATCCCAGTGGTTTCTGTTTGGCTGAACTAACCCTGCAATAACCAAACATTTGAACAATGGCAAAAATGAGTTCCCAAACGGGAAAATCATTGTCAGTATGTCCTAAATTCCAAACAACGATGCAAATAGTCAGGGGAAAGTAAAGTTTACGACCTGCTGAGCTGACATACTTGAGGTCAAATTATGGTGAATGGCAGACTAAGTAAATGATGTTTTATTGCAAAGACAGATTTTATAAACTAAGCTTTGGATGAGCTTCGGCTCATTCAGATAATAGGACCTGACTGTTGCTGTGTATGTAAAGTGACCTAAATTAGATGACAAACACTGAAGTCAGAAAAACAACTTTCCCAACTGGACCACCTGAGAGGCTTCTTCATGCAGGCCCTGTTAAGTAGATGCTAATTGTCAGTGTGCTTATATACTCACAATAACAAGTCCAGGATAAGTGAACTGATGCCAAGTTAATGGGATTAGGGTCCCAACAGGGTGAGCAGGACCCTGATGTGAACCAGAGGAGTCTTGTCTCACCTGCTTGCTGTATATTTTCTCAAAAAAATGACCCCGCCCCCTTCTGGGTGAATGCAGTCTGAACAAAATGAACTGTGGTAAATAATAAATAAAATACTTAACCAACATCATTTGGTGACTATTGAGAGCCCAAATCTCTAAGCTGCACTCACCAGCATTGCTGCTGTTACCACTTTAAATCATGACTTTGTTGATCAGTGAACAGCAATACCTGATCAGAAAAAATCTAAGTCGAATCGAAGAGTTTGAGGTCTTCTCTGTCTGCATCCATCAAATTAGATGAGCAACCCCATCCTGTGACCAGAGGTGAAATAAACTGTCACATCACTTTTATGTGCATTTTAACTGCAGTCTGATCATCACTTTTGAATAAATAGTAACCCTCTGTTATAATGCTTGTATGTGGCGGTCAATAGTGTAGCTTCAAGCGCCACTCACAGCACTCTTTAGAAATCAGGAGCTGTGGGCTGCATCTGTGACTGAATGCTAAACAAAGCCAAGGGGGTATTCATATGAACTGTATTTCTGCTTGTACTCATAGAGTAAGATTTACACAACAGCTTCTCACCCTGGTCTTAGAGCTCTCATGTCCAATCGTAACTTTTCTTTTTCTTTCTTTTTTTTTTTTTTACAAATGTTATGTCACCAACCACTAATCCTAAGTCATTTTTCATATTTTTCTTAGCCTTATAGATTTTTACCTTCAACAGCCTGTGAGACAGATTTCTTGCTTTTGCATTGCCAAAGAGCCTGAAGTTTTCAAATACCGGTCAATTCAGGAGAACTGCTTTCACCCCAAAAGGGGGCAGGGCAGCACCTTAAGGGCAGAGAGATGGTCGCTCCTCTCACTGCTCCCACATCTGTGCCTAGTTTCTGTCATAAATTAACAACAAGTCTGTGAAAGTAGCAATTTAGCTGCAAATGTGACCATTTTAGTCTGCTAATGGAGACAAATGTTTTGCCACAGTGTTAACAGGCAGAGGTCAAATGTGGCATAACTCTGGACTGCGATATGATCTCATACAACGTGTGTTAAGGTTGTCCCTGGTTTCACGGAGTGAAGTTAATTACTGGGACCCGCACTCACCCCCCACTGATGGTTTTAAAAATAACACAGAGAAACAGCCAATCTTTACGCTATGGTTCTGGTTTGCTTTCGTGGCTCAGATAGACACATCAGTATCAATAGACACCCAGATTTGCTTATTATCCTGCTTGAATATTGACCCCAAGCATTCTTAATGGAGTATTACTTCTGTGTCACATTGATCCCCATATGCTGAGCTACAGCAGCAGTTGCTTTGAGTAATCTAAATTTGCTGTGGTCAGGCTCCCCATTGGTTTACAGTTAGGTGGTTTGTGATTGAATTACTTTTTACAGATGTATTTACAGACAGTGAATAAAACCAGACTATGGACCAGGAAAAGCTCAGGTGGAGCCACTGGTAGTCACTGGTCTATGCATGTGTCCAAGAAGGCAATAACACATGCCAGTGAGATAGAATGAAATATTGATAGTGCCTTGGAGTGAACCAGCTCTAATCCTAAAATCAGCCACTTTGTGCTGTGGATGAACCACACCCAGAACAATCCTAATTAATAAACAGGTGGAGAAGTTGTGATTTTCATTGTTTCCTCATCCTGTTTTGCTCATATGACAATTGAATAAGATGAGTTTTATGAATTCCACACCCCACCTTAATTCCAAATGCATGGCACATGTCCTCAAGACGTCTATGAAGGTTCTCATTTATCCAGGTCATGGTATTCCAGGAATTCTTCTATAATGGCAACTGGACTTCTGTGGTTATCTTAAAGATGTTTCCCCTCTTCTCCAAAAGGCTTCATCAGTTCTTAGGGTACTGGGTCTAGAGCTGAAATATAAAGCCTAGGGTGATATTGTCAGTGTAAGGAGGCATGGTTATCATCTGAGGATGTGTTTGAAAACCACGTACCAGTCTTGGCCTTACCTTGGTCCTTGTTATGATTGTGTTTGAATTCAGGATTTAGAGAATCCGGAATTACACTGTAAATTGGAGATAAATGGTGTCTTAGACCTCCTCCTCTATTTAGAAATGGTTTCTCCAGCTTGATGTAGATGGTGTCCTTAACCCCACACTCGAACCAATCCTTCTCATTGTCCAATATGAGGACCTGGTTGTCTTTAAAGGAGTGGCCGTTGTCCTTAAGGTGCAAATACACAGCCGAGTCCTGTCCTTAAGACTTGGCTCTCCTGTGTTGTGCCATGCGTTTGTGAAGATATTTTTTGGTCTCTCCGATGTATAGGTCCTTGCAATCTTCTAGACCACATGGCTCCGGACTATGCAGGCTATATAGTTCAGCTCTAGACCCAGTACCCTTAGAACTGAAGAAGCTTTTTGGAGAAGAGGCGAAATGTCCTCAAGATATCCACAGAGGTCCAGTTGCCATTTTAGAAGAATTCCCTGAATGTCCTCGAGACCTTGCCTCAAATTTAATAAAGCCTGAATGTACTTTAATTTTTCCTTGGACTCCAGCCCCAAACCACAGATTTTCATTTGCCTATATTTTTCTATCATTTCATCCCTGGTGGGCTCAGAATCCTCAGGAAATATCACCTCTCTTGGCTCATGAATTGAAATTGTGACGATGTAAAGCTTTTGGCCTTGAAGCTGGATTTGCTTTTTCACCCTGCAGTCCGTCGAATAGGAAGAGTCAGCCCCCCTGCCACAACATTAAACCTCTGTAATGGAGAGCTGTCTACTCTAATACAGTTTCTAAGTTTAGTCTGAAATATCTGCTTTTCATAAAACCAAAAGGATTACAAGCACAAATAATAAACAAAACACTTACAGCAAGCTTTGCTGTGTTTCAAAAAATACCATGTAAGCTGCCCACAACAATGCTTATTTTTTGTCTCTGGCCCTCCAATTGTTTGTTTCAACCTCAGATGTGAAACAAATTAGCCTTTCAAATAAGAGCAGTGAGCTGGAAGGAAAAGATGGATTTTTTGTGGGTGTTAAAACTAAATCAGACGTTTTTATCCAACATCTCTGGTTGTGAAATTTCAGCTACGCTGCTGGAGTTGAAAAGCTGACCTGGTTTAACCCATGATGAATGTCCTGAGCCTTGACAGTAATAACTCTCTTCCTTAAACAATTGTTCTCAGATTTTTCCGCTCTGACTGATCAATCACTTCCAGCTGAGAAAAGAGCCGTGAAGTACAAATGTTGCACTTCAGATCATCAAATATGTTTGACTCAGTCTCATAAAAATGTCAATCTCCTCGGAGAAACTCTGGGTGTGACTGAAAATCTTAAATACATTTGCAGATATGGTTTTCGAGCATTATTCAACTTCTGACATACAAATCTGTCTCAACCTGACCCAGAGCTAGTGCAAGCATGCTCCAATGAAAATCACCCAATGGATACTTTAATAACCACCTAATATTACATGTTTCACACACTTTTTATTAAGTACAACCTCAGAGAGCTGCTGAACGCTCTGTAACTAAACCCTAAACAGGTGGATAATTATCCTGCATTACCTAGTATCACTCCAGGTTTGCTCCTTGCAAATACCAAAGGGTTTTTTTTAATGAAGGCTAAAAAATACATAGACCATCATAGCAGTGTTAAGCACCCCTTTCTAATTAAAGATTCAGACATGGATCTTACAGCACAGTTATGTTAGTTAATGCATGAAAATGAAACCAAAACTGCAATGACTGAGTACAAGGGTCATGCTGTGAAGAAAAACATCCAAGATTTATCAGAATGCAGTTACAAAATTTCAAACATATAGAATTGATAGTACAAGACCAAATGGGCATGGAATAAAGTTATAATAATTCACAGAAGTGCAGCATAAATGTAAAAAATAATGTCATTTACAGTGGCATTTACAGACGGAGGAAAAAGACCAGGACCAAAGACATTGCCCTGGGAAACACCATTTCCAAGTTCTTCGAATTCCGATTTCACAGTTCCTGGGGTTTCACACTTCTGTATGCCTGTGAGAAACCTCTTGTACTAGTTATAAGCATTTTATTAAATCCATTATTGCAGCTTTTTATTAATTTTTTTTTAAAGCATGGCATCATTAACCAATTTAAAAGTTTTGAAAAGAACAACAGTAACATCTCCACAGTGTCTCCTGTTATACAATGCTGACAATGTGTCATAAAAATAGCAGTGGAAACTTTCAGGTGCTGTGCTTTTGTCTAAAACCAGACTGGTGTTAAAATAGTGTCTTAGACGTATGATTAAAGTTTTTCTCTCACAAGAGTTTCTAATATTTTTTGTAAGCCATGACAGTGTAGAGAACAGCACCCTCTGGTGACGGGCTGCACTACAGGTCATAAATCCCGCCAGTAAAATGAACGGAGCTATGTACAAACTTTAAAGGTTAAATACAAGTATCATTTTTTGTTGTGATGTTGATATGTAGTTAGAGTAAGATCCTCTTTTTTTCCATGCAGCTCCATTTTAAAAAAGTTATTAGGTATACTGTCATCACAGCGATTCTCCTAGCAAATGCGACTACGCAAATACCAGCTTCAGGAAATGGAGAAAATACCAAAAATACCTGCCAGAGGCGGAGTCATGTTGTCCATTTCATGTACAATATATGGTTGAGGCAGGCCTTACAGTTATTCAGAATACAAATGGAGCTTTTCAGACTAAAGGAACTTTACCAGATAAAATCAAACAGTAGAAAATATATGCCAACTGGGGTTTCAAGCCCCCAATGTTTTGCATGCAAAGCTTAACCCTAGCCTCCAAAATTACAAAGCTAAAATATATGTTTTATTTTAAAAAGATAAATAAGGTTAAGAGCTAAATGTTTTCCTTTGATTAGATAGATTAGATAGATTAATTGATTAGATATAAAGCAATTAATGCCAAGCTTTTCTGGAAAGAGACAAGAAATGCAGTTCAAAAATATGAAATACACTCTCACATTTAGGACTCTAAATCTGTAAGACAGCTCAGTTTTGGTGTCTTACTTTTCCATAAATATAACGTATATTCTCAAAGTAAAAACAACAACAACAACAGCAAAAAAACTGATTAAAATAAAATAAAATAAAACTCTATAAGATTTCTTTTTTAGGAACAGAGATTTTATGTGACTGATGTGTTCAACTTTCCTGTCCTCATGCAGCAGGAGAGCTCAGCGGTGAACATGGCCTTTCCCAAGCATTCCATCCTGCAGGCCCTGAGTGTGCTGCTCTTGGCTGGGGTGTTGGTGCGCTGCCAGGCCCCATTGGATCCAGAGGAAGAGGAGGAGGAAGAGACCAACATCACAACTGCAGTGTCAAAATCGGAGCCATTTGAATGTCCGGCAGAGTGCAGCTGTACAGCAGAGGGGGCAGTGGACTGTGCAGGAGTTGACCTCATAGAGTTCCCCCCAAATCTGTCTGAGAGAACCCGCCAGCTCTCTCTGCAGGTCCTTTCACAAAACTACACACTCATAGTCATAAGCAGTAACCATTTCTCTATCATGCTAAAAAATCGCTCATTTAACTGTGTTTTAACTCTGTATTTGCTCCCGAATGCCAGAACAACAAAATCGAGGAGATAACAGTGGAGCACATTTCCCATCTGCATCAGCTCGAAACTTTAAACCTTCAGAACAACTGGCTAACGACAGATGGTAAACACTGAAAAACTATCTAAACATGTAGCAAGAACTTGTGGTTATCTCTGTTTCTTGTTAAAGTCTGGAGCTGTCAGGTCAGATTAAAGCCATTTTTGTGGAGATAAATAGTTATTCTGCCTCTGGAATGTGAAAGGAGAGCTTTGGTTTGGTCTGTGTCAATATTGACTTTTCCAGCTTTGATATCTGCAAAATCTTTCCAAATAGATCCACCTCCTAAGAGAGCAGATGCAGTTTGTTTTGCTTATTTTCAACGCTTGCCTAATTCAACCGCTACTAAAGCCTATGCTCCCAGCCAATAGCTGCATCCAGAAAATGTAGGGAAACCGATTGGGACATCAGGATCAGTTTCCAAGAGTGAAAACAATTTGAAAGTGTTGTTCGAGATCTCTAAAGTCATCTGCCCCAGTTTTGGGTCTGCCATTCAAAATACTCTCTAAAACAGCACTAAATGAGACATCAAAGCTCTTAGTAACAGCTGTTTGTCAGGTTTGGCTGAGTGTCAGATGGTCCTGTTCATTTTCATCTGTTGAACAATACCGCCATGATGAACAGATTGCTTGGTGGATTTTGCCTCCCTAGCCAGCTGTGGCCACCACTGGCTTTTGTTTTTGTTGCTAATGTACTCATTCATTGAATGAAGCTTCTCAAATTTAGAGTGGATTAGGCATCTTGTTGTAACGCTATCCCTAATAGACCAATTTTGAGCAGCAATGCCTCATAAAAAAAGAGTTTTCAAAAACGAACTCCATGGGCTCTATTTTTGTGCCTCGCCGAAAGTCAGGCGTAACCTGGTCCGCTACGCCGACAAGGCGTTCCCAAGCACATTTTGGTATTTTGGTTAGTGGCTTTAGTCGTAGTGAGGGAGGAGAAAGGGCGTGGAGTGGGTTTAACACAGCCGAGACCTTTATTGACCAATCACATAAGCGCCTCTCCTCACCTTTAAATCCTACACCGGCGAGGCCTATTACACCGGCGAGGAGGGAGACGAGTTACATATCTTGTTAACTTCATCGTGTGTCTATTTACTAGATATTTAATTTTATTCGATGCGGTTTCAGCTGTGTTAATTCGGTCAGGTTGTGTGTCCAAACGCGTGCCAAACGTGCTTATCAGATCAGATACAGATCAGAATATATCTATATAGATCTAAATGTATGTGCTGACTCAGATTATTAGTTGTTGATGATTATTTATTGCACTGAAATGTGAGGCATCGGTGACGTATGCCGATATGCTGCCGGTTCTCCAAAATACCACTAGACCAGCTGCACTCCGCCTGCGCTGAAAGCTGACCAGGTTTGAATCGGCGAGCTTTCAGCGCACTTTACACGCTGCCGGCGAGCATGAAAATGTCACTGCGCCAGCTGATTCTGTCGACACCTCCCCTTGCCACGCCACCACGCCCAGTTTGGCGGACCTCGGTGTGCCTCAGTCCACGAAAATACCAAACTGGCTGTACGCCGGGCTCCGCCAGATGAAAATACCACTGCGCGGGGTCCGCCACCATCTGCCGTGTCACCGGCAGACACAAAAATAGAGCCTCTTGTGATTAATTTGTTATTTGGCAGCTGTGAATGATGAACATTGATGAACATTAAAAATGGATAATTTCTACCTGAATTCACTTGAATCCACGATCTTATCAGTCTTTGAATTGAGTCCACTCACCTCAGCATGACAGTAAATGTTCTGTGGATCAGTTCAAACACCATCTTTAACCTCTTTTTTTTAGTCTGGCTTGACCTGGACAGTTGAATTTGACACGCATTTATCCCCAATACCTTAGAGTTCAGCCTTTTTCTCTTCTCTTAGGACTCATGGTTTACCAGTTTTATCATCTGCACTAAGGACAGATGAATAAAATTAATTGTTTTAACACCACCAAACTCTCCTTGTGATATTTGAAATTATACAGTGACATCTATTGATACATGGCAGCAAGAAAAGATGCTCTCGGCTGGAGATTATTTTTGTTTTTGGTTGTCTACTCCTGAATGATTGAATATTTGGCATGAATCCTTCCCTATCATCACACTTTAACAGGCTGTGATTGCTAATGGTATCAGAGATTGGTAGGTGCTAAGCTATTAGTCTTACATTGTTATTGTACACTCCCAAGATCAGCACTTTACTCCTCTTCACCTGAACTGAAAAGTTCAACAGAGGCAGATTTACAACACTGTTATGCAAGCTCATGCCCACTTTAATTCACTGATGAGCAAACAGCTGGTGAAACCATTCATTATCTTGTTTTTTAAAGCATCTGCAAAGTCTTTTGAAATGGATATTGAACCAAATTATTCATGACTGTTTCAGTTTGAAATGTGATACACAATTTTAGCTTTGCAAATGGGGCTTGTTGCCGTATTTGTCCAACTGATATATTATGTAGTAATGGAGAAGAAAGAGTACTTAAATATTCTACTCTAAACATGGCATTTTAATGAAGTAAAATATACTACAAAAGTGGAAAAAAGCACTCTAATTGAAATGAACTTAAGTACTGAGTGAAGAATTGACTTAAGCTGGTGGCAGTGGTGGGGGTGAAGGAGTGAAATATGCTCCCATGAATTGTGTGACATCAGTTTTCCCAAACAAGTTACAATGAGTTGAAGTTAACTCTTACTCTGCACATATCCAGATGAAGTTTTGCAGCATCTATTTTGATTTTGTTTTCTGTGGATGCGCAATGAACAGCTGAGCAAAAGAGCCAAAAAAGACGATCTTTGTGGACTGTTAACAAACGGCTGCTTATGTTAAAAGTGTTGTAATAAGTGAAGATGGGACACTTATATTGGGTAACTCATCAGGAAAACTTTGGCTTGAATAATCTTAAAATAGGATTCATATTTGTGTTATTAATGTTACATGCATAAAGCGTTGTGAGATATTTTAAATCAAGTTCACTTGTTAAGATTTTAATATTTTGCAGTGTAGATGACATTCAGTTAACAAGCTGTCATGCAGATGATGGGAAGCTGGTATAGCTAAATGTACTCAGTGACTATGTAAAATGTGTCAGAATAGAATAAATTTAACAGAACATACTTAAAAAGTCAAAGCACTAATGAAAAAAATGTATTGTACGTGATTGTTTTCCACTTCTGCTTGGTAGGAATTTATCAACCTAAGATTGCTGTTGTGTACTGAAGTCTAAAGTGGCACAACTGATCTTAAAATGTCACAGCAGCATTTCCTGAGTGCCGTCTTTTTGCAGGACACTATAGACCTATCTCGGTAAAGGTCACTTGTTTATTGGTTTGTGGTGTTTTCTCTTCACAGGCCTTGCTGACGAGGGTTTCGAGATGCTTGAACAGCTGGCTTATTTGTACTTGGCAAATAACAAGGTGAGTCACACACACCAGACTTCAGAAATGCTGATTTCAAATTGGCTCACACTGTGCAGGGGCAAGATGATCTTTTTTTGTGTGTCTGTCTCATGTTTTGACTCTGTCCTATTGTATTCTGATCCACTGACACAGTGCCAGCTGGCAGAGAGGGGTGGCAACCTCCTCTCCTACACTCTGTGTGAGCTTATGCTTGTAATCACTTCCAGAATGGCTGTGCCAGCTGGTTGGAGCTAAAATGTTACTGACCCTTTTGGACAGAGAGCGAGAGAGAAAAAGGATGGGCAGATTTGTTTGTGCCCTCACAGGGATGACTAGGCAAATGGGATATGGGAAGAATAGAGGATTTTTAAGTGCTCACTAAGCCTCAAAGACACCCATGCTGCTCTAATCCATAAACCATGTTATAAAGGAGAGAGCTTTAAATGAACATCTAATCTCACCAGTGCTTCTCAGACTGCCATATTCTCTGCACAGTGGAGCTCTCGGTCTGACAGGAGAGACAAAAAAGTGTGTGTGTGTGTCTGTGTGCAGTGTGCAAGAGTTGTCACTTTTGTATTAGCTATCTTTTGTGAATTTTTGCCTTTGTTGGATATGCTGAAGGAAGAAAAGAAATTCAGGGAGGAGACAGTGAGGGAAGACATGCAGACTAAGACAAGGCCTTAGTCACATGGTGGACGTTAACGTTTCATGAAAAGCAAGTTTCAGTATCTAAACTTGCTATCGTTGTTGTTGTAATTGTTGTTTAAAGGTAATTCTCACACACCAAGCTAGGGGCTGTCGGTTTATGTCTGCTTGGTTTTGTTTTATGCTTTACTTCATCTGAGCCTCACCATTTAATTCACATCATAATAACAGTTTGTTTCTAATCATATAAAATGTTGGCAGCACAGACACCAAGGGCGATTTTAGCACCTGGTCTTCAGGGTGCTCAGCCCCCACCCCATTGTTGACAGAGGCACATTATTTTTCACTAAATGAGGTCTACGAGTACATTTGTAAATGTTGGAGCTGTATTAGTTTTGCTTTGAGTGTGAATTCCATCCAATTTGCATATTACATGAGCCATGCCCATAGAAAGACCAGTTACATTTTCTTACATACAAACAATAGAACAAATAACAGAAAATAAATTAAATGGTCAATAAAATACGTCACCTTAATGCACCCTAATGCATCCTTGAGCACAAACCACACCCTTTTTAATCACCTGATAACATCTAGAATGTCTTTTATTAAAAAAAAAAAATCTACATATTATTTTGAACAATGCAGGTCCCTTTCTGTGTGGATTAATGAATGGGCCTAAAGTGAACAGGCACAGGGGGTCACAGGTCTTTAGTGGCCAGGACAAACTGAAAAATTTAGACACATGAGGGCAGGAGTGAGCACAGGTATATAGCTTACTTATACAAAACCTCAAATCAAATAATTCCTCTTGTAGGTACAGCATTGTACTTCCTCATTAATAATGACCAAAACACATTTTATCCCACAATACTATCTTTAATGGTATGCCACATTTTGACCATTTTGGAGGGGAAAAAAATGAAGCCTCCCCTTAATCTAAATGTCAAGTTTTTTCTTGAAAGGGAGGAAATAAAGATTTGCCACATCCCATTCACCTTACACCAAAACATAACAACTAAGTTATTATTATTTCCTCTCACCTGAAGTTGACTTTAGGCCCTTGTTTTTTTTAAAAAAGAATGTCTGTCCATCTGTGGAAAGACATAAAATGGGTCAGATTTTCCCAATGTTCCAGTTAACTATGCATGGGGGTCTGTAATGAACCATTGACAATGGCAAAAAAGTAACATGTTACTTTACTTTAGTTCCTGCTTTGAACTGTAATCGAACTGTTAGGCTACTAAATTTAAAAAAGTAACTCATTACTAATTACTTCACCCATGCAAATCCCCTATGCAAAAAAACGAGATGAACCACAAAAAGTCTTTCAGAAATGTAATTCCGCTCCGACGTCTGGTACAGGACTGCACCGCCCTGGTTGTCATAGCGACGCAGTGTGCGACTACTGTGACGTCATGGTAAAACAACAGCGGAGGAAAAACAACAACAAGTAGGACAACCACGCAAGTGGAAACGCGGCTTATGTTGTAGTACCTTTATATGTTCCATACCTTCTCACCTTGGAATGCGTCGACTTGGGTGCTGCTGCCTCGGTCACCTGGAGCAGAGGCGTACCCTGGCGGCAAGCAATTGTGTGAACGTGCCAACCAATCAAAAGAGGTGTAGCTGATAAGTGGGTTAACAAGACTCATATTGAAGCTCACACAGCAGCAGAGGGGCAGAGCAACATCACTCTGCGCAGTTGCACTCATTTCTGAAGATTTTCGCACAACACAATATTTTGGAGAGGTGCTGAGCTAGGGGGTGCTCAGCTAATTCATGGGGGTGCTGAAGCATCCCTAAAAATAGCCTAAACTCTCCCCTGACAGACACAGACAGAGGAGGAGGAGAGATGTTTGATTTTATCCTACATAACCTCCTCATGTCTGATCAAAAACTCATATTTCCAGACAGGGGTGGAGCTTACGGGGCGGCTGGGGCACTACCTGGGCTAGGAGGTGGTCCAGAGCGGCCACGGTGGGTGGTTTTATTGAAGATTAAACAGGGTGGCAGCCTGGGCGTGATAAAAGATGTTTAAGTCATTTTTAATTCAACGCAATGAAGTAAAACCAACACAAATGACATTCAAGTTTAAAGAAAAACCATGCATCCTTGATCAGAAAGGATCATCAGAATCAAAATTTTAAACCATATCTATTCAAATATTTTTCAAGCCACAGACAAAAAATTCTCTTCAACTTTGTTTTGTTAGGTGTGCTAAAGTGTAAGATGTCGGAGAGAACCTTCAAGTTGAGTTGGAGGTTTTTCAAAGCCTGAGGTTGCTTGGGATTAAAACAATCAGAACTTATCCTAATGCTGTTTTTCCAAATCCTAGCCTCTTCAGAAAAGAGTTTTTGTATCACTGTCCTTTCATTCCTCTTTTGTGTTCCTACAGCTCACCTCAGCACCCATAGTTTTGCCCCCCTCTTTGGTGAGTGCTGATTTTGCTGCCAACCAGCTCACCAAGATCTACCCTTACACATTTGGCCACAAACCAAAACTAAGGTATGTGTGTGTGTGTGTGCGTGTGCGTGTGTGTGTGTGTGTGTGTGAATGTACTCTCTTCTTAAGTTCCCATTTCTATTTGCTAATGTCCTTTGATCACATCCCAGGTCTGTGTATCTGCATAACAACAAGCTAACTGACGCAGGGCTTCCTGAACATATGTTCAATGCCTCTGACAACCTGGAGATCCTTACCATGTCCAGCAACTTTCTGAGAGTTGTGCCATGGAACCTGCCCCCGTCCCTTTACCGTCTTCACCTAAAGGTTGAGTGCCTTAAATTTTCAGTAGCAAGGATAGTAATGCACTTTTTCCCTTTTTTGTTGTTGAATAAAGTGGTGATGGTGCGTCTGTTATTACAGAGCAACAAGCTGGAGAAAATACCAGCAGGGGCCTTTGACAATTTGCCAAACCTTAGGGAGCTGTATCTTCAGAATAACCTGCTCAGCAACGAGGGAATGGGCAACGAGACTTTCAGGTTGATGTAAAATCCTTGCAAACCCTAAGGGGTTTACAAATCATACATCTCAATGCTGATACCAAGTGTAGAAAACATGAAGGTATTGATTATTATTGCATAAAGGCGCTCCAGTGTGCACCAGCTGTAGCCCCTACTCTGCAAATACAGTGACAGGGAATTCTCATGTTGCAGCATCAGAGAGAAAATTATACAGTGTAGGATGAAAAAACTGACTTAATAATTTCCCCTCTGTGTCTCTGTGCAGCTCACTGAGCAGCCTGGAGTGTCTGGACTTGTCAAATAACAACCTGAGTGTCGTCCCCAAAGGTCTGCCTCGCAATCTAGTGCTGCTACACCTGGAGAAAAACTCCATCCGCAGCATCCCTGGAGATGCTCTTAGTTCTGTACGAAACCTCGAGTACCTGCTTCTCCATAATAACAAACTCCGCTCACGTTCCATCAACCCTGCTGCCTTCCAGGTTCATCTGTTTTTCATTTTACATCAATCTTTTTTTTTTTCAGTGTGACAACAGACGGGAGATGAAAACATGTCAGACAGCTTTACTACTGACATTTTGAACCAAGAATACATTTACAACTCATAATGAATCACTCTTTGACACAAACATTTGCATTTCACCAGGGCTTAAAGAAGCTGCACACTCTCCACATGTACAACAACCTGTTGGAGCGGGTTCCAAGGGGCTTACCTCGAAGGGCCAAGACCCTCATGCTGCTCCACAACTCCATCTCTGAAATTGGCCGCAATGACCTATCTCTACTATACACACTTACTGAGCTCAACCTCAGCTACAACAAACTGACCAGCTCCAGGCTGCATCGTGATGCTTTCAGGAAGCTGCGTGTGCTTGAAACATTAGATCTGTCAGGAAACAGCCTTCACTCGATGCCAGTGGGTCTTCCTCGCAGCCTGCAGGTGCTTGAAATCAAGAACAACCAGCTAAACTCCATTCCAGACGGAGTACTGACCGGCATGGAGAAGCTACAGAAACTCATCTTGAGTGACAATCAGCTGAAGCTGAATTCAGTCTACCAGGGAGCCTGGATGGAGCTCAGTGCGCTCAAAGTGAGTGGGCTGGGGAGAAAATTATGCATTTAATTCCAGGAAATAATTATAAGAATCACCACTTTCCAGCCAATAGACTGCTTAAAACTAGCGTTTGCATTTGTGGTGGGTGACTTGTGAATGTACAGTACAGTGTCTGTCTGACATCTATGTGGAAATGTGATGATGCAGAAAGTGATACTTAGCCTCTCTTTTAGGGTTTGACCTTCCTATACATCCAACTTTTGAGACATTTTTCATGTTTATTTTGAAGTTTGGGGTATTATGGTGCCTCACGGACCATAAAAAGACAGCAGGGTGTGTTAGGAGGGTATAATAGTATGTAGAAAAGGGAAGAAAAGCAATTTATTCTTCATTATCCTGCCTTTGGATTCTTAAGGAACAACTAACCATGAAAAAGAGCAGGAACAAGTAGCCTGGCCGTGGGAGCCTCACAAGCAGCTGTGTCAAATCAAGTGGGTGTTAGTGCACAGTTGGAAAAACTGCGTTATGTCACATACATAATGTAATCTCATCAGCCTTACTAGTTGTCACCACAATATAGGTTGGTTAGACTTCCATTCAATTTTTATTTGTATAAATATAGGCCAGAAATACAGCGCAGGAATCAGCACAAGCTTTGTCTGGTCCTGTTACAACATCATCCCATAATGCTCCACTACCTTGATGTACACTGACACAGATGACAGAGGGACATTCATCTGCAGGGGTGACTAAAGACTGGTGGTGCTAACTCTTTGACTAGTTACCACATTCAACAAAACAAATTTGACATTATTTACATGCAGACACCGTAATCCCATGTTTGGCTGTGTTAGGATTTATTTGATCTAGTCTTTGTTTTACCAGGAAGATTCCCACTGAGACACAAAACCTCCTTTTTAAGGTAGCCCTGGCCAAGACAGCAGGACTCCCTGCTGACTGATACAGGGCTGTTCTAGATGGATTGACAAATTCATTCTTTTCTGTTCTGATCAGTTCATCTGAATGTGAATTTGATTTTAACAAATGGGACGATGGTGACTTCTAATCTGCTCTAATATAGGGGTTCCCAGTGCTGAAAACACTAAGCAACAGCACACAGATAGCTAAGTATGTAAAGCAACTCAGCAGATATAACCTATGTTGAATTGTGACAGAGCAGTTGGTTTAATATGTAATAATTTTAAGGCTTAGATGTCTCTTTTCCAGTCACTTTGAGACTGTTTGGTTTCAAACCAAATCAGAGAGGACTGGTGCAGAAAACATGAATCAGTCTGGCTTGACTCAGATTCCACTGTTGTTGCTGTTTTCTGGTTGTAATGTGTGCCAGAACAGACCCACATTATTCTGCATGAAAGGAAAATATTTGTTAATTTATCTTTTTGCTAAATACGGTTCCAAGACCTCTTTCCAAATATATATCCAGAAAACTGTACATTGTTCATTCTATATCTTGCATTTGTAGACTCTAGACCTGTCTGCAAACCAGCTGTCACACATCCCCTCTGACCTGCCCGAGTCTCTGGAGTACCTTTACCTGCAGAGTAACCGCATCTCCACTGTCCCAGCTTCAGCTTTTGAAGGCACTCCAAATATCAAAGGCATCTTCCTTCGGTAAGAACTGCCAACTGTTTCATTTTTTTTTACCACAGTAACAGGTGTATACATAACTGTACTGATTAAACTCTAGATATAACTTTTCTGATAATTGTTGGTCCTTAAAGGGATATTCTGGTGTAAAATTAAGTTAGGGTCAAACACACCATAACACCAAGTCAGACACTTGAGAGATATATGTTGCCGACTGCTTGCTTCTCTAATTATACCACCTTTAGTGGTCTACACCTCCACGCGCAAATCTAAACCAAAATGCCACTCTATAGCCACAAATAATGCTCAAAACAGCACCTAACTTCTTCAACAGTACATATAGGGTCCCAGCCATAGTACTAGCCACCAAACATCTTTTTAGCCTTGTCTGATTTCTTAAGCAAAGGGACTAAACACAACTCACTCACTGTCCTCCTGCAGCCGCTTGTTTGTGGGGGAGCCCTGACAAGTCGATCACCAAGTGCAGCTGAGTTTTGCAGCTCAAGGAAGAACGTTTATGATTATTACTTCATAGAAATGCAATGAGACTGAGATGCTAAGGCAGGAGAACTACTGCGTCTGCAGTGCAAAATGATTATTATGATGATTATTACTTCAGGGAAATTATCCGCTGTACTCAGTGATTGATTCGTCAGGGCTCCCCCACAAACGAGTGGCTGCTGGAGGAGAGTGGGTGAGTTGTGTTTAGTCACTCTGCTAAAGAAATCAGGCAAAGCTAAAAAGATGGCTAGTACTATGGCTGGGACTCTTTATGTACTGTTGACGAAGTCAGGTGCTGTTCTGTTCATTATTTGTGGCTATAGAGTGGCTTAATGGTTGAGATTTGTTTATGGCTCCTCAGACCGCTGTGTACTGCTATCCTGCCGTCGTTACTAAAGTTGGTATAACTAGAGAAGCAAGCCGTTGGAAACATTCATCTCTCGAGGGTGTCTAACTTGGTGTTATGGTGTGTTTGACCCTGACTCAATTTTACACCGGAATATCCCATTAATTTTCTAAAAGCATACCATACCTCCTTCATGATTCTTTCCACTTTTACCATTTAAGTAAGTATAAAGCAAGTCAGGAGTAAAATGAGACTTTTATTTTCCTCTGGGCTTCATTAAAATCTGGTGGGTGGCCCCTTGCATAAGTTTCCTTGCCTTTTGGATTGATCTCCTCTCCACAGGAAATGATTATGTAACTTTGGCCAGAGAATGGCTGTGAGGAAACTGTTGTTTTGTTTAGTCTGCTCTGTGGGCCCCTTAGGGATGGCTGTAATCAGGTAGACATGAACCAGTGTTCTTTCTTCTTTCTTTTAAAAACATATTTTTAACACCCCCTTAGAGTTGGTCTGAAGAAAGAGGGACTAAGTGCCTTTTTTTCCTCACTATATTTTTGCAAATAATTATTGTTAAATACCGCCAGTTGTATCACGATAAACAGACACCCCTGTGGGTATATTTGTTAAATAAATGTTTGGGAAAATGTTCAAACGTTCAAAAAAAAAAAAAAAAAAACTGACTCAAAAGTTTTTTCAACAACAGTTTGTAAACATTCAACATTCATGACACCACCAGAAACTTAAGTTTAAACTTATAAACTTGAAGTTTTCTATTCTTCCACAAATTCAATCTTTTTAATTCTAGTTTTTAAGTCAAATCTCTTGGGGCCAGATGATTGTGTTACGGTTAACCATTGTGAGAAATTAAATAAGTGGATCCACTATTCAGAAGACAAGTCCAACACACTGAGTTCTTCTGAATAGCTAATATTACTTATAAAAAAAAAAGAAAGAAAAAGTGTCTCTGTCACCCAAGACTATCAACTGTGTGAGCCTGGACTGATTGTGTGAGACCTCTTGGCCAAATAGAAAACTCATTTCTTTTGTTAAAGTTAGGCTCTGACTGATCCCGCCTCCCTGATTCCTGTGCACAGTACTTTCCTTCAAAAAGGACTCACTCTTAGATTGTGTGGAATCACTGTAGGTGTCTAATAAACTCAAAAATACCTGCAGTGCAACCGCTGTAAGTCACAGGTCCTTGATGGTTTCTATGTTGCAATGACAATAAAGACTATACCATACCATGTCTACAATATGGTAAAATCTTTGAAAGCAGAATGCACAATTTGTAACACCTCTTTATCCTGACAAAAACTGAAATGGAACTAGATGGCATGTGAACGTGCATCCTGACAAACACATATGTCAACCCTCTCTCTAAGGATCTTTACCTGTATCAGGACTGTCTTTAATAGTTAATAACCCCAAGTTCTCCTCTCCATGCAAGCTCTGATGCAGTCAAGTCCAAATAATGCAGGATAAAATTGGAAAAATTAGGGTTTTAGACATCTGGACCTGATTTTATCCTGTTTTCAATCAAATTTCACCACTGAACTCCTGAAGAGCTCACTGAGGGTTGGCAGATCACCACTCAGTCATAAATATGTTCGACCTCCTTCAATCCAGACACAAATACATGTCAAAAGACAAAAAACTTGTGGTTTCATGTGCACTGTGACTTCTAGAGCTCAACTCAGCTTTTCAACTTTTTAATTTCTGTTCAGTCATAAGAGTGGCATTATTCTACTTTTGTTACAATGACACTGTGTTTTCAAAAGTTTTTCTTTCACTGATAGTTTTGTTCCACTGTAGAGGAGTTCAAAGTCAACCTGTTTATAAAGATGATGAAATATTCACCTTCAAACATTGACTCTTAATATTTCTCAAAGAAATAAAAACATTCAAAATGAATCTATAATTTTTCCATTAACAGTGAGGTTTTATCTCATTGAAGAGACTCAGATGCACTGTTTTGCTGGTCCTCATTTTGCAGAGTACTGCAGTGTGTTTTCTTCAATCTCATCGACTCCTCTGACTTGTGTTTATTCAGCAAAGTTCCCACTTTGGTTTATTGCACAAAGTGCAGGCTTATACTCACAAACAGTGCTGCCCAAAGCTGCAGTCAGACAGTTGAGTCAAAGCGTTTCAGGAAAGTGTTTTCAGGGCTTTTTAAATAGATTTTAGTCTGACCTCAACCTGACTGTCTGCCCTTGCCTTGTTGCCTCGACCCCTTTCAGGCTGTGGTCCTCTTCTTCTTCGTTACATGAGAATAGTTCACACACACACACACACACACACACACACACACACACACACACACACACACACACACACACACACACACACACACACACACACACACACACACACACACACACACACGGCTTGAGCTAATTTCCAATGCTGTTACAAGAGGAGAGACTTTTGTGTTTATTTACTAGCGATCTGTGGTTAAATTTGATTGCTAACACATGGTAGCCCTTTAACTGACAGATAAGAGTAGATTCCAGGTGTTTTTAAAGAACTTGATGAATGTGAAGTCAGTCAAACACCTGTGACTGTGTCTGATAGACTCAAATATTTGAGTGGGTGCAGTTCAGAGAGTGGTACATGTTGTATAAATTCCTCTCTGAGTGGAGATGCCTGAAGTCTCAACCTCCTGACAGCTTAGGTTTGTATATATCTACTGTCTCTCTCTTGTACATGTCAGTATTCATGTTTTAATTCTCTGAAAGCCCAGTCGTGACCATAAGCTGTCAGCTGAGGGAAGATAACTCACACACCTTCTTCTCTTTGCTCTTATTTGAAGGTTTAACCGCTTTTCTGTGGATGCTGTTGATGAGAGCTCCTTTGCACACCTGTCAAATTTACAAGTGCTGGACATTGGCACAGGAAACGGCGACCTCCCCTTTAAAAAAGACGAGATGGAGGGTGAGATAATGGAGGTGGAGCAGGACTCATAAGCAGTTGAACTGACATTGGACTGCATTGTGCTGAGGAAAGGAGAAAAGGAAGGGTTTTCAGAAGGAATTGAACCTGTAAATGTCTTTTTGCAGGTGTTTTAATGTATTGTGCTGAGATTCTGGTGCAGGATACCAGAGGAGTTTTTTTTTTTTCTTCCATGATTTGGGCTGGTTTGTGTTACATATCTTTATATCCAAGCTATGAGATGGCTGTTGTTAAAAAAAAACAGTTTTTATCCAATTTTGTGCTGTATTCAAAGCAATCACAAAATTTAATGTGAATTTTTCTACATTAACATTTCAGAAGCCAAACCTCCAAAATGATGCAGAGTAAACAAGAAAAGATTTTTAATCTTGGGTGCACATTTCTCTGTTTTTTTTTTTTTTTCTTAAAGCTTCTTTGTCCACATGTCTTACAAAAGAGAAATTGCTGAACAGTTTGTACTTTCAGCAGAACATCCCAATACAAACATCCAGACTTGCACTGACACCAACAAAGTTATCTCAAACTGTTGAATTAACACTGCAGCAAATCCTCTCAAATAAGGCGCCATTTCAGATTAAATCCATGCATATTAAATTTTTTCTTAAAAGTTAGGACCCATTCAAAGGGATATTTCAGATTTCTTCTCCTATTCAGTCAACAGACTAGAAATCAAGCTCTAGAATAAAAATTTGATAACACTTAAACCAGTCGTTTACTGCTTGGACCTTGATGAAAACATTACTAATGCATTCATAGGGATGAGTTACAATCTTTGTGCTGATAAGCATTCATAACAACATAAAGCAATGTTTATGAAGTGTTTCAAGTGATGAGCATCAAGCCTTTTTACTCCTTTTATAATGCTTTATAAATAGCAATGCATTAAAGTGGTAGGTTAATCTGAAGTTTTATGTGGAACAAAAATCAAAACAGGGAAAGTCAAACTTCATAGGAGAAGCTTCAAAGTTTCTTTGAAATCAAATAGATTAAGTCCAAGATGTTTTGTTCATTTCCAGAATAACTAAAATAGAAGAGATGGCCACTGACAAAATATGCAAAATATGTGTTTTGAAATGAAGACACATGCAGAAGTGGAGACAAGGGATTAGTGTCACACCCAAGGCCCCAACCAAAAATAGCTTAAACTTTAAATAACTGCGAAGTTTGCTCTGGTTGTTTCACAGCGAACAGTTTCTTGTTTCAGTTTGAAACAGACATGCTCGTAGTTTTGGGAAGTTAAAAAGCTCTCGTGTTGACATGCGTAATTTTTTCCTCTGTTAGTTTTTCCTCTACTGCGTTAAACCTGCAAAAACTGCCGTAGGAGCTTGATTCATTATCAAAGCTTTTGTTCATTAGGCCTTATCCACTCTCTTTTTTTGGCATCAATTAACAAATTAAAAGTCAACTTTATTCTTATTTAGCCTGAGGGTCTTTTAGTGTTGCTATAGGAAACTTACAGTCACCTAGAGTCACTTTGTCTTGTGGGGTTCCTCAGAGGTCAATTATGGGCCCACTTCTGTTTACTATTTATACATTGTCCCCAGGACAAGGAATCCGTAAACAGAACATTAGTTTTTAAAGTAATGCTGATAAAACTCAAGAACTCAAATGTATGAACACTTGCATATAAATCAGTATGACAAAAGTAACTGCTCTAAAAAAAAGAGAGCGAAAGACACATTTATGTGATAAGTGTTTTGAATTTCCATCAAAAAATGGCTCAAACTAGAATGGAGAAGGCAGGCTGCTTGACCCTTACTGCAGCCAGCCACCAGGGAGAGCTCTAAAAGGAAGCTTTCCGCCGTCTATGATTTTATACACCTTACAATCCTTCACAACAATGTAAAAAACAACAAGTCTAACATTTCTAAAAATGAAAAGGAGGAACATTTCAGGGATCCGGGTAACTTTTCCCACTTTAGAATGAAAAGCCTTCTTAAATTTAACCCCCATTTCACTTGCATAGGACCTGTGGAATAACAAATAATTATTCAACTGTCATGGTTTTCTTTTCATTGTTTGCACCAAGTACCACATTGTAGTTTCAAAACATGTCTGTGTCAAGTGTCTCAGTTGCCCACACCCACATCTGCTGAGTCAAATATTGCTTGGACTGGAACTAAAAGGTTGTGTTTTCACTGTATTCATGTCAAGTACCGGTATTTTTTAAAATACATCAAAAGTTTTTAGTGTTTCTGCTGGAGCCTGACTTTGAGTGTAATACTATAAATTTCAACTAATGTGCTCTTTACAAGGCATTACCCAAAAACTCCCCATTACAGCATTTCTGACAAATCAACCCGGGCTGACATCTTAAACAGTGACATCAAAATAATTGACGATTAACTTCTCCTTTTAAAAGTGCCTCAATGTAAACTAACTGGGAGAACTGTTAGCACCCCATTAAGTAGTTACAAATACCCAGTGTGTGAAATGTTGGTCAGACACCAATAACAGAGAAGAACAGAGAACAGTAATACGCACAAAATGTGGATGATTGTGAATATTGTAATCATCTTTATGTTTGTCTTTTGCCACATTTGTGAATGAAACATATCAAACCTACAAGCATTATCACTTTTTCTGAGGCTTCAATCTACTGCTGCTGCTGCTACTTCAGTCCATTCCTGTGTTTTTCCTCTGAAAATGATAGAAAATGTCTCTATTTCACATCAAAATACTTATCCTTTTACAAACACAATATTGTTGTGAATACAGTTTCACCTCCACACACAGCAGTATAGTAATTTCACATATTAAGTCACTGAACAGCAATAAATTATTTGAAAAAGGCTGAAGAAGACTGTGCATTTTCTCTTATTCATCAGAACAACTCATCAATGTCAATTATCATTTTATCTTCATTTTTCTTTTCTACAATCTAACATAGTTTTGATTAGATTTTCAATATGATACTTCAAAATAATAATTACAAAATCTATGAATGTGATAGTTTCCTATGTAAAATAAAGTGTTGGCAGTGTGTTGTCCATCACACCATCAGATGCTTTGCCAGTGAGAAAGTGAAGTGCTGTCAGGATTGACATTACCATGTAGTTAACCAAACTGTTTGTGGTCTGTCAGTATGTTTGAAGAGGACTACTGTCTTATATCAATTTACATGGGCTGACCAAGAATCAAATTATTGACAGAAGCATGTCTCCATGCTGTTCAACCACCTGCTCAGAGCCTGGCATGCAAACACTGGAGCGTGCACAGAACGCCGAGGTCGGCCTCAGTTCAACTGAGCCGTAAACATGCTCACCAACCACATTATCCAGGTATGAAGTTCAATTTCAGCCTGATAACAAGTTAACATGTTAGCATGCATTTTAAAAGTTTGGTTTCAGTTGGACTTTTGCAATAAATCTATTTTTTAAGTGCATGGAAACACACAGTGTGCCCACTAAAGGCGTTTTTCACTCATAGACAGTATATACTATGGACAACTTGGTTTCGCCTTCCGCCAGTATACAGATTTGAAGCCAAAAATCTCTCAGTATTTCAAGGTTTTTTCTCCACTCCCTAAAACAAACATTGCGCAGTAGCGCACTCCACCACTTGCGCAGTAGCATTGTACGCATTTTGAGTCGCTGAGAGTCACTATGATGACCCTTGACTCAAACAGCATAACCCAGTGAGCTACAAAATCTTCGTACGCCCAAAGGCTGTATCAAGTGTCAATCATAGAAAACATGAACCCCCTGATAACTTTTAATAATGGAGCTGCACAGAAAAAAGAGGACTCTAGCACAAACCAGTCTTACAGTAACTACAAGTCAATATCACAAGCAGGAGGGAGAAATATGTATAATCTGTGTAATACATTTCTAAAATTTGTCCACATATCCATAGGGATTGCTGGAGGAGGCGGGATTTATGATCTATACTGCAGCCTGTCACCAGAGGGTGCTGTTTTCGCAGTGGCTTCACCCGGCAAGGAGGCAGACGGCATCCATTCTATATACAGTCGATGTTCTCACTCTGGCAGTGCCTATTTTATATACAAACCCAAATGCAGTTAAGTGTTTTCTTTTTTAACTCTGCGTCCCAGGCCACAAAAAGCACCCTTATATCAGCTGTTTTTGTTGCTGTGCTCACAGCAGCACTCTCTGGCCTCATCCATACATATATGGGTATTTTGGAAATTAATTGAAAATGTATGTTTTCCCTAAACATAGTTTAAAGAGCACTGTTTACAGTTGCAGCTCACTTGTTTGACTTGACAGACAGATTACACATCCTCACAGATATTGGTCTGGCATGCTTATATCATAGGTGCTTTTAACTGTTTGTTGTTTGGATGGTGAAACATTTCCAAGCATCTCTCATGAGAATAGGATATTTTTAAATATGGGGAGGGGAAATTAACTTTTAAATATATTTGTGAATAAATGTAGATGCAGCTTGAGTTTAAACTAGTTTAATTATTGGAACACCCCCTGTTTGTTAGGATCACAGTCTTCATAAAAATCAAGAATGGGTGGGACATCTGATGACAACTTTGTTGATAGAAGCCCAAAAAGGAGCGAAACCAACCACATAAAACAACTCCCTGCCATGGGGTTCCTGTCAATGTTCTAACCAATTAAATAACTTAACTTAAAGAGGTGTAAGTGGCATGGGAAAACCTTCATTACATGACAACAGAGTAAGCAGTAGTGGAAAGTATTCTGAAATGGGTGTGATACTGCCAGTGCAAAAATAAACTCTGTTGGTGAACCTAAGCCTGAGGAAATGTTTCCATAAAAATGCACATGATGAAATTTGATTCATTCACTTTCCTTTTCTAACTTTAAACCACAAGGGTGCTGTATCAGCAAGAATTCAGAGATCCATTATAGATCGTGATGCATATCATGATTTTGGGGTTACACTCTAATGTAATGTGACTTATCGTCATTTAAAAGCCTGGGACAATTGCAGGGTTTTAAAGATAAATAATACAATCATTGCAACAAATCTTCACATGTAAGCTACTCATTGAAAAACTGATACAATATTACATACAATATGCAAGAAATCAAGTCTACTATTAACTTCATACATTCCTCAACAACACACTATTTTCCTTGTTCACTCCTAACACAGTCTTTTGCAGCTATAACCAAACAATGTCAGTGTTCAGACTGGGCTTTTTAGTCAATAAATTTACTTTTCCGATAATTTCCTGTTTGAGGTGACAATCTTGCACTTAAATCTGCAAGCTTGTTTTTATCTTTCTGGAAATATCTAAAACCCTCAAATGGGATTTTCCAGTAAAAAAAAATTCTGTCCCTCCTATTTTGTCAGCTCTTGCTAATATTTGACACCTTGCTTGAACAACACTGTTTACTTTAAGTGATAAATGACTTTAAATAAGTATTTGTTTGCTTTTTTAAGTATTGCAATGATGCAACTTTTTATCCAAAATACTGCACAGAGGTTGCTCTTTCCCATAGACTGTATATTCAATGGACAACTTGGCTCCACCTCCTGTCATTATACAGATTTGAAGCGGAAATGCTCTTTGTATTTCCAGGATTTTCTCCACTTCATGGAACCACCACTTGCGCAGTAGCATTGTACGCATTTGCCGGAGAGTCACTGAGAGTCACCGTGATGACGCTCGGCTCAAACAGCGTATCCCAGTGAGCTACGCAATCTTCGTACGCCCAAAGGCTGTATCAAGTGTCAATCGTAGAAAACATGAACCCCCTGTTAACTTTTAAAAATGGAGCTGCACAGTAAAAGAGGACTTGAGCACAAACCAGTCTTACAGTAACTACATGTCAACATCGCAAACAGGAGGGAGAAAAATGTATATTCTGTGAAATACATTTCTAAAGTTTGTCCACAGCTCCATAGGGATTGCTGGAGGAGGCGGGATTTATGACCTATACTGCAGCCCGTCACCAGAGGGTGCTGTTTTTACAGTGGCTCCACCCGGCGAGGAGGCAGATGGCGTCCATTCTATATACAGTCTATGTTCTGTCATCATGGCTAAAAACTTGTGGCATAATACTGGTGCATGGTCTCTTATACTAAAAGATTACAGATAATTAACATCAAATGATACTGGAGTTGTTTCCTATACTGTCATTAAAGCAGCTATAAAAACAGCTTTTTGACATGGACTTTAACAATAAAAAAGTAGTTTTGAAGTAGTTGAATTTAATCAAGTGCTCCAGAGACTGTTTAAAATACACAAAAATTTAATAATCTTAGATTTTCATTCAGTTAAAAGTAAGATTTTGTTTCTGATCTTCTTCTGTTGTGATCTTTCCATCATCGCCATCAGCCTAGCACCAGCAGCTTTTTTAAGGCAAAATTCAACATTAGGGCATTTCACTTTACCTCCTGATCATGAAACTAACAAGACAAATACAGTTTTTTTCTTTTCATGTATATGACCACTGACTGAATACAAAGGTGGACAACACATCTCCAAATCCTCTTGTACGAAATTGTACAAAAGTGACGTCAAAAGGTTCTGGTATCTTGAACAGCTAAAGCAACAGTGTGTGCAACAGGGACTGGTCAATGGAGCTGCTATATGAACGTCCATAGTTAACCAAAAGTCAGTTGAATGAAACAGCAGAGGCTGTCAAGGTCTTGTGTCTACCTGAAGTGTACTACAGTTTGCTGAGTGTTATTTTCTCACTTATCTTCCTTTTCTGCTGTCTTGAGAACTAGGTAGGACCATGTCCCATCCGTTAATATGAAGGAGGCAGGCATCATGATCTTAACTGCAGCCAGTCAGTGAATATAATCTTTTGGTGTCACCTTCGAGGATATAATGTGTCATCCATCATTTTATACAGTCTGTACGTATATGCACAAACAACAGGTTATTTGTGTAAGTATAAAACATAATAAACACATGTTGCACACTGACCAAAATAATATAAGTCATATAAAATGTGGATTTCAAATAAAGATCAGTTTATTGATGCAGGAACCCACAACTGTATTCAAAGTCTTGGGGCAAGCTCATGCGGCAGATCCAAACTGAGGTCGACTTCAGAGAAAGAATTTCCTCTAGTGTTCTTATTCCCACAGTCAGCCAAATGCTTGTCAAGCCTTATATTTTCTTTTGACTGCAGAAATGACCATAAACCAAAAGTTTTCTCGTTCTGAGGCTATCCAGTCAACAGTCTGGATTAATCTCTGACCTTTGACCCTATAACAAGCTGACAAACCAAGCAAGTGATGCTGAGCTCTTGCCTGCCCAGATACTGACCAGCATATCAGACAATCCGTAAAACTTCAAGCAGAGGCTATACGTTGGTCTCAAGGCCATTCATGTCTACAGTGCAGTGTTCTTTGCTCTTCTTCAGGTGTCGCGGGGGAATTGGAGGCTTCCTCCTCTCATTCTGTGGCCGAACGCCCTCCTCCAGCTGCATCAGCCGTGCCACATCAGAGGGGATAAGGTCATGTTTGCCCCCTGAGGACAGGGGCCGGAAATTTCCATTGTTGTTGTGGCAGTTCATCAGAGGTGGGGGGCTATTGACAGGTTTGGGCTCACAAATTAAAGGCACCTGTAGGGGAACCAAAAGAGTCACAGATAAGGGAAAAGGAAACAGGCTGTGAAAAAGGATGCAACATGATAAAAGGAGCTGGGCAAAGGCTTACTGACTACTAGAATTTCAATTTTGAGACATTTTGAGCTAATTCATACATTTAGATAGTGTTTCAGTGCTGGACCCTAAGGGCTTTATTTTCATTCCTGCCTGTGGCGCGGCATAAGTCAGGTGTGCCGCGCCGACAAGGCGTGCCCAAGCACATTTTGATACTTTGGTGAGCAGCGCAGCCCGGCGTAAGTATCCCCCCTCCCTAACTCAGCTCCTCCCAGCAGCATAAGTTGTAGAGAGGGCGTGGAGTGGGTTTAACACAGCCGAGACCTGCTTTCACCAATCAGATCAGCGCCTCTCCTCACCTTTAATCCGCCACCGGCGAGGTGTATTACAATTTTTGTGAAGTAGTCAAAGAGATCAAGAGATGTCTGAAGACAGTAATGCCACACGATGGCAACAGAAGGCAGCTCCTCAACAAGTGTCGCTGTAAACGCTGCAGAGGGCGTCCTCTACACTGTCTCATATAAGCACAAGTGGATTTGATGTGTGTAAGGTTGGACAAACACCCTTTTCCACAAATAAAGACAATCACATAAAGTTGCATATATTTAAACCCCACGTGACAAAGGTGGGTTGTGTGCACAAACCACAACATAAACTCCAATGATGGCATTAAAATCAGAACCATCTGTGCGTAAAGGACGCATTGCGCTTCGTGGTCTGGCTCTTTCTTTCATAGATGTAGGCATATAAAATAAATTTGACTCACGCAACTGGATATTATAATCTTCGTATGTAGGCTTAAAGTAAATAACTCATCTGATCACTAAAATAAATCATCTGTTCAGCCGCCGCAGCAGCAGGACGGGGAGAAGACACGGAGACATGTCCAGGTCGAGCTGCGCGAGAAATAAGAGGAAGAGGAAGAAAGAAAAGGACGGAGACGAATTACATATCTTGTTAACTTCATCAAATCAGATGTAGATCAGAGAATATAGAGAATATATAGATCTAAATGTATGTGCTGACTCAGATTATTAGTTGTTGTTGATTATCTATTGCACTGAAATGTGCCTGACACTGTGGAAACCTGCCTGTGAGGCATCGGTGCCATATGCGCACTATGCCGCTGGTCCACCAAAAAACCACTAGACCAGCAGCGCTCCGCCTGCGCTTAAAGCCGACCAGGTTTTATGGTGAGGTGCAGCGCACTTCCCACGCCGCCGGCGAGCACAAAAATGTCAATGCACCAGCCGATTCTGTCGACACCTCCCCTTACCAGGGATCACCCTCCGCCGCGCTGCCGGCGGGCACGAAAATAGTGCCCTAAGTCTTATAACATGAGATACCTGGATGGCGGCATAATCCCAGAATGTGTTTCTCTGGTTTTGAGACATGGCCACAGTCCAGACTCAGATTTCACTGCTCATCTTTATGCTCAGTACTCTGCTGATTCTGTTTGACTTAGAAAGTAGCTCTTTAGTTTTCTTTTGGTAGTTCAAAGACAAAGGCATCAGAAACAGTGGAAACTTTTGATGTGCTTGAGTCAACAGCAGCCCTCTGTTTGAACTTGCCACACCATTGATGATGCCCTTGTAAACAAAGGCAAGTGAAAGCTTGATTTACCCTTATTTTTTACTGAACTTGAGGCATCTAAAAAGATCCTCCATGACAACAAAGTTCCTTTGAAAATGTTTTTGGAAAATTGTTCAAGTCTCACTTTAGTTACTTATTGTACAGAAAAATGCTTTTCTAGTCATAAGGCAGCACAAAAGACTCACCCCATCGCCCTCTTTCATGAAGTCTTTCCGGCAGATGTGAGCCATGATACCTGTGGCCAAAGCATCTCCCATCACATTCACCATTGTACGGAATCTGTCTCTGTAAGGAGAAAGACATTTGAGAAAACGAATGAGTCAGAATCCTCAGATATTTATGATTAAATGAAAATGAAGACGACAGGGCTCAGGTGTATTTTTCTAAGGTATAAGTTTGTTTCAGACTACTTACAATGCCCAATCCACTGCAATGATGAGAGTGATATCATCAGTTGGTAGCCCGACAGATGTTAGTACTATCACCATGGTGACCAGCCCAGCCTGTGGGATACCTGCAGCGCCGATACTGGCTGCTGTGGCTGTGATACTGGAAGTTTAAGAAGCATGATGACAGAAAAAAACTCAAAACAAGACCTACGTAACTCAACATGGAGAAAAAAACTTTTTATAATGGTCATTTATGAGCAGAAGTAATTGGATACTAATATCATTACTCATCAATTTCCAGCAATACTTTTTTTTTTATTCACTTGAGACATGAACATTTATTCAAAAATACTCATCAGGCCTATAATGTGACAATTGCAAAGGACATGGCTCTGAAAGAAATCTTTTGTAGTCGATCACTGCAATGAAGAGCCATGTGGGAGTCTTATGATCTAGATCAGCCAAAACACCCTTGATTTAAATTTCTTGATCTATGCTGAGGTTGTTTGCCTGAGGAAAAAAAAAAGGTAAGACAGATCACAGACAACTTGAACCAGATCAAGTGTATAAATCTTAAGTAATCCATGGATCCTTATGGATACAATTTGAATATCATATTGTATCGTTTAATATCACAGTGGATTTATTACTGTCTACATATTTTGCCCTGCGATTCACACTCTTGCAGTGATAGAAGACTATATTCACTTTATTCCCTATAGCCACCCTTGGCTCTTTGTTATACATCTGAGTGGTAGCATAGGAAAGAAATAATGTCCTCTAACCCTTGATAGTTGTTTTGATTGTATATCAGAAAAGGCCAAATGTCACAAAAGGTAACACAGACTGACTTTTGTGGCTTCTTATTGAATTCATTTGCTTAAGATTAAGTGATACCTTTTACACTGCTTTTGACAGTTCCTCACTTTTTGCTAAACTGAGTCAGATTCATTATTATTCACCTGAGTTAAAGTGACTCTACAGGATAAAACCTTTCCTAAATTTGGTGATCTGTAGCTGTTTCAAGACATAGCAGCAGCCTAGATCATGAAGCCACTATAACATGATTAGTGTCCTGATAATTGTCTTACATTTGAATGTGTGCATGTTTGCTAAAACATCAGCTTTACGAAGACATATTCTGCATATTCTGGTGACAACAGCTTCTGCACTAGTTTTGATAACAATGGAGCCTTCTGTTCAGAGCTCAGCCAGCCTAATGCTCAACACCCTGGAAACTGCTCAAGACTCCCCCTGTGGCCTTGTGGCAGTCAGTGTGCACAACTTTGATGAGATGATGAAGCAGACCAGAAATAAAACTAAGTTAAATAAAATAAAAAAGTGACAAAATGGAAGGACGGCAATAAGGCACACAGTGCTCTTTGTCAAAGTTTGTTGTCAACAAGTATATATTGCATTATGATGGAGGGTAGTTGTCTCTGTCTTTCTCACTTACTGCATCAAACAGCACAAGAAATCATGCAGCATAAAAAACATTCATGCATGTGCAAGAAACATTCTCTTACCAGCAGCAACCTTGAAGCAATCAGTCAAAAATTAAGCTCTGTGGGCTTTGATAAATTTCAAACGAGACAATCATGATCATGTCTCTCAGTCGGGGTTTGGATAAAAGTCTTAAACTTGCAAGAAAATGAGCACAGATTGACACTAAGTTAAGTTTAAATATTACATTTACAAAAACTACTTGAGCATACTGGATAATGAAGATACGCCTAATCCAGCTAATCAACAGTCATTATACTGTTTACATTTGAACCTTTTATAACTGGCTATGTCCATTTATAATTGGCTTCAAACTAAACTAAACCCTCCACAGGTATATAGTCTTCTCACAGAATCAGAAAATCACTAATTGATCTGAAGCCTGCAGAATGAAGGTGGCAGCAATTCCTTGCAATGAGAATTGAAAGATAAAGTTGAACACAGTCACTTTGAATTTAATTAACCAAGTCTCTCATTTTTAATTAGCTTCCAACAAAATAAAAGAGTCTGGCTGTCTGGCTCAATTTGTTTACAGCAGAGTTAACTAGCAGTGTCTCTATGGTGACTTTCAGACCACAGACTGATTTCATGTTGATGTTAATGAGATGAGTGCCCATCAGCAGAGCTGGTGTGGGGGGTAAGCTTCATGTTTGCATACATCTCATATCCAAAGCATATCCAGAGGTCAAGGATGTGCTGACTCCACCCCTCATCAGAGCCTTTTTCTTGTGTGAGGGTGGGGGTCTGGTGTTAGTGAGTTGGATGCATGCGTTGGATGCTTTATCACCGCCAAGTGGCTCTTTTTAGTGGGATAAGCTGTTTGTCATGATGTCCAGTTGTTGTAAAACAAATATATATATATATAAATACATAAAACAGAAGATTTTTGATAAATTGTGTAAACAACAAACACTACTGTGATCAAAATTGTAACCACTTTAGTGCACTTTCACCGAATGACAAGATATGAAATGAATGAATGTGCTAATTTACAAACCAAACTTATTATTTCAAAATACCACTAATCGGTCACATTGCTTATAGTCAGCACTGATGTCAATGCAAACATTGCAATCACAGTGTAGGTCTCTGTTGCTGTGTCTACCATTGGGAGAAAACATTATATACTGTTGCTTTTGCAGAGAGGCTCTTGTCACTTGCTACTTTGTTGATTTGACAGGACAGTTAACATCTTTAGTGCTTTACAGTGCTTCCTACTGAGAACTGAATTACTGCAGTGGATGGAAATAGGAATCTATGTCATGTAATGCACAACTGCACCTTTGTGCAGATTTTCCCTTAATTTGGCTGGACTCGATATTACACTCAAATGGACAGTTGATTTATGGTCTTTGGTTTTTTGGCTCTGTCTTAAAGTAGGTTAAAAAATATATATATAAAAAAGCTAGTTTGAACATTTCACTCATGGAAATTGTACACATGTACGAACACATTTGTTTGGAAAATTCAGCAACCTCAAATAATTTGGTGCAAGAAGAGGTATTGCCTTAGGTTGTGTTATTTTTTTCAGCTCTCTCTTCTTCGAACTGATCCAGAATAAAAGTGATCACATTGCACAGTTCTGTGGTGTTTGTGTGGAGCATCCTCCAGATGAAGAGTGCCCTCATTTTTAAAGCTGTGGTTTCTAAAACGGTCAGCCTGCCTCCAGTGAGGTATTCATTGATATTGCTTTTATGTGCCTCAATTTCAAGATAATTCCACTAATAGCCATGCCTGTGTGCTCTGTACTGATCACATTTCTAGAGCTGAGACCTGTTCAAAGGTTTTCTCCTGCACTAAAGTCAATTCATGGGCTTCAAAGGCTCTTTCTCAACGATTTTCAGCTAAAATACACAGCCCTGAAATATCTGAAACATGGGCTTGGTTACTCATCAGTGACCTTTGATGTGTTGCCTGACTTTTCTTTGACTGCTTGATAAAAAGCAGGATGTCCTCTGGACTTGAATGGAGACTGCATAAGCTCAGCCCTGCATGCTTTGTTTTGTCTTTGGCACATTGAGAACAGAGGCCTGTACTACGAAGCTGGATTAACACATCCAGGGTAACTCTGCGACAACTCGCTTGACTTCACCGGATCTTCGTGATCCCGATCAGCTGTACCACGAAGCCGGTTATCAACTCGATAACTGAATCCAGGTGTGGCCACTTCAGATCTGTGCGCGCACACGTAAAGGGGGTGGGGTCAGTGCCACCGGACCAATCTCCTCAATGGTGAAGGCTGCACGTCATTTTTCACAGCTGAAGAACAGAGCATTATTTTACGAGGAGTACCGCAACATTATAACAGTGAGGAGCAGGACAGCCACAGCCGCTAGAAGCTGGAGTGATTGCTGGCAAAAAAAATCACCGGTTGTGTAAATTACACATGTGCGTTCATAAATTTATGGCCCCCTAATATGTTGTCATGCAGCATGTTGTCGTGTGTGATCACCTCCATCATTGACCTCATTATTTCAGATACAACAGCAGTGGGGAAAAGAGTACGTGGGAGCAAATAAAAATAAATCTAAAAAACATCCTTTAAAGTAGTTTGTAAGTTTATTGGAAGATTTTTTTTCACACTGCCTTTTTTTCATCTGATGGTCACGTCATCTGCAGACACATTTGGGGTTAAGAGTTTGCTAATCTGCTTCAATAAATTCTGAATGATATGCCGCATGAAATTGGAACCTGGAGCTTGGCAAATATTAGTGCATTGCTTAGACTTCCTGCTACCTGAATACTGAGGCCATTCAAGGAAAACCTGTAACGTTCATAGAGAACGTCATCAGGTAAATCAAATGGATTTGAACGATCATGAATATAACGCTCTCGGCAAAGCGCTCCTCTCACTATCCATGAAACGATGTCCCCGGGATCCGGCAAAAGTGGGCAAGCCATTTTCCAAGAGATCCGATTGGTCAGTGGGCGGTCTTTTATACCTGCTGAGATCTTATCCTGAAACATAACCTGCTCCGGAGCAGGTTTGGCGTTCCGCGTAAGTTACCGGGGCAACGGACCCGGATAAAAAGAGATCCACCTTCGTAGTACCGAAAATCCAGAAGTTATCTCGCAAAGACCAAATCCAGCTTCGTAGTACTCAGGACTCAGTATTTCGTAATGCATGCTGAACAGTGGATCTAAAACAATGAGATTCAATTGTCTTCTTTGATATTATGAAAAAAAAAAGGCCCCAAAATGACATGTTAAAGGGATATTCCAGCATAAATTTAAGTTATGGTCAAACACACCATAACACAGAGTTAGACACTCCATGAGAGACAAATGTTGCCAACTGCTTGCTTCTCTAGTTATATCAACTTTAGTAACAACCGCAGGGTAGCAATACACAGTGGTCCCAGGAGCCATAAACAAACCTCAACCAAAATTCCACTCTATAGCCACAAATAATGCTCAGAACAGCACCTAACTTCATCAGCAGTACATACAGTGCATCCAGAAAGTATTCATACCACTTCACTTTTTCCACATTTTGTTATGTTATAGCCTTATTCCAAAATGGATTAAATTCCCTTTTTCCCTCAAAATTCTACACAAAATACCCCATAATGACAAATCAAAAAACTTTTTTTTGAACATTTTGCAAATTTATTAAAAATAAGACACTCAAATGTTGCATATACATAAGTATTCACACCCTTTACTCAATACTAGGTCAAAGCACCTTTGGCAGCGATTACAGCCTCCAGTCTTCTTGTGTATGATGCAACAAGCTTGGCACAACTGGATTTGGGGAGCTGCCGATACAACCCTGTTTCGGAGGTCTTCAGACAATTCTTGCGACTTCATGTCTTGGTTTGTGCTCTGACGTGCTCTGTCAGCTGTGGGATCTTATATAGACAGGTGTGGCTTTCCAAATCATGTCCAATCAGCTGAATTTGCCACAGGTGGACTGCAATCAAGTCAGAGGAACATTTCAAGGCTGATCAGTGGAAACAAGATGCACCTGAGTTCAATTTTGAGTTTTATGGCAAAGGGTGTGAATACTTATGTATATGCAACATTTGAGTGTCTGATTTTTAATAAATTTCCAAAATGTTCCGAAAAAAGTTTTTTGCTTTGTCTTTATGGGGTACTTTGTGTAGAATTTTGAGGGAAAAAAGGAATTTAATCCATTTTAGAATAAGGCTGTAACATAACAAAATGTGGAAAATGGAAGTGGTATGAATACTTTCCGGATGCACTGTATAGGGTCCCAGACATAGCACTAGCCATCAAACATCTTTTTAGCTTTGCCGAATTTCTTTAGCAAAGAGACTAAACACAACTCACTCACTCTCCTTCACACGATGGCGACAGAAGGCAGCTCCTCAACAAGTGTTGCTGTAAAGAGTGTCCTCCACACTGTCTCATATAAGCACAGATGGATTTGGTGTGTGTAAGGTTGGACCCACTAGTAAGACAAACACCCTTTTCCACAAATAAAGACACTCACATAAAGTTGCATATATTCAAACCTCACGTGACAAAGGTGGGTTGTGCGCACTGATCACAACATAAATTCCAATGATGGCATTAAAATCGGAACCATCTGTGCGTAAATGACGCATTGCGCTCTGTGGCCTGGCTGTTTCTCTCATAGATGTTGGCATATAAAATAAATTTGGCTCACAAAACTGAATATTATAATAGTTGTATGTAGGCTTAAAGTAAATAACTCATCTGATCACTGAAACCAATCATCTGTTCAGCAGCTGCAGCAGGACAGGGAGAGGACACAGAGACATGTCCAGGTCGAGCTACGCAAGAAATAAGAGGAAGAAAGAAAGGGAGGGAGACGAATTACGTATCTTGTTAACTTCATTATGTGTGTTTATTTACTAGATATTTAATTTAATTGAATGCGGTTTCAGCTGTGTTGATTCGGTCAGGTTGTGTGTCCAAACGCGTGCCAAACGCGCTCATCAGATCAGATATAGATCAGAATATATCTATCTAAATGTATGTGCTGACTCAGATCATTAGTTGTTGTTGATTATTTATTGCACTGAAATGTGCCTGACACTGTGGAAACCTGCCGGTGAGGCATCAGTAACATATGCTGATACGCCGCAGGTCTACCAAATTCAGCTGCGCTCCACCTGCGCTGAAAGCTGACCAGGTTTGAATTCAGCGAGCTTTCAGCGCACTTTATACGCCACTGGTGAGCACGAAAACGTCACTGCGTCAGCTGTTCCTGTCGACACCTCCCCCTGCCTCGCGCCTCAGTCCATGAAAATACCAAACTTGCTGTACGCCGGGCTCCGCCAGACAAAAATACCACTGCGCGGACACGAAAATAGAGCCTATTGTCTCTCAGCACAATTTCAGATAAACAAAGACATCATTAACTAAACAACAGATGGCGGTATTTGAGTGGTTTAAACCAATGACATTGTTTTAGGGGCATATTTGAATGTCATTTAAGCCCATTTTGACAGCCTTCATTCTTGATGAGGAGGTGATTTCTGTTTTCTTATATTTTTGAAATTTAGAAGTAAGACAATGCTTTAAGTTTTCAGTCATTAAGATGCACTTAGCTATTTTCTTTGTTATGAAGCAAATAGCGCCACTGAATCAATTCTTCAGCCCCCCCCCTTTTTTTTAATCCCATACCAGTTTTTGAAGAACAGGTGACATTGCAGATATTTGGGTTAAATGTGGCTTAATGCATTTCTGTTATCAGTGAAGAGGATTTATTATTGTTGGTATCATATTGCTCTATATTCCCACTAATAGTCTCCAATGATATCCTCGCTGCCATAATGAGCTTAAAGGCACAGATGGCATATAGCACTGTCCACTGACCTGATGGTGATGATCTGGCCAAAGTCCAGCTCATAATTGTTAACTTGGGCAATAAATATTGCTGCCACAGCCTCATAGAGAGCGGTGCCGTCCATGTTGATGGTGGCACCCACAGGGAGCACAAAACGGATGATGCGGCGGTCAATGTGGTTATTCTCTAACAGGCACTTGAAGGTTATAGGCAATGTGGCGGAGCTGAGGAGGACAGGACAAGACAGAGAAACAGAGAGAAGAATCACAGATTTGACAAAAGCTGAGCCATAATCAAAGTCTCATTTTTTTAAAGACATGTAAATCCAATAATGATGTTTTTTTTTCATTGGCTGTATTATTTGTAAATATAGTGTTCATAACAAATATGGGGTTTGGCCTCCCTTGAAAAATAAAGATCAAAATAAAAGAGTCATTATTTCAAATGTGGGTCAATTGTCTCACTTTGTGAAGCTCTCAGCCAAGAACCTCAGTGTGAGTTTTGATCATGACTTTTGTTTTGAGCCACAGGTGAAAAAAGATCTGCAGTCCTCTTTTCATCAGCGCAGAAAGAAAGCAAAGCTCAGGTCACTGAAGTCGTCAAAAGATCTTGAGAAACTCATTCATACTTTGAAATCCTCTCACCTCCTAGATTATTGGTGTGGGACTTGGAGGTGGACATATTTAGCTGCAGATGTTTAGACTGATGTGCTTTACCTAGTGGAGTATGCTGTCTGGATCTATGTCCTTTACCTTCTTATATATCTAAGTCTTGTTTATGTGTTTGATGACTGTGTGAGTTTGTGTACAACTGTTGAACATGCTGCTGTCTTGTCCAGGACACTCTTGCAAAAGAGATTTTTAAGCTCAATGAGTTTTTTTTTCCTGGTTAAATAAAGGTTAGATAAAAAAAAAATAAAATAAAAACATTAAAAAATGTAATTTTCTCTACATATCTTACTTAGAGACCAATCCACCGCCTTCAGACAGTTCAAAATGCAGCTGCTGGGTTTTTAACCAGAGCTGACAAATGTTCCCATATCACCCCTATTTTAGCAGATCTACACTTTTAATCACATTTGAGGCTTCTGCCCATGTTTCTGAGTTTTTATCACCACTATGAGCAAGGACACATGGTTGTTATGTATTTATGGGTATGCTTTTTATATACATTAAAAAGATTTCACTTCTTTCTACAACTTTTGCACATCTAAATCAAAATATTACGGGATGTGCTGATAGAACTGATTGACTTTTTGTCATGGTTTGTATTTTTTACCATTTTCTTTTTTTACTTAATTTTTTTTTATGTCCAAAAGGAAAACATGAATCAATCAGCGAATTCAAAATGCACGTCTCTCTTTATCAGTTGATGATGTACATATTTATTTGTACACATTGGTGTTTAAACATGATCAAAAAGATCTTCAAACAAAACCAGTTCAAGTGCTCTACATGAACATCTGTATATGAAAACAGATTCAAACAGTGCTGCCACAACAGCAAACTCTGGTTTGGCAGAAGAAAACAGTACATAGTGTGATCTACACTGTGCCTTCACTAGTCTGACTCAAGGATCCATTTCATGCTTGACCATCAAAATGTCCAAATATATTGAATTTTGAACTTATTTTCTGATTGATCAAATAGCTGAGGAGCATTTTCCAAAAGACAATGTGGTGTTTTAGATTTGGAGTTGTTGCTTTCCTACCTTCAGGCTCTTACTGGTTTTCATTTATTTCTGCATGGGCTGAAATGGATTTGAATGCATAAGGTCTGCTAATGTGAAAAAGGCAGAAACATGCAATAACACTGGCCTTCTCATTTAAATTCATGAGGCAGTTTTATAAGAGTAGCAACACCTTTAAGTGTCAGAAACATGCATGCACACATGCAGATCCGAACACACACATACACGCCGAAATGGATAAGTGCCAAGCAAATTAAATGCATGGAATGCTCCTTTACATCTCTTCCAGCACACACCAGATGTTTTTTCTGATGTGCCAACATTCCTCTAAGGCTCTTCATGGTGATGTTCCCCATGTTCCAGTGGATACATTGAATATGAAATTGAATGTGCTGCTAGGACTCTGTACACATATTATTTTGATGCACAAATGAAAACAAATTATTATGATCATTATTATTATTACATTTCTTTTCAACCCTTGAGTATAAACAAACTCTTAAATCAAGCTCATCAAGATAACTCATTTGCCATACCTTGAGGAGGTTGCCAGGGCAATGAGCAGGGCTTGCAGGATTCCCCGTATGTAAACTATGGGGCTCTTTTTGGTGATGAAGAAGTACATGGCAGGTAGGATGAACAAGCCGTGTAAAACAAGTCCAAACACCACAGTGATGGCATAAAAGCCCAGCTTCTTTCCCATGGCTGAAGGATCACTCATCTCCAGGATCTTACCGGCCACCAGGAACACAATACCAAAAGGAAAGTACCTGATAGGGTGAGAAGTTTCAAGTCAGCAAGTGTGTGAACTTAAGGTCTACCCACCGGTATGAATGACAGATTTTCATGTAATGCAGGGGTGAAAAAAAATACATGAGAAACAAGGTTGCAATTGTGATGATCCACCATGTCAGCTCAGAGGTGTGTACATAAAAAGTTGGAGGCAGAGAGAGTGTGTTTATGGTCTGACATGCCAAACACATTGTTTGTGTTGAATTGTATTAATATTGTAAAACTTTGTTAGCCTGGAGTTGTTTACAGTTTCAGCATGAACTCTGGACAGCAGACGTGTTTTTTCACTAATAACTTTGGAGCAAATGCACTCAGACTGTTATAAAATGAATTGAAAATCACAGCAGTTTTTAAGGTTATATTATGTTCATCATTTGCTGATTTAATACAATATGCTGTAAAGCTCTAAACAGTCCTTTCACACAAGGTTAATTCTAATGTAACTGGTGTTGTATTAACATGTTTAAAGTAACTGTTCATTGTAACTCTTTTTCTGCATTTTTAGTTACTTTCAAATTTGTTTAATTCTGTTAAATTGAAAGAAATTGAAAAGACGACTTTAAACATCATGGAAAAAAACAAAAACCAAACACTATTCTTTCCTCCATGCAGGTCAAGGAAATTATGGTGCTGAGTTGCAGACTACATGCAGGAAAAAAGCACATCTCCAGTTCATCACCAGGAACAGGGATTCTGAACTCACAACCCCCCACCAAAAAATAATATGTTTTGCAAAAAACTGTCCGTCAGTCATACAAACAGTAATGATACAGCTGCAGCTCACGTCCGTCTTGCAGACCAAGGAGGAGCCAGTCAATCCAAACAGCAAAAACTTGATTTTAAATCAGTTCCACAATTTGTGATCCAGGAAGGACTGAACAGACTGATTGTCAGGCATTACAAATCATGCTGCTGGAGACATGCTTCCCATATCAACAGTTGACTTTGCTGCTGTCTGAAAATTGTTTAGCAAAAGACCAGGGAGATGAAAGGCAGAGCGCACTAGTCAGAGTATTCAATCAAAAGACAATCATGTCAGAGTTACTTTTCACTTTGATAATGCAGTAATTTAATTCATCATTTGGTTACCTTTGTAACTAATTATCAACCTTAAGTTATTTGCACAGCACTGAACACAGTGCAACACATCTAGTATTGGGTCTGACAAGTAATCAAGATGAGTTTCAACATTTCCTACAGTATAAGATCTGAATATTGCAGATTAAAGGGTTATTATTATTATTTTTTTTAAAGGATATTCCAGTGTAAAATTAATTTAGGGTCAAACACACCACAACACCGAGTTAGACACCCCCTTGAATGATGATTGATACCGACCACTTGCTTCTCTAGTTATACCAACTTTAGTAACGACTGCACGATAGCAATACACAGTGGTCTGAGGAGCCATAAACAGACCTCAACCAAAAAGCCACTCTATAGCCACAAATAATGCTCAGAACAGCACCTAACTTCTTCAACAGTACATAAAGGGTCCCAGCCATAGTACTAGCTATCAAACATCTTTTTAGCTTTGCCTCATTTCTTTAGCAAAGAGACTAAACACAACTCACCCACTCTCTTCCAGCAGCTGCTTTTTTGTAGTGAGACCTCAGGCCAGTCTTTTACGGACTGCTGCGGGGGGGACGCAGGTCAAGGAAGAACATTTATGATCACGGTGTGTTTGACCCTAAATTAATTTTACACCGAAATATCCCCTTAAGTAGAGGTGTATAATGTATCTGCCTTTACTGTGAAACTGACCACATGCTTGACAGCTTGGCTTAACACCCCTGGAGAGAGGAGTGTTTGAACCATGTACATTTTTAAAAGTGCAATGTGTATAAATGGTAATATTTAGTAATGTCAAGGTTTATATTGAAAATGTTCCTTTCTCAGTCTTCCTGTTGGTGATGTGATGATGGCCTTAGAGGACAAGAAGCTCCTGCATGCATTCTGAGTATGATCAAACGTCTGTAAAGTGTTTATCATCCGTAGTGTCATGTAAATCTGTTGCACACAATGATCACTCTGTTATTCTTTATCTCACCACTGGTGTATTTGTTTTCTTCTCTGTCAAAAGTATGACTCCACAGTGAATCTTTGTTTCTGCAGCATGCTGTTTATCTCTTTTTCGGTGATAGACTCTAAAAAGATCATCCTGTAACAATCAGTCTTGTTCCTCATGGACTTGTCTGTTTTTCCAGATCATAAAGAGGCATCAGCATTAATTTTAAGCTTGCTTCATAAAAACATCAAATCTCCTCACACTGTGTCCAGTGATTACTGATTTAGCAGCAGACAAACAGTGGGGATTTCTTACATGTCAACCTAACTGTACCTATCTTAGTGTGTCTTCTTCACCCTAAGAGAGCAGGCTTTTAAAAAAACAATAAAGAAATCTCATTTGTCCTGTTTTTGAGCTCTTTTCAGAATGATGCTGATATTCATACAAACTAATGTGACCTTTATTCAGAATAATGGGGCTCAGGCCTTCACTCTGTGTAGTGGCTTTACGTCGCTGATGCAAACTCTGATTAACATTATGTAAATTCAGGTCATAAAGAGGCTCTTATTCTGCATGGCCCAATTATGGTCTGGAATATAAATGTCATTTTTTAGCATTGTTAAGTTAAATTGCTGTTAACTGCTATTTTGCTTATTTTGCTGATTTAATGTGTTATGGCAGTAAGCCACCACCGACAACTGTTTGTCTAAGTATGTAATACTTTAGGACATGTGATTGGGAGGTCTTCACACATTTTAAATAGTGAATATAACTTCTAAATCTCCTAATGGATGTTTTCTGAATGATTACCATATAACGATGGCAACAATTCGAAGGACAGCTTCATTAAGGCTCTGACAGAAGTTCACCAAGGCGCTGCCGTTTGGCCCCATCCTCCCCAACATAATACCTGTCCAAACACAAAGCCATTTTTTTTAAGAGTGGATAAGAGCCTTTTCATTTGCAGCAATGAGATGAACTGGAAGACAAACGCTCCCCATCAGAAAGCTGACTAGAGAAGGTGCAGGTTTTTTACCCATGGTTGCAGAGAAAATGACTATTCCAAGAACATTCATTCCATCACTTGTTCCTTCCCGTATCCGTATGAGAACATCTGGGGGCGGAGTCAGGTCAAGGGCGAAGTTCTGGATGTCAGTTCCATTTTCATCCTGGATACCGTAGATAAGTGCTCGCCTTGTACTGGACTCTGATTGGGCCTGACTGACCGTGGGCTTAGGCTTCACAATGTACTCACTATTTGTCCGATACTGTCAGGGAAAAGAGAGAGGAGCAGAGAGAGTGAGAGTGAAAAAAAGAGGCTGCATAATTGTCCTGGAAAAAAAACAAAAAAACAACACAAAGCAACTAAGCCTTTATTTTCGAAAATGCACTGTGTGACATAACAATTCTTACCTGCTGAAACGTAGCCTGGACCAGATTAGCGGGGAACATGTTGCTGCAAGGTAAGAGTACAATCAAATAATTGGTGAGTGGGTGTTCTCTGAGGTGCAGTGAATTTTTTATGCAAGTGAAAATATGCACGACTGTGATTCAGTAATTAAAGGTATTTAGTGTCTTGCACATCTAGAGGGGGGAAAAATTTTAGAGGTGTCCACAGTAATGGTGATGAATAGGTCTGTGAAACATCCCGCAAGCTCAAACATAGCAGGGTGCTGAATTTTGATCATTATCTTGCTCAGAGGGTACCATCTCCCCAAAAAAAGAAATTAAAAAAAAATGACCCCCCCCCTCCTCTCTGGTCAGATATGAACTGTGTGCACTGTGGTCTCTGTGCTGGAGCTGAGCCATACTGAGATTTTAATTAAACGCTTAGAAAAATTGAATTCACACCACAGTCCCACAGATTTACCCAGAATTACTTTCCAGTTGTTTTAGACAATACACTATTATGTTGGTTGTGTTGGAAGGAATGTCTCAGTTTATGAGACTGAAACAATTAGCTGAAGGTTTCCACAGAGAGACTTTTTTTTTTTCAAACTTAAGTTTGGCAGATACAAGTTAGCCCTCAAAAAGTTCCCCAAACTTTAACTTTCATTACACATCGATATATATTTGAACCTGCACGGCAGCAAGCAGAGGAGCAAGAAGAAGAAAAAAAAATTGAGGTAGTCAGTTTATCAAAAAAGTTTCATTTCTTCTTTCCTGTCTGTTAAAATCCTAGACAGCTCCTTAAAAACAAAGGGTAAATTGGGGACACAGGTGGTATGATGGGGAAAAATATAACGTGAATTCCTTGATTGATATCTTGTAAAGCTTAAACACGATTATTTTGACCTCAGGAGGGCTGAATCTGAAAGAAAAATAGTCTCTTTCTTACAAGTTTAATGTTAAAGGCAGAAGATAGAAAAGAAACATCTCACAAGTTTATACATACAAACAGTCCAACTTCGACAGCTTTTTATGTGTAATATGGCCAATACGTCAACTGAAAATACTGCTTACACCAGCTTCATTGACTTTCTGACCACAACAAGAAGGAAAATTCAGATGAATGAAATGTGACAAAACTAGAAATGGACTGATAACTAGAAAATTCCCTCTGGAAAATTTTTAAAAGGGCCACCGGGGGTTACTGCCCGAGTATGTACATTATGATGAAATTTCCTCTGGGATTTCAAATAATCAATACAAGTAGCACTGTGATATTATATACAAGGAGCACACCTACAACAAACATTCCTTTTTTAAGTATTTATATAAACAAAAAAAAAAAAAAAAAAGCAATGAACAGCAGACAATTGAAAAACTCCAATAACGCCTTTTTTCTTTCTTTTTTTTTGGGGGGGGGGGCTTTTCCTATTGACTTCAATGCAAAATTTTTCAGCAGTTTTATACAATAGAGGAAAGTAATAGCACATCTATTCCAATAAACCTGCACATGTTCATATATAATAAGTCCTACAACTCTTTAAGCTGTAGGAATAGTGGTGAATCAATAAGGAAAAAAAAAAAAAAAGGATAACAATAGTGGCCCCTATAACTTTGAATAGGGGCCAGTGCTTCAGTACGTTTATCCCATGCTCTTAATTAGCTGGTGATTGATAAGGTCAGTTAACGGCATCAGCCATTAAAAGGCCAAAATCACCATTAACTTTTCCAAATAAAAATTGACGGCAAATCTAATCCAATACTGACAAGTGTTTTATGTAAATTCTAATAACTATGGTGTATAAAAGCATACAGTTAAATAATCACAATTCCAATATTTACTGCGTGCTGGGCAGAAATTCAAAAGTCCCTATCTATGTATTGGTCCCCAATATTTTACTGAGCCTAATGTATTGGCCATTGGCCAACTTGCTCTATTAAAATCGGTATCACCATCAGCTACTCGAAAACTGTAATTGGTTGACCTCTAGATAAACCTATGGAGTGCTAATAATGTCCAGATCTTAAATGGCATTTTAATCATTACATGGGTAGATTGAAGAAAAACACTCTATTAGCCCCTCAAAGTGGGCAGTTTGTGATCCATCAATGCAGCTGAGGTGTAATACCCCATTCTCTCTCCCATTTTCCTGTAATGTTCACAGATGTAAAAACAAATCTTGCTTAAATGCTGTCACTACCTCAAAAAGGCAGTTTGTGTACTTTTAAATACAATATTAAAAGTAGAGTAGGCAGTGATGTTCAGAGACGCTTTTTATTTTAGTGGATAAAGCGGTCCTTCCACCGTGAGAGTAGTCAATTCATTATGTATTCAGAAACAGAAATGAAAAGAATCTGAGATCTGTGGAAGCTGCAGGACTGTACAAACTTTGACCAATCATAGCATTCGGTCCAAATGTAAAGAGCCAATCAGATGCCTTCAAGTCTTGCCCCGCGCCCACCCAGCTCCCCTCTGCCCCCCACCCCACCCGCGGGCACAGGCATAGCTTGGGTACACGCATTGCTTCGCTGTTGCCGCAGGTAGCAAGCAGGCTTCTCTGCTGAAATACCTTGTTTGCTGGAGAATATGTGACCATTTTACAAGGGCACAGAAAAAGCGACCTAAAATACAAGTTTCAGCGGTACCCGTGACGGCTCGGCCAGCTACACAGCCAAAGAAGAGAAAGACGGAGGCAGAAAGGGCTGTGACAAAGAAGGCTCTGGATAAAGCAAGAGGACAAACCAGAGTCAACACCGAGGCACCATTACTACTGCTGACTCTGTTGTGACAAAAGTTGTTTAAGTTTTTGTTGATGTGATTGGTAATGATAATGATCATTTACAAGTCTGGTAGTAATTTGCCGGGGAGTCAGAACGAGTGTCTGTTTGTTGGTGGGGCCTGCTGGAGCAGCGAGGGAGGAGAGAGGAGGAGCTGAGGGGAAAACTGGTGGGGAGGGGTAGTGCTTGCATTCAAGATTTCTACCAAAAACTGGCACTTCTAAGATTCTGCCTACCCCAGCTTTAAGGTTAAAAAAAAAAAAAAAGATGAAAGATGTAGGGCTGCAAAAAAAAAAAAAAGTATAAGTATAATCTCTTGTTTCAGGATATGAAATACACAGAATCATCTCTTAGGCCCAAATCAGATTTTATCAGAACTGTTTCAATCCATTTGTTTAAGGCAGTTTGGGTATTATTCCAGTTTGGTTCTATTTTTCTTTCCCTGCCAGTGTTTCAACTGCTGTCGAGCAACCTGTGTTGAAAGCTGAAATTTTCACTGCCAATCAAAAACCAAACACTCAGACATCTTAGTGTGTAGCACAGAAAACAGGAAAGTGTCAGCTGCATAAAATGATATCACAACACACTTCTGCCATGGCTGACAAAAAAGTCTGATCCTCGCTGTTTCTTTGACACCATGAAAGTAGGGATTTGATCAGACCACCAAATAAAATCTCACAGTCTTAGCATAACAGATGAGCATTTTTGGTCCTTGTTGCTGAAACTACAACTAAGGAAATGAGACAAATCTATTGAAAAAGATTCGATAAATATTAGTCAATAATATAGTTTTGGAGGCAGGATATGAAAACTGCAAGGCTTAAAACAACCAACATGACATTTTAAATCCTGTCTCAGGATTTGTGGCAAATCCAAACAAGTCTGGGATTAAAAAGAGGATGTCATAAGGGTGGCATCTGCTCTAGTAGTATTAGTACTCATAAAGAACTGATTCCATTTTCAAAGTGGATCAAGATGGTAGTAAATGTGGTCATCTCTACAATACATGTACAGAAGAAACCAGCAGTTGACTGTCTCTTCATTGGGCTTCACCCATAGACTGTATATACTATGGACAACTTGGTTCCGCCCCCCGCCTGTATACGGATTTGAAGCCAAAAAGCTCTCGGTATTTTCGGGATTTTTCTTCATTTCCTGAAACCAGCGCTGCGCAGTAGCGATGCGCTCATTCGGCCGCGCAGTCGCCGAGAGTCACTGTGATGACGCTCGGCTCAAACAGTGTATCCCCCTGGGTGAGCTACGCAATCCTTGAACGCCCATAGGCTGTACCAGGTGTCAATCATAGCAAACATGAACCCCCTAATAACTTTTAAAAACGGAGCTTCACAGAAAAAAGAGGACTTGAGCACAAACCAGTCTTACAATAACTACATGTCAACATCACAAGCAGGGGGGAGAAAAAATTATGTTCTGTGTAATAAATTTCTAAAGTTTGTCCACAGCCCCATAAGCTTTGCTGGCGGAGGCGGGGTTTATGACCTATACTACAGCCCATCAACAGAGGGTGCTGTTCTCGGAGTGGCTTCACCCAGCAAGGAAGATCTTTAATATTTGTTTTGACATTTTTGCTCCATTCTCAAATGATAATAGGTAAAATGAATAATAAACCAATAAAATCCAGTTTCACTAACATGTTACACAAAATTTCAAAAATTCCACAATTTGAGCATTTTGTAGTTGAATTTGGAATAATATTCATTTTAAAATTGTACAAATTTGTCAATTACCCCCTCTAAAAACTTTATAACTCCTCTTACTTCTAACAAAGTTCCTCACATTCAGATTCGCAATGTTTTTCTCTGAGTCCTGCTGTCACTGTCACTCAGCTTAGATATGCTTCCACTTCAGTTAAACTCAGATACAGGGGCAGCACATTAGAAAATACACCCTGCAGCTAACAAGGATTTTTCTCATAATTGCCATTTGTGCACACATCCTAAAGTCTAAGTATAGATGCTGAGAGGTCACATCCTCAGGCTTTTTCAGGAACCAACACAAAAGTACACATCAGGTTATGAGTGTAATGGCAAAGTACCTTTAACACTGGACACTATATTGATCAGGATATTATGTAAGGTTGTAATTATGTCATGCACATTTCTAGAGTATACTGATGTAGTCTGTGAGGAAGGAGAAGGGCTGGATCAGAAGTTCAGGGAGTCTGTGCAGCACCATTTTAAATGATTGCAATCATATCATTTAAACAAAAGCAGATCCATTCAGAGTTGGGGTGGTGTACAAACAAAAAGTGACAAAAAAAAATATCTGTGGTTCATACTTTATCTAAGGATCTCTTTCTCATGAAAAGATAGTTACAAGTGGCTTCATGTATGACAGTTAATAGCAAGGTACTGTGTGATACTCTTTAGTGTACAGTAAACTCGTTTGAGGAACTTTGAAGACATTCAAAAAAGTGCAGCCTTTAATGCCTTTGATAAAAACTTCCATTAATATCCTTTACCTTCAGGAGGAACACACTTAGCTTGTAATAACACCTGTATAATTTCCTCTCTGACTCTGAAAAGAACATACAAAGAGGGAGAAAATTACCCTGATTTAATAAAGATGTAAGTAGTCATTAACAAGTCCTAGGTTGAGGAGTGGGGATTAATTTTTATTGATCCCAGTCCTTATCAATACAGCTGTCAGCTATTGTTTTCCTTCAAACTATTGCATTTTTACAGCTGTCCAGTACAATGGAAGAAAAAATGTATATAAACAGCAGAAAAAAGGCAGAACAGGTTAAAGACACATGGTATTAAAAATCAATACTTTGTGTATTTCCTACAGGAGATACCTGTGCCCTGTTATTGAGAAAACAGCCAGGAGACTGGAATGGAAACTAAGCTAACAGCTGCTACAGATGAGGTCAGCTCTATCATGTCATTTTCCTGATTTTACTTCTACCTAAAAGATCAACAATAATGTCTAATCTAATTTCAGTATGTAACAGACACTCTGCTGTCATGGATCTGCCTGCTTTCCAGCTGCTTCATCTCTCCTATGCCCATCTCTCTCCACCTCCCTCCTTCTCAGCAGATGACTGTCTAACATGAGTCTGGTTCTGCTCAAGGTTTTTGCCTGTTAAAGGAAGTACAGCACTGATTGATGTGATCAATATTTGGTTTAATTTAAAAAATAGCTGTCTTATCTTGAGAAGGCTAAAAGTTAACAGATGTTGTGTCTACACAGCCCAAAAAATGTGTGTAACAGACAATTTCATTTAGAAAAATATTGTTTTTAAATCGATACGATATCAAAATAACACTTAGGAACCCCTAACAAGAGCCCCAAGGCAAAGGGAGTGGAATTAAGCAACAATTGAGAAACCTTTACATTTGACAAAAAAAAGGTCAGTCCCTTTATTTCTTATGTCTTAAGTCTTTTTGCCCATCTCTTCAGTGGTCACATCCAAACATCACTTCCAAGCAAGATTAACACAAATCTCCTCAGTACAGAAATAGTCCTTGTGTAGCCTTTTTGTCAGAATCATGTTATAGCAATCATTTAGCATGTGCATAGATGTCCAGTGGAGTGGGATCTAGCTGTGGCCTTACCGGATGAGGTCCAGCAGAGCATCTGCAGAACTCATGATAGCTTTGCCACTTTCCTCTGAGTCCTCTTTCTGAGCAGCACCGCCTGGGTGAATGATGGAGACCATGATGATCCCCACAACAACAGCCACAAAGGTGGTCCAAAGGTAATAAGACACAGTGATCAGACCCAGCCGACTGGAACACTTGGCGTCGAGAGCTGCCAGTCCTGACATCAAACTGAAGGAGGAAACACGGAGGTTAGATTAAAAACTTTTGGGGAGATTTTGTGATTCAAAAAGAACCTGGAGAGAGAGCCTGTGTTTATGCAATCACTCAGTCAGCTTTACAGCAGCTTGGTATCAATGAATAAGAGAGTGAAGACAATGCATTTGGAAAGGGTCTTATGAGGGTAAACCTATTCTACACAGGAAATCCTTCAATCTGATAGAAATTTTCTTATTGAAAAAAAAGAATTCTACCTAAAGATTGGTTTTTAGCTGGCCTGAGATTGTCTTTAATTTTACATGAGGTTTGACAGCAGATGGAATTTGCCACAAATACGTAGGAAGACTCCAACAATTGCATTCACTATTTAACTTGAAAAACTTTGTATGAAGTAATTGAATTTAAAGCTCCACAGAAATGGCATTTCTCCACTCTGAAGGTCAGTGGTTTTAATTTACATGGTTGTCTACTTGTGAATAAAACTGCTTTGACACATTATGTGCCTTGGATCCTTACTCTAAAAACTTGTCTTCCTCCCTCTGTGATGCATTAATCCTGCATAGTGGTAGTCAAGCTGAAGCGCAAGACTGGCTCCTTTTGTTTGACTCTGTTGTGAAAGCTTTTTTAAGTGATGGGGACTCCAGTCAAAAACTTTCAACCTGAGTTGCACTTAAGTCATCACACTTAAATGACCCATGACTTGACTTGGACCTGTCCCTCAAAGTTTTGATACTTGACCAGGATTTGTGCTTTAGGATGTTCTGCTCTTCAACATCATGAGCTCAAGTCTTTTTAGCCAATCATGTGCTCTCTGCACACACCAGTAGCTACTCTCCATTGATGACATCATGACAATCATACTAGCTATTACAACAACAAAGTTTTGTTTTCAATCACTGTGAAGCACCTTTAATTGCATGTGACTTGTATGAAAAGTGCAAAATAAAGCTTGATTGATTTAAGCATTTCTTACAAGACTTGGCAGGCTGCTCAGGTATGTTTACTACCAATTTTATGTAATTTTCATCTTCCAAAGTTATGTTGTGATTCTGTAGGTGATCAAAAAGTGACAAAGGGGGAGACACATTTGGCAGACCTGCATTCACAAGCCTGTCCACTGATGAATTAACTGTTGTTGTAACAAAATCTTCAAAGTCTAGGTTGTACAATTTGGGCATCCTGCTGATGGGTACAGTCAAAAGTTCGGACTCAGACAACAAGAGTAACAGAGTAACAAAATTATTAAAAATTAGATCTTTCTGGACCTGACAGTTGAACATTGTTGTAATTACGCCCAATAAGACAGTTTTTACAAGAATATCTTATCTGAGGGAAAATTCAATATTTTATAGTTTATATAAGAAATAAGACACCAACACTTGCTGAGGTTTGAGTTGTAGCAGTGTCCACATTTAAACATGTTGGGTACAATAAAAAAAGACTTATTTGGAAAGTGTTCAAGTAATCTCTGCGTGTTTAATTAATTCATCAATGAGCAGTCACCATCTGGGGGTCTACAGTAACCACTTCCACAGCTTCTTTTAAATCAAGCCGGTACAGCAGTGGTGTTAGCTTTCTCTTGTGAATGTAAGGATCAAATCTTAATCCCTGTGGTTTCATTCAGGACAGAGTGCTCTCTCTCTCTCTCTGTCTCTCTCTCACACACACACACACACACACACACACACACACACACACACACACACACACACACACACACACACACACACACACACACACACACACACAAATGCAAAAACACATGTACAATCATGAAAACAGTCTTGAAGCAGCTGTTCTGAATGAATGTACGAGGGTTCCAATTGAGCAGACAGTTACACCTACTCTGACTTTTTCTTTTGGTTTTGAAACAGTCTTGGTAGAATACTGTCGCCTCCATATGGCTTTAAAAACACTCATCAGAGTACAAATTTATTATCACGATGTTTACTTTCAATGTGTGTCACCATTCTCAAAAAAACTTATGGCATATGATCACAGCATCACTGGAGATAACGTGCAGTATGTTTAGTCCATGTGTCACAACTTAAATGAACAGGTGAAGTTGTTGATTTATTTATCCTCCCACTTGTAAAAATATCCCAGAAGAAAACTGACTCTGTAAGTTGTGACTTGATATTTTCTAAGAAAAAAAAAAAGTTGATACAAATGAAATTTATTCACAAAGCATTTTAGCCCCTAATAGAGCTCCTAGTGTTTAAAACTTTTGGGAACGTTCATGTCATCTCTGCATGGTAAATTAATGGGAGCACTGTGCTCCATGGGTGAATCTGACTAAATTTCCAATCACTAATAAGGAGCACTTTGGAGATATGTGGATTTATATACTGTATTTCCCCATTAAGGATGGGTCATGGTTGGTAAAAACTTTACTCAACTGAGAACTGTAGTTTGGTGTAAAAGATTAAATAAATATTGTGCTGCATGCCTGGCTTCATTTTCACTCTCACAGTTAACTTTAAATGTGTAAATCTACAAGTTGATCGCCGACACTGTCTCCAAGTGTCTTCTGGGTAAAATAGTCATCAGCTGTCCACTAATGTCATCATCAGTCACTTTTTAACAAAGTGCAAGCTAGGACTAAGCTAAATATGAGTGGCAGTTCAGCGACAAAGTGCGAAGAAAGAAAAAAGAGAGCGAGGAAAAGCCAAATTACAAAAACTGGACATCCTGGAGATCAACCTGAGTCAGTGCTGAACTGCTTTGAATTTGTGTTATTTCATTCTTAGGGGCCAGGGAGTCGAATGCTTGAGCTCTTCTCTTGGTTTGTCAGACTTTATGTCCATTTGATTGATTCAAAATGACATAACTGTGTGTAAAATATGTCGTAATGATTGTAAGCCCTGCTGTTGCAGGCACGTATATTTACAGGAATATTCCGTCGTAAAATTAATTTAGGGTCAAACACACTGTTACACTGAGTTAGACACCCTCTCGAAAGATAAATGTTGCCGACTGCTTGCTTCTCTATTTATACCAACTAACGACAACAGGATAGCAATACACAGCTGTCCCAGGAGCCATAACCAAACCTCAACCAAAACGCCACTCTATAGCCACAAATAATGCTCAGAACAGCACCTAACTTAAACAACAGTACATGTAGGGTCCCAGCCATAGTACTAGCCATCAATCATCTTTTTAACTTTGCCTGAATTCTTTAGCAAAGAGACTAAACACAACTCACCTACTCTCTTCCAGCAGCTCCTTTTTTGTTGTGAGACCTTGTCCAGTCCATTATCGACTGAAGCGGGGTGACGCAGCTCAAGGAAGAACATTTATGATCATTACTTCATGGAAATGCAATCAGACCAAGATGCTAAGGCAGAAGAACTACCGTGTCTGCAGTGCAAAATTATTAATATGATGATTATTACTTCAAGGAATTGATAAAGAAATGATCATAAATATTCTTCCTTGAGCTGCGACCCCTGGACTTTACTCATTACTTGATGTACTTGGACCATAGACTGTATATACTATGGACAACCTGGTTCCGCCTTCTGCCTGTATACGGATTTGAAGCCAAAAAGCTCTCGGTAATTCCGGGTTTTTCTCCACTTCCTTGAAACCAGAGCTGCGCAGAAGCATTGTACGCAGACGTTTTTGGCTGGGCAGGAGACTTGGAGCGATGACGCTCTGCTCAAAAAGCCCCCGCTCAAAAGCTAGCAAACCCGATTGGTCTTGATGATGAACGAAAAAGAGCAATGTACAAGCGGCAAGTGCATTGTGTAGAGAATGACGCAATTTCCTGTTTTTATAACTCCTAATAACTTTTTAAAATGGAGCTGCAGAGAGAAAAAGAGACCTGAACACAAACCAGTCTAATAATAACTACATGTCAACATCGCAGTCAGGGGTGAGAAAAGTGTATTTTCTGTGTAATTGATTTCTAAAGGCCGTCCGCCGCTCAATTCACTTTGCAGGCAGAAGTGGGGTTTATGACTTGTACTGCAGCCAGGCTCTAGGGGGTGCTGTTCTCGGAGTGGCTTCACCCAGCGAGGAGACAGACGGTGTCCATCTTATATACAGTCTGGACACATTATAGCTGAGTAGTTAGTATAATAATAATAATGTGGAATTTTAAATGCATGTTGTTCATTAGACAGAGCAGTAAGTCTTATCTTGCGGCTGGCCATGTTCCTGTGTCATAGTGTCTAACGAAAAATCTTTTTACCACACAAAAAGAGGCTTTCCATAAAAATCTTCTAACAAAGACTCAGGTTGCATGTTGTAAATCACTTTGTCTAAATGAGGGCTGACTAAAGCCAATTTGGCACACCAGGTGGGACTATGATTTGGGGCCCCAAATTTATTGGAGTGCAAAATGTATTTGTGGGAACTTTTTTGTTGGGAATTAGGGAGGAAAACTGACAGTACATGTTAACTGTGCAATGGAAGTTTTTCTGCTACAGAGTATTATTTTCCATATAAACCTCAATGCAACTCACACCCTGTACTGGTGCACAATGACAACATCTCAAACATTTTACAGTGAGACTAGGTAACGATTTCCTATTGCATACACGAGTGATTAAAGTAGGCAAGTTAGTTGGTGAAACCCCTTATCCTGATTTCATTGTTTGATCTATGTCTAGGTTTTTATAATGTACTTATTATAATGTGCCTGGATAAAAGGACATTGTGGAGCTTTTGGGGGAGAACACTCACACCTCAATAAGGATGGTTCATTTCTAGGGTATCATTAAAAAAAGTTCAAACCTCCATTTTTTCGCTAGTATTTGCACCCTGGGTAATTCATTTACATTAAAATAATCAGACATGCAGATTGTGGTGCCTAAGCCATCTGTATATATTGCCTTTGCTTTGAGCTGTCCCTGATCTGAATCGAAACATAGAAATTCATAGAAATAGTCAATTTTGCAGCTGGTCAACCGTTTTGGCTTTGTATTATACCAAGGTGTTGGTGTTACATTGATTTTGTCTCATAACTGTTTACTTCAATTTATTATTTACTGTGAATACTTATTGTGGAAAATGTACAGACAGGGCTGTATCTTCAGCTGTTTGGTTGACACCAGTTTTAGGCAATAAAGATTACAATAAACTGTCAATCTTTTTGCTAATGTTTGTTTGTTTTTTAGACCATAAAAAGACAAAAAGAATTTCAGTCTATTGCATAAATGTCAAAAAGTGAGCTTTTAAAGATTCACTCACACCTGTTTTATAGTAATTGGATTAATGTTTGACGGAACACCCTCATTAATAACGACATTCAGGTGCCATCTGATTTTATTACCCAGTTTTCTTTAGAATGATCCAGATCCTGCTTGATAATAAATTCTGAATTACAAAGGAGAAACAAGGAACAACCAGATCACATGTGTCACATACTTATATCAATCCGCCAGTCTGACCTCTGTCAGACTGGCGTTACTGTAGTGGCAGGAGATGACATGGACATTTTTAGAATAACTCTTGACTTATTTGGACAACAAAAAGGTCACACTGGTGGTTAAAGGCTGACCTGTCAACAGCAGGGATTACAAGAAGTGGAAAGAAACTACACAAAGATGAGTAGGGGGTGTATATACACTCACCGGCCACTTTATTAGGTACACCATGCTAGTAATGGGTTGGACCCCCTTTTGCCTTCAGAACTGCCTCAATTCTTCGTGGCATAGATTCAACAAGGTGCTGGAAGCATTCCTCAGAGAGCTTGGTCCATATTGACATGATGGCATCACACAGTTGCCGCAGATTTGTCGGCTGCACATCCATGATGCGAATCACCCGTTCCACCACATCCCAAAGATGCTCTATTGGATTGAGATCTGGTGACTGTGGAGGCCATTTGAGTACAGTGAACTCATTTTCATGTTCAAGAAACCAGTCTGAGATGATTCCAGCTTTATGACATGGCGCATTATCCTGCTGAAAGTAGCCATCAGAAGTTGGGTACATTGTGGTCATAAAGGGATGGACATGGTCAGCAACAATACTCAGGTAGGCTGTGGCGTTGCAACGATGCTCAATTGGTACCAAGGGGCCCAAAGAGTGCCAAGAAAATATTCCCCACACCATGACACCACCACCACCAGCCTGAACCGTTGATACAAGGCAGGATGGATCCATGCTTTCATGTTGTTGACGCCAAATTCTGACCCTACCATCCGAATGTCGCAGCAGAAATCGAGACTCATCAGACCAGGCAACGTTTTTCCAATCTTCTATTGTCCAATTTCGATGAGCTTGTGCAAATTGTAGCCTCATTTTCCTGTTCTTAGCTGAAAGGAGTGGCACCCGGCGTGGTCTTCTGCTGCTGTAGCCCATCTGCCTCAAAGTTCGACGTACTGTGCGTTCAGAGATGCTCTTCTGCCTACCTTGGTTGTAACGGGTGGTTATTTGAGTCACTGTTGCCTTTCTATCAGCTCGAACCAGTCTGGCCATTCTCCTCTGACCTCTGGCATCAACAAGGCATTTCCGCCCACAGAACTGCCGCTCACTGGATATTTTTTCTTTTTCGGACCATTCTCTGTAAACCCTAGAGATGGTTGTGCGTGAAAATCCCAGTAGATCAGCAGTTTCTGAAATACTCAGACCAGCCCTTCTGGCACCAACAACCATGCCACGTTCAAAGTCACTCAAATCACCTTTCTTCCCCTTACTGATGCTCGGTTTGAACTGCAGGAGATTGTCTTGACCATGTCTACATGCCTAAATGCACTAAGTTGCCGCCATGTGATTGGCTGATTAGAAATTAAGTGTTAACGAGCAGTTGGACAGGTGTACCTAATAAAGTGGCCGGTGAGTGTATATTCCAGAAGTTGCTGAGTGACACAAATTGGCCTCAGATCTCTTCAGTGTAAGACAAGACCTCCAAGACAGCTTCTTGCCACACCTGCAGGATCCCATTTCCTATAAGTACTGCCTTATTAGGCTGCACATTACTGGATCAATACTGACACTGCAGGATGTTTGCTTTCTGGAGTATTTATTTAAATAAGAACAAATACAAGAAATTAAACCATCTCGGTGTGGCGTGAAATTTTAGTTGACATATATTTTTCAAGAATGTAAAACCATCTCTCATGATTTATGACTTATTTATGACTTGCTTATAATTTATGCCTATTTTCTTTCAAATAAAATTATTTTTATTTTTCCAACTTTTCCTTCTACAAGGTTTTTCTTTTTTATGCACTGTTGTCTCAGGTTAATGACTTAAATCATTATCTCGACATAACAAAGATCAATTTCTCATGATAATGAATTATTTAAATTTAGTTGTCTTGACATAACAAAGATCATTTTCTTGTGATAACAAATTAATTCATGATGTGTCCGCCATTGTTACTGTCCTTGTCCAATTTGCGCATGGCAGCTAAATGTTCCCACTATGAAAGTGTAATGCACATGCATGGAAGTGTGATGTTTTTACTGAAAACACCAATTTTCCTATTGAAAACGATGACTGCAGCTTTTCAGAAATATCCCACTCTGGAGGAGTTTTTAAAAGTTAGTTTTAGGTCGGCTAAAACGCCATTTCCGTTATCACCAGAAAACGATCTTTGTCATTTTGAAACAATGAGATGATAGGTTGTTATCACAAGATAACAGTGCATGAAAAAGAAAAATCCAGGCCTCTCTCTGTCAGGTAAAATGAGTGAGAAAACTGTGATTTTTAACATCAAACTGTTCAATAAACTATTGCTAAAAATTAAGACTTCTGCAGTGCGTTTATTGCAGCTAACTTTGTGATATCTGTACATTTTGTACATTTTTCCTTTATCATCAGAGAGAAGCCTGACCTATGGGAAGTGAAATACTGCCATAATAACTTTGTGTCATCACTGATTGGTAAAATATCTCATACAAAAAAGAGGGTACCTGATCAAGTTTGTCTATAAACTTGTGTTCTGGATTTGTGTAAGAGACATTTGACCCTGAAGATGGAAAGAAGCACAAAAAACATCATGACCAGATGAGAATAAAGTCTTCTAAGAGTAGCAGTCAGATGTAGAAGTATTTTTATCATCCACATGTGAGCTAATTTGCACCTCAGTGAACAAACAGATAACCCATGACCCCTTGTTCCCTCCTTTAACATGAGAACAACCCAACAATAAAGGAGGCCTTGAGTCCTCATTAAGAGAAGAAAGCATGGCTGCCTTCACCCAACTAACTCAATTATAAACAGAGAGTAACTTATACACACTTTTTAGTGAGTTTAATAAAGCATTAAAAGATTAAAAGAAAGCCATTAGTATATGGTTCAAAGAAGCAGACGGAAAACAATGATGATTTTCTGAATCACATTTTTACCTCCAGCTCATATTCAGCCAGTCAACCTTCACTCGACACAGCCAGTCAAGTATATGTCGGGACTGCTCATGGTTTGCAAAGTATCATGCCGAAAACATTCATAAAAGATGGATGGTAAATGTGACCGAAATATGTAAGATGACTCATGACCTAGATGCTTAAACTACTATAATAATAACAACAATGGTAAAGACGGTCCACAAAAGGCAATAATCGGGGAGGTATTAGTCTGCATCAGTCAAAACACTTAAAGGACACTTCCCTTAATCTACAACAATGGTCGCTGAGAGCCTGTTGTTTCATAACCAGGCAGAGCCCTCTGTTAATGGTTATCTGCATCTGATTATCTGGTTCGGGAGAATAGCCTTTGATCTTTGGAGACCCCAAGGTCTGAATGCTCAGACTTAAATCTGGTCACTCATGTCCAAGATAAAGTAAAAGTGAGCAAAAAAAGAAAAAACATGCTGATGCAAGGTCTGGACTGCCCCCAAAAAACAAGACAAATAATGAGAACGTATAGCTGAACTGAGTATAACTGTCTGCATCGCTTATTATAAAGGAAGACATACATAAATAATGAGGGCTAGTTCATGTGCTTCAACTAGAAAAATAAATATAAAACAGTTGGACAAAAAAAGTGGGAAAAAAATAGAGAAAGGAACAATGAGGAGTAATAATAAGGAGGGAATTCTTTAGTGATTTCTTGCTTAGTCTATTTTCCCTCATTTGTCCAGTTTCAGGCTGTTCCCATACCTTTAGGAGGTCAAATCAAAGACTGACTTTCAGTGTCACACAGCAGAATGGAGATATATCTTTTACTGGTAAAAATGTCTGCATCTTCTAGGTGCTAAGTTGTTCTTAAAGTCACAGTGTAAAATTGAAATATTTGTTTCTGACTGCAGTGTCCCAATGTAAAAGTGCCCCAAACAACAGAAAAAGAAACAGACATATTATTGATATCACACTTTTTTTCCAGTCATTGAACTCATACACATACTGTGAGCCACAAGACACATATTTTCTTTATACTTTCTTTACCTACACCATTGGTAACCCTATAGGGAGGAATTCTGGCCATTTTTGTAAAGATAATGTCCCTTTGTAGGGACTAGCAAATGAACATCCTTGTGGGTCTACCAAAAAATCAAATGCCCAAACTACTCTGGACCAAAACAAAGACGATGATTCATACCTGGCCCTTGACTTGATCTCCACCTGTGGTATGCTGCTCATATTTAAAAATTTAGGAGTTGCATGTTGCAGGGTCACTTTTAGAGGTTTAATGTCTGATACCACACAGACTTACACCTGGTCAATTTAAAGATAAAGGATTTGTTTCCACAAAGGACATGTTTGATAGTGTTATGTGAACATATGCTGGTGAATCACTCCAGAACCACTGACCTGGTTGGTATTTTTGAGCATCAAACATTTAGGTTTTTAGGATACATTTAACAACAAAGAAAAAATGATAAATAAGGATTTCAGTTTATATGAAATTAGTTCAGCAAATTATGTCTGAAACTCTTATATTTGTAAAGTTTACAGCTCTGGGTACAGTTGTCAAGTTATTTATACACCATTCTGAGTCTAAAAAGTTTAGTCTTATATACAGTATGTATAGCAGTCTTTATCAGACTGCGAAGTAGGTGCCATGTAGGTGTCAGACACAGTGAGGCAAGCAGCTGACAGTTTTTAGCAGGGATTCATAATGACTGATAAACTGACTTTTGAAGGAGGATAAGTATTTAATCATATTACACTGGGCACATACAGAGACAGGACCCATGAGGACATGAAAGGTTCCACTTTGTCCACCAGGGCAGCAAAAACGGACACAAACTGAAAGTTAATGACAAAAGCCCTGAGCTCAGAAGCAGATGTGTAAACAGTATGAGAGGGTCATAATGAAGTATTAGATAAACATCTATACCTGGACACAACCAGCGGGAGAATCAGCATCTTCAGCATCCTCATCAGTAGCTCTCCAGGAAACTGAAAGTACTTCACCTCCTGCAAGAAAGAAATGGCAAACTAATTAGTGCAAGTAAATTACAAACTGGTGAAACATCACTTTGTCAAATAATTGAGTGAGTCTCCAAAGGTTCCTGTACTGTATGTTCTGTCTTATTCTTAAACCTCTTATCATGACCTCACAGCACACCTTTTTGTGAGGGTGGTGTGTTACGATAACGCAGCAGAAGCTTGTTGGAGGATTTTCTCTTTTAACCCAGTGGGATGTTATTCCTGTCCTCCCTAAAACCAAGTGTCAGTTTATCAGTTGGGTCCAAAATATAAAGTTTTCCTGAAAATACACATGACATTTGTAGTGCCTTAACCTTACCAAATCATCCATCCATCAATTTGTACACTACTTATCCGGTTTGGGGTTGCAGCAGGATGGAGTCAATCCCAGCAAGGCCAGTCTAAGATAGTCTGACAGGTCTAACATATAGAAAACCAGACACTTAAACCTAATAGATACTCCCCAAGTCCTTCTGGCATCAGTAAACCATGATGCAGCCAGAAAAGATGCCAACAAGCGAGGGACAGCAGTTTGAAGTTGTAATGGCAGCTACCAAGCAAAGGACTTTTTTTTTTTTTTATCCAAATGTGACCCTTATTCCAAAAAAGATGGGGCCCTGTGTAAAATGTTTATTAAGAAAAAGAAATTTGCATGTCTTTGAATTTTAGGGATTTTATCGCCTGCAGTGTATAATATCATGGTTATATGTAATTATAATAATGCATCAGATTTTTACAGCCCTTTTCATCAGTGATCTTAAAGTGCTTTATGTTGGATACATTATTTATTTGCTCACACAGTCACACCCTGATGGTGGTAAACTACAGTAGAAGTCACAGCTGCCTGGGGCAGACCTACTGCCTCTCTGACCACCACTGAACATCACCCACAATCATACACAAGTGGAGGAAACACACTGGGAGCAAGGTGGGTTAAGTCTCTTGCCCAAGGACACAATGTACAGACTAAGGATAGGGTGGGGCTTGAACTGCCAACCTTCCAATTATTGAATGACTGCTCTACCTCCTGTGCTACTGCTACACAGAAGTTTAGACCATCAGGAGAAATCGCCATTTTCAAAAGTGATAAGGCTAAAAAAACAACTCTTGGATGGCCATCTTTGGGCAGGCATGACTCTGCAGTGGAGATCACTGCATAGGCTCAAAAAAACTTCCAAAACCCATTGTCTGTGAGCTCAGGTTATCACTGCACCCACAAATGTGTCACATCACTGGCTGTGAGTCTGTCTTCAATCCTCTTCCCCTCCCCCTTGCCTAATTCTATCTTGACACCTGATCACACACCTGCAACAAGCCCTTCAGTCTTTTTGTCAAACCAGATCAACGCTGTTCTGCAGCCCATATATGGAAGACCAACACTGCCAGAACAGTCCTCATCTTCAGTCTCAGACAAAACCAGCCACAGCATCAAATAAACACTCTTGCACCCCACTTTACAAACACTCTCCAGTTGTTCAGTCTGCCTCTAGGTCCTTTAATGTCATTAGAATACAGGTTAAAACTATACTACTTAAGAAGAACCCATGTATAATATGATTCAGAAACACAGGTTACTCTGCTGGGTCAAAGCCCTTTCAAGATGGACAGAAATTAAGCAGACCTGGGGTCTTATTAATCAGTCAAGAATGGGAAAACGTTTCACTTTAAAAATACACAAACTGGTCTCCTGGGATTCCCAAACAGTACGCATTGAATATAATGTTTTACACTGTTATTAATGAAATAAATGGGTTTAAAGATTAACAAACCCTCAAATTGTACCCATATCAACATTTTACAAAGTTTTCCAAGGGTTTAGAAAATTGGAGTCATTCATGGAACTATGAATCACATACAAATGTCATTTTATTTCACTAGCTTACATAACACAGAGGAGGATACGGTGGCTATCAAACAAGAACAGACTGTATTTTAAAGTTAATGAGCAGGAACATGGTATTGTGAGGACGTCTGGCACACTGCAAGAGAAGCAAATGAGCAAACTCATGTCATTGTCACAGAGAAGAAAAGACAGCAGTTTGTCCTATTTCTCCATAATAATTCTATAATTAATCAATTTTTACTAAGCTCGGTAAAGAAATGACAAAGGCCATTTCATCTTTTAAAAAGTTTTATTTGCAGCCTTGAGGAAACACAGAAGTCTTGCAGAAGTTCTTCTTCAGATTCTACCTCTAACTGTGAGATAGGTAAAATATTAACTGCCTCTGTATCTTAAAGGTAGGGTAGGCAGTGATGTTCGGAGACACTTTTTGTTACAGTAGTTGAAACGGTCCTCCCACCCTGAGAGTAGTCAACTCATAATGTATTCAGAAAGAGAAATAAAAAGACGCTGAGATCTGTGGAAGCCGCAGGACTGTACAAATTTAGACCAATCATAGCATTCGGTCCGAAAGTGAAGAATCAATCAGATGCCTTCAAGTCTTGCCCTGGACCCACCCAGCTCCCCTCTGCCCCCCACTCCACCCTAACCCACCTGCGGGCACACGCATTGCTTTGCTGTTGCCGCAGGTAGCAAGCAGGCTTCTCTGCTGAAATACCTTGGCTGTGTCCAAAATGGCATACTGCCTACTGTCTATTTACCTACTCAATCAGTACATACTGCATATTGAATACTCAAAGATGATGATTTGAGTATGCCGCGGCTGCCCGAGCGTTTACATACAGATGCATACTAAATACCCCAGAATGCATTTCGTGCTGGCCGGACACAGCACCGGGAAAATTTAAATAGTCCTACCACAAGCTACACAAAACGACTGCATTCCGGACAAATTATATAAATTCATTCAGTAATAATATTTTTTCTAGTGAGAAAGTAAGTGTTTACATCACGATAATGAGCCCAGTTGTTTGAAATAGCGGCTGTTTGTAAATTTGTCTCGGCGTTTTCGGAGACCGTCGGCTCGGTGGGTGTTTGCGTCTACGTACTGTAAACACCGGGCAGCAGCAGCTCCCCCTTCATGTTTCCAAATTATTGCGAAGTGTTTTCATAATCAACAACTACACGACACAAACCGAGCGGCAGTGGAGGAAAAAAAAAACACAAACACCTGTGTATCCATGGTGATAATGCTATACACCACCTGCTGGGCATGTGATGAGCAGCATAGGGCTGCAAAATGACCAACACACAACATAATTATTATGACCTTGTTCGGTTGTTTCTTGGCAAATACATTATTTCCCGACTACATTATTTTCATGTACAATGATAATTTCAGAAACCATTGGGTAGTTCTGTCTAGTGTAGGCTGAAAACCATAGAGCAAGAAGACAAAGGCGTCTTTTCTTCAGGGCAGCAATGTACTTCCTGATGGATTTTCAACCACAAGTAAGAATTAGTAAAGCTCACATATACTTTGTCAACTGGAAACTCCCCTGTTTGTATATTCTGAACCATGTGCTCTCTACCAATAATAATTTTTATTAATCAGAGGTCTGTGCTTAATATGAGTGACAACTTTGATGATGCATTAAGAGATGAGAAGATGCTCAAACTTGTAATAAATACATCTTTACTAGACAATAAAAAAAGTCAATTCATACGAATAGTTAAAAACATTACCTACAATCCTAATTTAAAATACAAACAAATCTGGTAAAAAGATAAAAATTTGATAAGATGATAAAAAATTGTGTAATGTATACTGACTAAATATTGTTTATCTATCTATATATCTATCTATCTATCTATCTATCTATCTATCTATCTATCTATCTATCTATCTATCTATATATACACTCACCGGCCACTTTATTAGGTACACCTGTCCAACTCCTCGTTAACACTTAATTTCTAATCAGCCAATCACATGGCGGCAACTTAGTGCATTTAGGCATGTAGACATGGTCAAGACAATCTCCTGCAGTTCAAACCGAGCATCAGTATGGGGAAGAAAGGTGATTTGAGTGACTTTGAACGTGGCATGGTTGTTGGTGCCAGAAGGGCTGGTCTGAGTATTTCAGAAACTGCTGATCTACTGGGATTTTCACGCACAACCATCTCTAGGGTTTACAGAGAATGGTCCGAAAAAGAAAAAATATCCAGCGAGCGGCAGTTCTGTGGGCGGAAATGCCTTGTTGATGCCAGAGGTCAGAGGAGAATGGCCAGACTGGTTCGAGCTGATAGAAAGGCAACAGTGACTCAAATAACCACCCGTTACAACCAAGGTAGGCAGAAGAGCATCTCTGAACGTACGTCGAACTTTGAGGCAGATGGGCTACAGCAGCAGAAGACCACACCGGGTGCCACTCCTTTCAGCTAAGAACAGGAAACTGAGGCTACAATTTGCACAAGCTCATCGAAATTGGACAATAGAAGATTGGAAAAACGTTGCCTGGTCTGATGAGTCTCGATTTCTGCTGCGACATTCGGATGGTAGGGTCAGAATTTGGCGTCAACAACATGAAAGCATGGATCCATCCTGCCTTGTATCAACGGTTCAGGCTGGTGGTGGTGGTGTCATGGTGTGGGGAATATTTTCTTGGCACTCTTTGGGCCCCTTGGTACCAATTGAGCATCGTTGCAGCGCCACAGCCTACCTGAGTATTGTTGCTGACCATGTCCATCCCTTTATGACCACAAGGTACCCAACTTCTGATGGCTACTTTCAGCAGGATAATGCGCCATGTCATAAAGCTGGAATCATCTCAGACTGGTTTCTTGAACATGACAATGAGTTCACTGTACTCAAATGGCCTCCACAGTCACCAGATCTCAATCCAATAGAGCATCTTTGGGATGTGGTGGAACGGGAGATTCGCATCATGGATGTGCAGCCGACAAATCTGCGGCAACTGTGTGATGCCATCATGTCAATATGGACCAAGCTCTCTGAGGAATGCTTCCAGCACCTTGTTGAATCTATGCCACTAAGAATTGAGGCAGTTCTGAAGGCAAAAGGGGGTACAACCCGTTACTAGCATGGTGTACCTAATAAAGTGGCCGGTGAGTGTATATATATATATATATATCATTATTATTGCAATCACATGCCATCTGTTTCTTTTCAGCCTCAGGAAAGAGAGCCATATTGCCTGCTGAAGTGTGCAATCCATTGTGGGGCAGAAGCAGTACGTGAAGCAAGCTCCGCTCCATACTTAGAAATCAAAGCCAATTGAGTAAAAATCTGGGCATTTCTCGCATACGCGAAATTTGCATACTGTACAGTGTGAACGCACTGCCTACTCAATTCGGGGGAGGGGTTTGTATGAGTAGTACGAGTAGTATGCCATTTCAGACACAGCCCTTGTTTGCTGGAGAATATGTGACCATTTTACAATGGCACAGAAAAAGCAACCTAAAATACAAGTTCCAGCAGTACCCGTGACGGCTCGATCAGCTACACAGCCAAAGAACAGAAAGATGGAGGCAGAAAGGGCTGTGACAAAGAAGGCTCTGGATAAACCAAGAGGACAAACCAGAGTCAACATCGGGGCAGCCTTTGAGCGGTGGAGACGACAGAGCAGTTGCTTTGTTACCATCGGAAGGACAATTATTTGTTCTACTTTGGTGGATTTTTTTATTTTCCCAAAAAATGTAAAGTTCACTGGCTTAGCTACTTTTGTAGCTTGCATCAGCCTGATGCTAAAGTTAGTTTTTCTCTGCTTGTAAGTGGTCGTAGCGGCCATCTTATGGGGTGCTGCAGTATTGAAGAGGCTGTAGGACACGACATTTTGGTCATATTGCACACTTACAGTCGCCAGTGTCTGCATGGTAGTCTGTTGGCATCTACAGTAGCACCAATACTATTTACTTTCATGTTGACTGGGCCCCTTTTCTAATTATCTAAAGTATATATCTTTATTATATCTGAATTTAATTGCAGGCACCATTGTTGTTTTAAAAAAGCCTGCTTAGTGGTGTTGTTGACTGGTGAAGCTGCTTGGACAGTTAACTGATAAAATAAATAATAAGTACAATAATAAAGTACAACAAATATTTTAGACAGAGTAATATCTTCATACCACACTTTTCTCTCTTTATTTCAGGTACCACAAGCTGAATAACAGAAAGACCAGAGCGTGGAGTTTGTACACCATAAAGGGCCTACATGATGTACACCTGACCAAGAGGACTTATTGTTTGGATATTATTTTTCCAATCAATTTATGTTATATTTTATCTTATGTGTCATCTTCTATGCACCATTACTACTGCCGACTCTGTTGTGACAAAAGTTTTTCAAGCCTTTGCTGATGTGATTGGTAATCATAATGATATTTTACTAGTCTGGTTGTAAATTGCCAGGGAGTCGGAACAAGCACGAGCGCCTGTTTGTGGGTGGGGCTTGCTGGAGCAGGGAGGGAGGGGAAAGGAGGAGCTGAGGCGAAAACTGGTGGGGAGGGGGTAGTGTTTACATTCAAAATTTCTCCCAAAAACTGGCACTTATGAGATGCTGCCTACCACAGCTTTAAATACCAAACTGCACTCTCAAAGTACTGCTGCTTAATTTTTCCTCTGGTCCATACTGGTACAGACATCTCTTTGTGTTCACTCTGTGCTAAAAATGAATTTCTAAGAGCATCCTTAGAAGCATCCATTAACTTCAATAAACAAGCCAAAAGGTATTGTCAAACTCTGCTGGGAGAAGATTGCTATTTTAATTCCAAATTCAACACAGTGTAGAAGAGAATCTTACCCTGAGACACATAACCCTGCCACGTGCTACAAAAAGGATGAGCTGAAGATTACACAATCGCATACAAACGCAAACACACACACACACACACACACACACACACACACACACATATATATATATTTAAATGCAGTCCATCATTTTCACATGCTTTGATCACTCTTCATATAGGCTGCAGGATATCAGGCATAAAGTCTCATTAATAGTGATATGATTGATTGCACTCCAATCCCAGTTTGCATGCTTGACTGCACCTGCCACCAGAGTTCTCATCAGCCAATTAATGTGAAAATATAAATGTAAGTCCTCTAGGTAGATTCAAGATGGTATTGCACAACCTCAGTGGCCACTTACACTGTGCAACAACAGGAGATGATTCTCAGAACATCATTTGAGAATATGAAGTACCGTTCACTGTGCTGGAAATTGCATGGCATTGCATTGTCTTTCAGTCTTGTTGCATACAAAAGAATATTCAATCGTTAACTCTGAAGCCAAATAACCACTTTCTTTCGGAGTGTGCAGCATCAAATAATCACTGATCTTCAAAACGTTCATTCTGGTCAGACACTCCACAGAATACTTACAGTAAAAAACACATTTATTGTTCAGTTTTCTGTTTTAATAGGTCAATAGACAGACAACCCATTTACCTTGGTGGAGGCAGAACACATGCAAAGGAACAAAACTGGAAACTTTGTTGTAAGAGGCTGATAGTGGTTTTCTTTGCATTTAAATTTAGCACATTTACTTTCCTGTGGATTGTCCCAAATAACTTTAAAGATCTGTTCATGAGACAGGTTAATAGAAAATCAAAGATTCATATTCATAAAATATATTTGAAGTACCTAAACCTTGTGACTTTGGACAATGATCTTTAACAGTCCTTCCAGAGTCAAGCATTGAAAACTTATGTGTTTCCCATCTACTGTCTTAATTTGTAATGTTCAAACTTGAACATAGTACCTCTAAACAATACAAAAATACAGATACAGTCAGGACACACACCTGCTGACAAGTGACAAATACTTTACACTTCAATGTTATCAATGTTATTAGCTCTTAAAATCCCCAATAACATGCAGATCCAGGCCTTGATTTTCGCACAAAGATTTGCCTACTGCCAGGAAAAGGATCATGAAAGTCTAGTCTAAGTTTTATAATATGGAAAATTCAATTTGGACTCACTGCTTTGACTACTTGTGAATAATTTCTGATTATTTGTTTCCTATAATGTGACTGTATCCCTATTTGCCCCAAACCACAGAGAGAGTAATAGACTCAAATAAATCATTTGTATAGACTGATTTCCAAAGAAATCTTCATGTTTCTCTCTTAAAGGGGTCAAATTTCAGAGCAGTTGTGATGAGGAATTAATTACCTCAAATTCAATTTGTGTATCAAAAAATGCTTACACATAGTGTACTTGCATGAGTAGGAGAGGATTGTAATCCTGCATGTTATTTAAAATGGTAGGTGGAATAAGCTTTCATTACAGCCTACCTTTGTTTTGATCAGTCTATAATAAATCTATTCAATTATTATTCCTGTGATGTATTTCTGTTGTTGTTGTTTTTTCATGACGTTTCTGTAGATTTATCAGAAGAAGAGATCACTGATGCAGACCAGAATAAATAGAAAATAAAAAGCATATCTTCTGAATCTTTCTGTCCTGCAGCAAAGCGAGATGAGCCATCCAACACCATTGGACCTTTGGTCCATTAATCCCTTTGGGTCCTTTTACACCCAATCATGACTCTCACCTGTTTCCAATAAACCTGTTCACCCATGGAATGATCCAAACAGGTGTTTACCGCTCTTCAATTTTTATTGTTTTATGGTAATCTTAAGATCCTATATTTTCACTATAATTGAAGTTCAGCATTAAGTGCCTCCCCTCTAGGTCTTTATGCAGCTCAGACGTTGTCACCCTGTATTAATAATTTATGTCATTTTTTCAAAAACAGAGCATCAGAAGAAAGGATGGATTTTACTCAGAAGAAAAAGCAAAACCAGAGTTTACAGGTTACAAAAAATCACTTGGAAGTAATTATCTGCCACTGAAATGCACTTAGTGCTTGACTTAAACACCAGGTTTTCTGTATGTACATGTGTGGTTGCTTATAAAGCCTGAAAGCTTCATATAGCAGAATGAAACAAAACGTGGCCCTAATGCAGCATCTTAACAACCATGTTAAAAGTCCATTAAGTCCATAAATAACCAGCATAACCCTCTTATCAAAGTATGAATGAACAACAACAAAAATAAACTCTGGCAAACCGTCTCAAAGGCCCGGTGTTTTTGGTAGTATTTTGGCAGAAGTCTGCAGATCTCACAGGCTTTCTGTGTTTGTTTCTGTGGTCACTGGGTTTAACTCTGGCCTCCATCCAGAGCAACAGGGGACAGCTGTTCATCATCAGCCAGGCTGTTACATCCAGCCTTGCCTCATATCCCAGTCTGTCAAAATGAACTTGGCCACGAATCAAGAGCTTGAAAAAGCTTCTTTTCTCTAAAGTCATCTCCATGGTCACAGCGAGGTTTAGGGTATCTGCAACAGGAATCAGTGTTGAAGTATCCAGCACGCTAAAGTCTAACTACTACTGACACATTTGTCAACAGTTCATGTGGAGATGGAGATCCTGTTGATAGCTGCCTTACACAGTGACTGAATACACCACATGAAAGTCTGTTATAAAGAGATAAGAAGAGGGTGTGTAGGCTCAGTTTGGTTCAAATCTTAATTCTTGTCTGATGACATGCAAGTTACTTTTGTTTGTTCATAAAATTTATGGACCTGTAATATTATGAACAAACATATTGTTTTTATTTTGTTTTGTTTAGTTTTGTTGGCTTTTTCTCAATTTTACTGACAGTAAATTTCCATTTTTCTATAATTATAATATAAGAATATTTCCTTTAATCATGATGTGACTGTTTGGTTCACTTTTCACGTCTTTTGTAGAGTATAATTTGAAGTTCAAGTTATAAAAGAAGTGTTCAATGAGAAATTGAAAATAATGATACTGTTCCAGTGTTTTTAGAAGTGACTGCAGAGAGATCTAAGCAGTTGAACTTCTGTGAGAACAAATGAGAGCAATAGAGCCTCCTGGGATGTGATAGCCTCGTAGTTTAAGCATCCTCATGTGTGGAGGCTATAGTCCTTGTTGCAGCTGTCGCTGGTTTGAGTCCTCGCTCTGAATCAATCATAACAAACCAGACAGACCACACAATAGATAAGAGATGGGGGAACACAAATAGGAAGTTATCTGATATGACACATCTGCATCCATTTTATAACTGAATAGGAAACATAATACAGCAGATGTGGTTAAATTTAGACCAAATCCAGAAGAGCAGTGACCGCAAGTGCCTGGTTGCAGAGATAGGCTGGACGTTTAAAGAAAAGTGATCTTCCCTGCATGTCTCCCTGATCTCTCTTTGCTGCCTTTAAAACAGTGAATGTCACCATGACCTTAAATCCAATGCAAAGTTTTGGTGTTGATATAAGGACAATGTCCATTCAAGTCAGCACAATTCAAAGAAAAACATACTGCTTTAAAAATGATAGAAAAGCTGACTTGAAGTGATTGGCTGTCTCTTTTATTCAGTGGAATCCTTTTGCAGACATAGCCCTCCCTACTTAAACACAGAACCACAACATCACATTGATCTGTTTTAGTGTTCCTTAGGATTGCAAAATAAAATGGCACAAATGATGGTGCTGTTCTGTCTTAAGACTAAAACATACAGGATCCGTGTGTCACGTGTCACGCAGCAAATAGGTTGCCATTCTTATCAATGCAGCATTGCATGCAGGTTGGACACAGCTCTGTATCAGATGTGTATCGAGTGCGGCACTGCTGAAGATACGTGCCGAATCTATTTTTGCTGCTCTATACTTCCAACAGGCGTCAATCTACACAGAGAAGATCGTTCTAGACAGGATGTCAAGCACAAAAACCGTGCATCCGGTAAGTTTCAAAATAAAACATCATAAAGGAACATAGTTTACTTTATTAAACACCAGTCAACCTGCAAAAACCGGAACTTTAAAATCATGTTGCTTTTTCACATACAGTAAAACCTCAACAATCACTGAATTATACCCAAAGTAGCAGGAAATAGACAACAGAAAAGCAAAACAACCTGTATTGAGTATGTTATTGACCGGGGCTACGCTACACTGCTGCTACTCTCCAAATACACATCCTGTGGGCGATAGACACCGCTGCCCGACGAAGCAGAGATGCAACACTGACAAAACACGCTCTATACGGATCCTGTATGTTTTCGGCTTTACTCCTGTCATGCTCTGTTTCTACCATGCCAGAAAGTGACATGACTCTGCCCCATCAATCCACTTTCAAGTCTTTTACATGCTGTAGAACTGCCTCTAAATATTTTTTTTAATGTAAGACAATGATATAATTTTACACTTCATTTACACACATACAGTAGCTGAACAATCATAATGTAAATGGAAATTGATATTTGTGCTTCAGGAATACCTATACAACTCATTTTTACCTTTCATATGGTGGTTTGGGATACCTGGGATAGAGTAGCTCAGCATAATTAGCGTCTGAAAAAACTCAAATTAAGCTGGTATCTGTGAAACCTTCATTTCAGCCCTTTTCAGCCTCTTCCTGAAGCACTTCATTTTGTCTGCCTTTTCAGTGATTTGAAGTTAGACACAGCTTGTAGCATGTCTCAGCACAAAGTTGTAGAAAGTACTCTCCAAGAATATCATCAAACATCAAATGAGGGCAAATCTGAAGTACTGTGCTCCTCTTTTTGGTAGAGTGTTCTGACATTAGGAATCAATGCCTCTGGTGCTTTGAGGCTGTTCTGGTAGTTATGGTGGTCCATAGCTTTGGCATAAATGGGGCTGATTTACTGTGGAAAACTAAAGACAACAGATAATGACATAAAAGGTGCAGAGTGCAATGCCAATAATTACCTGGTTAATCCCTTTTTATGGAGTTTCTTTGTCTAAAAAATACTTCTACCATCTTTTTTGTTCATCTTGCTCCAGTATCGTAAACGTTTCTTTAACATCAACAAACTCCACACAGGGGGCCTTAAGAGTGTAATCCAACCCAAATACAAGCACTAAAAGTAGTATCAAATAAAACCTAACCAATCTTGTCATTAATCATCTGATTCTACCTTAAGGAAGCATCAACAAACACTTTTTTTTTCAAAATCAGCTAAAGGAGACCCAATTTACTGAACCTCCAATACAAAGGTGTAAGATTTTAGGATTTAGTTTGGCCTTACTAAACCTGAGCAAAGTGATCAAAACATAAGACACAGGGATGACTGTGAATTCCTGAACCTCTCTGAACAGCTTTTTTCAATCCTTGTGAGATCTGGTCTACTTAAAAAAAAAAAAAAACACATAAATGCACGAGTCCAACTGATATCGCACTATATCGATAATGTGGTATGGGATTGATTTTATCTTCCATGTATACAACTCAATCAGATTGAAACTGGTATAGGCATAGACTGTATATAGAATGGACACCATCTGCCTCCTCACTGGCTAAAGCCGCCGTGAGAGCAGCACCATCTGGTGATGGGCTGCAGTATAGGTCATAAATCCCGCCTCCCCCAGCAATCCCTATGGAGCTGTGGACAAACTTTAGAAATTAATTACACAGTTTATGAATTTCCCTCCCCGCGGGTTGTGATGTTGACATGAAGTTGCTGTAAGACTGGTTTGTGCTCAGGTCCTCTTTTTTCTGTGCAGCTTCATTTTTAAAAGTTATCGGGGGGGTCATCCTTTCTATGATTGACACTTGATACAGCCTATAGGCGTACGAAGATTGCGTAGAGATTCACCCAGGGGATACGCTGGTTGAACCGAACCTCATCACAGCAACTCTCCCACCAAATACGTACAATGCTACTGCGCAAGTGGTGGTTCCAGCAAGTGAAGAAAATCCCGGTAATACCAAGAGCAATTTGGCTTCAAATTCGTATAATGACGAAGGCGGAGCCAAGTTGTCCATAGTATATGATTTATTGGTGTAAGTGTTTGGTTCCTGTTCCAGTGTTTGCACACAGCACTTTGAGCTCAAAATTGAATAGCACAAGTACGTTGCCTCTTATTGGCCTGCAAATCATTATGAAGGGTAAAAATGAGTGCAACAGGTGTCCCTCAAAAATCTGCTCAGTATTTTGTTTACATTTAAGTGGCCCTCGTGTTGGGGATGTGCTGCTTAAAACAGTTATCCTCTTGTCGACAGCTGGGAGATTGTACTGGAAAACAGGAAGTTTTTTTAAAGCGTAACTGAACAGCCTGCAACTGTCAAATCAAATCAAATCAAACTTTATTTATATAGCACTTTTCAGGCAAAAAGAAATGTAGCACAAAGTGCTTTACAATTTAAAACAATGAGCCCCCCCATATCCAGCCTGCCACCCCCCCCCCAACCCTCACCGAGAGCCCACCCCACACACACACACACACACACACACACACACACACACACACACACACACACACACACAGATAATGCAATCTTAAAAGCGTGTGGCTAAGTACAGAGGAGCCAAGTCAGGAAACGTCAGGAGGCCAGCTGCACTGGAGGCTGCTCACGGCCCAGGGCCAGGACACCTCCACCCGGGTGCGCACCCCGCTACAAGCCAGTAAGGGGCCCACAGCAGCAAGCACTGCTGCAGACCACCACCTGGCCGAGCTGAGTGCACACCACGAGGCAGAGAAACCCTAGACAGAGCCAGTCACAGCCTTCAGTGCAGGTGGTCCCCCTACTGAGGAAACACTGGAGAATTGCGATAAAAACATAGACTAAATCAGCTAAAAACATCAAACTAGATAAAATGATAAAATACTGATAAATAGCTAAAATACCATCTAAAAAATAAGTACATAAATATAATAAACATAACATGTAAAATGAGGACTAAAATATATAAATGAACTAAAATAAGATAGAAATAGGACAAAAATATAGATCAAAAATAAGACATTAGTTAAAAGCCAAATTAAATAGGTGGGTCTTGAGCCTGCTCTTAAAAATATGAACATTCTCTGCGGCTCTAAGGTCCTCCAGCAGGCTATTCCAAAGACGGGGGCCATAGTGCTGGAAAGATGCCTCACCGTAAGTTCGTGTTCTCACTTTGGGGACTATTAAAAAGCTAGTGCCAGAGGATCTCAGGGTCCGCGAGGGTTCATATTGTAAAAGCAATTCTGAAAGATAAGAAGGTCCAAGACCCCTAAGACATTTAAAAACCATTAAAAGGACCTTAAAATCAATCCTAAAGCACACAGGGAGCCAATGCAGTGATTTTAAAACCAGTGTAATATGTGCCCGCCGTCTGGTCCTCGTCAGCACACGTGCTGCAGAGTTTTGCAACAGTTGTAAACTCGCAATGTTTCTTTTTTTCTGTGTGCTCTCCAGCCAGCTGGACAACGCCGGGAGCCGAGATTTAAAAATGGCCAGGAGTGAGTCCTTCCTCTGCAGCTCGTCTGAGAGTCGACCAATGTCCTCCAGAAGATCGGCGATCTTTCGCTGGGCTCTTTTAAGTTGTTGACCAACTTCAGCAGGTAAGGAAGCGTCTATGGCGGTAGCCTCCATGGGTGCCATGTAGCTAACTCAGCAAGAGTGCATAAAATCCCAGAGTCTGATGACTAAAACCTTTTATCCGGTAAAAGCAAAAAGATAAAAATAATCCTTTGCTCAAGGAACATAATGTTAAAAGCAATCAGAACATTTTAAAACCGAATAAAAACGACGGCTTGCGGGAACCTGCACTCTTTTTCTCCGCTATAACAGATAAAATAAAATAAAATAAAAACCCATACACGGTAAAAGTTCAACTTAAAAGCCAGCAAAATCTTAAAATGCACTCTTAAAAGTTGTTTAAAACCGGTTAAAATGGGTTAAAAAGTCTCTCGCAGGAGAGAGAAATGGCTGGGTGCCATCTGTCATCAAGGCTGCACAGATGCTACAGAATGAAACCCAGGCTAATAGCCCGATCCATGAAAAAAGCTTGGACTCTTAAAAAACTTTGTCATGTTTCATTTAGGTGGCAGGTGTAAGGAGGGGATGCTTTATAGCAGTTGAGTTGACACACCAGAGCACCATCTCTCTGCTGATTAACCAACATAAACAAACTGTGCATTGTATAGATGGAAGTGAGTATGAGGTTGTGGAGATCAGCAGATATGGGAGGACGGTGGATTGAAGCGGGTGCATAATGACGGCTAAAGAGCTTTTCTGCTGGGCATTAAGCGGAGAGAGCTTAGTTTGCCATATAAGAGCAGGATCAGCACTCATACAGGCAGCACAGAGGGTCTGTCTTTCCTCTGCTCACCTTCTCCTCGCTGGTCTGTGGTTTATGTGAACTTTATCTCTCTTCCTCACTTCTGCCACTGACTTTATATTTTCACAGATCTTTATTATGCTGTGATTGTTACTTAGAGAAGCTGCACATCACAGTCAAAGTATTTCAAGCTCACTGGAAACACAGAAGAGAAACAAGTATCCACATTTTAAAGTAAACATGCTGTCACAGTTTACAGCATGAACCTTAATAATCTGACTCTTTATAAGTGTGCTTTTTCTAGATCTCAGGTATTGTGACCACATGTGACAGTTAAAAGAATAATGGCTATTTTAGACAGGGTCTAAAAGTTAAAAAAAAAAAAAAACTATCTCTGTTATGTATCTCTATATCTCTGTTAACTATCTCTGCTTGTGTTAGATTCATTGAGGCTGTGGCAGTTACCCCCAAGTGTGTTGAATCGGGCATTGGTGCATCTAATTTGTGTAAGTAAGAGCAAGATCCTTGGCTTTGAAAAACTTTGTTTATCACTAGTAAAACAGTGGATCTCTCACAGAGGTCAGGACACTAATGCTGATGCTGCTGGTTATATAATCTGTGTACCAAACCTCTGACAGACTCACACTTCTCATACTGCACTGCAAAAACACTGTTACAGGTGGGGACTGGACCCAGAGAATAAAAAATGCATGAATACAATAGTTCTGTTATGACATTATTTCTCTGAATATTTCTATATTTACAAGAAAAGTGCTGCATCTGCTCAGGATAGCAATAAGCTCCATTGTAGGATATTAAGCAAACTGACAAAAAGCCTCTACAAATCCAAGATAAAGCAAAAACCACTGGTTAAACTCACAAGTTATCAGCTGAGCTCTGGAATGAATAGTCAATATCTGGGTCCATCTTCCACATCTGGTAGTTTCACTGGTGCATTTCCTGCATTTTTCTATGTCTCCTTTTTCAACTCATTTTTTTATTTTTGAACTGCAAATGAAAATAACCAAGACAAATTAACAAGATCCATTCAGATGTTTTTTTTATTTTTTATTTGTTTAATTCCTGTCAGTTAACGCAACAGACTTCTGTACTTCATGGCTCTTTGAGAACCAAAAGAAATTCAACCATAACCCCGTTAATGTTGTTCTGATATAAACAGGAACTGAAATTATGATATTCGGGTTGTTATGGGTTATGTTAAACTGGTTTGTCTGGTCACCTTTGTAACCGCTTACTCTTCACTTTGTTTATTATATCACAGTTAATAATTTTATTCAGCCATGAATCAGTCCATTACAACACAGCATGAATGTTCCTCACAGTGCCTATATATATCTGTGATAATTAAGTCCTAACATGGTGTCCTAATCTTGTCTCTACTTTCTTAACTTCCACATAAGTTGTCTCTTTTGATCAACAAGAAAGCAAAAAATTGTATCAGTTTACTCACACAATTATCAAAAGACCTCATTTTATTAGGATTGTGTGTCTGTGCAAACAGAAGGGTGTAACCAAAGTGAGAGCGCATAAGGAAACTGCAACTGTCTGTGCAACTGGATTACATCAGCGACAGGTTAAGGCGTGCAGCAGACCAAATAATGGAGGCTGATGGTGTATGTTACAGCTCCAGTCGAGTGCTGGCAACACCTCACTGCTGAAAAGGAGGATATATTGATAACAGCATGGACAAGGAGCTGATTCGACTTGCATTCATGAAGGTTACACAAGGATAACAGTATCATGCACTAATTTGACCCGATGAATAGTGACAAAAATGAGTCTCTGCTGCGCCTGGAACACTTTCACATCATTGGGTAATAGTGTGGGATGGCATTGATTATGCAGGGATTGTATATGTGAATCTAGTCATCAACACATTTATGCTTTCTAATAAGAAGCCCTCATATGCCCTCCTCTGCTTTAATACAACTGCTGTGATGAGGCAGTGTCTCCATCCAAAATGACATAAAGCTGCCACCCTTTGGTATGAGTGGGCAAAAGCTATATATATATATATGTGTGTGTGTGTGTGTGTGTGTACACAGAAAAAGGTTAGTTCTGCCAATCTCAAAACTTTTCATATGGGCAAATTTTGATCAAGCTTCTCCACAGCTCCTTGTTCCTTTCCTGCCTCTTGATCCAAATTCAGTGCAAGGATTGCCTATTATCATTACAAGCACTTTGAAAGAACACTCTGTTACTTTTCTCCCCCTAAAGAGCATATCTAAAGTTTTCCATTCAAACAGAAAAAAAAAATATTTTTTAGAATTTCATTTGAAGCATCAGAGTACATGCATTTCTCTCATCACTACTTCAAAAATAAGATGCAGTGATTTCATGGTGCCTTAATTTCTCCGTTCAGGTGTCTCAATCATGAGGAACAGAGCTGAAAAGCATTAAAAAATGTAATCTGACTGTAAAAGGACAAGATGTATATCAATTTTAGAGAGGTCTGCTTGAAATGAGCATTTTTAGGAATTTAAAAAATGTGATCGTGTAGCTCTCATTATTCAAGTGTAACTCAGAGTTTGAGGTTGTGCACTTTCTTCAAGGGGAACCCTGTGACCTGGTAATTTTGTAACTTTTTTAAAAAACGTTTTTTAAGACTGTTGAAGAAATTTTACTTTACAAGCCTCTAAACTTCTTGAATAATTTTAAATGTATTAATAAAATAAAAAAACAGCCCATGTTGAAATGCAACTGGTATAGCTCAGCTCTTTGTAAACGTAACCAAATTTTTCTTACTTGCATCTGCAGGGATAAAAACTCGAGTAACTGTGTAAGAAAAGAAATGTGGTGATGTGCTTTTAGAGAGATGAGATGTCTCTTTTTTACTTCAGTGTCACAAGAAGTGACATCTGTTTCTGATGACGCCTGCAGATGATCACAGTGGGATCAGCTGTCAGTCAGCTTAAACAGCTGTTTGTGTCTGCACACATTTGCACTGTGCTAATACTAATAAAGGCCGTCAGTTATCAGGGGCAGAGCAGCTGGGTTCTCTCTCTGTAAACTCTTACCTATTTAAAATCACCTACACATGCAGAGACACCTGTTGTCTGCACCAGCACTGTGTGCTACCCTGTACTGATGGAAATATGAACCCAAAAGAAGGCGTCCTACCCTCACACTAAAGAGGTAATATAGTGGACATCGAAAACTAAGTTGCGTTTTTAATGTCAGACTCTAAATGTAAAGCTTGGCTCCTTTGAGGAGCTCTTACCAGCTCAGCCAAACATAATATTGTTATTCACTGTAAATAGTTGGGGTGTCCCGATAAAACTTTTTTACTTCCGATACGATACCGATATTGTAGCCGTCAATATTGGCCGTTACTGATATTGATCCGATATTTGCACAAACTTGTGCATGACATGTTTTGCACTCATCTGCAATGTCTTTTTCAGACTTAAACAAAATAAACTGCCACATGGGCGGCATCACTCCTACTCCTTGCTATTTTATTGCACCTTAGTACACACTGTTGTTGTGATCAGGTTGGCACTGCATGCTGGATAGATAGAGGCGCTGTTAGATAGAGGTGCTGGAGCGGAGTCTGGAACTGACTGCTTGAATAGGAGGGTTGATATTGGAGATTTTAGATGCAGGCCGATATTATCTGATATTCGGTTTTTTTTGCTGATATCGGAACACTATCTGATATCAATATAGTATCAGGACATCCCTGGTAAATAGTGCACTAACTTATGGCAACAACCTGAACAACCCCACTCCAAAAAAAAAAAAAAAAATTCTTTTTAAGGATGAGTCTAGCTAATGATTTGTTTCAATTGCTGATTTTAATCAGAAATCAAATCAATCAAGTAGTTTATATATAGGAAATACAAAAAAAAATGAGAGCTGACAAAATTAGAGCCACAAAAGTAAGTTGACAGAAAAAAAACCCCACCAAGTCTTTAGCTAGCCGATGTGTGTTAAGCTCTTTGTACTTTGGTGATTTTTCCCCCTGTGGTAGGTCTGGTGAACTACATGATGCATTGTTCTTTATTCTCTACCTCTATCCTTATAGTCCCCAAGTCTGTCCGCCCCTGACCCTCGAACAATAGCAGATTTGTGCCTCTATAAATCATTTGCAAACACAAAGGACTGAACCTCTTGTGCACCTCATCAGGCTTCACCCTGTCAGGCACTCTCATTGATGCACATGGAGAAAAAGCATTTGTTTGATTGGATTGTAATCCCCTCATGCAGGAGTAGAGGCGTTATGGCTATATTTAGGCCTATTTGAGGATATGGCAGAGCTTTAGTGAGGTGATGGGTGGGTGGGTGGGTGGGTAGGTGGATGGAAAAAAGGCAGCATTTTGTTTATGGAGATGTTCATGGTGCAGTGTACTCACTCTGTGACATATGATTGCCTTGAGGTTCATGATTTTAGTCTGCCTACATTGAAACACTGATGTGACTTCGCCACATTAAACATCAATTAGAGCCAATTACATTCTTGATGCTGCATTCAGAAAAAGGAAATGTCCAACACAACTGTGTTCTGTAAAACTAATAAGGGTAACTTGTCTCTTAGACAACTAACATCCTCTCATTCTAGATCACATGAGATTTTATGACCCCTGCCCTAATCCTTTTCGTGATTGATGAAAGTACTAGCATCATCTGACATCCACAGCCATCTTGATAACTCGATATACACTGGCTTTCTGCGAGGGTCCAGGTACTGAAAAACAAACTGATCGACTGAATGCTGGATTGTCATTCTCATGTGAGAACATCAGATAAACGGGTAATTTTGAATGAAAGTTTCTTTTATTTTTTTGTTCAAATTTCTAAAGTAAATAACTTATCTGATCACTAAATAAAATCATCGGGTCAGCCTTGCCGCCGCAGCAGCAGGGCAAGGACACGCAGACATGTCCGGTCGAGTTGCACAAGGAAGATGGAGAATAAGGGGGGAGATGATTTAAATATCTTGTTAACTTCATCATGTGTGACTATTTACTGGATATTTAATTTATTGCAGTTTCAGATGTGTTAATCAGGTCAAGTTGAGTGTCCAAACGCATGCCAAATGTGCTCATCAGAAAAGATACAGATCAGAATACATCAATATAGATCTAAATGTATCTGCTGACTTAGAATGTTGTTGATTATTTATTGCACTGAAATGTGCCTGACATTGTGGAAACCTGCCTGTGAGGCATCAGTGACGTATGCGTACTACAAAGCCGGTCTACCAAAATACCACTAGACCAGCTGCGCTCTGCCTGTGCTGAAAGCTGACCAGATTTGAATCAGCAAGCTTTCAGCGCACTTTCCATGCTGCCAGCGAGCAAAAAAATGTCACTGTGCCAGCTGAATTTGTCGACACCTCTCCCTACCGGGCCACCACGCCCAGCTTGGCACCTTGGTGCGCCTCAGTCCATGAAAATACCAAACTGGCTGTGCGCCAGGCTCCATCGGATGAAAATACCATTGTGCAGAGTGCGCCACCCTCTGCCACACTGACGGCAGGCACGAAAATAGAGCCCCATCAGACATAAGTTGAATGCAAAAAATGGACAGTGAACAGCAGAAATTAAGCTCTGATTTTTAAGGCACATACCTATTTTACAACTAAAGACACTAGGCTGCACCATTTGGAAAAAAAAAAAAAAAAAAAAAAACTTATACTAATATAATACTAATACTGCAACCATCTTTCTGCTCTGTAAAATGTATTATAATATAAAGACTACAGGGATTAACAATATCAGATAATGCAGAGTATTTCAAGTGCCAATAAACACCTTAATCTCATTTATAAGTAGGAATTTCTTGTCTACTTTTTTCTTTCAACCTCTCTTACACTGTATCATGCAGCCTCTTATGTGGATGTTTGGAGAGAAGAGGGGGAGGACGGAGTACAGGAGGAGCAACATATTATACACAGTACCGACAAATGCAAACAACTCACTTGTTACAGGAACACCTGGGAACAGGCACATTATAAGACCTCCCTTGGGCATTCAGTTTTTACCATATAAGGTCTCTAATGTGGGACACACTACCAACCAGACTGAAGTGACACAAAATCTGAATACATTTAACCAAAGCATTTTCAGGGTGGACAAAGCAAGTGTTTTAAACCACTCTGTGATGCTCTGTAACTCTTCTTAATTTGATATAACCTTGATGTAAAGATGTGAACACAGTGGTTGTTAGTTTAACCAACTGTATGTGTACTCCAACTAGACAATAAGCATTTGATGGACTTGGATGCATATATACATCCTGCAGTCACGGACACAAAGGTACAAACAACGCCTGCACAGTCTTCAAGTGAGAAATTGCATGTTAGTGATTTCAGGTAGACATTTATCTTCATTCATTCTGGACAATTAGTAAGTGGTGACAACATGACAAATTCAGGCATGTGACTGACAATGCTCATCCCATGATATGACAATGTGCTCACCATAATTAAGATGTTGAAAAGTTGCATCGCTCAGACCTGTTAGTTGTACTGTGTACTGTCAGTGAAGTTACTGTGGCCATTCCTAAAAAATATACAGCTTTGAACATAATTATTGCAAGTCTTTTTAACAAAAGTTATCCTTCTGTTAGCTGATAAATTCCACAGCAAATTATAACTTTTATATTCTATGAAAAAAAAAAAAAAAAAAGGTAGCGCCCAAACCCAGCACAAAAAAATGTTAAACTGTCATCCTTCTGCAGTGGTCCTTATGTAGAACAACCTTGAAAAAAGACACATAAACAGTGACTCCTGTAATCACTGTTTATAAAGGAAAACGTATGAGAGAAAAAACGTTGTTTCCATTTCACCCACTTTTTAAACAAACTACCCTGAAAGAATATTAATAAGACCCCGTGAACACTGACACAGTTCTTTGTTTGCAGTGATTATTTCATCTGTTGACACTAAACACAAAGACAGCCCTGTCCTGTCATCAGACATAAACCAGTGGACCCCCTTCTGAGGCCAAAAAGGTCTCACAATGTTAGCAAAGTGCAAAACTCTCCAGTACTGAGCCAACCAGCAGAGTTTTCGTATTAAGCTGTCTCTGAGAGTAGCAGAACATTGTGTTTAGCATCCAGGTCCTGACCCCATCACTCTTTGCAGATTTTTTTTTTTACATGCAGGACTTTCATAAGATGAAGTCTAAAACCCTCCCGCTGTAGCCTGCAGGTAGATACTTGGGCTTCAACTCTGGCTGCAGTATTGGAACAGGGCAGTGTTAAAAATGAAAGGACAGAGAATGAAAACAGAAATCTTTCAGCTTCAATTGTCCACCAAATCAAGAGTATGCATCTGTATGTGGATTCAATTGGCATGTGTCTGCAGACCTGGGGGGCTGCAGACACATGCCAATTGAATCCAGCAGATATGGTCCTAAAGCTGCAGCCGTCAGGTCTTCTGATACACAATATTACAAAATTCTGAGAATGACATTTGTCATGGGTGAAGTCATTGCAGCTTCATTGCTGGTGTTGCCCTAGTTTGGCTGCATAGGATGATTTTGTGATAGCTGGTTCACCAATAAGCAAACCAGCAGGGATTTGCACTGTATTTTAAATAAATGACTTATCTTTACATCTTTAGATTAGATTAGATTAGACTAGATTAGATTAGTGTGGTGAGATGCCTCCACCGCTTGCTTTATGTTGGTTGGACTTCCTGTTTTTTCTTTGTTTCCTTGGTCTGGCTTGACTATATTTCAGACAGTGGCGATTGCTCTAAGACTGCAAGGGAAGCTCGGCTTCCCTTAAAATGTCACCCCTCAAAAAAAAGAAAAAGTGGTGAAATACGTACTGCTGTGTGTACATTTCATTAACTAAATACGCACTAGAAAGCCTTCATCTTTTGTTCAGACACTGTGATAAGAAGCTGATAATCACAGGTAACCGGCATAACTTCGTTCTCATTCATCCTCGCAGCGCCTCAGCGCTTTAAACAGCCGGACGCTGGGCTTCTGCTGACTTCAATGTGGAAGCAGCGAAACTAGACGCTCATTGGATAAATGCTGGGCTTTGTCCCGCCCATCGGAAGCCCAGCTTCACTGGAGTTCTATGGCGAGAGGGCGGTCCCGACTTTCTCCCGGACTCCAAGCTTCTGCATCCATGATTGGATGAGCTGTCTGAGGCGAAATCCTTTTTTGATTGACAGCTAAACAAGCGAATCAGCGATCTTGAAGAATAAAACATCTACCAGAGCATTTTCCAAGTTATTCATTCCGTTGTTCTTAACTGCTCCGGAGACTTTACCGATCCTCAGCGACTCTTGTCTTTGTTAAAAATGACTGCCGTTGTGTTTGGCGACTCTGTTCTGTTACATACTAATAAACAAATACAATTATGATGTAGGCCAGAAAAATGAGCTTCCCCTCCTTGAAAGACCAGCAGCCGCCACTGATTTCAGAGCACCCTCCCCCTCCACGGTCGCTGAGGCTGAGTGAGACTCCACACCTGCACTGCATCTACAATCAAGGCCCTTTAAGAAGCCAGCAGCCCTCAGTCTCAGCGCCTGAGTATTGTCTTCACTCCTGAGTGGTACAGACGCATCTCCTGGCCTTCTTCTCGGATAAGTACTTGTGACTTTTTGCTCCCTGTGAATTTTTGTATGTCTTCTCACTTCCATCTCCTCTGTTTCTCCACAGTGTCTCCAGCCCACACAACAGCCAGCCAGCAAACCGGACTTTCCTCGTGTCTTTTTCCCCTGAGTTTGGACATTAAAATTACATCTTTTAATTTGCTATCTGCCTCTGCTTCTGGGTCCACAGAATACACCACACGCCACAATAAGATTAGATTGGAAAGACCTTATTGATACTCTCTGGAAGGTTCCCTCAAGGAAATGCAAGGGACAGGCAGATTATGTGAATTAAAGTAAATCCAACTGAAGTTTATCACTTCTGGCACTTCCTCTTCAGCAGCAGTTGCAGCCGTGAAAAAGAAACAAAATCCTTTTAATCATGGTCTCACTGGCTTTTGTGGCTGTAGAGCTACCAGTGACTTCAGTGGATTTCAGAAGGTGCTTACAGGAGTTTGAAATGGATAGACTTCTATTTTGACCCGGTACGTATAGATGGTACAGAGCATTTATTGGACCTGCATAGAATGCTTTGCTGCTACTCTGAAGGATAATGAGAAGTGCTTACACTTAGCAAACCTTCTTTGATCACTTTTCAGTTGATGTTGTTGACTCACTCATTTTCAGTGTTTATGCATTTACATTTTTCCCATTTGCTGTGCTACTGATGATACCAGGCTATAAGGAGTTTAATAAAGGAGAACCATCATACTTCCCATTGGCGCTGTTTATATGATGCAAACAAGTATTTTAACACATTTTCTGCCACCACTACCAACTATGACCATCAACAATGCAGCATAATCAAATCCATTCACACCAAATGTGCAGCAAATACATATGTGATGCAAATTGGAGCTCACAAACCCAGAACTTAAATGCAACAGAAAAATGCTGTGGTTCCAGCCATTACTACTTCAGAATCAGGAGAGACAGACTGAGAGCTTTTCAAAAGAAACTGCCGAGTGTAGCTGCTGAAAACTAGATCACTGAGTAAACGATGCAGCAGTTTATCTCTAACTAGCACACAGACTTTATACCCCAGTGCGGTTCATGGTATCCAGTCTTAGCGCAGATGGAGCAGCACAACCTCAGAGACCACGAGACAATGTCATTCTGATGGTGATGAAGTATTTTCTGTTGAATTGGCTCCTGGGTTTGTGTGTCTTGAAGAATTGATTTTACTTTTTCATTTGCAGAGAAATTTGATGAAAATGTATTGTTGCCTTTACAGAAAACCACTTGGATCATATTTGGACTTTTTAGAATTCATGAGTAGGGTCTGTTTGTGAATTATGGGACTTTTTCTCTTAATTGTAAAATTCTGGGGCTGTTGCAGTCTGCTTGCTCTTGTTGGCCATTACATGTAAAGGGTTGAAGAGTTAAGAGAGAACTCTTAACTCTTCAACCACCATTCTGAGATGGAAAAAGAGAACATGAGGGAAGAATAAAACTGATTGTGCTTGAAAATGTGCATAGTATTCACATACTGATAGTTCATGAAGAGATGAAGGGAGAGCAAGAGGGCTCACAGCTGAAATACAAATGAAATTAGAAAGTAGAGTATCTGATCGAGGATATGTGTGAAACTTTGGGGATTATATAGAAATCAGAAGGAACAACATGAGGAGTCACTTGTGTTGCTACATATGTAAGTGCTTGAGATTTTCTGCTTGAATGGTGTCACAAAGATGTGATAGACTCACCTGTTCTGTTAGACGTCGTGTCCTTAGAAAGAATCCCAAAAGACACCCAATGACCACGGCCATCACCGACATGATGAGGAGCCCATTCTGTTTGCAGACATTCTTTACCCTCACCCACACTGCGTCCAAAGCCACAGCCATCGTGATCACCTGTCCTTCGTCCTACCAGCAACCCATAAATGAACTCAACCTGGAGCCTCAAATCCAGCTGTAAGGATGAAAACAAAACCCAAAAGCAGAAGAAAGAGAGAAACTCCAGGGCTGGATGGGACGCTGTACAAAATATCAAATCCAGAGCAATGTTTTAAAGCTCCAGCAGGCTCAGCATCCCCCTCGTCCTCTCACTGCGGCAATCTGCACTAAGCTAAGAAGATCCTCTCACTTTCCAGGCATCCCCTCCCTTCCCGCTCCACCCATCAGCCACCCTGTTTGTGTTGACCCACCGCCAGGGGGATGGAACAGCTGGCAACCGAGCACCCAAAGGTTAAACATCACCAATCCTGTTAGTGCACCACAGTATCAACCCGTATGTTGTCTTTGTGTTTCATATACTTCCCTTGTCCTGCGGATCACAAATGGCCTTCACTCACCCCTAAAATAAAGCAGCTTATTTGAATTCTACAACCCAAATCTTTTTTGCATGGAAAAACAATCTGTCATTCATCACAACTTTAATCTGCGCTGTCTGTGCAGAAATACTGTATTTGATCAATAGAAACTAATGGATTGTGTTCCAACAAGTGCCACTTACTTTTCTATTTTCTATTCTATTGTCAGCACAGGTTGAAAACAAGACTATTATAGCAACAAACTGTTGGACATAGAGCAAAATGTCCTATGAGCATGTCTGACAACAGGCCAGAACAGGAGCCTATAGGAGGTGATACAGTTACAGAAATGTTTTTTTGGGGGGGAAATCTAATTAAAATCAACAGAATAATTTAATCTAAAGAAATTTAGCTTTGTAGCCATCTCACATATTCATACTGTTTATATTTCATATTAAATTTGAAGTGTTGCTTGATAAGGGTAAAAGATAAAAGTCTACCCCAGCAAGCTAAATTAATGTTAAGGTCAGTCACAATAATAAAGAAATTTAGGATATAAATGGCTATGGTTTGACATGTCAGTAAACAGCACAGGCCTCTGGGTTCAGAGCAACAGACAAGTAAAAATGGAGGGGCCACAAGAAAAGGAGACATATGTCAATAGAGACCAGCACAAGCGGCTATTTATCACTAGCAGACCATGGCAGGCCATCAGCCATGCAATATGCAGCGACATACAGAGTGACAAACCATATTTAACAGATTTTAAAAATCTTAAAGTTTGAAAAGTCAGAATCCACACATGACAACAGATAATGACAGATTCAACCGTTCTGTTCCTTTTGTGTGGAGTGTGCACTCATGTGGAGAACTAAAGATTTTTCACCAGGAACCAGAGTCCTGACACTCAAAACTTGTGATCTGGTAAGAACTCTGGCCGCTAAATGTGATTCTAGCTTAATAAAGCTGCTGCTTAGCTTCCTGGTACATCTACTGCAAAGGCAATTTCATTTCAGTGCCTCTCCTTGTCATTTCAGTATTGGTAGGGCCTGTGATACTGAACATGTCCTGTGAACACCTGTGTTGGGTTCTGTGTTTCTGATATCCACATGAGTTTATGCTTGGCGTTTAATACCGTTGCCATGGCTGTGTTTCTAATTTCAAATCAGAGGGATAAGAAATCCCTCCTAACACACCTCATGGCACAGGATAATCTGGTAAGATAATTATACAACCCATCCAATAATCAGACTTTTGCCATCTTTTGTCAGAAGAGGGGAATCAGACTTGAACATGACATGATTATCTTGTAGTGTGCCCTGCTTCATTCTCTGCTTTTCACTCATGTATGTTTGCGTGTGTGTGTGTGTGTGTGTGTGTGTGTGTGTGTGTGTGTGTGTGTGTGTGGTGGTCTACTTTGCAAAGGTGCTAACATGTCATTCAGTGTTTACAATGTGATAGAATTATTTATGTTGTGTTTGGTTGAAATCAAAATAATATTGCATCTGTAATACAGTCTGTGCCAAACTCTGGCCAGCAGTCTTCATTTCTCTGTCATTTTCAGACAGCATTCAGACGCCCTATCTCCTAACTTTGAGATGATCTGTATGTAAAAACACAATGTAAACTCTGACTTCTGTCTTAATTTCATATTTCTTTTGATCTCTTTTGCATCTTTTATTACTTTGCAGCCCTCCCTGGATGGATGAACTCGCAGTAAATTAAATATGAATGTAAAGTTGCGAAATCAGTGTAAGTGCACTGACCTTGCATTGGACTCATCTGCTTTCTTTGGGGATGGACAAGGTCTGTGATAAAAATTTAATAACCACAGAAACATCACATTAAAATGAGACCACCTTGAATATTAAAGTAGTGAAGGTGTCTGCAGCAGAGAGGGGCAAAGGGAAAACAAGTTTTGTAGATTCGTCTCAGAGCTTGTCTTTTCTTTCTGATGAAAAAAGTTTTATAAAGTTAGAGTTCAAGTTGCCTTTCTTAGAGGTCCCACATTGTACAAAATTCACATTACAATGGTTTTCTAACAATGATATGCATCCCTAGCCTGTGTACAAACCCCCCAAAATGAGAAAATTCTATCCTCTCCTTCTCTTGCTTGTTCCACCTTTCAGAAAATGTCTGCTCAAATGGGCGGATTGAAACTCTCGCCTTCCATGATGTCATGGACGATGATAACTCCTCCCCTCTTGGTTGGTAACCCTACCCAAGATGTTTCCACTCAGACACTATTTTTCACCCTTGCAAACGCTGGTTCAAAATGGCAAAGGTACGAACAAGGCATGGCAGTTGCTCTGTTGATGGCTGCAAGAAGCAGCACAGAAGTCTGTATCTGTAGACTGTAAGAACATAGTCACCAGAGATAACTATACTTAAAATATTGTGCATTCACCAAAAGAATGTAGTAGTATCAAGAAGACAGCAGAGATGTAGCCGATAGCTGGAGCTAACGTTAGCCAGCTTCATGTAAGTCACTGTGTACCAACACACGAACAAAGTAAAAAGAAAAATATGGAGACACATAATATTTGTAAGTAACCATTCAGAAACGTCCTGCTGCAGCCAGAGTTGGAATTCTTCAGGAGCCTCTCCTTCTGGGTCAGATGCTGGATCAAACTGATACGGCCGGAACACAGGGCTTCTACGAGCCATACCTAGCACTCTGTGTAAACATTAGTGCATGGTACCGTAGCACAAGCCCTGCCCCCCTTCTTCCAGAGAGACAGAGAAGGGCGTGGCTTGTGCTGAAGGAGGCGTGGACAGGTGCAGCACACAGAAACAGCGTGTTCTCAGGAGGGCTCACTAGAGAGGGTTTTCAGGCTAGCTGAAGTCCAGGAAAAAAATGGGATTTTAGACAACAAACTTCAAATTGACTGTTCTGGGACCTCTGAGACCTACATAAACCTGCTGAAAAGGGGTATAATATGGGACCTTTAAGGCTCAGTCTCTTTTACTTAGCCTCCCAACTCTCCTTAAAAAAGTGCCTCTTCGTCCTCCAGATGAAAGTTTTCAGAAAATGTTTCTTAGCTGTCATTGTGTGTATATATACTCTTTATTACAGGTTCTACTGTGAGTTCCAGCTTCACAGCTGATTGGCAGAGATCGAAATATGCAATATTGCAAGGAGGAAACCCATTAGCGTTCACAATTGCTACAGAAGTGATATTCAGAGCTTCAAGATGGTTGGTATCTGGGGAAAAAGGGCAGGGTGGCTGCAGCTTCCACCCTTACAGATCTTCATAGATGACTTGATGCTGATTACCATAGAAAAGCCATGTGCAAAATGGCTACTGGAGAGATTAAATGAGCTGGGATGAAGATCACGTCCAATAAACTCTTATTGCCCAGAGGGAATAAGATAATCAAGAGGGGTTTATGTAGATTTGGAAGAAAATTTACCCAGAAAAGTTGATGAAGAGTGTAGGTGAATGGTGCAACATGGTCCTGATGTCAAAGCATTGAAGTATCTCAAACTCATTCAAGATCCTCTCTCTTTAAAATAATGTTGTATAATTAAAAAAAATTAGATCAGAAGATATGACCTTAACTTAAAACTACATGAAGCTTGACATAAAATTGCATGTTGGAGTTGAAAAAAAAGGCCAACGACCACTTGTCATGCCCCATTCACTGAATTTAATGCAACTTTTCAATTGTTTTTCCCTTCCCTGAATAAGCCCCCTCTGCCAGCTGGTGCCTATGATTACCTTCTAGCTCCTAACAAATAAGGCAGATGTGTACTGAAAGGCAGTGTGGGGAAAAAAGGAAAATACTTATCAGCTGAACAGAGTTTGGGTCAAGAGGGAACACAGTGAAATCAAAACACATCTGAATGAAACTCAGGCGAACAAAATAAAACTCTGAAAATATAAAGCAATTAAGTGCCTAAATACAGATTTGGTCATTATTTTTCCCACAGGGAATTGATGGGAAACAGCTAATCAATGCTGTTTTGTAAAGTGCTACAGGCAACTTTATTTCTTGAATTAACTATTCTCATTACTGTGAGACAGTTCCTCTGAAAAGACTGCTGCTGTGTAAAAGACTACCTACCATAAGTAATGAAAGAGTCACGTTCCCCTGCTGTGTGGTAGGAAAAGGCGTGCATGAGGGCTTTACGATTCAGATGGATTTCATTCAGTAATGTATATATAAATGCACTTTGAATAGCCAGAGGGATTAGCACAAATGCATTTCAAATGTCGATGTGCAGGAGCAGTCAGGCCTTGCCCTGCCTGTACATGAGATCCATGACGATTTCTCTCCTTGTTGACACAGCTGTCACTCACTTTAGGCAGGATGTAGGTCTGTTGGTATCAACACGGGGATTTCTTGTCCTAATTTACTTCATTAGACTTAATGAAAATAGGAGCAGAACAAGCACACAAATGTGATGACAGAATCCTAAAAAAGTATTAGTTGAATATGATTCCTGTTCATAAACTAATTTCACTTGATCTTTGTTCTAAATAACTAAGAAGGCAGGTCTTGCAACTTGTGATATGTTAAAAAGTTTCATGCTGGTAGAATAAGAAGCACAACATTCAATTAATGGCATCAGTCTGACTGAAAGTGGACTGAAAGTCTCAGGGCTCTATTTTCGTGCCTCACCGGCGACACGGCGCATGCGCGAAATAAGTCAGGTCTGCCACACCGACAAGGCGTT